AACCTTTATATAAACACGGAACGGAAATTTCTTCAGTTTTGCATCAAAAATAGAAGCTGTGATATAACAATTCCTGCACCGAATGCCTCAAATGGCTAAATGAAAATCCCAATTAGCCCATCTTAACCTTCGTGGCCATCAATGCGTTGAAAGCCAGTGTCAGTTACGTTATAAATGAGAGATTTTGGATTTCCTTTTTTATACGAAAAATCAGTACCTTTCAACTTTAGGTAAAGGGGCTCTTAAATCTGTCGGTGTAAGCAGTAATTTTGGCATAGAATCAACATCAACAACAAACTGATTTCCTTTTCAATGCTTGCAAATACATTAACTGATCCTCCTCTATAAAAAGCATGAAACTTTAACTGCACGTTTCGTAATTCGTTCCCATACCAACCAACAGTGAAGGTACACAGGAAACTTCTTGATATATTTTAAAGCCCCTCTTGGCCCAATTTATTGAATGAATTCAGGATACGTTAAAGGGAGTTTACTGGCTCGGAAAAGCTCAATTAAAAGTGTAAGGAGGAGCGGTAAACCATACCAGTAAGACCTGGTCTGATAAAATGGATTTTGTGGTTAAATGTCAACCAATGGAGTCATGAGTTTTGCCCTCTGATCGAAACAACTGCCTTTGGCTTGACGAGGAGTTTGGGTTTTATTTTTGGTTAGATTTTGCAAGATAGATATTCAAGAACATCTGCTTTATTTGGCTTCCTTCAATTTCTAAGAAAATGGTAGGTTAAATAGAAGATGTCCAAGATTAGATTTTTAACATTCTGCCTTTTTACTTTGTCGGATTTCATCTGGACTGAGAGTGAATCTAGAGGTGATAAAGGCTAAGTAACAAGCAGAAATGCTAACCAAAAAACTAAAAATAGCAGATGAATAATAAATTGTCATGAGTCTGATCTTTTCAGCAACTTCCAACAGATGATTTGTTATAATTGGTGGTAGAAGAACTGTTTAGGAATTATATTAAACAAAAGGCATAGCCTAATAAAGATAAAAAAATAAAGCGCTGAATCTTGCTTTTTAGAACACCATTTTACAATCTTTGTCATCCTCCTGTACGCAAGGTTCAAAATAAAGCCTTGTTGTTGTACCTTTCCTTCCAACGGAGCAAGAAATAATTTGACTTAACTTTGATGAAAGGCAATCAATCAAGACTTAAAATGCTAGGCTTTCTTCAAATCTGATAGTATTTATGAGGGAAAGCTACATATGCTTTTAAAGGTTTTTCGATATAGTCGCGGAGCCGGACACTAAAACAGAATTAATTAAATTTCTATAATTAAATGATTTAAATTGAAAATTAAGCATCCATTCATAAGGGCATGAATTAGAGCCACATATGGAATTTATATAAATTATAATCTTACGTTACATTAGGTTACCTAAAATAAATAAAATTACAAAATCATTAAACAATGGATTAATTTACCAATTGAATTAATCACGTTTAAGCTATGGCTTGTAAAGGAAGCAAATGAACGATGATCATTTGTGATACATCATTGTGATCTTTTACAAAATCCATTTTAACTTTCAATTTTTTGCAACTAAAACGAGCTTCCTGTCCTCCAAGCAGACACTCGAAAGTAGCCAAATTACATTTTAATCTTGGTTTCTAACATAACTTATTTAATCCGCAGAGCAGTTTGACTGGTCTAACAGGTCGAGGTGGTTAACTTTTGAGTACGCCCCTCGAATTTTCTTGTAAAAAAATTAGCTGGGGCGTAGTTTCAAATCGCTGCTTAATGTTGGCATTAATGGAAAAATCTTCTTGATTGGTATTGTTGGGAAACAACTGTATACCATAACACAATTCCTTATTTTCTATATCACTCTGTTCCTGCATTAACAGAACACGACTTGCCATTTATAAAGAATTTGATCTAACAAATCAACTTATGCAATACTTATTTTTTAGTTAAATACCTGAGGGGACTCCATTATTTAAGCAAGAGTATCAATCTCCTCTGCTCTGATCTGCATATAGTCCCCCTTGCCCACTTTTCAGACTTGTTATATGGTGTAAACCCACACATTATACTTTGGTAAAAGCTCCCCTAATTTGTGTATAATTCATCTTCTGATAAGAGAGGCACTTGTGGCTATCCAGGGATCAAAAAACGGTAACCAATCAAGTTTCCCATTTTGGTCCTCTTTTTATTGGGGATTAACCACTAATAAATCAGCTTCTTCCAAACCAAGCTTAATCCTTGCATCAGATTCAGTTTTAGCCACTTCACTTAATAACTTTCCAGTAGCTCTTTCTGGGAGAGAGATTTTGGAGTAATTGGTGTCATTTGCATCTTGGATTTGATTAAATGAGTTTGAAGCTCCATCCACATCAAGATCAAGATGGTAGGTAAGGAAGTGATCATATTAACGCCCATTGGTTTTTCTGCTAGTAGTGTACCATATACTTCCTCCTTTATTTGGTCTTTGTGTTGTTGTATATCGAGTCCTCTCACTTTCTAACAAACCAGTTAGTCCAACCTGTTAAGTAATTTATTATTAATTTGTATTTTCAACACTTCAATCTCAAAAAGAAGTTAATTATGATTACCGTGACTTTGATTGAACCACTCTGCTAAATTCCCAATCAGTTAAATATTAGTCATAGGTGCCCACTGTTGACACCATCTTACTACCAGGCTAACTTCTGGTCTAACCCGTCACCTGCAACACCGTCATCTGTCACACATTTAAGAAATAATAGGTTTAATAATAAAATCCTGAAATAATTGATTCTTAACTTACTTGTTCGGGGATTGATACTCTGTGTTGACGCCACATGATGTTCCCAACCAGCAAACCTCTCAAATATGCAAAAAATATTTAGGCCATTTTACAGTATCCCATTTGGTTGGGACAATTATCAAGGCGTCCATGAACACTTGCATTTTCTGGGCAGTCTGTAAGTGTGAAAGTGGAACTGCAGATATACCATTACCCATATTCACCAGCATCAAAAAATGTTCTATTAGTTACCATTCGTCGTTTAGGTCCCAGATATGGTACCAAAAATTAGTTCTGGACAACAAACCCTTTATATAGAACTTGACCGAACTTCCTGTTTCTCTACATTCAAATATTGATGCCCAAAAGATTATAACGGGGAACCTGCTCTTTGATCCAAAGCTTAAATGAAAATCCCAATTGGGCCCAACCTGATATTTTTGTCAAAAACAGAAAAAAAGGAAATTGGGAGATTCTGCTTGGTGCAAAAGATTCGATATGAATCAATAAAATCAATGATACAAAAAAAAATAAAAAATGGAAAGTGATCCTACGGTTGTGGATTCTCCCCCTCGTTAACCTAATTTTGTGTCCTTCAATTTTGTAATTGGGCCCATCAGGTTGGATCACCTTGATTCCCATTCAATTTCGCGGTCCGAAAGGCGGATTTAGCTTCAAACCTCTCTGTATCAGTTCCTGTGTTTTTGGCATTGGAATCGTTAATCTTCTTTTGAAGTCTATTATCTTCATTTCGTTCAAGATAACCGTCAAAAGTAACACCTTTCAACTGGCCTTCATATACAAATTAACAGGTCCCGTTTAAATAGTAACACATAACCTTAACAGTCCTTTTGGACCTCTTAAGTCTCCATACCAACCTATTGTAAAACTCCCCACAAAACCGACCTCTTTCAAACCTAAGCCCTCTCTTGTTTAAATGGACTCCCAGAAAACGTTGCGTTATTTTGAAGCGGCAATTTATTAGCAGCTATTTGTCTCAAAAGTGAGCAGAGGGTAGCCATAAGCCATTCATAAACTTGGGTCTGATATAATTTGATGGAAGAATAAAAAAAAAAATTTTTCAAGGAATGATTTCATGAGTAATTTGTTTATACGTGCAATAACAAAGGAATTGACGGGGTGGGATTTTTTTTAGATGGGTTTTTTTAGCAAGAAAGAACTGGGACTTGGCTGGTTCTTCTTGGCCATATAATGAAAGGTGAGGGCGTGGTTGCGTGCTGGAATAGGTGTTATTAACAATTGTCTGAACCAGGGTTGGCTCTCTTGGGGTCAAAGGATCGAGTGGGTTGTAGTCTATAATGGAGATGCCGTGGTGAAGAGGAAAAGAAGAGAAGAGTTTACAAGATTGGAGGAATGGTCATATAGATAGATGTGTATAGGGGACAGAGAATGAAGGTTTTTCAATTTTCTTCTTCAATGGCGTTTTAAGCGAGGGCCAATTTATTTTTAAGTTTTAATTTTAAGTCATTTCTTGAATCTTGTGAAAAAAGATGGGCGGTTTTGGATTTTATTATTGGATTAATTAAAGCAACAGTGCTGAAAAATGAGACAAGCAAGAGTTGGGGCCGGGCCCAATTATTAGAGAGGAGGCGTTTTATTGTAACTGGCTTAGTCCCCATCTGTAGTAGGCCTTTTGGACCAGTAAAATGAATGTGCAACAACACCAGAAGTCCAAAACTGTAGTTTTCTTTTATCATTAATAAAATTCAAATCCATTAGTAAACATTTAATGGCGCCAAATAGAAAAGAATCATCTGAAATTTTTTACCAACGTGATTTTCTAATTATTTTCGTGAGAAGGTCCACCAAACTTAATTTATTTAAAAAAAGAAAAGAAATTTAAATAAATGAATAAAATAAAAGAAAAAACAGAACGTCTGAAAAGGCGGCTCAGGTCTGTCTAGAAACTCTAGAAAACATTAGAACCACCTTTGTATTTGTCTTCTGCAGCTTTCACCTTCATCAAACGCATATCTCTCTTCGCACCTGTTCTAATCTCTCTACTCAAATCTACTTCTTCAACACCAACTCCCATTTTTGTCCTTCTACATTTTCAATTTCGATATCTTCAGGTAAGCAACTCTCTCATCTCTATCCATTTAATTTTAATGTTGTATGCTTGTTCCTTTAAGTGAAATTTGTTATAATGTTGGATATGCCATTTAGCTTAAAGTGCTCGCCTTTTCTTCTTTGGTTTCTTTATTCATGTTTAAGCTATTTGCTTGTAAAGGAAAGCAAATGAAAATGATATGTTGTTGATAATTGGGTTGTTCTTTCTTGTTTTGGTTTACTGTTGCTGGCTCTTATCAAATATTTTCAAATTCTTCTAGGCTGTTTTGATTTTTACTTTCTTTCAATTGGGTCATTCTGATTTTTCAATTTGATACCCCATACCTTTTGTTAATATTTCATGATAGAGAATGTAAGGTGACAAGAGTTAATTTTTCTTAGACGACCCTGTTTTGTTGATCTGGCTTAGCCATGAAGACTGCATAATGTATTGTTTGTTTTATTGAACTTTTTTCTATTTTAGAGAACAAAATGAAGTTAACCCATGAGATGCTGTTCAAACAACAAGAAGAACTGCAGAGGGAGTTTTCAGTGTCCTTTTTTTTTTTTTTTTTTTTTTTTTTTTTTTTTTTTTTTTTTTTTTATGCTTGTGTGTGAACATATTCTTGATGATTTTTGTTACTTCTCAGAAACCAACTTACACGTATTGCTTCATTGAATTCATAATGCTTTTTTTTTTTTTTTTTTTTTTTTTTTTTTTTTTTTTTTTTTTTTGCTTGTGTGTGAACATATGTCTTGATGATTTTTTGTTACTTCTCAGAAACCAACTTTACACGTATGCTTCATGGAATTCTAATGCAATTACAAAATCTCTTATTTATAGTTTGGCTTGGGTTCTGGCCTTTTATGTGTATTCATTGGTTTGGTTTATAAAACCTCAGATGTTTGTTGAAAGGCCCAAGTGAACTATTGTTAGAATAATTTGATGAATGGAAGCCTGATCAGCTTAGTTTTACATGCATTTGGGTGCACAAGGAATGAAAATGTGCTCATGTGAACGCTTCTCATCGTCGGAACTTTATCTCAGGAAGAGAAACTTCTTGAGTTGGCTATATCATTGTTCCTATACTTAGATAGAATCTAGGTAAAAGGATACTGCATAAATGATTCAAAAGATTTTTCTATCTCACCTAAAAAAGGAAGGGATAGGAAGGGCGAAATGTAAAATAGTTTTCTCCTATTAGTTGTATTTCATATTTTTGTTTAGAGCATTTGGAATCAATATCAAACTTTAAATTTTTGCCTTTCATGCCCTTGTAAGTTACAATGGTTGTCTATGTTCCTTTATTATGACTACAACATTTGTCAAAATGCAGAAATGGCAGAACAACAATACACTGTGGTATCTGATAGTGAAACCACTGGAGAGGAGAAATCTTCATCGGCTTTTCCAGAGATTGCAATTGGAATTGATATTGGCACTTCACAATGCAGTGTTGCAGTCTGGAATGGATCCCAGGTAGAGCTCCTTAGGAATACGAGAAACCAAAAGTTGATGCGGTCATATGTCACCTTCAAGGATGATACTCCTTCAGGTGGAGTCAGCAATCAACTGGCCCATGAGCATGAATTGTTATCTGGAGCTGCAATTTTTAATATGAAACGCCTGATTGGCAGAGTGGACACTGATCCAGTTGTTCATGCTAGCAAAAGCCTTCCGTTTTTGGTACAGACTTTGGACATTGGTGTTCGCCCATTTATTGCAGCATTAGTGAACAATGCATGGAGGTCCACTTCCCCTGAAGAAGTTCTTGCAATATTTCTGATAGAATTACGAGCCATGGCTGAAGTTCGGTTGAAACGGCCCGTTAGAAATGTTGTTCTGACAATTCCAGTGTCATTTAGTAGGTTCCAACTGACCCGGATTGAACGAGCTTGTGCCATGGCTGGCCTTCAGGTCCTCAGGCTAATGCCTGAACCAACTGCTGTTGCATTATTATATGCACAGCAGCAGCAACAGACTGTGCACGATAATATGGGCAGTGGAAGTGAGAAGAATGCTCTCATATTCAATATGGGTGCTGGTTATTGTGACGTAGCTGTGAGTGCTACTGCTGGAGGAGTTTCACAGATTAAAGCCTTGGCAGGAGCTGCTATTGGAGGAGAAGACATACTGCAAAATATGATGCAATATCTATTACCAAACACAGAGCGCCTTTTCTTGAGTCATGGCATCAATGAGATCAAAACAATGAGTTTGCTTCGAGTTGCAACCCTAGATGCAATCCATAGGCTTTCCTCTCTGACAAGTGTTCAGATTGATGTTGATTTGGGAAATGGTACAAAAATATGTAAAATCGTTACTCAAGAGGAATTCGAGGAAGTGAACCAGAAGCTATTTGAAAAGTGTGAAAGCCTCATAAAACAATGCTTAAATGACTCAAAGGTAGATATTGAGGACTTGAGTGATGTAATACTGGTAGGCGGATGCTCATACATACCAAAGATAAGAAATCTTGTAAAGAGTATATGTAAAAAAGAGGAACTCTACGAAGGAATGAACCCATTGGAAGCTCCAGTTTGTGGGGCTGCACTGGAAGGTGCAGTTGCTTCAGGAATCAGTGATCCTTTTGGAAGTTTGGATCTGTTGACTATCCAGGCTACCCCTTTAGGCATCGGAATAAGAGCTGATGGAAACAACTTTATTCCTATCATACCTAGAAATACCACAATGCCTGCAAGGAAAGAGTTGTCATTTACAACTAAGCATGATAACCAAACTGGAGCACTGATCCTAGTTTACGAAGGCGAAGGAAAGACAGTAGAAGAGAATCATCTGCTAGGATATTTCAAGATTGTAGGAATTCCCCCAGCACCTAAAGGAGTTCCAGAGATAAGTGTGTGCATGGACATTGATGCGTCGAATGTATTGAGAGTTTTTGCTGGAGTAATGATGCCAGGGACTGAACATCCGGTGGCACCTTTTATGGAAGTAAGGATGCCTACAGTTGATGATGGGCATGGTTGGTGCGCTGAAGCCTTGCATAGAGCTTATGGCTCTACATTGGACCTAGTTACGTTGCACAAGAAGGCGTAATTATCTAACATGGTGTTTTCATAAAGCCGTAGGAAGAAGAACAGCTTGTAAGAACGATATTGTGTTTACATATTTCGCAAAAAAGTATGGGCATGTTGTGATGAAATAAAATGTGTTAGTGTGTTTTCATGACATTTTGTTCATGTTATGATTTTAGTTTTCGTACAAAATTTCTATTGACACGTCTAGTGGATTTTTTTTTTTTTTCCTGTTTAGAAGGTATAACTGAGCATTCTGTTCAATAGAGTTAAAAAGAAGTGTATAGATTAATCTTGGGCTCTATGTGCCCTTCTGTAACCAACAGGGGAAAAAGAAAAATAGCAGTTGTATTGTGCATATTTTCAACGTCACTTAGCTCTTTTCATTAATCTATCAAAACAATCAGTCACAGAAGAAGGGTAAACTAGTTAACAAGCCTTCTCAATCTTACACAGGTTCTCATATGTGGCAGAAAAACTACGATTGTTTGAAAGATGGCATGCATTCAAGGAGCCAGGCCAAGAATGCTGACCTGGATAGCAACATTTTCTAGACAGAGTTTCTTTGGTTCTTGGAAAAGTGGCAAACATGCAATGTAAAAGGTGGCAGACGAATTCAGTTACTGTTTTTGTTGGCAAAGGTTTCTTTAATTTGATCTCTCCGTCTATATTATTCAATGGTATTTTACCCTCAGAACAACAACAACCAGAAGATGGCCGCAACATCACATTTATTATGGATCATGTTATTAGCAGTGGCTGCATGTCATCCCTGTAATATGGTCTTCTGTAAGTAATTTCAATTTAACCCATTATTAATTCTTCAAATCCTCTAGTTTTGGTCAAACTAAATAATTTCGACATATATAATTAATTGTGATTAAACTTGTGCAGGTGGTGATGTTGGGATTGTCTATGGAAGAAATGGAGACAATCTGCCCTCTCCAAAACAAGTAATTGATTTTCTCACAAAAGACTTGAATTATGCAATTCCATTAATCCGAGTCTACGATGCTAATCTTGAAATATTAGAAGCATTAAAAGGAACTAATTTGGTAGTAACTATTGGAGTTCCTGATGAAGCCATTGCTCATGTAGCATCAAGCCAAGAAGCTGCTGATAAATGGTTTCAAGATCACGTACTAACATACATTCAAAAAGGCGTTAGATTTCGATATATCTGTGTTGGCAATGAAGCAATTCCTGGCGTTGTTCAATTCCATCTTCAACAGGCAATTTGTAATCTCAACAATTCAGTACAGAAAGCTGGCATAGATTTCATCCATGTTACTACCGCAGTTGGAAGTGAAGTTCTGGGCAGCTCTTATCCTCCCTCAACTGGTCAATTTGCTCCTGAGCTAGACGCACTTATGAGTAACCTTACAAGCTATCTATATAGTATAGGTTCCCCACTATTCATTAATGTGTACCCTTACTATGCCCTAATTTCAGACCCACAACATATTTCATTAGACAATGCCTTATTTCAGTCCCAAGCACCAATTTTCCAAGATGGGAATTTAGAGTACTGTAATCTTTTTGATGCCATGGTGGATGCATTTGTGGCAGCAATGGTGAGGGTGGTGCAAAGAGAGGATGTTAAAGTCGTTATCGGCGAAACAGGGTGGCCGACTGCCGGTTTTGGACCGTATGATTGCGTCGACAATGCTCGAATCTACAACCAGAATCTAAGGGAGCATGTAATTTACAGAGGCTGTACTCCAAGAAAGGCAGACATTAATTTGGAGGTTTATATGTATAATATGTTTAATGAGAACCTAAAATCTGAGGGTGCAGGTCAAAATTTTGGAATATTCTATTCCAATTTCAGCCAGGTGTATGCATTGTGGCATTGATGTTTTTGAGTCAAAGACTTTTTATCAATTGCTTGATCTTGATGTTGCACTCAGTAAGGTCAGAACTTTCGCCTTTCAATTTTTGTTTTAGTGACGATATTCTAGCTAGGTGAAGTTGGATCAGCTATGGGCCGGCCCATGTGACTAGCAATAGGACATTTTTTGGGCATCAATATGACAACGGTAAGAAGCCCATGCGTTTCGCCTGACACGTAAAAATTTAAAGTCATTCTCCCTCGCAAAGAAACCCATCGCAGTTCGCAAATCCACTTAGCATATTTTATTCACAGTCTGTGTTCTTTTTGTCAGAGTATATGCAATTGTGCATAATATAGAGGAACCTAAAAGGAACCCAGAGGTGCAACTCTATATGATGGTCATAGACACCTTCCTTAATGAGAAACCCTAAAAACCAAATGAAAATGACACTTTCATACCATAAGCAACAAAGAATAAACTCCAAATAGAGACATCGGTACTGCAAAACCCAGAGTCTCAGTTTGTCCACACTGATACTCTCATCATACAAACAGACAAACACCACCCAAATGGAAAATAGTGCACTCTATTACACTCCAAACATATATTTACATTAAACTCCAACTCTCTAACGTCACTTCTAATATTTTATAAGGAAAAAGTACCTCCATACTTCAAACGACGACACATGCTCTACGACAAAACCCTTTATTATAGTACTACTATAACATACCTGACTAAGTTTTTCATATTTTGGTTTCAGTCTTTTCTTTCGCTTATTTAATATCAATTCCCAATGCACAGTACTACTCTTTCTTGTCTTTACGTATATACATACACTAGAATCAGAAGCTCCATTTTGACTTCTCTCTCTAACATCAAAATACGACACATATTCCTACTACCAACCCTCTCTGCCATCGTTGAAACCAACTCATAAGTTATTACTAAAATAATACAATACTAAATTACAAATATAAGACTACATTATGTAACTAAAGTTTTCAAACTTTGGGTCTGATTTTCATAATAAAAGTCCAGCAGAAACAAGTCATAGATTCTCCATTAAACTATATAAATGAACTTTAAATTGAAACAGAGATCTTATAATTTCAACGTTTGCATGTTTTTGTTGGTACAATATATTTCCAATGTAATGTTCACCGTCTCGACCACGCTATCTTCATCCCATGCTTCCCCCACCAAATTAAATCAAAACACAGTTTTCTTGATTTATATTATTTTAGGGCACCATAATTCATAACCCACCTCGCACGTTGTCTCTTTTTAATTACTTTGGTCAATCAATGCAAGAATTAACAAAATATATAATTAAACATCATTACGAGAAATAATTAATCAATTATTAGTACTTGGTGTCATTGCCATTGACATTTGACACATTTGTTAATGTAATATAGTAGTAATAAATACTTAAATACTCATATGTACTCTCCCTTCTTCTTTTCTTTTTCCTTTTTTTTTTTTTCTTTTTCTCCTTGCATCGCATGGGCTGGCCTGCTTTTAGAACCGTTGAGATACTGACATGTGGCGGCGTTTAAGGTGAGGAGAAACAATGGAGATGAGTCCGCCGAGTGGGGGCCGCATCTTTGACCTGTATATCATCTCATCGTACGGCCGCCTGTAGAACTTCAAATATGGTAAGAACGATTCTCGAGACTTGTCGGTTCTGCTGACGTGGCACTCTTTCTTGAAAAAGATTGCTGGTGATTGGAGGAAGGATGGCCGTGGGGTCCGCGGGTGAGAAATTTTGATGCCCTCACTTGCGGTCACACGCTGTGGCAATGGAGTTGACGGGAAGAGATTCTTCTTGGCGTAGATGCTACCGTTGATGCTGCTACGTGGCGTTCTCGCAGCGGGTGATGCGAAAGAGAGGGACCTGGCGTTGAGCGGGGAGATTAAAGCAGGGCCAAGAGGAGAGGGAGTAGTGGGTCCTACTTTGGAAACTGACGTGTCTGTCAGTGTAAGATACCAAGGTTTGAGCGAGTCAAAATGGTGGGACACGGTAAAGGAAAACCTTGAGGAAGAGCAAGAGCCAATCTTGGCCGTTGATTTGATAGATGAAGGATCAAATCGGAGGGATGAGGCTCGCGGGTAGGAGGAGAAATCATTGAACTCTAACGATTCTTCAAAATCCAATGATGAAACCACCATAGTCACTGTTGACAGCTCAACAAATGGACGGACACCCTGCACCCATCATACAACTTTATTGTCACGCTTCATTAAATTTTGAACCAAATAGTAATCTTTAACAAAACACAATAGCATATATGGTGCATTTACAATCATATGGTTAATAACAGACTAAGAGTTACAGCCATTACATTGTACGTCTGATTTAATATCACTACATATATATTTTCTAACTTGAGAACAGGAGGAGGTAATAACGGACACATAATTTTGAAACCGTGCAAACGGATAGTGGATTAAGGTCCCACAAAGCACGAAAGGATGTGTAAACAAGAAAATTGATGTGCATAAAAGGCAAATAAGATTTGACTAAAGCTCGATGGTCCAGTTAACTAAATCATGTTAAAAGGCAGATTTGCACTGCTACTTAGTCAAACAGTTACAACCACTGCAAATGTAGCAAGTTTCAACAGTAGTAGACTTTAGAGGTACAATGAAGACAAAATAATTTTGGTGGATATAGAAATTAGGAAGAGACTACAAAATTAGACAGGATTTCAATTTACCTTCCATAGATAGGAGAAGAGAGAAGGTGGGTCTATTACAAAAGCTTTATAAAGCCTGCTTGGATAGTAATCAGCCACAATTTTCAGTGTTGCCAGTAGTAAGTTCATAAAAGCCGATGCTGATCTGAAAAGGCCTGCATTTTCAATTAAACAAGAGTTACCATTATAATTTGTCTATAATCCCAGTAACAGATTTGAATCAATTTTTAATTCTTAATTAAGTCCTGAACATGGCAGAGGATAATCTTTAATCTTTGGTTTTTAATATTAATTGTGGCAAAAGTTGAAAAGGAAAAAAGAGAAAAAGGGGAATCCTGGGTACTTCTGGTGAAGATCAAAATAATTAAGAGCTGTAGCAGGTAAATTGACCAGTTCTAGGAGAGCATAAACTGTGAATATGCAGAAGATGAGGTTCAATTCCCGAGTATACCCTTACAAAACTGACCAATAATATAACAATGAATGTGACACTTAAAGGGGCACTCCGGACATTATCCGAGAATATCTCAGATCCCTGCCGGTTCTCCGACATGGCTGCGTGCCTGGTCTCATTAATTAGTCTGCTTTACAAGCGTGCGATACACCCAGCTTGTAAAATACTTAAAAGTTCACCAATTATCAAACTTGTAACCAGTTTTTTAAGGGTGATATAGGAAATGCCGAGAACAAAATAGTTACTTACTTGCATCGAAGAGGAGAACAAATTGTTCAACGTTTTTTGGCATGGTGGCTATGGCTACCTCCAGCGTGAAAACCAGCAACCTAGTAAACCTACATTTTAGAAAACTAGAAAGTAAGCAAATTATTCAAACCCAAGAAATGCGAATATATAATTGTTTTTTTCCCTGTTACTTACAGCTTCTGTGAATGGAACTTTTGGTAATCTTGCTTAATGCGAAAAATCTGTGCAAAACGACCCCAACAAAAGAAAAATTTTCAGCTTATCCATTCATTTTTTGAAGAAAAGAAGTGACATATAAAGAGAACGAAAGAATCACCATAACAGGTCTGGATTCTTCATCATGACCAGCCACAAAAGCAACTCCTTCAGCGAGCTCAGCTGAGAACTCATCTGCTATGAGTTGTTCTGCATTCAAAAAATAATAATTAAAAAATAAGTTAGGGATTCAAGTTTGGTTTCTGGTAGTTAATAATTTTTTAATTATTTGTTTCTTTATTTTGAACAAGTGATATCAATGATTAATGTAGGTGTTTACTTTAACGCTCAATTATTCAAAAAGGAAAACAAAGAAAAGCAAGATTCTAGTGTAACATAACAAGAGGAATAAAAAGAAGATACTTGTAGAAAAAAGACTAGAAAGGAGACAATTAGTGCATAGAAGGCTTTTCCTTTAAGAAAATATGAAAGAAGAGGAGAAGAAGGATGATAAAGAGCTATCATAGTACCAGTGCCTATACTCTCTCTCCAAGAAAGGCAAGCCCTTATGTGCTTTGCAGCCTTCTTCACATTATCACCTTTTGCTCTGAGAAACCGCTCTACACAAGCATTGTTGCAGAACTTCTCCTGTTAATGTATACCAAACACAACCCATCATAGTAAGTAAAGCTCAAAGAAATAACTGTACGCCTGGTACATGCAAATGATATGAAACTTTACAGTAGAAGCACTAAGTAAGTTAACGAGGTAAGAACTCATAATGTAGAGACGAAAAAAAGAGAAGCAAAAACGAATAAAAGAAGTAAAAAGAAACAGTGAAAGAGCATAAAACCCACCTGCTTAACTGTTAGTGGAGCTTGTTTCCTTACATGCTCGAGAACAGCTTCAACTCTTTCGTTGCCCTTGTGATCTTTCTGTTGTTGTTCTTTCTTGCCCATTTCGAGAAAAACCAGAGTGATATCAAGAAAACACCAATATACCAAACTTCTTCTTCACGCAACCATTAAAAACTTGCACTTGCAGTAGAGAGAGAAAGAGAGGGAGGAAACTTGAAATGGAAACTGGCGACTTTGAATAAAGAGGAGGAGGGAGTAGAGTGCTATTTATATAGCAAACGACAGCGAATAACGCCGTTATGTAGCAGACAAAAATTTTTAAAGAGTTTCAACGCCAAAAATACTACTGGTTCCTTTAGTCAATGGTAGTTTGTATCATCTCTCTCATCATGATATGAAAGCGATTTACAACGGAAAACGTCACCGCCATCACCAGTTAATATTCTCATAATTTACTATTCTTCTCCTATTAAATTTACCCCTTTAGGACATGTATTTAATATCACTATTGATTATGAAAAGTCAAATATTAAAACTTTCCTTATTGTATTGGCTTCTTTAAAGATTTATTTATGGTCCCCAAAAATAAATATATATATAGTTCATTTATGGGAAGTGGTCTACGAGTCCAAGCCAAAGTATCGGGTCGTAGTAGGCGGTAGAGTTATCTTAGTAATCTATTTATTTATTTATTTATTTATTTGTCAAATTTAATTAAGCATTATTATTATTTTTTTAAATCAATAATGATGAAAGGGGAAAAGGACTCCCGAAAACGGATATTTGGGAATAAAGAGACATGTAATTTTAGTACACAGTTTATGGTAATGAACAAGTATTTCTTTTGGAAGGATCATGTTAATTGTCTTGGCAAGTTGGTGTTATTTTTTGGTCAACATAAAGACAATTTGTGTTTTGGTAAATTTTTTTTTGTTTCTTGTGCGTAATAAAACAGTATGACCATTTTACTCTTTTGGCTTTCATCGACACATTTTGCTACTTTCTTTTGTCTCAAAATAATAGATTGACATGACATTGTCAATTTAATGTCTACAACAAGTCTCTCCATCACTTGATTGTCATTTTACTGTATGCCATTTGTGCTTTCCATACATAAATTTCTTACTTTCATGTGATGTGGTAGATGCAGACTATAATACACCACAAAACACATGAACATGATTTTTTTTTTCACAAGACTGACTTTCTTAGAAAATTTTGATTTTTAATTAAATTTGAGTTTTTTTAAAAAAATAAATTTAAATTAATTGATTAATATATAATGTTCGAATAAAGCTGTGGAATTCACTATAACGATAGAACCAATTACTCTATTACATGCATAAAGCACATAAACCCACAACTAGTCAAACTCAAAACTAACATAAACATCAAACCAAGCAAATCCAAATTCCGTTGTTGTTACGGCGGAGGCCTCCTCGGACATTCTCCACGTGTCCCACTTTTATATATTTATTTCTTTAATCCATTTCCAGTTGAAACTCGAAACAGCTTCTAGGCTCGAAGACGGAAGACCTTCAAAAGTCAATATGGAAACACATGCACCGCACCGCTTACAATTATTTGGCCTATCCTACGCGCAAAAACTCTTCCGCGACTGCAAATGCGTGAAAATACTAAGAAGTTGGCTCTCACGATCTCAACTGGCACGTGAGAGTATAAATATATAATCCCAGGTGTAAAAGCAAATAGTCGTCTTCACTGCGTTTAAAATTTAAAATAAAAATAAAATAAAGGAGGCAAAAGCGTAGTTTAGGCTGGTGAGATGAGCTTTCCAAAGCTAAAGTGTAAGCTTTATCGTTTTAATTAAATAACAATAGGGAAGGTGTAATGTAGTGAAGGATTTGTTTCGCTTGTCTTCGTTCAAACATGTTACAGATTCTGATTTTATATCTTTCAAAATTTAAAATAAATAATAAAATTAATTATTTTAATAATTATTAATTATTTTAATATATATCAACAGTTTAACTAGTGTGTAATTAAATATTAAAAGAGTAACGTTTAAACAATATAAATAAGTACATGAAAAATAATTATCAAATAAAAATTATAAATGTAATTTAAAATTATCAAGATTCAAAATGCTTTACTTAAACAATGATTTAATTCGAATTTAAAAAAATACGTGTTTTGAGAAAAATACGTATAGATATGTTGAACGTCGCATAATAGTGGTAATTGATATTTACCAACTATGACGTGTCAGATTGATTGATTAGGTGGATATGAAAATGAAATTTATGAATATGATTTTGTTGCCACGAAGACAAATCCCATGTGGCCCAAGTATGGTAAAGTGGGTTTCGTTAATCCTTATTTCACCTACCACTCTGTCTTGCATTTCAAAATTTGAAACCGCAAGCCCTCCCTCCTTCCCTCCCTCCATGTAACACATACTTAGATACTTCAATACTATATTATATATGTTCCAAACAATGATTGAATAAATTCAAACCATGCATGCTGTACCAAATGCTTTACAATTTTCTCTATGTGAATTGACGTTAACCTAATCTAGATTAAAATAATTTATGTCGTTATGGATACAAATTTAACTAATCAATCTTTTTCCTTTAGAGATTGAATTATCCAAATAAATAGTTTGGATAACGGTTTTTTTTTTTATAACTTTTTGTATTAATTATTAGTTATTACAGTAGATATGGTAGTTAACAGTTTTAAACCGATAATTTTTTTTGTTTTTACAAATTTTTAGCGACACTTGTTATTAAAATATAAAATGACAACTTAGGAAATATATATGAAAAATACTATATATAATTAAAAATTTATGAATAGATAATCCTCCTATTATTGATGATTTTCAGTAAATTGGGTATTATTTAAAACTAAAAGGATATGAGTAAACAACGGAGCAGATAGGAAAGGAGGCATATGGCCAAATGGATAAGCAGTGGGATGTTTGTCCATTACTATGGCTTCATATGGACACGACTGATAAGGGATCCTGTCTGTGTCGTTTTGGACTTTGGCTGAATTATAACACAAATCTTCTGCAGGGATAAAAACCATTTTCTCCCTTTTCTATTGGGTGTCTTTGTCATTCATTATTGATTAATTTGAGTTAGAATAATAATAAATTGTTATACAATTAAATTATTTTTGTAACATTTTGTTGGCCTTAATAATGGAGTTGGAACAGATGTTTTGTTAACGTTGTTGAAAGGTAATAAGCAAAATGGAAAAGGAAAAGGAAGATTGCGATATGGAGGTTGGAGGAAACAACTTTTTAGGTATTTTAGGAACCGTTATAAAAGAAAAAAGATAGCACGCACTTACCAGGAAACAATGACAATAACAGCTTTACAATGTGATTATTGATGGTCCGAACCATTTGTGTTTTGTGGGCTGTCTTGTTGACCATGTGGATCCGGGTCCTATTCATGGGACCCGTTCATGGCCCACTTCATTTTGTAAATCCCACTACCACTGTATCCTACTGTGCCTGTGGTGGCTTTGGCATCATGAGTTCTTTAGTAGTGGACATACAATTGATTGTATTTTTATTTGATTTTTAAAATTACTTGAGGTTTTGAACATTGAACAAAAGCCACGAATAGAAAAATAAAAAGACAGGGAAAGGCTTGTTCTGCAGACAACCCAACACATAAAATAATAATATAAATTCATAACTGTTTGTGTTTTCTCAATCATTATTCCTTTTTGAGGCTATGGAGAGATCTGTGATCCTGAGAACGGCTTAGAAAATCAAATGCAAATATATATATCTATGAATATTCTTCTGAGAGGGAAAATAATAGATGCATGCTTTGGTGGAGAATGAGTGATTCACAGACGTAAATTAAAAATTCAATTAAAAGTAATGTCTGATAATCATTATGATCTTTAAGCTTTGATGTTTTTGATTTGGGCAGTGGATTAATATTTTGACATGACAAAAGGAATATAAAACAGGCAAGTGATTAGACCTTAATGTGCTTGTGACTTGTGAGTAAGGGAAAGGATTATTTTGTATACATAGAAGTGGAAATAATTTGGCAGCATCTTCGTATTTTTTACAAACCCAACCTCATTATTATGAAAAATAAATTTTTATTATTAATGAGCAGTGTAAGATAATTTGTTTCCTGTGTTCACTGACTCAGATTAATACACAGCACAGCTTCATTGTACTGTTTGTCCAGAAACAGTTGTCAGATTTTTTTATTTTTTTTTCTATCTACCCTTTCTAATAGAACTCTGGCACTGGATGCCCATTTATTTTGTTTGTATTGTAGCATATTGTCTCTTCACTAAGGTACTATATATCAACTTTGTACGAATTTCATTAATAATTACCCACTCTGTACCCAAGCGGAGCAATCAAATTTTCAAACTCAAAATCATGAACATACAATCAGCTGTGACTCACTTCAACCTGCCCATCCCCCTTTTTTTAATTAAAATTAATTAATTGAAATTCAATCTAATGTTACTTATATTATTGTTTTATAGAGACGATAAAAATCAAGTGGCATTTTTCTGAAAATATTGTTTTTTATTATCTAATGGAATTTTTAGTTTCTATAATCCAATTCCAATGAGGGAGAACGGACTTTGTTCAACAGTGCACAATATTAAGAATGTCCTCTTTATTTGTTTGAGAAGTTCATGCTGGATCCAAAAATTCAAACTACTACGCAGGAGAGGCCCACATATCCTTACAGGCTTACAGTTAGCCATCAAAGTCCAATTGATTGGACTCAATTTGGGTCCAAAGGAACCTATACTGGTCCACATTGGGAATTAAGGCTACATATGTGGGCCTCTCGTGAAAATCTTGCCGAAAGTCTACTGCAGGCCCATTGCAGAAATTAAGCCCATTTTTATTGGGCCCAATGCGGAAATTCAACCCAACATGCGGGCCGATTGTGGAAATTCAGGCCCAATAAAATTGGGCTGCTGGAGATTCTTGGGTCCAATGTGCCGGCCCATTATGAAATTCAGCCCCAACTTCAATGGGTTTCATTAAAATTTAGGCCCAATATATGGGCCCATTTTTGAAATTCAGGCCCATTTTCCTGGGCTCATTGTGGGCCCAAAAACCAGTTGCATGTCCGATTTTATTGAGCTTATGTGGAAAACATCGGCCCAACTTTAGCCCTTATTGTGCGTACTTTGGGCTAACAAAAACCACCATAGATAAGCCCATTACAAAATGCAGACCCAGTTTAGCGTAATTATTGTATAGGCCTATTTGAAAATTTGGAGCAAACTTTAGCCCAATTCAGTGGGGTCACACTTTTGGGCTTTTCATAATCTGAAATTGTTAGCATTATCTTATAAATGAAGCATTCAATTTTCAAAATGGATATGATAATGAAAATAATATTAACATCAATTCAGAAAAAAAAAAGAAATTAATGGAACGTGAAAACCATGCATATAAATATTTAATAGGTAATACCTACCCTTCTCAAATTACTGATTAAAAAAATTAACCCATGCTTATAATATTGGTTTAAGAGAGGTAATTTTTTTAATTATAAATTATCCACAAACCAAGTGACTTGACCTAAAAATTAAGTTCTCCAAATTAAAATTATAAAATTCTCAACAAATTTAGTTATGGGAATTGGATGATTAAATTGGTAGTCCATAGTTTTTCTTTATTTCTTAAATGAGAAGCCAACTTGATGGTTGTCCTACTTCTAAACATTTCCTTTAAATCAAAAGAGAGACCATATCTCTCTTTCCTTGTACATTTTATTACAACGTAGTAATAAATATATGTTCAATCGCATGTGCAAAGTTAGAACATTCCAAACACCTCACCCATTATACCCATAAATCCTTTTCAGTCAGCAAAAATAAAAACCATATCACCAATACACTTTTAAGGCGCCCAATGGACAGGTGGAGATAGGGGAAATAAATACTTGTGTAGGACTCTTTCACTATGTGGAATTTCCTTACTTCAAAAACAAAAAAGAAAAAAAGAAAAAAAGTATTATAAAAATTGGAGGACACCAAAAATTAGGCTTGAGGAGAAAGGGAAGTGAGTGAGTAAAAATATGAAGAGGGAAATAAACTAGAAACTAGAAGTGTATAAAGCACAGATGATTGGTGAGGTGGCTTTGCTTCTTCTACTACAAGTGAAAAAGGGCTTGAAAATGACATTGTACCAATACCCAAAATGTGAATTGCATGATTGGTCTGTAAGGGACTGTGAAAATTTTGTCTCAGCAACACAACAGTTTCCTTATTAACTCCACCCTTGTCTAAGCAAACTGTGCTGTTCTTTTTTTTTTTTTTTTTCCTCTCTTATTTTTTTTTTTTTTTTCCTCTCTTAATTAATTTTTTTTTTTTTTTTTTTTCCTCTCTTAATTAATTTTCCCTCCCAATATTCTCTCACTTACATGAGCTGAAGAGCCACTCCCACTTCTTCTCCTAAATGGGGTGGCTTCAATCCCTCCTCTCTCCATTGAAGAAATTCTGGTTTCGCCTGCATTCAACTCCAAAAAAGAGTATGTCCATCCCCTATACCTGCAATGCTTTTCCACCATCTATCTACAATTCTTCTCTCGCATTAATTCTGCCTTCTGTTTTTAAACTCAAGAATCAACAAATGAAGATCAAACTTGTGCATTCTTTCTTTTCTTTCACTATATATATATTCTCCTTTTCCAAATTCTCCAAATTTATTCTTCTTTCAATCTGACTGTTTTGAAGAAATCCATGTTTCTTTAATTTACTTAAATGTAAAACAGTTTGATTTTGCAGATTCAAATTTGTTAACTGATATTTGTTTTGAAATTGTCAGGAAGAGGGATATACATTCTATATGAGGATGTGAAATCTTGTCCCTGTGAAGATGTGCAGGTGCTATGGTCAATACTAGTGGAGTCACATGCACCTCCCTTGCCATCAAAACAATGAGAAATGGCTTATCTTCAATACAAAGCATTCACCAAAATGAGACAGATATCCAGTCATGTACATAAACTATTTATGGTGTTTTATATACTCTTGTCAAACACTTTTTTTTCGGTTTCTTTCTACTTTTGCGTTTTCAGTTTCTTGTCATCTCAGTTACGATACAAACTACTAGAACATTATTTTCCTTATTTCTTTGTTATTTCCCTTTTTTTTTTAGCTCGAAATGTGGTTTTACAATTACATAGTTACTCCAAAATTCTAAACATGCTTTAACACTTAAATGGCACTAAAAAATCATAAGGCATTGGGTGAAGGGTATAACTCAAATGATCATCTTCTATTAATTTAGCTTCTTAATTAATTATAGTTGCTTTGTCAGTTTCAGCAGTTGGAGATAGCAATTTGTTTCTTGTTTTCATATTCTCCTGAAGTTGACTTTTGAAAACTATAGAATGGATGGAACAACCTACATGGAATTCTCAAGCCGTCAGTAAATTCTTATACAATCGCTAACTTGTACAAACCAATCACAGCATAATATAGTATTGCTCATTCACTTAATTTGTTCTAGAAATTGGACAAAACAGAATTGATTATAGCCACTCGATAGAGGTAGTTTAACCAATCCTAAAACTTCCAATCTATTCCTAAAGCAAATCTTTTTTTTTTTTTTTTTTTTTTTTCTCCGATAGACGGTAAGTTTAAACCATCCTAAACTTCCAATCTATCCTAAAGAAATCTTTTTTTTTTTTTTTTTTTTTTTTTTTGAGAGGTGAACTAATCCACTAATAATGAATTATTTTTCTGAATTAAACTATATTATATTTAAAAACCTTGGAATTTAATTGGCCCCAAAAATTTAAAAATTGGTGTTAATTTAAAAAACTTGCAACGAATAAAATGGAAACGAAGACTAAGAATTATCGGCTGTTTTTTTTTTTTTTTTTTTTTTTTGAGAGGTGAACTAATCCAACTAATAAATCGAATTATTTTCTGAATTAACTATATTACATATTTAACTGAATTAAATTGGCCAAATTAATTGTGTATTAACTGCACGAAATAAATGGAAACGAAGACTAGATTAATCGGCTGATTTTTTGTCCAAATTATCTCATTAACCAATTTTAACTGAAGAAAATTCACTAAATCAATAGAAGAACATATATTAAAAGTGTACATATTGTTCGATCGGTTAGATTCAAGTTTAACCAAACCAACAAATCGAAATTTATTAATTTGAGCTAAAAACCGATTTTCGATTCACCAAACCAAAATTGACTGAACCCATATTTTTTTCAACGCTGACTGTCACATTAGCGGTTATTGTATTGCATCAGGAAACAATTTTTTACCACTGAATATGTATCACGTTTGAATTAACAAATCCATAAATATATAACTTTGGACATGCTACTAAGAATTTAATTAAATAGTTAATAATATCCCAATTCAAGAGTTGCTTTCCACATTCATAAAAAATTTGGATGTTAGCTTTAAAATGGGTAAAGGGTTTCTCATTGAAGCATTAAAAGAATTTGAAAATCATTAGTAAAATTTTCATATTAGCAACTAAAATATATTAGGTAAGCTTGTGGGTCAGAAATGATATGGTACAAGAAACCTACACCATGCTCGCTGATGTGAGAATTCAGTGTTGTTTAGACTTTAGAGGCCAATAGAAATTTGTAGCCAGAAAATCCATTTTGTCTTTGTGGATCATTGTCCGCACAAGAAAATTAATTTGTCCAAGTCCGCCATCGCCATTCTGAAAGTTGACTCGAATAGCACAAGTACTATTTTGTAACATGAACAAACTAATTCATTTACTTGTCTGGTTTATAGATATTGGAAAGTAGGGCTGTACACCATCCAATCCAAGATGGTTTGAAATTATTTTAAAATCAAACCATAAATAATTGTTATTTTTCAAATTCAACTGTTTTAGATATAATATAAAATAAAAACTGTTTAGTTCGGTTTAGTTAATGGTTTGCCTCAATTCCCATTGGAACGGAAAGAATAGGCTTCGGCAACACTATATGAATGCATCGACTTCTCTTGTAACTTTACAACTTAAAGAAAATGAAAGAGTTACTATCAAATCAAATTGGTCAATGGTCTTGCTTATCACTAAATCAAGAATCGAGTTATTTTACAAAAGCATTACTGCCATGGTTTTTTCTTTTTCATCAGTTGATAGAAATTTATTGCATTCTTGATTGGACTACAATTATAAAAAAAACAAAATGAAAAGTAAAACCTGGCATACATAAGGCTGGTGAAAAATCTTGCATGTGACAATATATAAGGAATTCTTATCAATGCTTCAAATTTGGAAGGCCTCTGACTCAGCTGCAACCCAACAGTGCTGCAAAAATTAAAATTTCAGCCAGCAAAAAGCAGGAAAATGATTGAAACAATGCTCCAGCAGTGATAAATTTTATTATACAGAAAACTGAGCAAGGAATGTCAGTGACATCATGAATCAACTTGGAGACATCTAACTATCTAACTATTGAGTTAGAGTACCCACCCAATCATTGTAAGGATCACAGCATTACAATGCTGATGGAGATGAGTGGTCAACCACACCTGGAAGCCAATTTTTGAAGTACTCTAAGCCCGTCTCTGCGCGAGAGAGGGCACTGAGGGGAGTTACCGTGATCTGAAATGAATACAAGTATTTATGTTAATTATGGATACATTCATTCAGATAATTTTAAGATATAAAACAAAGAAACTCACATATCCTTCCAGAAGAAATTTGTGATCCGTATCTTCTTCATCAACTGTCGCTCCTTTTGCCTATTACAATTGGAACGATGTGTTATAAAATTTAAGTGCATGCCAATTATCTAAACCTCCTTTTAAAAATTTTAATAGTACTTCTTTCAAAGAGCATAACAACTATCTCACTCATGCATAATTGAGTTTCATTTTCTCAGTAGCCCACAATTAGTTTTATTTCCTTTTGAAGTAGCGATTGATCATAATGAACTCATAATATTTAGATCAAACCGGTCCTTGTTCAACTGATTCTCTAAACCCGCTAGTTGAGAAATCTGACTTACCAATCTTTCTGAGAGAGATCTTTTTTTGCACGGTACTATGCTATCGCAATTGACAGAATCTCATTTATCGTTTTTTAGGGGGGTATAAGTTTTAGCTTTAGACAAAAAAAGGTCTAGATAATATTATAAGAGCAAAAGGAATATTAAGAAAGGGCTACATGATATTATGAGAATTACAGGATTTTAACTTAGCAGAAAGATGAACAGAAATAATGGTTAAATGTATATAAAAAATGGCACCTACTTCTCTCCTGAACCACATTTGTTCTTGTGATAAATCCGATACATCAATCTCTGTTGGTGCTGCTGAATTTGTGTCCATTGTCATTGTTGATAGCATTTTCCCTCCTCCCATGCTGGAAGGAACTTGCTTCCAACCCATCTTAAACATGCTTTTACCCTGCTTAGTCAGCTTATACCCCTTATGTAGGCACAAGAAACAGCCACAAATAACAACATTTCAGTTTATACACACAGCAGCAATGACTGGTAATCTTATGATAAAAAATGTGTCCAGCCCACAGTCCACATTAGAATGAAGCAAATGCAACACAAGGACAGATGTGAAATGAGTATAACTGGTAATCTTATGATAAAGAATGTGTCCAGCCCACAGTCCACATTAAGAATGAAGCAAATGCAACACAAGGACAGATGTGAAATGAGTATAACAGAATGAAGCAAATGCAACACAAGGACAGATGTGAAATGAGTATAACTGGTAATCTTATGATAAAGAATGTGTCCAGCCCACAGTCCACATTAAGAATGAAGCAAATGCAACACAAGGACAGATGTGAAATGAGTATAACTGGTAATCTTATGATAAAGAATGTGTCCAGCCCACAGTCCACATTAAGAATGAAGCAAATGCAACACAAGGACAGATGTGAAATGAGTATAACTGGTAATCTTATGATAAAGAATGTGTCCAGCCCACAGTCCACATTAAGAATGAAGCAAATGCAACACAAGGACAGATGTGAAATGAGTATAACATCAGCCTCTCATATAACTCCTCATACTAACTCCTGTTTTTCTTAGAACCTCATAAAATGATAATATTAATCAGAAGAAAATCAACAGGCAGGCAAACATATTTCCGCTGAAAAACAAGAAATACATGCATCAAAAGATATGTGCATTGGCACCTCCAAGCATATCTAAGGTTTAACACAGACAATACCCTTGTCAGAACCAAAAGAACCTTGCAACAAAAAGTTTGTCATTTTAATCACCTGCAGGAAGGATACACTAACATTGGAAATGAAATGGAGATGCATCTGAAACCAAATGTCAATGCCAGAATGTTGTCTTGGTTTTACATGCAACATTTTATTGTAAGTTTACCTTATGATTAGCAATATTTGTTGGCAGGTCTATGTTCAGAAAACATCCTGAGGGATAAGTTCCGTTCCTGATCTCAACAAGTATTGCACTTATGATTGGTACACAAGCCTCAGCAGCGAGTGTGAAGTCCTGAATAGTGCTTTTACTCCCAACCCTATGGATCATAGAGGAGAACAAATTACTACTTTGACATCTTAAGAGAGCATTAAGAAAAAAACTACTGATGTTTAATTGTAGAAAGGTTAATAAGAACAGGATCCTTTTTCTGATCTTGACATATGAATTCAGAAATACGTATGCATACCAATCATATGAGATTGAGACAGAAGGTACATCATTAAAGAAGGCCTCCCGAGCACCAGCAACTGTGCCAGAGTAAACACTGCAATTTTATTGAGGGTCTTGTAAGCATAAACCACTGGAAGATAACTAAAACTAAATTACATTAATGACAAGTTAATTAGAAGCCATAGTGGTTGAAGGGACACTTTCTTTTTTAATCATAATGTTAGGGGATGCTTCCTTTCCTCTGAAATTAATTCTGGTTCTCTTTTCTTAAACAAAATCAAATTTTGAGAAAGAAGGGAGGAGAAACAAGAAGACTACACTGAGGAAATGGAATTATGTAGCTGAAAGTTTTAGGATAACAGGAAAAGCATAGATGTAGAATAATACTAACATGTGATACCCGCAGTTGCTCCCCATGTTTATACCACTGATTACCTGCATGAAGAAATAGGAAATAGTAGCACCTTCATATACCTTTGCTTGTTGACTAACATAACCTAAATGGAAACAAGGACATAAGCTAGCATTTCATCTAGGATAGAATGGTTGTCCAATAGAGTGGCCAGAAGATGGAGATATTTAGATTAGCGAGTTATATTGCCTTGTCTATGTCAACTGCAACTTCTAAAACATCAACGTGAAATAATAAAAGCCATTTTATAGGACCTAAGTATAAAAGAATGAGAACTATATATGCTGAAATGGGAAAAAGGAGTTAAGATCTTAAATCCACTCTAACAGCAAGTCAATTCACACTTCCAGAGCTACAGAGTAAAAGGGACAGCTACCAGATCAGGAATTAAAGGAAAGAGAGCTTCGGAGATCCCTAAAGAAGAACAATCGGCCGGAGTTCCTGCAAATTACATGTAAAAGTTCATTTTTTCTTGAAAAATTACTTATGATGAACCTATGGACAAAGATTAGTGATAAAATTTGGAGGTGATGATTGCATTCTCAAGGCATTGATCATCCATCTTATTTCATAACTTCCTTTTTATTTTATAACTTGCATTTTTGCCAGCAAACAGTAATGAACTAGATCAAAGGAAGACATGATAGAAATACACATATGGAATTGGAATTCACCATAATAATAAATAAAGACAATCATTCAAAGATCTCTAGATAGATGTATACTTGGCTACCCATTCTAAAAGCTTATTCCACTGAATAAATAACTTGCTACATGATATAAAATATGAGGAACTCTTTTATATGTATATTCTTGTGAGTTCAAAATCAGTCACAACAAAAAAATTATTGCATGCCGAAGAACGACAGTAGAGAATTGGAAATCAGATTATACCAATTGGTAGTCTACAACAGTAAACTTCCTAAAGCAAATTCCCGATCTCCACAGTTGACACGCGTTTAAATTCTGATACTCAAATGAAATTTTTACCAAGATAAGGTACGTGTGCATAGATATGAGAAAACAGACCAGAAACTGCAAAGGCTGTTGCTCCTTCAATATTCACTCGCCGAGCAGAAATAGGATGCCGCCAAGTAATGCAATGGCTGGCGGCCGATTTTTCCCTGAAAATTTTATACGATAACAGCAGAACAGTGATCAGTCATTCGAAATAGCAAACTCAGGAAATTAATGCAATTAAATTCGTAAAAATAATTTACGAAATCTCGAACAGATATATCAAAGGTATCAATCGTATTTACTAAGAATACTAATAATTCGAGCAACCTTAGCTTAAATTTCTAATATTAAGCTAAAATTAAGCGTACATGTAAGTCTATGAGGATAACTAGATAGAAAACATACGAATCAGGCGCGCAAACTAGGACATTGAAACGATGAGTAGAGACCAGAACGCGAACTAGAGATTGGAGTCCTGGTGCATCAATACCGTCGTCGTTTGTGATCATAATCGTTGGCTTCTGATCGGAGCTGAAAACGGTAGTGTTTTCCATTTCTTTGAACGAAAGTGATGAGCTAAGTGAGATGTACAGAAAGGTGGACTAAATAGAATAGAAAAGAGACCGTGAAAGGTACTAATAAGAATCAAATCAATCCAGCTGATTCAAGATTAAAGAGCGTACAATTGCATCTGTTCTCAGCCAATTATGGGGCTGCCTGTCGTCTGGTGGTGGGGAAATATTCCTTGTCAAATTGGAAAACACGAATACCACTCTGTTTATTTGGTTTTCTTGTTCTCGTCTAGCGTGTCAAATCTTCGCTGTTATGATCTGCGAAAGGTTTTTATTTTTTTTATTATGTGCATTATAATGAATATATTAATTCATTTTCTTGAACTAAACAAAATCTAGATGGGCTGAGATCACACAAAGCTGCTGATTGGTATCCATTGGGCTTGCCCTATGAATTGGGCTTCTGTTCTTTAGCAGCCCTTTTAATTCTTTGGGCTGAATTATGTTCTGCATTGTGGTCTGTGCTCTCTACAATAACTTTTGTATGTATTTTCCTTTTGTTTTGTAAGAGGAAAAAACTTGCTGCATAGTTTATTATTATGAATAAGATATTAATGAGTAATAATGAATTTAATTTAATCAATGTTTTGTTATTAATAACTAACAGTAAGCTAAAGTATAAATAATAAAGATATTTACATAATCTGACTATAAACATTTAATTAAATTCAATAACTGCAAAAACAAACTTGAAATTGCCTAATTTCTTTCTTCTTTTTCTGAAGTACTTATATACGGTCCATACGTATATGAATATTGATTAAATACGAGTTTTAACTCTTTTTTTTCGCTTCAAAAAATAAACTCTTTTTTTTAAAAAAAAAAAAAATTTAAATCTAATGATGTGATCCTTCTAGTAGACTGCATGCACCTTGACATGTTTCAGTCAAAGTTTATCCTCTAAGATCGAGATTTGCCATGATAATGTTTGTAATTAACCTTAAAGACATGATAATTGTCAGGACACACATGTATATGCTCTTTCTATATAAACTAATACTCCAAAATCACGGATTCACATGAACTAAACTTATAAATTAAGAGAATAATAAAATGACAAGCAAACAAATTTAAGCATGTTAAATAATTTTTAACTTCTTAAAATGTAATGATTGTATTATAAAAACAACAAATATAATCTAATTGGTGTTTTCATTGATATAAGGAGGGAAGAATTCCAGTCTTTTAATTGAAAATTTAGGTTTAACACATAATTTAGTATTTGATTTTTGGCAATGTTATATGGTTAGTGTCCAAATCCAATAATTTAAAACCAGTATCCTACAAAAGACCCATAAAAATAAATGGAGACGGATAGCTCCAAAAACACACCTCAAAGACTCAACCAATCCATTTAGATTTCAACGAATAATTAAAATTAAAATCCATGCATGAGGATGACCGGGAGAAAATTAATTAATGTAGTCATATTATAGCTACTAAACCAAACCAGACTGGTTGAATGCATGCCCTGATTTAGGGGCAGACTGCTGACATATATAGTGCATTTGTCTCTTAGCCTTGCACCCACTAAAGGCAAAACAAACAAATTGATAATTCGTGTCGATTATTTCTAGTCGCAGACCTGAACCAGACGTACTTAACAATAACTCAATAAGAGACTTCCCTTCCCATTCCATTTATAGGACAGCCAGGATTTTAGTGACCCTTGAACCCTAACACCCCAACCGTCATTAATGCTTCCAATTCATTCAGTCCCTTCCTTGTTTTTGGATAATATTAGCTCCTTCCTCCTCTAAGATTTATGAGTTGTTTAAAGTTTGAATCTTTTAAGTTAATATGTTGAATTCTCTGAGAAATAAAATCGTACGTGTTAATCAAAAACATACTTATAAAAAAAATTTTAATTTAATTTTTTAGACGTAATTATTGAGGAACATTAGAAATAAATAAGAGAATTTAACTATTTCCCAAATTTATAAACTTGAGGACCAGAGCAGAACCACAACTATTTCCTTCAAATTTCCTGTCCTTATCTAAAGTTTCAAAATACTAATAACCACAAAGAGTTTAAACAATTGAAGAACATCTACTATTACACGCTTCTACAATGACACTACAATATATGTCTATAATACTGCCCAAATGATTTACCAAATTTGGGGTCTCCTCCTTCCTATCACCTTGGGTGACGATATCTATAAACCTACCATACACGTAGTTTCTTCCTTGTTTTTTTATAAAAAAAGATGTTTACCAGAGCATGGAGAATCTCACAGTAACAAGGAAGGAAGAAGAAACATTCTTGAAAGAAATAATAAAAGAAAGAAATACAGAAGGAGCCAATTATTAATTAGATATTAAAAAGAGTAATATAAGATTTTCACGGAGCAAAAAAAAAAAGAAATTTTTTTCCTGATGAGATAAGAAAATCCTAAGAAGCTTTTAGTATTAAATCTTGGTTGGTCCATGCAGTGCAGGCAAAACCAGAGGAGAGAGAAAGTACATATGTGTTGGTTTTGAGTTTACAGCTCGTGGAAAGAGAGAGTGAAAAAGAGAGGCTGTTTTTGTCAGGTTTGGCCTTTAGGTGGGTGCTTGTGATATCTTTGCCTCGTTGTCTCTGAGTAGTTGGCCATTAACTTGTCCTTTTGATGGACTCACCAAGGAGGGTACCTCTTTTTTCTTTCCTGGTTTAATAAATTTGCTTCACAAAAAAGAAATAATTTCTTTTTTTTTTTTCCCTCTATTAATATTGTGCAGCTCACCTATTCTTCTTTTCTTCTTTCTTCACTCTTTCTTTCATCTGTAGGAACATTTTAGCAAATAAAGGATAGAAATTGACAAGGAATGAATGCTCATGCAAGCGTTGATTCAGATTCTTATGAGATTGTTGAAGTTGATCCTACGGGGAGATATGGAAGAGTAAATTACTTATCCTTTCTCTTGAAAATTCTTTTGGTCGCTCATTTCCTTCTTTCATTATTTATGAATAAATTTGAACTTGGTTTTTGATTTTTTTTTTTCAATTTTTCTGCTAATTTGTTGCAGTACAATGAAATTCTAGGCAAAGGAGCTTCAAAGACAGTGTATGGATTCCTTTTTTACTCACTTTTTTTTTTTTTTTTTTATGAAATTCTAGGCAAAGGAGCTTCCAAAAGACAGTGTATGGATTCCCTTTTTTACTCACTTTTTTTTTTTTTTTTGTAAATCCTTCTCTAATTTTCTGTCAATTATGAACTAATCTCTTGTGAATTTCTCCTGAATCTCTTTGAATGTGGTGTATTTGTTTATTATGGCAAGTTTTAATAAGCCTTTGGAATGAAAGGTAACGAAAGGGGAAAAATTGGAGGTAAAAGCCTATGGAAATCAGGTGGAAGCTTTTAATGAATTTCCCTTCGCAGCCCTGAAGGTCTTGAAAGGCTTCTACTGTGAAATTCAACCTACTCAAGACCTTAAAACATGAAATAATTCATTGAAAAATTTCTACAACTTTTCTCCTTGGGTTTGATTGCCAGCTTTAACAGAAAAACCAATCCAAACTTTGTCCCCACTGGACGATGTTTCACTCTTTTGGTTACCTCTCAGACAGTAGCATTAAAGTAACAAAATTTTAAACTTTTTTTTTTTTTTTTTTGTAAATCCTTCTCTATTTTCTGTCAATTATGAACTTCTCTTGTGAATTTCCTCCTGAATTCTTTGAATGTGGTGTATTTGTTATTATGGCAGTTATAAAGCCTTTGATGAGTACGAAGGAATTGAGGTAGCTTGGAATCAGGTGAAGCTTTATGATTTCCTTCGCAGCCCTGAGGATCTTGAAAGGCTCTACTGTGAAATTCACCTACTCAAGACCTTAAAACATGAAAATATCATGAAATTCTACACTTCTTGGGTTGATGCAGCTAACAGAAACATCAACTTTGTCACTGAGATGTTCACCTCTGGTACTCTCAGACAGTAAGCATTAGTACAATTTTAAAAAGCTTCAGTCTTTCTTTCTCTTTCGTTGGTTTGGTCATCTGGGTCATTGAATTTCAATTTTCAAAGTCGGTGAATTTCATTTTTCTTATGAAAGAATTCTATCTGTAGGTATAGGCTAAAACACAGGAGAGTAAATATTAGAGCTGTGAAGCATTGGTGTAGGCAGATATTGAAAGGGCTTCTCTATCTCCATAGCCATAATCCCCCTGTAATCCACAGAGATCTCAAGTGTGATAACATTTTTGTTAACGGCAACCAAGGAGAAGTGAAAATTGGTGATCTTGGCCTTGCTGCAATACTTAAGAAATCTTACGCTGCTCGTTGTGTTGGTAATTGCTTGAAAATACTATCATATCTTATTAATTATTTTATTAAAATTGATATTTTTCTCATTCTTTAAAATGATTCTGATTGATCTTCTTTCTGAGAATGCTATACTGAATCAGAAAGTGCAGCCTTTTCAAGTTTCAATAGGACTGAATATGTATTTTTGACACTTTTCTTGTTCTTCCTTTTATTTTACTCAGGAACGCCAGAGTTCATGGCTCCAGAGGTATATGAAGAGGAATACAATGAATTAGTTGACATATATTCTTTTGGGATGTGTGTATTGGAAATGGTCACCTTTGAATATCCATATAGTGAATGCAACCACCCTGCTCAGATATACAAGAAAGTTATATCAGTGAGAACTAAAATCTCTTACCTCCATATTTTTTGTCATATTGAATTATTTCTTAAGGAACCCTTTTTACAAAATTGAAATTTGGATATAGGGGAAAAAACCAGATGCTTTATACAAAGTCAAGGATCCTGAGGTGCGCCAATTTGTTGAGAAATGCCTAGCAACTGTTTCCAATAGACTTTCTGCCAGGGAGCTCTTGGAGGACCCATTTCTTCAATTTGATGATTATGGATCTAATGCAAGGCCATTAGAGTACTCAGGAGATACAAATGAAATGGGTGCTTCAGTAAGACAACCTTTCTATGGAATTAATCACACTAACCGCTCTTTAATTAATGGTTATACACACTATTATGGTTCTCAAAATGAACTAGAATATCATCAAATTGAGTTAGAACCAAGCGAAATTGATCTATTCTCTTGTCAAGAAGATGAACATTTGCATGGTGTTGATATAACAATCAAAGGCAGGAGGAGAGAGGATAATGGCATTTTCTTGAGGCTTAGAATTGCAGACAAAGAAGGTTGGCAAAGTTCCAAACTTCTACTCCATTATTGTGCTTTATTGTAATCGAGTTCATAATCCAGCTAATAAGTCATATCAAGAACTTGATTCCTCTATGCAGGTCGCATTCGGAACATCTACTTCCCGTTTGACATTGAGAATGACACTGCTCTTAGTGTTGCGGCTGAAATGGTTTCTGAGCTTGGCATTACTGATCAAGATGTGTATAAGATAGCAGATATGATTGATGGTGAAATTGCAACCTTGGTACCTGAATGGAACAGGGGACAAGAGAAAGAGGAAAGTGCAAATAGCAGAAATGCAACTTTCTGTCACAATTGTGGATCACACAGCTACCTATTGGATTATGTGTCATCATATAGTCCAGGTGCCAATAACTTGCAAGTTATTCAGTGTTCTAGGCAGGGATGTGCTAATTCACATGGTCGATTTGAGGAAATCACATACCAAGTTGATGGACCAGGAAAATGTTCCAGTACAGACTGTGCACCAGTTGGATCTAGCCAATCCAATGGCATGAGCTATACAGATATCTGGGCTCAACGAGACGCACCAGAATTAAGTTCACAAGGATCAAGGGAGATTCAGTGTGACGTGGGACACAATGCAGTCGAACAATCAACTGTTGAGAAGGAAGAGACAATCATAAACATGGATAGTATTTGGGAATCAAATACTAGAAATTGTGTTTCTTCAAGCCCTTCAGCAGCATGTAATCACTGGGATGATTATGAGAATGAAATTAGGCAAGAACTAAGATGGCTTAAAGCTAAATATCAGATGCAATTAAGGGAGCTTAAAGATCAACAGTTGAATGTTAAATCAAAATTGTCGAGCCTAGATCATCAAATGGATCACAACGAAAATAATGGTATTCCTTTGCCTTCAATTTTGCCTAAGGTGAGGAGAGATAAATATAAACCTTCTCTGAATTCTGTTCCTTCTGGCAAGCATCTTATCTCAGAGTTAGCTATTGATGCTGAGAAGAGATATGCCAATTCAGAATATCAACTGATCCAAAACTTTGAGGCAAACAGCAACGCATATAGTCCTGAACAAATGATTACTGCTAAGAGTTTCTACACGGGAGATTTGCTTCCAAATTCTCTTCACAGGGCAACTTCTCTTCCGGTCGATCCTCTAGATGTTTAGATACTGCATAGTAACTACTCACTTCACCAAGTGTGCACTATAACTTACTCCTGATCATCAATAGGATGCAAAAAAAGAGGCAATGAAATTAGCTGTACAAGAAGAGACGTAGTTTTTACAACTTTTTACAGTTTTTGTTTGCATGTGGGATAAGTTCACTTGGGCATACATCCAATGTACATTATAAATCAACATCCAACTGAACATGTTTCTTTCCTCAAATTCTGCATCTTTAAATTTGTAAATTGCTAATGCCCATCATGAACTTTTTATATCCCAATCCTAGCTGGCCAGCAGATTCAAGTTCATGTCAATCTGTGTGTTATGGCTGTATTCTCCTCTTTTTACACTGTAAAAGCTCTAATGCCACTAAAGTTCTGCAAGATAAGGGACCGTTAGAGAACCAAGAAAAGTTTAACAGTATCCTAATGCAGACGTCCCATTCATGTGCTCTCCAATTTTACAAATAGAATTTTCTGAAGCACTAGTATTTAATGAAAATTGCTGTTCTGGGTAGTTTCAAATAATAGCAATAGTAGAATGGTCCCATGTCTTTTGTGGCTCAACAAGTATGTATCATAAACCTAACAGCCAAGCCATGTGAGTTTCCTGCACACTAAAGTTGACAACTTGAACTAGATATTTGAATTTTGAAGGGTATGTGGGTGATGCAAGAAATGACATTATAATGTTTGCCTACCATATGCTATAACTGCGGCCTTCAAGAAAACTTGTGGGCTGCCTACTAATGGAGGGATTCATTGACAGCCAAGGCAAGGAATATGCCAAAATGCTTTATCTTGCAAAGGGAAAGGCATGAAGAGGGACAAGGTTACCATTATAAAAAAACTAATTCCAACTTGTAATAAAGCCAATCGATGGTAGTTTAATGTGTGAGGGGTTAATTAATGGAAAATAGAGGATAGCATTGAATTTGAATGGTGGATATGTTACAGAGAGGGGGAGTGTTTCTTGGACTCTTGCATGCTTCTTTTTTTCATCGACGCCTTTAATTATTCATTTATGTCGCATAACTTAGATTATGAATTTACTCACTTTTGGGAACTTTAAGTCTATTCTATATCGTGGTTGCTAACTAAACATTAGGAAAAAAGTTGGGTCATAAAGAAGAAACCTAACACGTAGAGATTCTTTAATTACTCCTGTTTGCTACCTTTTTTCAAAGTCTCCTTACAAGCCAGCCAGACTTCCATGTTGAATTTATTACCTGAAAGCTATGGCCCAAAAGACAAAAAAATAAAGCAAATCGTACAAACAGCACTGCATACTCACTTTTGCGTAACTGTATTGAATCTGTCTGCTCCAAAACCCCAACTCCCCAACTTCGAAGATTAATTAAGCTAACTTTCATGGCTGAAATGATAGACTTAATTAATATGCACAGAAAAAGCACATGGTCTTGCATTACAATTCGTGTCCAAGTGATTGGACAATGAAGCAATGTTTTCAACTTATGAGATGAATGATTAAACATCTAAAAGAAAGCAGAATCATACTCATATTCCATTAGAAATCCAAGTGTATTATTGTCCTTAGCCTTTGCTCCTTCCTATAGTTTCTTTATCTATTGGTTGTCCTTTTCTTGGCAACCTAATTATCTAGTCATAAAACTATTCCAACCTAATTACCCAAAACACTTATTGAACGAAATGTAGAACTCTTGTTCATACTGGAGGAGAGATAAGAATGTAACAGGATTAAAGAAAAACCCAGATAGTATTTTGTTGATACAATCCACACTAATTTCTTATTTTAAGAAAAAAACTAAAATCATCAGTAAATCTTGGCTTATAATTAAAATTGATTAGGGGTTTCTGTTTCTCCCATTCTTCCTTTGAGAGCTGATTAAATCGCTCAATGACATAGTTAAACATAGTTATTATCTTCAAGTATTCTTAAATATAATTTACAGATGTATAATTTGGTTTAGAACCTGATTATTGAATCTATTAACTCTTTTTGGAATTATATTTATATATTTACATAGAGAGAAATCAACAGCAGGCAGCAATTTGAGTCAATCCTATAGATTAGAGTTGTAATATAATGAAAATATCTTCCCCTTTTCCCGGTCGAACAGACACCATTATAGGAGAATCAAATAGGTCTCAGAAGTGGGTAATTTTCAAGCAATTCATCCTCTGACAAAGTATCATTCTCATCCTGAGGAGTCCAAAGCACCTCTACAGCCTGTAGGAAAAAAATAATGAATATATTAGATATAGCATATAAATTAGTAGCTGGAAGTGAGCTTTAAAGATTTTTATCGCCACCAGAAGGTTGCTCAAACCACTGTTCAACGATCGCAAGGCATCTTTCATGTCATCAGTGCTTCTGATGGGAGGAACTCTGTATGAACCTGCAGCTGCTACCAAGACCGTCACCTGTAAATAACTACCAGAAATCAGGACGAAGGTAAAGAAAATTTTGATTCAGTAGATATTTGCTAACGTGTTTCTTTATAAGTTTAGCCATTATTTCAAGAAAGACAATATTCATCTCTAAGTTTATAAATTATTTAAGTAAGGAGCAACTAAAGCAAGTTCAGTGCTTGAACCAGCAACACGCAACATTTTGAATGAATATGTAGAAGTAAAATCAAGCAAACAAATATAAAGACAAGGAGAATTATGTCTTTAATAATTGTTTTACTGTGAAAAATATTCCTTTTGCAATTTATATAGGTGCAAGCATGATTATAATGTTTATAAAATTTAGATCTTAAAAACCTCGAATGCTGATATCAATCAAGAATCTTGAAGACCCTAAAATCAGAACGGTAGCTAATATCTATTTAAAGCTCCATGCATGCGCTGTTGCAGGAAAGTACAAAACAACAGAGGACGATCAAAAGTTCCAGATGGATATGTTTGACAATAATGAAGAGGACGATGCACATAATTATCTGAAAGATGTACTATCACCAGTGATGTCTAAATGACAGAGTAGACGACTTTACCACAATGTAATCTTTGTCAAATTTGTTAGCTTTAGGAGTAACTGTTCTTTTCCACTTGATATTGTTGACATTAACCAGAGTCTCTCTCTCAGTTTTCTCTCTTTCTTCACCAGAGAGTTCTCTAAAGCTCTTTTCCACACTATCATCACCCCAATACTGATTCACCTGTGATAAACATTGTGAGCACATTAAATTGTTATCTTATTTTATGGTATCATCACATATATAGGGAGATGAGTTCACATAATCAGTTGCAAGGAGCAAAATGTTCCTTCTCACAAGTTGCAAATTTTAAGTTTCGGTGTAGAAAAACTACATGCGAGAAGGAAGTTGAAAGCTGCAGCTCCTTTTCACTACTTAAAATAAGTCATTCATTTCTCTAGCCAACATTTAAAGACTGGAAAATTTACATCATAAATTTAGTTGATAAGTTCAAAAATGAAAAAATCTAATGGCTATAAGACAACTAATCCATCAAATTTTCAACTATAAGAGAAAATGTAGTTTATTTATCAAAGAAGATGAATTTGACTTACAGATGAGTAACCAGAGATAAAGTATTTTGGATGTCGAAGCAGAGCTGATGTGGTTTCTACATCCACAATGAAAAGGAGAAGTCATCACATTGATTAACAATAATAAATGAACTGTATCTTTCACTTGTTGATTAGATAGTAAATAACTTTGATAATTCAAATCATAGTAATGCCAGAATTTCCTAAATAACCGACCTATAAGTATGAGCTGCCATCCCTTTGGTGAAGAAGTATCTGTAGTTTCAGCAATTTCATTGAGCTCTTTCAGAAGTGAACGAGCCTTCCCTCTTAACCCAACCTGCACAAAGGGGATAAACTGAAGTCAGCTGTTGGAAAAAGAACTGATATAGATCAAGTTCTCCATCTTGATAGGTTCTATAGAAACACTCCTCATTTCAATAAAATAAGAACAAGGATCGTGAAATTCATCAAGGAAAATAAGAAGAGGACCTGGGATTAGAATAGGCCTTAGGTTTGAACCAAAATGAAGGGGAAGAAAGGCATTAAGGAGTGGAAAAGAAGAGGAATCAAGAAGCACATGTTTAAAATACAATTTGTGGATCAACTAGATACTCAAATAGAGCTAGGAATATCACAAATATCAGAACAATTAGAATGATTCTTCTACAACTAAAATGACGTCAATAAAAACATGTATTATAAATTTATAAAAATAACTTTATTCTCTAAACTACAAATATAACCAACAATGTTTCGATATTACTGCCCGGTTCCTAAACCTACAAAATCGTAAAGGACCTCATATTAGTACAGGAAGCCCAAAGAAGAAGACCCACCCAACAAAAGGACAAAGCACAAGTTGAGATAAAGATAGCAAAAGTCAAGTAATTACGGAAGACTTGACGGTTGTATTTAGATTTGAAAGCCATTGTTGCATGTGTATGCTGTCTTTTAGCTTTCAAGATTGTAAGTAGTAAGCAAATTTTGTTTCATGATTGTTACCATGACAGAACTAATAGGAGTTGGACCTCAAATACATGATCATTCATCTAATTGTCTTTCAGTCCAGCCTAACTGGACAGTTAACATAATATACCTCCTTTTGTATGGGCTTAGCATGTTATCAAATAGAAAGACCAGTAATAAAAAATGCTCAAAAGTAACATTAATGGAGAAACAAATAACAATCTCTACTCGATCCATCAGTTAATGAATTAAAGAATGTGAGCATACCTGAACCATTAGAACACTGCCTTTACTCTGTCTCTGCAAATATTCAAAATAGAAAACCAATACAACTCCTACCAAAGAAACTGTCACAATAACGACATCCCATCTTGAAAAACCACCATTGTCACTTGCCGAACTCCTCATCTCTTTCCAAAAGCAACTACTTCCATGGTGATACTGACGATGGTAATAATTATTGTGATAATGGCTATTGGCGTGATTTGGTGGTGAAAAATGAGAAGATGATGAACCTGATGAGCCTAATGACCGCTTAGAGAATGAACCGCCACCCATTCTCCCTCCTGAAGCAGCAAAAGCTATACATAAAATGAGGGATAGTGATAAAAACAGAGTAATTACATGGATTAATGGTCTTGTTGGCGCCATCTTCAACGCCATTTTTTGTTTGCAGTCTGCTCTATGCTTGTGCGAAAGGTAGCCGGACGGATTATGTGGGACGGAAACTTAACGCAGTGGGTTTCCGTGTTTCTCTTCTCAGAGTTTCCTCGGGCCTTTCTAGGAACCTACGTACCTAACGGATTTAAACGGTCAATCAGTTGGTCAAATCTTGACCGCTAATGGGATAACGTGGACAACAGTGGTTGATGTGGCAGCACATGCCTCTGACGACAATATGACAGGGCCATTTTGTGAGGATGTGGCATCAATGGAATGATGTGTCAATCATGATATGGCAATATCAGGTGATGTGGCAGAAAATAATGTGGCTGCTAATTATGACGTGTATTATCTTGCTGACGTGGCTATTCCAGAGTAATAGCCACGATAACCTTCAAAACCAAACAGGGCCGAATTATTTCAGAGTCACATAAAACCCTAGGTCCCAAGCAGCTCCTCGTTTGCCAAATTCTTAGAAGCACGATCTCCGAACGGCGCCAAGGAGCAAAACTAGTTGCAGCAAATAAGCCCAAGTAAGCCACTAAATCCTCAGTACTTCGCTGCGAAATCGAGTCGTTGCATAGATATACAGGCATTGGTTTTAACACCGAGTTGTGTTTATTCAAGCAGAACCATGGCAGACAAAGCTGTGACGATTAGAACAAGGAAGTTTATGACTAACAGGCTCCTTTCAAGGAAGCAGTTCGTAAGTTCTATATTTATAGTTTTTTTTTTCTTTTTAGGCATAGAGCAGGCTTGTCTGGCTTCTGAGATTCTAAACGAGATTTTAATTTTGAAACAGGTGATTGATGTTCTGCATCCTGGGAGGGCCAATGTCTCTAAGGTATATATGACTGTTTTATGAGGTAATTCCTTGTCTTGAGATTATATTTTTTTTGGCTTTCTCATCTTATATTGGCATTCTATGAAGGCTGAGCTGAAGGAGAAGTTGGCAAGTTTATATGAAGTGAAAGACTCAAATACAATTTTTGTATTCAAGTTCCGTACACATTTTGGAGGTGGAAAGTCAACTGGCTTTGGACTGATATATGATTCTGTGGACAATGCTAAGAAGTATGAGCCAAAATACAGGCTGATCAGAGTAAGTTCCTAGACACATCCTTGATACTGCTGTGTGTTTCTTTATATTTGCCTATCTCATGTATTTGTTGGCAGTGCATTTATATTATATTGTTGGATGTATAGTATTTGCTCATCGGAGAATTTCTTAGAGATGATTATGTTACAGATTTCAAACTTGACTGCATTAGTATTCTGCAGTGAAGGTTTATTATTTTGGTAGCATTCATATGCTGTTTAGTTTTTATCCATGTTTAATATTTGGGAAGAATAGTCAAAAAATATATTTGGGAAGTAATTTCTTTAAGGAAAAAATGAAGAATTGAGAGGCCAATGTGCATACTTTTTATTGATTGATGCCACTGTGCTTGAGGAATTAGAATATTTAAATGTGTTAGTGAATACTAAATCCTGGGTTATGGCTCTGCCAAAGTTTTTGAAGGGTTATTCGAATGTTGTCATTTTTCTTTTAATTCAAGTTATCACTTGGCCAAGAATTCATTTTGATTATCCTTGAGTCATTTTGCTGGGTTCCTAGTTATTTTGGTCTCTTGGTTTGTAGCAGCTTGAAACATGATTATTTAGATGAATAAAAAAACTTTCCATCCATATAAATCAGTAACTACAAATATTGGAGCTTTATTGAAAAATAAATTATAGAACAAAATTCAACCAAGAAAAATATGCTCAGAACTTCCTTGCCTACTTTATAAGCAACTGCTTAAAATATTGGAGTCGTTATATGATCTAAGCTGGTCGAATCAGCACACTGTCTTAATTTAGAACTGAAGCTTCTTGGATCTTATCACTAAAGCAAATAGTTGCCGTCTATATGATGCGATTATAAGTGGCAAGTGGCAAGCAATTTTCTGAGCCACCATGTTAAGGCCCTTAACTTTCAATTTCTTGGTCAACAAATTTAGCTCAGAGTCTCCGAGCCAAATAAGGCTAAGGTTTTTAAGTTAATATTTCCCTTACATAGTTTTTCATAAAAAAGTGTCCCTATTGGACATGGATCTCTGCAGAAAGTGTAATTAGGATACTGGTATAGAATTGCAGTTGAAGGAAGTGAGACAGCTAAAGGAGTCTTCTGTATGAGATCCATTTTGTGCTTCTGGAATCATCATCTAATAGGAATTTTATGCACATATTTGACGCATCGTTATTTTCCTTGGCAATGAAAGATATATTGATATTCTGTGATGTTCATGAATTGGCAAACTTCTGTATGACAGATGTTGCTGAAAGAACCTTAAATTCCTAGACTGGTCTTCATGAAAAATAAAATTACACCTCTTCCAATTAATTTGACCATGATTGGCATTTTGCTTCTCTGGTTTTCTTGTCCCTTGTGTGTGCTCAGGATGCACAGTCGCCTCAGTTTCCTCGTATTGTGTTTTGTATCAACTTATTGTTCATTTTGATGGCAGAATGGACTGGACACCAAGGTAGAAAAATCAAGAAAACAAATGAAGGAAAGGAAGAACAGGTCCAAGAAAGTCCGAGGTGTAAAGAAGGTAACAAACAAGTTCTCTTTAAGTTCCATTCTTATTCTCATAACATTTTTAGGCATCACATCCAAATTAATGATGTTTCTTCATGTACAGACTAAGGCTGGAGATGCTGCAAAGAAGAAGTGAGATCTGAATAATAGGGAGCTCATCTTTTGTCCTAGTACACTTGGGTCCTTAGCCTTTTCCACCCTCTCTTTTTGTATTTTTAGCGCTGTCAAGCATTTAATGAGGTTTCTAGATATTTCAGTTTGAGATACTTTTACGCCATGCATGTTTTCCAACGGATGTTATTTGTTACTATTGAGTTATGATAGACCAAGTAATTGCAACTATATTTTGTGTTCTCCTGCCAAAGCTGTGGCATGATGCAGGGAAGGGATTGGTTGTGCAATCCAATCTGCCTTCCCTGTCAAACTCGAAATTATTTTCAATCTTATGATCAAACATTCTGGTTTAGTTGGTAGCTATTAGAGGATTACAATTTGTGGCGTATGTGCAGTTTTAAATTTTTAGATGGTCTACCATCTTTGCACAAGGACTTTCTGGTTTCATGAATGTGAACTCTAGCAAGCTGCTTTAGAATTCCAGATACCAGTGTGTGAATCTAGACGTAAATTCATATAGACCATAGGATGTCGATGACATTGCTTTCAGTTGACTTCTATGGAGGATGGTAGATGGTACCTAACTGCACTATTAACACATGTATCTCTTGATTTTGCATGGTCATTTGATTTCATTGATGGAAGTACGAGCTTGAATTTAGGAAATAGAAGTTAAACCGTTAAAATTAAGCCGGACCGAAGAAAATTAACTATTAAAGTTAAGCTGGGGCAAAGAAAACAGAAGCAAATAGAGGCTCCTTATTTGGAAAATATTTTACAGATTTTCTGATTTTTAATGTGCTCAACAAACAATATTTTTCGAAACAAAGAAAAATGTACATTATTAGGAAAAGTCATATGAGGAGGAAAATGTTTTTAAGATATTGATTTTCTATAGTCACTGTTATCAATTACAACTAATCACTAACTATTATGGCCATTACTATTATCAGTTAGAGCTAATCACTACCTATTATGGCTATTATCACTAATTACTTGCCATTGCTGGTAACTATCACTGGTCATCAGCGATTACTATAATTTATTATTTTTATATATATATATATTTTCTCGTATCTAATAGTCAATTTTTAACAAACAACCAAATATTGAGCTAGAAAGTGAATTGGAAGGAAGTCATAAATATTAGGGCCAAATCAATCTGGTTGTGTGAATTTGTTCAATTGCTGCCATTATATTTTATTCATGCAAAATATCAGATTAATTGCAAAATTTTCTTATCTTAATTTAGCAAACGTGATAATTGATCCAAAAAATTTAAAATAAAACTAAATTGAAATTAAAGTAATGCTACAGTAATTACATTTTATGTTCGTAATAATCATGATTCTTAATATATAAAAGATAGTATTAAAAACTTAACTATTTCTTTCTCTTTCACGATTACAATTTTGCAAATGACTGTGGATTTATATCCCAATCTAAATGTCAATTTTGAAGTGACCCAAGACGCTCAACTTGCATATTTTTGTAGGACTTTCTCTCTTGCAGCGCACCAACCTAAAGCTTCCTGGTCAAGTCACAATCCCCTGTAACTGTAACTCCGTGAGCTAAAGGAAAGAAAGAAAAATTAACAGTACGGTCACACCAGAAGGGTAAGTCTGTAAAGTGCAGGGAAGAAAGCAAATCCAGCAAGATAAAAGACAATCTAGTTTTACCAAAACTGCTCGAGTTGCGTTAAACTTAAACCCAGAAAGAGAAAATAAAACCCCTCTCAGTCTGATCTCACCAAAGGAAACAAAACCCAGACTCTCCTCACCTAAATCCACACCAGATATACTGTCGTTTTTTCCGCCATACACGCGCTCCTTTTATAGACTGTTCCACGCGCTCCATTGTTGTAACGTCAAAACGGTGAAAACTACCTCGAGTTTCAGTCAAGCCTCTGCTGATACTGCCACGTCAGGTATGGCCCAGTAAAATGGTGGGTCCAGGTCCACCTGGCAAGATCTGGGAGGTGATGGGTTGGTCTCCAGGAAATGGATTTGGAGGGAAAACTGGAGAAAGTAATAACGAAGAGAGAGAAAGTAAATACAAAAAAAGAATGGGAAAAAAGAAATATTAGTAACAGAGGCCAATGGCTTATTTGCTTTGCTGTTTATATTGGTTTTTTGCAATATAAACATAAAAATTTTTGGTTTTCTCTCCCTTTCCCTCTTCCTCCCTTTCGCTTTCTTCGCCGGAAAGTTGTATCATCAATCGGTCATGTACGCCGTTTAATTGCTGCAAACGGAACCTGGCGAGGTACCATTCTTTGCTTGATTTACCGTTTCGGTTTTTGTGGGGGGCATTTTTGGCAGGTATAGGGTCAGATCTGGTTGTTTTTTCTCTCATATTTTCGTTTCAGAGAGATTTAGGGTTTTAAATTCTGTTCCTGCGCTATCCATAGCTCAATTTGGGATGATTTTCCAGGGAATTTTGAAACTATAGGGGTTTTGGGTGCTTTTGGTTGCGTGTATGGAAGAGGGAAGAAGATCTGGCGACCCATCGGGGTTTATGGTGAAGAATAGGAGCTCATCGGGTTGTTTGGTTGTGAGAAAAAAGGGTAATGGTGCTGTGGGAGGGGTGGGTTCTTCCGGTTCTCATAATGTTTTTGGATCAAAGAAGGAGAAGAAAAGGGCTAGGATGGATTTGAGCGATTCCGGGTCAAGTGATGAGCTGTTAATGCCGCCTCGAAGAAGGGTAGGCCCTGAAACTATACGGGTTTGCAATGGTCTGAACCTTTTTGATAAGGGTATTATAGAGGAGAATGATATCGGCAGGAAGAGGAGTAGGGGAGAGAACTTTAGGAGTAACGAGATTGATAGGATTGATAGAAATGAGGAGGATTTCAGTGAAAGGAAGAGGAATAGGTTAGAGGTGTTTGAGTTTGACGAATATGATGGGAATGATAGTGAAATGATGAGGAGGAATCATTTTGATGACGGTAGAACGGAGCGGAGGAGGTTTTTTGGGTCAATGATGGCAAGACGAAGTAGCATTGAAAGGGAATATGAGATGGGGTCAACTAGACATCCTGTTGTTGACAGACGAAAGAGTTCATATTTTGAGAGGGAAAGTGGTCTAAATCGGGGGGATCATGGTGACAGAGATGGGAGTCATCTACCTATGTCATTTTATAGGGACAAATATGATTCAGATGAACCCATTAGGGTTCAGGGAAAAAATGGTGTCTTAAAGGTAATGGTGAACAAGAAGAAGAAGGTAGATGGGTCTTTGAAAAGTTATGATGGCTTGGAAATGGAGGAAAAGAGAAAGGGTTTGAGGACAGAAGATTCTGACAAGAGGAATGCTCTAATCCGTCCTTCATTTTTCTCAGATTCTAGAAGTGCTGAGAAAGCGAGTTCCTTTGTTGGGTCAATGAAAAATCCAATGAATATGCTGCGATCATCGGCTGCTAAGAAGTCATCCACTAGGAATGGTAAGGTAAGATACCATGATTCAGAAGATAGTGATACATCATTAAAATTGGGATCAAAGAATGTGGAGGCTCGAAATTCTTTGAAGACTCCATTACCAACTATAAACCGCAAGGGCCATGAGGTGGATTCAGAGGACAGTGATACATCGTTGAAGCTGGGGATGAAGAGTGCGGAGGCTTGCAAAAGTATGAAAGGGGCAAGCAGTGGTGGTGAAATAACCCCAAGCAATCAGCTTCCTCCGGCTAAAGTTAAAGAAGGGAAAGTTAAGCGTGGTACAGGCACAGAAAAGCAGAAGCTGCGTGAAAAGATAAGGGGAATGCTTCTGAATGCAGGCTGGACAATAGATTATAGACCTAGAAGGAATAGAGATTACTTAGATGCAGTTTACATAAACCCTACTGGAACAGCTTATTGGTCCATCATCAAGGCATATGATGCACTTCTAAAGCAATTAAATGATGAAGAAGAGGAGGCAAAATCTAAGGCTGATGTTTCCTCATTTATGCCACTGTCAGATGAGGTGCTCAGCCAGCTAACAAGGAAGACTCGAAAGAAGATGGAGAAAGAAATGAAAAAGAAGCAAAGAGATGACAGTGAAAGTGAGAAAGCGAGAGAACTTACTGCAAGAAAGTCTTCGAGTTCCAGAAATGATGAGGAAAGCATGGACAGTGGGAGCCATGAAGAGAAACTAAGCTCCTTCATAAGACATGGTGGCAAGTCATCGAAGGGTAAAATGAATGGCAATAGTTCTCTCAATACAAATACAAAAGGTCAAAGGTCTGCTCATCACCTACACGGCAGCGTGGAGAAAATATCATCTGGATCCAATTCTCATCAGGGAAGGAAAAGTAGAAAACTTGGCAGATGTACTTTGTTGGTTCGGAATTCTAACGAGGGGCTAAACTCTGAGAGTGATGGCTTTGTTCCATATGCTGGCAAACGAACACTGCTTTCTTGGCTGATAGATATTGGAACTGTGCAGTTGAGCCAGAAGGTGCGATACATGAATCGTCGACGAACAAAAGTAATGCTGGAGGGCTGGGTTACCAGGGATGGTATTCATTGTGGTTGCTGTAGTAAAATCTTGACGGTTTCAAAGTTTGAGATCCATGCAGGGAGCAAATTGCGTCAGCCTTTTCAAAATATATATCTTGATTCTGGGCTTTCCCTGCTTGAGTGCCAGATTGATGCATGGAATAGACAGGAGTCAATCGAGCACATTGGTTTTCACTCCGTGGATGTTGATGGTGATGATCCAAATGATGACACATGTGGCCTTTGTGGAGATGGTGGAGATTTGATTTGTTGTGATACTTGTCCATCGACATTTCATCAGAGCTGCCTAGATATAAAGGTACTTTTATATTAATTTATTGAATTGCTACCTATGTTGCATGGAAACAAAAACTAAGAAATATGGAAACGCGGGAATGGATGTGGAGAAACCTTTCCTCGTTTCAGAAACGCCCATGGTTACGCATGGCCACGGGTTCATTTTGAACCGGAACCGAGCCGTACTGTAGATGAACTGGAATCATTGGTTCAAGGTTTTGAACTGAAACCGGCGGTTCAAAGGCCGGTTAAGGTTCACGTAAATGTTAAAATCTGAACCGGCTCTGAACCATCGGTTAACCGGTGGTTCCAGTCCGGTTCGAACCGAAAGTTTTCTATTTTTATTTTCAAAATAATAATCACTTAGCCTATTTTATACATATCTAAAAGTCTCAATAATATTTTACTACATGATATACTTTACATAAGTTTTTTTTTTTTAATACACTTTACTTTAAAAGTTAAAAATCTAAAAAGTAAAATGGTAAAAAAAGAGAGAAATATTCAGTCTAAACTTATATTATTTTTAACTTTTTTTTATCCTTTTAAATTGTTTATTAAGTTTAAAATTACATTCTTTTGAAGCATAGCTATTTATACATATCTAAAAGTCTCAATAATATTTTTACTAACATGATATACTTTTAACATAAGTTTTTTTTTTTTTAATACATTTACTTTAAAAGTTAAAAAATCTAAAAAGTTAAAAATGGTTTAAAAAAAAAGAGAGAAATATTCAGTCTAAAACTTATATTTTATTCTTTAACTTTTTTTTATTCCTTTTTAAATTGTTTATTAAGTATTTAAAATTTACATTTCTTTTGAAGCATTTTTCAAAATTTTTTTATAATTTTTAATTAATAACATATTAAACAAAATTAAAGTGATAACTTATTGATTATATTGTAAAATAATTAATTTTATTCTTATATGAGTATGAGCATTTATATGAGTATGAGCATTCTAAAATTTATTTAAAATAAAATTTACCAATATTTTTTAAACTCATATTAATATTTTCAAAAGAAAGATGCAACGTTAGAATCATTTAAAAAAAAAAAAAAAAAACATATATCTCCGGAAACCGTGATCGGAACCGCACCGGAACTGGCAGTTCAAGGACTGGTTGTGGTTCAACATTTTAAAAATTTTGAACCGTCGGCTCCGTGAACCGGAACCGGCGCTTCAATGAACCGGCCTTGCCTACCCATGGCTACGAGTTACCGTGCATTATAGATTGCAACAATAATCTATAAATGCACATTTCGATTCTTTTATTATAATTTATTTTTATTTTGAGTGCTTGCTTTTTTTTTTTTTTTTTTTTTTCTCGCTTGTCTCTGGTTTGTCTAATATTTGGACAGGGAAAGAGGCTTTGGAGGAGAAATTCCCATTGTTGAAAATTTAGGAGCTTTTTTATCAATAATTTTGCGTCTTGAATTACTAAGAGTTTTTTTTTTTTTTTTTTTTTTGTTGTCCTCTGGTTTGTCTAATATTGTGACAGAAAGAGGCTTTGGAGAAATTTCCATTGTTGAAAATTTAGGGGAGCTTTTTATCAATAATTTGGTCCTTGAATTACTAAGAGTTTATGTTTTATGGAATGTTAAAGAAGTCCCTTCTCTTCTCTTTCGGTCATTTTGGTTTTAGCTTGCTCTCAATTGTAATGTTGAAAATTTCAATGGTCATGGTAGTAAAGGATTGGCACCAAGGGAGAGAGTGGGAGGTTCAGTAATCAGAGATAAATCTAATGTTGGTTCCTTATTGGGTGTGATTGTTGCATGCTAAATACATTTTAGGTTACCATTGGATTGTCTAACTCATCGTGGGAATAATGCCTAGTCTGGAGGTTGATATGTCAACACCCATTTAAGTTGGTGCAAAATATAAACAAATTCTTGGTGGCCTTATGGTGGATCATATTCGCCATTCAAATGGTTGACTGCTTGAAAATTGGCTATTTTCATGATAAATTTTCCCAATTTTGTATTCATGCCCTTTAATGATATGAAGTTTTGAAGAAAGGATTGATAGGACTTTTGGCACTTTAATTATTGGTTGTGTACGCCTTGCTTGTCAGAACCTGGGAAATGAGTTTAATCTCGATCACTTGTCAGAGCAAACTAAGCTAAGTTGTTAGTGACAGTAGTGTTTTTGTTGAGTATTTGAGCTTAGCAGATTTGTTCCATCTGTTTTTTACGCTTTAATACTTGAGGCACTCACGATTGTATTTCGTTGCAGATGCTCCCCCCTGGTGATTGGCATTGCCCGAATTGTACATGCAAATTTTGCCGGATAGCTAGTGTGAATATTATTGAGGGAGATGATACAGCTTTTTGTGAACTACTTACTTGCAGCTTGTGTGCAAAAAAATGTATCATCCTTTCCTTCTGGAGTTTGAATCTTGTTTCTAAATGTTTTCAATCTTTTCTGTGTATGTGAAATTTGAGTTCTATTTCTGGTGTAGATCACAAGTCCTGCATAGCAGAGATGGATGCTCTTTCTGTTGATATGAATTGTTCAAATCCTTCTTTTTGTGGGAAGACATGCAGAGAGGTATATCTCTTTTCAGGATTTTGCGAATTTTATGTTCTTATACCTCTCGTTCTCTCTGTATAGTAATTTTGCCTTTTCCTTAATGATACGGCTACCTTTATATTACTGTATCAGCCTTGTTGATGGTGTCTTTCCCTCCTGCAATAATATGGCAACTGTATTCATATGCATTGTGTAGACTTATTTATTTATTTTTATTTATTTTTTGCTTGCACAGCTTTTTGAGCAATTGCAGAAGTATCTTGGGGTAAAACATGAACTAGAAGCAGGGTTTTCATGGTCACTCATCCATAGAACAGATGTAGACTTGGACGTATCTATTCAGGGACTTCCTCAAAGAGTAGAGTGCAATTCAAAGTTGGCAGTTGCTTTGTCTGTTATGGATGAATGCTTTTTGCCTATTGTTGACAGGAGGAGTGGGATCAACTTGATCCATAATGTTCTTTATAACTGCGGGTACGTGTTCTATATTTTTGGAGCATGATCAAACCACCTTTTATGATGTTTCTTTCTGTTTATACATATTTTCATAAATTTGTTCGCTTGTCAAATGGAAACGTTTCCAGGTAACGGGTTGAACCTAATAAACTTGTTTATGCATAATGTTTATATGTATTATTGTGGTCCATTGTGGTTTTCTAGTCATTTTAGATGGAGTTAGCCGCTTTCATTCTGTGTTTTAGTTTCCATAATAATACCAACAACCATCTTACCTTACTGGAGTTACTATGTTCTTGGCATGTTATTTTGGTTCCCAATTGCAAGTGTTCAGGAGTGTCCTACACTGTTATAGAAGTCAGGCCCATGCAAATCTTCGGACCCAAAAGTATGAACATGTCTCATATGGAATATTAATTTACTAAGCTCATGCGAGGAATGGGACAGGTGCTCCAAACTTTTTCTCCTTTGGCCTGATTGCCTAATGCTTTACCCAAGCTTTCTTGGTCCAATTTTAGGAAAAATCCGCCAAGGGCAATTAAAGAAATGAACATATCCTAATTGTCTTGTTAATTGTGTTTTGTGGTTTATATTTATGATTGAGATAGCACATGTGAATGTTACTTTTAAGTTACCTAGAAGTATAAATCAAGACTTCAAATCTAGACCCACTGTAGGATTCTCAATTAAGCTTTTTCTGAAACTTGTGGTCCTTTATATGGATATTTTCCTCCACTTTGAGTCCATGTTAATTGCAGGATGTTTGGAAAAATAAATGTTGTTCTCATAAGATAATTTCGCTTGTCTCTCATATTAATGCGTCTTTTGGTAATCATTTTGAAAATTTCTTTGCGTTACGTGAGCTATCTTCTTCTTCTTCCTCCTTTTTTCTTTTTATTTTTTGTCCTCATGTTGATTACTTTTCCTTTATCATGTACAGATCAAACTTTAATCGGCTGAATTATAGTGGTTTTTATGCTGTTATTCTTGAGAGGGGTGATGAAATAATTTGTGCTGCTTCCATCAGGTATAAAGTTTCTGATAATTTATTTGCTATCATGTGAACGATTTGTGATCTTCATGATATGAAGAAAGAATGAAATAAAGAAGGGAAAGCAGTGTGAGATATGCTTGTAAATGGAATCTTCCACTGTTAAACATCTAATTAGTTCATATATCAGAAAAAAAGAGGGGGCAGGGTGGGATTTTTCAATGCCTGGAATTAAACTTTATTATCTGAAAAGTCAATTGGGATGTGCAGGAGGCATTTTCCCTTGGGGTTCTCTTAACACATGTTCCATCTCATGAATAATTTTCCTTGCAAGTTTATTTACTTGTATGTTTTTGCTTTCCCTGTCAGCTAAATATAAACAATTTTTTTCACTTTGCTGTCTGGCTAGATTAGTATGGAGTTTCTGTCACTTGGACTTAAAGATCTATGATCTATATGGTGTGGATAAGTCAAGCTCTATGATTTATATGGTGTGGATAAGTAGAACCCTGACCATTATGTTGCTCATGCTTGGTTTAGGATCCATGGAACTCAGTTGGCAGAAATGCCATTTATTGGAACTCGCCATATATATAGGCGTCAAGGGATGTGCCGGCGGCTTCTTTGTGCCATTGAATCCGTAAGAAACAAATACTACTTTCTCTTATATTGAAACTATTGGAACTATGGGTCTTGCATTCATCTTTCCTGTAATTTAATTTCTTTCCATATGTACGCTAATATTATCTTGGCTCCTTAGGCTCTCTGCTCCCTGAAGGTTCAGAAACTGATTATTCCCGCAATTTCTGAACTAACAAATACATGGACAGAAGTTTTTGGTTTCACCACTCTTGATGGATCGCTTAGACAAGAGTTGAAATCTATTAATATGTTGGTGTTCCCTGGTATAGACATGCTGCAGAAGCAGCTTCTGGGGCAGGAAAACATTGATGGAAATAGGTCTACCACCACAGGTTTTTGTCAAACACATTCCATTTACTTTGCACTTTGCACTTGAATATATTTTCATCTTCCTTTATTAAACTCTGGATTTCCACTCTGATAGGTGCAAAAGGAATGGGATTCAAAGACAGTCAATCTGCCCCACCTGAGGTGGCTGTTAAATGTGATATGGATTCTTCGGCCATGCAAGATGTTGATGTGAATGATAATGGTTGTAAGAAACATGATGATGAAGTGGCCACAACTAACACTGATTCCCAATGTATGGATGTTTCTATAAATGATATTGCTGTGACGAGTAGTTCTTTAGATGTGTCTCATGATCTGAAAAGTTCAGTACCACTTAAGGAGGCAGTACATACAGATTCTGATTCAGGGGATAAGTCAGATGAATCTGCCATGGAGAAGAAAAGTATTTGCATATCTGACACAATTCATGATCTGCACAAGATGGATAATAAAGCGGAATCAGATTCTGCTGCAGAAGAGGATACTCAACCTTGTAGTCAGGGTGATATGCCTTCTACAAATTCTCTGGGTGGTTCCTTAAATAATACTTCTGTAATGAGCGGTTCTTCAGTTGCCTCTGATGAGCTTAAATATCCCATCTCACATGAGAAGACTTCTTGTGCTGATCCTGAATCAGGGGACAAGTTAGCTGAGTTGACTTCTGACAGCAAATGTCTCATTATCTCTGATATGAGTGGCAATAGACACGTGGAACATAAATCAGAAGTATTTTCTTCCGTCAAAGGTGATATTCAATATTGTCAAGAGGGTGATCTTGGGAATGCTCATGTATTAAATCTAAACGAGTCTACTTCTGATGAACTTAAAAATTCATTCTCAATGGAAGAAACTAAATACGTTAGTTCTCAATCAGAGGACAAGTTTACGGAACTACTTTCCAATGGGAAACATCATTTTGACTCTAGTGATAGTAATGGTGCAACAGAGATGGGAACTACAACTGTGGTGGATTCCCCTGTTGAGGATAACTCCCAGTCTGGCACAGTGGATGCCCATACAGTAAATTTTGATGCATGTCTTGAAGCAGTCCAATCCATGAAGGACACCACTTCTGATGATTCCATAAGCAAGATCAATGAAATTCCAATTTGCTGTGTTTCTGCATTGAGCAATGCGGATAAAAGTTCAATGCAAATTAGCTCTGACCTAAATGATGAAATGGTTTGTGAGAGGGGAAACAAGTCAGATGTGACTTCTGAAAGTGTGTGTGATGAAAGAGATTGTGAAGGAAGTGTTCCACATGCCCCTGCGGATAATAGCATGACTGATGAGAGTGAAGGGAAAACCAAATCGAGCTCCATCTGATATTTCCACAGCATTGCTGGAGCGTTCTCCATGCTACTTGTATGCTCTCTCAATTTGGAATGAATAGACCTTACAAGAGTGTTAGGGCGGTGGGCTGCTGTCTAATGCTTTGACTTTGAGTTATGAAGAAATTGTAGGATTTCTGATGAAAAGTAATTAGTCCCGGTGAATATGATTTTAAAGGTTCAAGTTTAACTTTGTGGCAAGAGCTTCAAATCTGGTTCTTGGTAGAAGCAATTGGTGCTGTATGAACTTGAGGCTAGAGAAATTGCTGTTGTAAAACCCAATTTGCTAGAGGTTGTTGGGCAGATCTTTTGAAAGTTTGCAGGTTCTCATGCCTTTCGACATGTATATATCTGAATCTACCAAGTTCGACATTCGGAGTTTCTCTGCAAGTCTTGTATTAATTCATTTTTATGTAGCAACTCCTTCTATATCTATGTTAACTTCACATGGCATAGGCAGTTGCAGACAGATTTTGAATAGCATTTTTCTTGTAATTATAACCTTGGTCCATACGCAGGCATTTGTTCATAATTTATGTCAGCTTCGGGTTGCTTATCTAAATTGAGTTTGGCTGCACACTTCTCACTGAAGCTATAACATTTTATTCATTTGAATTTGATGCTACTTTTAAAATAGTTTCTCCCAGGCATTCTTTTTTTCTGTTTCTGCATGTCGAATTAGAATGCTTGCTACTTATCCCATGCATGTATATTTCCTAAACAGATTCATCCTTTTGCTTTATTTATATATATTAAAACTGAAACATGGTTGTGGCTATCTACTGTTTCTTAGAAGCTTTCTTCAGATGCAGCACAATTCTTGTAAGCTCTCTATTCTGCCACGGGAGCCAAGTTTCTTGCTACATAGGCGTAGACGTAGTTTGTGAGTAGTGGAATCAATACATTGGACTGTCGACCATTTGTAATTAGTGATTTAATACAATACTATATCATTAATAATTTTAATTTATAGGACTTCAAACCAATTAGTACATAATTAGGAAATAGATTAAGTTCAAAACATTATTTTATTTTGTGTGGAATGTAGTGAAATATTTACACATCCATCCCTCTAGGCTCTAACCAAATTGGAAAATTAAAATTAAAATTGAATGTAAATTTCCGAACGACACTGTTGGTAGCTCAGCTTATACGGTAACGGCAAAAATTAAAATCTTGCCCTCTGTTTCTCTCCGGGTTTTTTTGACGAAATGGAGCTCTCAGTCTCCGCTCCCCTCCGGAGCAGCTCCTCCTTACCTTTACCGAGTAATAAACCTAAGGTCAGAATTTCTCCGAGAAATCTATTGCCCACGCGGATTCATTATCCAATCTTCTCTTCAACTCCTATTCAAATGGACTCCCAATCCACTCTCCGCGCCTCCTCATCCCAAGACAACGGCTCCACCGTTACCTCTTCTCCAATTGAATCCGGTAAATCTCTTTCCCTAATCGTATTTTCACTTCTTCACAGTTTTATATTGTTTTTATCGCTTTGAGTATTAGCTGAATGGTGCTATTGTTCTCAGTTGGAAGAGAAGGACGAATTGGAGAAGTGAAGAGAGTCACCAGAGAGACTAATGTTTCCGTGAACATAAACTTGGACGGTACAGGAATCGCTGATTCTAGTACCGGAATTCCATTTCTCGATCACATGTTAGATGTAGTACTTTCGATTTGTTTTATATGTTAATGTTGAGTGTGTTGCTTGTGTTTTCTTTTAACTTTTTCTTTTTATCTTTTTAGCAACTTTCTTCGCATGGGCTGTTCGATATTCATGTGAAGGCAACTGGTGACATTCACATTGATGATCATCACACTAATGAAGACGTTGCACTTGCTATTGGAACGGTAATGGCTTTTTGTATATTGCAAGAAATTTTTAATTAGTTCAGATATTAAGTCATGCCTTGCTTGCTTAAACATATTCAGTGTCTGTATGTGAAGTTTTGCTTCGTCTACAGGCATTGCTGCAGGCGCTTGGTGATAGAAAGGGAATTAATCGGTTTGGTGACTTTTCAGCTCCTCTAGATGAGGCATTAGTACATGTTTCCTTGGTACGTGCAGTAGTTTTCTTTACATGTTCATATTAATTGGAAATGGAGAAAGAAAAAAAGGTTGCATGCTACACTTTAGATATGGGTGATACTGTCACCAATGATAGATAGACTTGACTTTGATACCTCTCAAGTTGGTAAATTTTCAACAAGGTTGATCATAACTTGTGGAGCTACTGTTCCAAGGATTATACTTGATTGCAATATGCTATAGAGATTATGCTGATTTTAGATGCTCTAAAGACACCTAGTCTTTTATAGAAGCTACTACTTTTAGGTGGGCAAATGAAATAGTCCGCTAAACAAGAAAAGGTTCTGTGTATGATAGGAATGCTTTTAAATGAGCGATGAACTCAGACAGGATGAAGTCTCTGCTGTTTTATGGAAGTTGTGCATTAAATGCTGCAATTGTAGCAAAGTTGTGAATATGCACCTATTTACTTTGTTTGCTTGACAATGTCATTTGTTGACTTTTGTAAATCTATACTAAATGTTCATTTGAAAGTTTCTTTATCTTTTTAATACTTTCAGGATTTATCTGGACGGCCACATTTGAGTTATGATTTGCAAATTCCCACTCAAAGAGTTGGAACATACGACACTCAGGTGCTTCGCTTTTTTTCTTTTTTTCCTTTTCTACAGCAATAGTTTACAACCTCTTTTTTTTTTAAAAAGAATTTGTTTACCAACTTGCAAATGTTGCTGAAAATTGTGTGGAGTTGACAACTAGATATAATATAATTCACACCTTTACAAATTCTTACACATTGCTCTGACTTAGTTGTTGAGTTCTTCCCTTCATATTTTTGAATTTTTCTTTTGTTGAAATTCCTCATTACTCAAATTCGGTGGTTATTTATTGCACCATTCTTTTACAGTTGGTGGAGCACTTTTTCCAGTCTTTGGTGAATACTTCTGGCATGACACTTCACATTCGGCAGGTAATATTTTCGAGAGGCTCTTAGAAATATTCATTTCAACTCAAAGAATCCAAGTATTCTTGATCGCAGGAAAACGTTTAAAAAGAAGAGAAATAAATAATAAAATGTGCCAACTGGATAACCTTAGTACTTAGTGTTCAGTAATTATCGTCTTCTCATGCAATTAAAGTTTAAATGTTATTCCAGCATCACTTTCATTACTACTTTTTCTCACTTTATGGTTTAGACTTGATGGTTTTTTGGCCATAATGCTTCTAGTATTGATTTTCTGTTTCACTTTTATGTTTTTAAGTTCTAATAGTATATACAAACACTGTTTGAATACAGCTTGCTGGAAGAAATTCTCATCATATTATTGAAGCAACCTTCAAAGCATTTGCTAGGGCTCTTCGTCAAGCAACAGAATATGACCCTCGCCGTCTTGGGACTGTGCCAAGGTATGATATCTCCTTTTAAACCACATTGGCATTGGATGAATGTCTTTTCCTTATGAAGATGTTTCGGATTAAGATTCAATTTGATGGTAAGAACTAGTTATGCAAGAGTGTTATACTATTTACATTAGTAAAAAATTGTGATGACTGGTTATAAGATCACTTAGTTTTTTTCTTCCATTTTCATCTTTGTTTGTGACACCTTGATCTGCTAATCGTGAGTTTATCAACAGGTTTTTGGGAGTTTTGAATCATGGTATCAAATTTTGGTATTTATAACTATATTATACCAAAAACATTAGCAAGTAGTCGAGCAATTTTCAGAAGCATTGGATGGGGACACTCCTCTCCCTCTTTCCTTACCGTATATGCTTGGTGTTTTATTTTAGCTTGTCCACCGTCTATTAGACAGCCTATTTCATAGAACATTATAGTGATATTTGGCATTCAAATGATTTCTTTCTCATATGCATACTGAGAAGGCGTCCAGTGCAACAACTTTTGATGTCTAGGTGGACTAAATCAGTTAATATAAACTCGTGGTATTGTGTCAGATTACCCTCTAAAATTGTGTCCTGTTTTGGTGTGCAGCTCAAAGGGGGTTCTGTCGAGAGCTTGATGCATGTTGATGATCATGCCAAGGATGGTTTTGTCTGGCCTTCAGGTTTCACCAGTAGTGAATTCATGAATGCATCAGCGAAACGTACTTTAGTGATCTCTGCTCGGAATAATCTGTCGAGCACAAATACAAGATATGTCGAAGCAAGAATGATAAAGAGTTTGCCTCTCTATATTATAGTTTTACCGAACGCTGTTTAGTTAGGGCAACTTGAAGCTGTGAGGAGCACATTTGCTCATGACTAGTTTGTATCATGTGACATTAAGAAATAAAATTCCAGACGCATGGAAGAAGTATTTATGAACTATAAATGCTTTGCAATGGTGAAAACTGTGGACTCAGTTGTTATACATTTTCCTTTACCCACGAAATAGAGGTTGATAACATAGTTAAGAGAATGCTGCCTGGGTTTGCAATCCTGAGATCTGCTTGGTTCAAAGCAGATCTAGTTTCGGTAAATCGCTCACTTAACTGCTACAAAAATTCTTCAGCAGCACTTAAATCATTTAATATCTCAGACTTCACTTCTCCAGGCAACGGTGCAGATGGGCCAGCTTTAGAATAGAAATTGGCTAAACATCTGATTGCCTTTTCTAGTTCAATATACGATTCCTGCCACCATGAACCACAAGGTTACAAATGAATGACAGTGACAGAATGCAAAGCAAAATTTTGAACTCTTAACAAATAAACTACTCGTTGACACATACCTCACGAGCCACCTTCTCTTGTCCTCTCCAACTCCCCAGATACTCTCTAATGGACTCCTTTGCTGCATCTGCAGTTCGTCTAAATTTAGCAATATCCTTAGGGTCTTCCTGTAATGACTCCCGTAATGTCTTTACAACCTCCCTTGCCGACTTCAAGTAATTCTTCGGCAACAGTTTGCCAGATTTCGTTTTCTCATTAGGATCAAACAAAGATTTAATAGCCCCAACAACTCCATTTTCCTTTTGCTCGTTTGGCTCATCTTCAGCTCTAACCGGTGATGGCGTTAAGATGCAATTTAAATTCAGAATTGCAAGAAATGAAGCACTGTATACTAGGATATGCCGACGACTTGGAGGAGCAGCTTGAGACAACAGAACAAATTTACTTCTTGATTGCAGCTTATCTGAAAGTTGCAGAAACGCTCTTAATGAAACAGACATTACCAACTGAACATCAATTCAGTCACTAGGGACTCGAGTAATTGATGCTCTGGACAATATTTTTTCTAATCAGCCCATTAAGTCATATTGATAAGTATTTTTGAAATTACTCCAAATTGGTAATATTTTTCCTCCTAACCTGGAAAATGGCCACATTGGATTATGCATTAACTATGTGTAAACAGTTCTAAAGCATAGTCTTAACAAGTTTTAGGACGATGGTTACTTACAGTCATTATTGCAATTATAGCTTTTCATACTCGTCTTGCAAGTAACGGAGGGGCATATTTTTGCTGCAAGAATCACATTGACAGCCATTTCTTCTTCCTTGATCTTGACCAAGTTCAGCAGCTAAATCCACTGCATCTCATAAAACCAACAGCAATTTCTTGACTTCTGCTACCCCATGCACTTAAGTATAGCCTTCATAATACATGTATCAGTCAGGTTTTTCTTATCACAAGCTTAAATAAGAGAATCAACATATACTGTACTTAGTGCCAGTCTTGAGCTATACCAATCCGGAAACAACTAACAACAAGTTTGAAATTGCAGAGACTGAAATCTAATATGTTACGTTCAAATGAACCATAGAGATGAATTATGATATGCGGATAATAATCAGCAGAAAAATATAAACAATACAATGAACCAAAACAAAAAGAGAAGTAGAAGAAAGTAAATACCAGCAGCAGCGCAGAGAGAGTAGAACTTTGCCTTCAATCTCTACCTCTACTTCCTTCCCTTCTTGAAAGTAGAAGAAGCGCTTCTTTATCCAAATGGACACAGCTGGTATTTCACGCGATGCAGTCGGGATAAATTAGTCATAGTAAAATATGGTACGGAATCATTTGCAATACGACGCCGTAGACTATGCTAAATTGAGAGCGGGACCAACAACTTTGTCTCCCGTCCCCACCAACGGGACCATCTTCCCCAAAAATTGAGCATAAACGCAGCTTCTCTCGCCTCATTTTCTTCGTTGATTCTGTATTACTTTTTAGTTGTTATGAAATAGCTTAAATCCACAGAGTTTTCAGAGGATGGCCGGTGGTGGAAACCACAAGTCCTCGTTCGATAAGCCTTCCTCTTCCTCTGCCTCTCACCGCAAATCCAGGTGGGAGTCTTCCGCTACAGCAAACAATAATAATCCGTCGTCAAACTCGAAATCCAATGACCTGAAACCCTCCAAACCCACTTCGAATACAAATCCTTCGCCCAAGCTCAATACCGGTCCATCTCCCAAGCCTACTGCCGCTACGCCTCCGACAGGCTCAGTCGCTGCTCTACAGGGACCCTCATTCCATTTGCCGGACCTCGGTCCACCTCCTCCTCCTGCTTATGGGTTTCATATGCTCGAGCGTCGCACTATTGTCCTAGCAGACGGCAGCGTCCGTTCTTACTTTGCTCTCCCTCCCGATTACCAAGACTTTCCTCCTCGTCCAATGCTGCCGCCACGGTTCCTCCCCATGGGGCCCACTCCCGACCTCCCTAATAGTATAGGTGGTCCCCGCTTTCCTCCGATGAGCCCTGAAGGATTAGGATTCCGGGATAACAGTAACGGACGGAACGCTTCTATGAAGAGGAAGTATGTTGGCGGCGAGGAAGAATTCAGGCATGGTAATAATACTAATGGGCTTTATCCGGCGGGAAAGGATCATCGCAGTGTGTTTTTGGCTGGGCCAAGCAGTCCGTTCGGGAGAAATTCGGGTGATGAACCGAGAGCTGGGAAATATATGAGAATTGCTGGTGACAATGTTGGTGCAGTTAATAAGTATCTCGAAGTGGACCAGACTAAGCTAAAGAAGGCGTTTTTGCATTATGCTAAGGTGATTAATGAGACTGAGGCGGAGAGGAAGCGTTACTTGGAGGACGGGAAGCAGGGCCGCCTTCATTGTGTGGCTTGTGGCAGGTTTGCTACATTTAGGCTGTACTTGATTTTCTGTTTCTCCATTATTTTGTGTTTTGCTCTCTGTATATTATTGCAACATGCAGCTTTTCTCATCCCGGTTGTCGAAATTCTTATAAAACTTCAGAGAGAGCACAAAGGAGTTTAGAGTTTTTGAGTGTTCTGAGCATTTTCCCCCCTTCATTAGTGTGTATGGTTGGCCATTGGGCGTCTAACTAAGTAGTGGTTTGGTATAAAAGTATTGTATCTGTAGGTGTTAATTTACTTTTCAGTTCATGCATTATATAGTTAGGTATGTGCTGTGGTTAAGCTTAACTAGAAATTAGGTGCACTATTTGCAAGAAATAACTTGAGTTGAGTTATGTCAGTAACTAACTTGCAAGCTACGCTGGCAAAGAAAGCTTTCTGTGACTTGTTAACTATTATCAGCTTTCTGAGAATGTGGGCTTTCTTTTCTTTTGATTTGATGATTTGATGAAGCATTATTGCCTTTGCATATAAGATTCAGGATAACACGGTGGCTTCTGTTGCTCTTCTTTGTGTATTTCTTATAAATAATGCACAATGTATACACCAAATTTATCAGCCTCGATTAGGTAAATAAAGTTGAGCGTCATATTGTATGCCGAGTACCTTCATTTTCCATTGCGAATGGCCACTTGGACAATATGATTAATTAAAGCTCCTTTCTGTTTAAGCATCATCATATGTCGTATTTTGGTCATCTGATTGAGGCTAATGTTGTTTGTAGAAAATTTGTTTAGTCACATTTCTTGGATTTGTTTCTATTTAATCTTAAAACGTTCTAATATCCAGTTGTATGAGTTGGATTTGATTGGTTGATTGTGTTAGCACAGTGATAGTTAATGACAGAAACATGACAATGTTTGTAGCTCATTTTTATGGTTATTTTATTGGAACATTTAATTATGGATCTTTCATTATGTTTTACAGGGATAATGCACTTCATTGTTGTTTTGTTAGGGCATTTTACTTCTGCATCCCTTGTTAGGTAAACTTTATAAAGTTGGCTTTGTTGGTGACAGTAATCTTCCCTTTTCTTTATAGCGTTCATGATTGACGTATATCCTTTATTGGAGATACTCATTGTAAATATTTTATTGGTAGTTCTGGTCTGAATTACAGTGGCTGTAATTGTTCTTTTGCTTGGGAACTTTTAGGGGCAAATTTAGTGTCCATGATTGATAATTGCTCAATTTTTAACCCCTAGTCAAAATGTGTTCTCAATCAATCTTGATGGGGTTAATTTTTTTGTTAACCTGGATGAACTTCATTTCATTTTTCTTATTTAAATGGATTAAGCTAATACAGCTTGGCCTAAATGGTCAAGGAGGAGCTCCTGCAACCAAAAGGTCCCAAGTTCGAACCTGCCCACCCCCGTCTTTCAATGGGTTTTGTAGCAGTTTATAGTTGTGTTGAATTTATAAAGTTTGCTTCTATCTTTTGCTTTCTAGTTTTGATGTCTCATAGGCTAGCTAACTTATCAAAACTGGATGAATTCTTAATGCAATTTTTTAATGTGTTATCTACTTGGAGATTTGAAATTTTTAGTTTTAGTGTCTGGTTTTTCAATGAATGACAAAGGTGGTTGAAGCCTTCTTTTGTAATATTTTTTGAGATATTGATATACTTTCTTGTACACGCATGTTACCTGGTTGTTGAATTCTCTTCCTCATTTCAACCCCTTGGGGGAGGGGACTAAATTTTGTTGTTTGATTGCTTCTAGGATTTATTCTGGTATGTCATTCTCTTCTATTCTCTGTTTTATGATTTAGATTTTCCCCTTTATTTTAAACTACCATATGATCCTGGTTACATTATTTAACTGGTGCCTTTATTGCTATAGTTGTTCTGTTTTTTGAGAAACCTGGTTCATTGACTAATTGTTTACAGAGTTTACTACATTTATAGGGTGGTTAGATTTTGTCTCTATGTTCTTATAAGCTTATACGCTTGTTTTCTTTTTCTTTAGTTGGGGAAACTTGTTGCAATCATTATTTCTTACGTGTGATTTCTAATTTTTTATGTTATGGAGTGTGTAGTATGGAGCTGTTATTTGCTTGATTTGTGTGGTTCCATTTCCTTAAATTCTTACAGAGTCTCATACTTGAGACAAGGCAACTTGAATAACTTTTGTTTTTGTCATGTTGTAGTTTGTTTGAGAAATGGCTTTGACTTCACATTTATAATGCTAATAATGACTTGTCTATTAGCTACATACTAGGCATGGGTACATAATTCAGACATGCTGACACAACTATTCTTTGAAAAAAGAATTAGCATGTGAGTTGTGTGCTAGGAGCATGTTTGTGTTATGACAGAGAAGGCCAACTTGGCATGCGAACGTGTGCATTAACTAAAACGTTGGTGCTTCATAGGCTATTAGCTAGATGGTTCTCATTAGTCATTAATCATATGTGGTTATCACTAGTCATTATTTATAATTATATATAATTTTGCTTTAAGCTAAAATTATTGTAGTTCAATACAGTGCAGTGCGGTTCTGGTAACTGTAGGGTTGTTTCTTTGTTCTCCAATAGCTTAAAAATTATATGCCATTACCTTTTAGGTGCATCCTTATCTATACTGTCTTTTTTTGTTTTTAGTCGGTTAACTTATGGTTGCTGTTTAATCCTCCCTCCCCCTTTATCTTTGTATTTAACCATTACAAGTGTTATGCTTTGTAACACTTCTTATGTATGTACTAATCTATGTCAGGAATTGCCTTAAGTCATGCATCTTTAGTTTGTTGTCCCTGTCATTCAGCTGAACTGACTGAATAGAAATTTCAACTGAGAATATGGTGCTTTGACGTGCTTTGGAACTGTGATTAGTGAAATATAGATATGATTTTTTTAAAATCTTCTCATAATCTATTATCATCCTTCCGTTTGTCTTCCATTTATGAATTATTTTCTGTTCCTGTTCAATTGATTTAATTTCATGGCATAGGTGATCTATGATATTATTATTCCTACCTAGTTATGCCAACTGAACTTTTGCCTATGGTTGATTTTGTACGAATCTCATTATTTAGCAAAAATTGATCTTGTTAACCCCACTACTGGCAATATTGTTTCCGAAGTCCTTTTATTCTATTCCTCATCCGAAAAATCTTGATGTGAAGTTTGGTTTGGTACATCTCTAATTTTCAGTAATCCCTCTGTCATTGTTTGCCTTTGCTTTCCTCTGTGTCCTTTTTTACCACATGCATCAGTTCATACAAGTGACCTCATGGTTTTCTAAACCTTGTGTTAACTCTGGATCCTTCATTTCTTGTCACAACCGTGCCTCAGGATGGTACAAAGATGTGCTACTTGTTCAGGAGGAACCATGATGTTAACCTTGATCGTCTAATTATTACTTGCATTTGGAGGTTCCCCATAAACAAATTTTGTCCTTTTATATTTTTCTTGTCATTTGAACTTAAGAGGGTCCAATAATACTAAAGTGATCACAACAGAACCGCCACCTAAATTGATTTACTTGGATTCAGTCTACCTGCTAACTTGAATTCATAGTTGATGATGCTATCCCAGCAATTGAAGTCTCCAATGTATTGGATTCTGTAATGCGTAGACAAAGTATTTACCTGTCTGTTTGTGGCTGGTATTCATTTTAGGACTGCTGAATTTTCTGTTTGACTGCCTGTTTATCTGAACTTGTAAAGCTCATTCAATATTTGGGAGAAGACCTGAATTATTGTTCTTCAATGCCCTTGACATGCAAAATTACAGGTCTTCCAAAGATTTCTCAGACATGCATGCTCTTGTAATGCACACGTACAACTCAGATAATGCTGACTTGCGTGTGGATCACTTGGGCTTACATAAAGCTCTCTGTGTCCTAATGGGATGGAATTACTCAAAGCCCCCTGATAATGCAAAAGCCTATCAGTTCTTACCTGCTGATGAAGCAGCAGCAAACCAGGAGGATTTGATTATGTGGCCCCCCACGGTGATAATTCATAACACAGTTACAGGAAAGGGTAAGGATGGGCGCATGGAAGGTTTGGGAAACAAAGCAATGGATATCAAAATAAGAGGTATAATGCGCCCCTTTCCTTTTTTGGTAATTGATGCTATATGCAATGACATTCATCTGGTCAAGGTAATCGTTTGATTCTGATAGGATATGCTTTGCCATTCCTACGTTGCTGTAGTTCTTTTAGGTTCCATTAGCAATATTACTAGTTACATCAACCCCATCCCGAATTTGCGCAAGAGCTTGGAGATAGTTATGATTTTACTTGGAAAAATATAAAAAATTATCTCATTTAAACTGCAAAATGTTCACCCCTTCCCTTTGGAGAAGTAGCCCACTTGCATTGCCATTCCACATATAGGCAGCAGGTGACGATGTTATTACTGAAATCCCTATATCTAGGCATTGAAGTAACCAGAGTTTTTTTATTGGCTGTTTGAAAGGGGAACTAGGACCAGGGGAGGGCAGGATTCATAATGTGCTGGAATGCTACTTGCTTTTGGATGGTTAGATACTGATTTGTTCCATGAGGAGGCTAAAATCAGAATGAAACCTGCCTATTAAGTTGGATTCATTCTTTGGTAAATCTTAAATTGGTGTCTTTACTTGTGCTAATTGGATGCAATTTCACTCGTAGCTAAATCTTTCAAGTCCTAGTCTATTACTTCAAAATTTTATGAGCCTCCAATGCCAATCTGTTTTGTCTTTAACCTGCAAGGATTAGCCTGTCTTAGTATATCCGCCACTTGAAGCTGAATTATTTAGTTTGTGATTCATTTATCTAATAAATCTATTTTGGCTAATCATGTGCTACTCAATTTAGAAACATCATATTGATGGTGAAGAGGATTTTTGGAATTTATACTTGAGAGATTTCATGCAGAATCAGCACCAGTCTTCAGCAGCGTTCATGGCTATTTATACTCATTCTTTCTGAATTCTATGTCTCTCTCTGAAAATACCACCTTGGATGTGCAATATTATTATTTAGCAGTCAATTTGTTAAATACAAACTTTAGCTTCTTCTGTTTTTCTACTGTTAACTACCAAGTGGAAGAACTTTGTAGATATGTGACTTGTGTCAGGGTATTTTACGGAAGTCTGTTATTTGCTTTGTCTAAGAGGTATTATGTGATTGTATTACAGTTATGGCTTCCAAAAGAAATGTGGTCTAAATGAAAATTTGTAACATCTCTCTTCTCCAAATAAAACATTGAATTTCTCCCGAAACACATCAAAATAATTCAATTTTGTTTTGTGGGATGAGAGATGAGGTGGGAGTAGAAAATGTTATGCCTTTTTTAGGTTTGGCTCTTTAACTTAAATAACTGCAAGTTATGTTGTGCTATAAACCTGCTTCAGAGTTTATAGTTTAATGAGTTATTGCATGACTATTGGCCATTTCTTTGAACTGTACTTATCCTTCTATATATGCTATCTTGCACTTTATAATACTACAGTAGTACTGTTTTCTGTCTTGCCTCCCTCTTTTATTAGTTTGACTTTTCCATTTTTCCTCCATGTGAATTTCTTACTATTATTTAAACGAGGATGCAACATCAAGAGGTTGCTTAGATGCTTGGTTTTGTCTTAGAATGATTGAATATGGTGAAAATTCTTCAATCTATCTTGTTTTTTGACAAGTGTGTGTTGATATCTAGCTTGTGGCTACTATGCGAGTGGCAAATTCATATTTGGGAAAGTTTTTGAATTTTGAAAGAATTTCTGGTGGCTGCAAAGTGTTTCAGGGAATCCAGAGTTGGTTGCTGATATTTCATAATTCATGTGCCTGGTGGGAAATAATTTGCTTTTTCTTTTCTTTTTTTTTTTTTTTTTAAAATGCGAGTGGCAAATTCATATTTAGCGAAAGTGTTTTGAATTTTGGATAGGAATTTCTGGTGGCTGGCAAAGTGTTTTCAGGGAATCCTGAGTTGGTGTGATATTTTCATAATTTTGCCTGGTGGGAAACTAATTTGCTTTCTTTTCTTTTTTTTTTTTTTTTTTTAAAATTTATAACGGGTGCTTTTCAATCTTGGATGTTTGGTGCAAGTCAAAGGTCTTTATATGGAAGAGATGTTTCCATCCTGGGCATAACTCTCATAAAGTTAGTGGTTTTTTTTTTTTTTTTTAAAATTCTATAACTGGTGCTTTTCAGATCTTGGATGTTTTGGTGGCAAGTCAAAGTCTTTATATGGAAGAGATGGTCATCTGGGCATAACTCTCATAAAGTTTAGTGGTGATCAAGTGGGCCTGAAGGAGGCTCTGCGGCTGGCAGAGCACTTTGAGAAAGAAAATCATGGGCATAAGGCTTGGGAACGCATACAGCCTATGTCACTGGGTAAGGATGACGAGAAAAATCCAAACCTAGTGCAGGTAGAACGGAGTGGGGAGAAAAAGAGAATTTTATATGGTTATCTTGGAACAGCTGCGGATCTATACAAGATTGATTTTGAAACAAAGAAAAAGGTCATCATTGAGAGCCAGAGTGAACTAAAATCATCCAAGTAAATTCTAGATGATATACAAGGTACAAAAAGCTGATTTTATTTTTAGCAAGGAGATTGAATCCTGCCATCCTACATTACGTGATAGTGCACCCAACCAATATTTAAGTAGCTCAATGACAAGTACAAATGTACCTAGTTTTTTAATTATTTAGTTTGTGAGTCTTTGATCCCCTAGTTTTTTGCCATTATCTGCTGTAGCATACGAGTAACGGCTTCATGTAGGCTTAATGCTAGCTTTACATTTTACTCAAAATAAGCAGACTCTGGGAGTATTGGTGCTAATTTGTTAATCAATGGACTGCTCATGTTCTAATAGAATTTAAAAAACTTTAGGTTGCAATTGTTTGACTTTTGCTCCGCTATTGGTCTGAGCAATGCTTAGACATGAGAGTTGTCATTATTTGTGCTAACTACATCACCGTGATTGATTGTGCAAACCACTATAGCTTGATGGTGCCTGGTATGTACACTTGGTAAGATTCATTAGATGCTAGAGAGCTATTTCTGTAAAAACTTCACATGTTGGTTTGTGATTATGATGCTGGATCAGAGATTTTTTGCAAAGGATAAGTGACAGGATCAAGAGAGGCTGGATAGTTTTGATAGGACTAGTATCTATCTAATTAAGGAGGTCACATTAAAAATAATGCGGGTGGAGCAGGAAAACTTATTGTGCTCTGTAAATGAATGACACTAGCACAGATATATTGGTGATCATATGATGGGTTGCCCTCTCAAATTGAAGATAAGATAGTTATGTTTTGCCTTTTACTAGGGTCAAGGAGTGACGACATACCAGAACCATGGGAGACGAGGGAATTGTACGAGTTGAGCATTGGATCTGGCCTAATTTGTTTTCCTTTGAGATTGAACTGTTAGCTTATCACAATAGCCTTCATCTTCTTGTATGTTTGTGTTCTTATTAGCCAGATAAATGCATGCTTGTCTAATATCATTGTTGCCCTTAACTGCCCTGTGTCTAAAATTTGCTACCCTCTTTATGTAGTCGCTCTTTTAGGCGTAAGATAGAAGTTTCATTCTTTCACAATTAAAGTCTGGGCCCTGCTCTGAGTGGGCGACTTTGCGGTGAATTGGAAATTGGAATGAGAATTGTTTACTTGCATCGGAAGTGGCTGTGTATGATTTCCTTGGGTTTAGGTTTGATGCTTGGGCCCTGCTTGGGGCCTTGGGCGGTTCAGGGAATCATGTAACATCCATATGTTTTTTTTTAAGGGGATGGATGGGGCAGAACAAAAATTTGCAGCCATAATTATGTTTGTTTATTGGCTCCAAATCTCTGAAGTAATGCTAGTATTGGAAGTATTATGCGTATTCAACTTAACTAAAGTTGCATAAGATTTAATTTATGTCTAAATTAACCTCTGTTTGTTCTGAGCTTGCTAGTGTTTTTGTCATATTCTGAATTTGGAAAGGCAAGTAGCAATAACTTTAACCTAAAGCACCTCTCTTTTTCCATTATATGTGTTTGGTGGTATTTATGTGAGATTGGTATCTGATGCCAATTCTTAAAAGAAAACATAATCCATGTCTGATACTCTTTATTTGGTGAAAATTGACTCTATCATATATAGACAGAAGACCCGCCAACGGCCGTGTTTGCATGTATGTATGTATGAGGCACTTGAAACCCACTAGTGCTAATTTAAATCTTAGCAACTTCAGTACTTACTGATTGTTATTATTATGCTCATATGGTCATTCAATTAAGCCTACTAGGGAGTGGACCACTAATAATCATTTACGTAGATTGACTACAACCATTTATTGATCTTGTTTCAAAATCTTATCTTATCAACCAAAATTCAAATTCCAACAGACTCACTCACTGAGGGATAAAAAAGAAATAAGGAAAATAACAGTTTTGAAACTTCTTCTATCTCCTTATGTGGGTCCAATCCCAAACAACAACAAACTACTGTTTGGAATCCGAAGTCCCTCCCTAATCTCTCAAAACAAGGGAAGGGACCCACCATTTTTTTTAAACAAAAAAAAAAAAATTTTTCTTTTCTTTGATTTGCACACGTTTCATTCCACTCTGTCCGAGTCTAGTGATTTTAAAATTGATGTTGAGATAAACTTCTTTCAACACTTATAATATTAATTTTTAATTCAAAGAATAAATTTTTAATCTATTTTTTTTTTCAATACTCTCTCTCTGTTTCATCCTGGTAAGAAATTATAAAAGTACATTGTAGCCTTGTATCCATTACTCTCTCAATATTAGCCTTTAAAAGAAGATATTTTTGAAACCACGGATGAATGGATGCGCATGCCCTGAACTCTCTGGGACTGGGTTCACCTTCACTGTACAGTAACTGTACATCCCCTGTTGTATTATTCTTTCCCCTTTATTTTTAATTTTATATTGAAACCGCACGGACATGAATGGATGCGCATTGCCCTGATATACTCTCGGGACTGGGTTCACCTTCACTGCCTACAGTAGACTGTCATCCCGCTGTTGTATTATTTCGTTCCTCCCCTTTATTTTTTGAATTTATATAGTATAATATGACTACGGAATTAGCTATAGTACTACTACTATATTTTTTTTTTTAATATCAGCAGTCAGAGACGGGCAGCAAATGTTCTTGCTTTTATCTGACTCCACCCAATGTGTGTGGTTCAAGTGGTTGGTGACCCAGACTTCTGCCAAAACTTTCCCAATTCATCTCTATACCTCTTCTCTCTTGCTTTCTCTCTCTCTTTTTCTTATTTTTTATTTACGATTCTAACTTCGGTTTCCGTCGAAAAAAGTTCATATCCCCTCTTGTCGCTACTCCTCCCAAAACATCCCCTCGCTTTTATATCTGACGTCCATCCTATGGGCCTCTATATTTTTTTTTTTATAGCAGTAGAGACGGGCAGGCAAATGTTTTGCTTTATCTGACTCCACCCATGTGGTGGTCAGTGGTGGTGACCCACTCCTTGCCCAACTTTCCAATTCACCTCTATACCTCTTCTCTCTGCTTTTCTTTTTTCTTATTTTTTTTACGATCTAACTTCGGTTTCCGCGAAAGTTATCCCCTCTTGTCGCTACTCCATCCAAACATCCCCTCGCTTTATCTGACGTCACTCCTTGGGTGCCTCTTATCCTACGCATCCTTCTCTGCTCGTGCGTAGATAGGCGTACCGTACCTCGGTTCCTACGCATAGCCGGCGCATTCTAGACTCTTCCCTCTACAGCCTTTTTTCTCGGTTGCCATTACACGTGTCTTGTCCTAAACTTTCCACGTCATCACTGTCTCCTCCTCTCTTGTTCTCTCTACTCCTAGCTTTATCACCTCATGCTCTCTCGGTGCCTCTTCTTTCTCTCTATTTCTAGGGTTTTCACTTCCCCTTTCTTCTTTTTCAGCTACTGGATTACTTGTGGTGTTTGATTCTCACCAACCATGGGGTCGATCCCCGATCCTGGCGAGTTAACCGAGTTGACTCAGCCCAGCTTTGACGAGTTCCAGCGCCAGACCTCTCTCATGACCAGCTGCACTCTTCTCTGGAAGGAGCTATCTGACCATTTCTCGTCTCTTGAGCAGAATCTTCAGAAGAAATCAGAGGCCCTCAAGAACAAGTTTCAGACACTAGACCATCAAACAAAGACCTCTCTCGCCTCCCTCAAGAAGCGCGAGGTCACCATTGACGGCAGCGTTGAGATCGCACTCAAACGCGTCGAGCAACACAGGGAAGCCGCTCTCAAGTCACTTGATAATCCCAATTTTGACCATCCTGATGGTGAGGTGGATAACGGCGATGGACTCTTGCAGCTTCTGAAATCTTTCTGCTTGAAAATGGAATCGAGAGAGTTCTGGAAGTTTGTGATAACAAAGAAGAAGGAACTTGATGTGTTGAGGAGCCAGATTCCGTTAGCTCTGGCTGAGTGTGTGGATCCGTCTAAGTTTGTCTTGGAAGCAATTTCAGAAGTTTTCCCAGTGGATAAGAGGGGGGAAAGGACGGAGAAAGGGAATGACTTGGGATGGGCTTGCGTGCTGATTTTGGAGAGCCTGATACCGGTAGTCGTGGACCCGGTGATAGGCAAGTCCAGGCTGTTAGTGACCCCGAGCGTGAAGGAGAGGGCCAAGGAAATTGCTGAGACTTGGAAGAGAAGTCTGGAAGAGCGCGGTGGTATTGAGAATGTGAAGACTCCTGATGTGCATACTTTCTTGCAGCATTTGGTCACCTTTGGTATTGTGAAGAAGGAAGATGTGGATTTGTACAGGAAGCTCGTCGTAGGGTCTGCTTGGCGCAAGCAGATGCCTAAACTTGCTGTCTCACTTGGTTTGGGTGAAAAAATGCCTGGTACGTCGCTTCGATATGTACGAATTTCCTAGTTTTCTGGTTTTGTTTTTTTCATATGTTTTGAAAATTTGGTTTTCATTGCTTAAATGATGGTCTGTTCTGGAAAATGCTACTTCTTCTTTCATTTATAGCGCTCTATCATCCTTTCCTCATGTCCAATAAACACGTCTTAGTTGCACGTGATTTTCTTTATTTTTTGGCTAAGAGCTAATGGAGACGGTCCAGTTGACTAGATCAAATTTGGGAGTCCAGTTTGTAACTTTGCATCTGAATAAAATTTGGTAGACTGGTGCTCCATAGAGTTCCTGCCAAAGTTTTGGTGGAGATAGAGACCGGAATGATGTATGTTGAATTTATTGTAACTATTTATGGCGTAAGGTCTTCCCTTTGGAAGAGTTTATAGATGCGTGAGTGAGAGAGACAGAGCTACTTTTATGGCTTTGTATCATATGCAGTGTGCATATTCTGGGTTCGGTGAGTAAGAGAAGAGAACATCAACAAGAAGGGAGAAGAGGAGGGGGTAGCAGGGTGGGTGTGTTTCTATGAATCTTACATGCTGAAGATAAGTCGGGGATGCTTCCTGTATGTTGTCAGCCAAATTTCGTATGTGATTAGATTAGTAACATTGCATGTCATATAGATCATTTAGCTCCAATTATGAATTTGATTCTCTGGTTTCATGTCTCAATATACTTAATGAAGAAACTAATATTCATAAATTAATGCTGGCGCTTCAGTGAGCCAATTTTGCTGCTGTCATACCAAAGAATACCACAGGTCTGATATCTGTGCCTGCTTGTCATCCTAAAGCTTCCTTTTTGTAGAATGACAAATAAATTTCTTATACAAAGCTGTGCAAGTTTAAATATGTGCCCATCAAGTTCCAATATTATAATCCTCTTTATAAAAGCAAGCAATATCAGCACTTGTTGTTTAATGTAACTGGAATTTAACATGCGTATTGTTGCATGTAAGTATCATTCATTTCGTAAGTTAATGTCAAACGCTTCAAGTGTAAATCTCTGATTGATATTCACAGGTCTTGTTGCATGGTTCTGTTTCTCTATAGTATGCTATGGGCACATTATTAATATGTGACATATCCTGTAAGTTTTAGTAGGCTACTGTAGTTTACTATCGTGATGATTCCAAGCCATTGTCATTTGCAGATATGATCGAGGAGCTAATTAGTAGGGGTCAGCAGCTTGATGCAGTTCATTTTACTTATGAAGTTGGCCTTGTGGATAAGTTCCCCCCTGTTCCATTGCTAAAAAAATTTTTGAAGGACTCAAAGAAAGCTGCAGCTTCTATTTTGGAGGATCCAGATACCGGTCGAGCTGCGGTATAAAAACCCTTTATTTTATTTGTCCTTATAATTAAGGTGCTTCTTATTCTAAGAAATTCATCTTTTCCTGGATTAAACATTGGATTGCAGGTCTCTGTTTTTGATATGTTCATTGTAGTATTGGTTCAAATAAGCACAGTTGCAAAATGTGTGTTGGAAAGAAAAGCACACTTATTTTAGTTAATATTTCCATCTTATGCATATGGTCTGATTGAAATACATGTATCTTACTTTATGCTTCTCCGTGTATGCTATATGTTTGATAATGCACATTATTTCTTTCAAATTGTTACTGGGGTGTCACTTAGTTATCCTCATTTAATATTTAAACCGTAGGCCAGGACGATCTACAGCCTTGCCTTGAGTCTTATTAGGCAATGGTGTCTTATTTGCCTATTGGTCTAAACTGTTGTATTTACAACATTAGAACCATGGGACAGGATGAAATGATTTTGTTAAAAGTAATATTTGGGTGATCACACGATTGCATTGATTTTGGTGAATAGAACTATATAAATATATCTGCATAGGTAGGAGGAACCAGGTCATTACTTTCTATTAATAGTTATTTGTATCAATCTTGTAGCACCTTGCTGCTAGAAAGGAGCAATCTGCTCTCCGGGCTGTCATCAAGTGCATTGAAGAATACAAACTAGAGGCCGAGTTCCCACCAGAAAACCTCAAGAAACGCCTTGAACAGTTAGAGAAGGCCAAGACTGAGAAGAAACGGCCAGCTGCAGTCCCTGCCAACAAAAGAACACGTGCCAGCAATGGTGGCCCAATGCCTCCAGCCAAGGCTGGACGTTTGACAAATGCTTATGTATCATCCTTCCCTGCACCTCCAACATTTGTCAGGTCTCCCTCGCACACTCAATACCCTACTGGTGTACCTGCATATCCTTCTCCGGCAGCTGTTTATGGTAGCAGGAGCCCTCAGTCTCCCTATGCATACTCACCAGAGGCTGCTCCTCCCCCCATGGCAGGATCATATCCTGGAGCTCCTTTGAATTATCCTGCATATGGAGGTTATGGCAATGGTTTCGCACCAGCTTATCAGCAGGCTTACTACCGATAGACATGACACTACTTGGAAGTTGAAGATGGTAACCACTGATATGATGACCCCAATCTCATTTAATGCTTTCTCAACTGGCTTGTTTGTAATCACTAACCTTTTTAATGGTAGCGATGTGTGTGTTAATTATAACTGTTCTTCTTGCTATGCCATGGTAAGAAGCTGTATTTCTAATGTTGATCAAACTGTAGCTCTAGGTGATTGTGAAAGTAATCCTCTGATGGAAGCATAACGATGTTGATGAACTGATATTACCACTACTATTGTTAGGGTTAGTTGTAGAAAAATCTCCCTTGTTTCTATCTTGTGTCCTTTGCCTTCAATTTGGATCAGGTGCCATCTGTGTCCTGAGAAATTAAGTTATCAAGGTTTTAATAAAATCAAAATCAGAACTGGATGGCTTTATGATTCAATTGAAGCACCATTATATCTATCTTCACTTGATAATTATATGCTATTGTGGGCTGCAGTGTTTTTGGTGGGGCTGTATTTAGCATACAGCTAATGTTACAGGCTGTTTAGTAGTAGCTGGTGATTCTGGCGTTAGTGGGTCGCTAATGAAATAGTTTTGGCAGGTACAGCATAAAGAGGCAACTTCAATGATTTTATTGGTGTTTTTTTTTTTTTCTCTGCTGCTTTTCCCTTATTGATGCTACGAAGTGTAACTGTTTGGGGGAATGACCGGTGACCTCCATTCTGATCCAAAAATTATCAGTTAGGTGGTAGGTCGAGTGGTTTCTTCAGGTGAAAGTTGGCCTTCTTAAGTATAAAAAATTTAGGCTGCTGTGATGCCTCCAGTATTAGATTAGGCATGCTAGTCCTGTTAATGGAGAGAATGTTGGCGGCTGAGATATGATTAAAGCCGTCACTTAAAAATATTGGGTGTCCTGTGAACTTAAAATTGTCCCATTGAAAGTTTAGGATCATATAGGATTTTATTTCCTGTTAAGAAAATCTATCGTAAACCCTATTAATTATATTCAAATATTAATCTAACTCTTCAAAGTTTGTAAAGATTTTTTTATGTAACTATTAATGCTTATAAATATCTCGTTATTTTACTCAAACTCCAAAAAAGATAAAGAAGAAAAAGTAACCAAAAAAAAAAAAAAATCATGTATATGGTTTTCTTTTATAATTTTCTGATGAAAATGCCTAAGCAAAATGTGGTTGGACAGTCAATGGTTGGTCTTCTACATATCTTGTGAAGATATGATAAACGAGCATTTTCTCCGCCGCGGAAGTTATCATCAATTTGTTATATAAGCTACAATGGTATAGAAAAATCAATGGAATAAATTTCTTTCATTTTTTTTAATTTTTTCTTTATTTTAAGACAATACCCGTGGGACATGGGCAGATGCCAAATCCCATCAGAGGGAGCAAAAACCTTCAACACCCACCAAAACCTTATCCTATCAAGCACCACACATCATTTCAAACCGAAAAAGAGCTTCCCTCACTTCAAACCTCCAAAAAGTAAAAAGAAAAAAAAATCTATGGCAACCCTTAATTTCACTCCATCTCCTTCCTTCACTATCACCAAAAAAGCGTTGCCAATCAAACTTCCTTCGTTGAAACTCAACTACAGAACAGCCAGATCCTTGAAGACTACGGTTAGGTCTTATAAAGTGGTCATTGAACATGAGGGCCAATCCACAGAGCTTGAGGTGGATCCTGATGAGAACATCCTATCCAAGGCATTGGACTCTGGCCTGTCTGTGCCCCATGACTGCAAGCTTGGGGTATGCATGACTTGCCCAGCAAAGGTAGTAAGCGGCAAGATTGACCAAAGTGAAGGTATGCTTAGTGATGATGTGGTGGAGCGTGGGTATGCACTTCTGTGTGCATCCTATCCAAGGTCAGATTGTCGCATTAGGACCATTCCTGAAGATGAGCTGTTGTCATTGCAACTGGCAACATCTAACGACTGAAATTTATGTGCTTGATGTTTTTCAGTTAAGGATTTTGATATTGAACGCAGAATTTGAGTACAGTAAGGTTATCTTATCATGGAAATATCGAATAGATTTTGCTGCTTGTTCATTACATGTGCTGAGGTATAAAAAACATAAAAATAAACGATTCTGCCATCATAGTAAAATCTGAAAACATTTCATCTAAAAAATTTTCTGGTGGATGTCGTTTAAATCCTCCGAAATCTATATCTTCTTGGAGTTGATTATGATTTTGGAAGGTTAGGAACTTATCTAATAAAAGTTGCTGGCAATTGAATCAAAATGCAGAAAACAGTCTTTGCTGTTATGTTGTGATTAATTCACCACAAATCTGATGAAGTCTTCACTAATAATATTTCCATTGCATGAATTTAATCCAACAGCTCAAAATCATTGATCCAAAAATGTTAAAATTTATTCTTGCATTAATGCATCAAAATTACATAAGATAATTACACAAGAAAAATTGCAAGATCATCCATTTCATATCCAAAGGCCACAAACTATTCTACTATCAATTGACTTGCTTTTATACATGTGATTTCCCAGACCATATGAATAGAAGTAGAACAGACTATTCTATTTTTTCAATGGTTATGCGAATCCCTGTCTCTGCAAACAGAGCTGCTAACTTCACTGCACTGCAACTCAATCCATTCCTTGAATTAACTGGCTGCTGAAAGCAAACCTCCGTGTACTATTTGAAAAGAATCATAGCTATTCCTAGAACAAGAAACTTGCAACTCATAAATAAAACTCTGCTTTTGAGGTAGGACTATCTCAGAAATATATCAACTTCAAGAATCAGTGATGTAATGTTGCAGCAGGATAACCATAGCTACAGAGCAAGATTGCCTATAAAGCCCTAAGCACTTGGTGACAAACTAACCTCATGAGGTTTCCTTTGCTTAAGCTTCACTTTCACATTGATACCATTATCAATAATAGACTGAAGCACAATCTGAAGCTTACCCTCCAATCTCTCCCCTTTCCTTGGTGTGTAAATCACATCATGAATATCATCTGCCAATGCTCTTTGTGCTAGAATTGCTCCTACAGTAGTACATGCAGCTGCATTCCTTGTCGAGCGCAGATCAAATTTTATATCCTTGGATATTGAATGTGCCACAGCCACCACCTTGCTAGTGACCCGGTGAATAATGCAGGCACGGACAGAAGCTTTTGATATGTAAATATCCAAGCAGAAAGGTTCATGGTAAGGTGCTGTAAGCTGATTGAAAGTTGGTGTCCTCACTTTCTTCTTCTCAATACCACTAGAACCAACCATATTATCAAGAAGTAAATCATAAACCCTTCCAATCTTTACGATCTGTGAACACTTTTCAACTTCAAAAGCTGAACTATGACTGGGGTTTCTGTTCCTTTTGTTTTCTTTACAATTATTGTTCTTTGCCGATTCTTCCTTTTCCTTTCCCTTAGTATTATCCTTCCTCTTCGAGGAATTCTTCCTGTGAAAGTCAAACCTATACTCTTCAAATTCCTTTGAGTCCCTGTCAAGCTTATAAAAGAGATTGCCTCGAATTCTCATATTATCGATCTCATCGAAATCAGAGTCATCCTGCAAAGAAGCTACATCATCAACCTGCTCGTCAAATGCTTCAGTATAAGATTCCAATCCCATCTCCTTATCCAATCCTCGCCACACATGGGCTAAACCTGATGAAACCTGCCAAGTATCGTTGTCCACAAGCTCAATATCATAACCATCCAAATGCGGTCTCTCTTCGCTGAATAATGGAGGAACATGAATTTTACTAGAATTATTCGTCGAAGCACTTTGTCTCTTGTCAACTGATGCTTTTGTGGCTGAGCTATCTGTGTTGTCAACAACAGCTGTAGCTTTTGAGCGGAAAGTACAAACTTTCAAGAGAAAATGGGAACTCAATAGTGTGAGACTAGTTGGTTTTCTCCACAGTAGCATCGCCATCTTGGATAAGCTGAATTCGGAATAAAAGGTGCAGTGAAGATTATTCAATTCTCATATGGGCAAATCATCAAACATCTGGCAGGCAATAAGACGATACAGATGATGGTCTTTGGAAGCAGTCGCTACAACTTCATCTGCTTTCCCAGGCATAAAGTGTCGTGATTTTCTATAACGCCGCCACAGCATTTTAGAAATTATTCCAGTGATTTAGAAAATTTTTTAACAACCTTGATTTTGCTGTGGCTTTTGGACACTACCGAAAATAGATTTATCGACCTCGACATTGTGGACTCCACGACTCGACAGCCGCAAGACGGGAAATTTTACCCTTTGATTATTCAAAAGGAACCAGACCTAAAACAATTAACATTTTATATCAGATGCACTCAATCTTCAACCAAATAATTTGATAAGCCGATCGTTAACGGGTGATAAAATTCGTTGATTAAAAACTAAAAGTAAAGGAAAAAGAAAATGATAGAGAAAGGAAAGAATAGTCCTGACTTGTAGAGCAAACCTGAATGGAGATTCAGACATTCGCAGAGGCACAGTCGTAATTTTGCAGTCGCAGCGACTCAACAGTCGGAAGCTCGTTAAGCAAAGGGGCACAAAGGCGACGCAATTGGCAAAAGCAAAACCTTCGTTTTTCCACAGGTTGAGGCCCTAATTTGGTAATTTGAACTCGTATTAATAAAAATAGATAAATAATTAAAGCGCACTTTATAATTGTAATTGAATACACTGATAGACCTTATAATTCAGGTCACATTCATCTTAATTCCTCATTATTTATTTTTTTTATAATCTTCATTATTTATCTTATCCCAGAAAAAAAAAACAAACGAACAAAAATGTCAACTTTTTATTATAGATTTTTATTCGGTGAATTGTTATGGTCCCGTCGCTCCCGTATCATCACGCCATCCTTCCAATTCATACTTTGACTGTATTTGATCATAGCATTTTCACTGTTAACTTGGTCATAAAATCAGGACAGATACATAATTTAAATAAAAAAAAAAAATCCTCCTGTCTTTTCCATTTTTGGATCGAAAATATCTATTCATCTCTTCTCTTCCAAGGCAGAGTATATGGTAACAGTATAACCCTCCAGCCCACAGGTTCCTCAAATTTTCTTTGAGAATTCTGTCATTGTCAAAACCTCAAAGGTGATTGTTTTCCCCTTCTTAATTGCTGTTTCTTTCCTTTAATCATATGCAGTTAATCGCTCATTTATAATTTATTAAACAAAACAATCAAATGTTTTTTTTTTTTTTTTAAATATGGATTTCGTTGCGCTTTAATGATTTCTGATTGGCTGGTGTGAATATTTGATGTCATTTGTTTATTAATTGTTTATTTTTTTTTTTAAATTGCAGTAATCGGAAGCTATGGCGGTTGAGAAATACGAAATCGCTAAAGATGTAACTGAAGTAAGTTATACTGACCGGATGGAATTTAAGTTATATTGAACCGGCGGTCAAAATTCCATCTTCCTCATGGACAATTACATTCTTCAGCTTATTAATGTCTTCCTTTCTGTTTCTTTTTTTTTTTTTTTTTTCCAAATTTAAATTCACAGCTAATTGGCAAAACTCCTTTGGTATATCTCAACCATGTTGTGGATGGTTGCGTTGCTCGTATTGCTGCTAAACTGGAAATGATGGAGCCATGCTCTAGCGTCAAAGACAGGTTTCACCTTTAAATGCTTTGTATCGCTCTTTTTGGCGTTGGTTTTTACCTTAATTATCAGTTGGATGCTAAATTGTATTAAAAAAAAAAATTGGGCGCTGATTGTTTTGGGTTAATGTTCAGGATTGGTTACAGCATGATCTCAGATGCGGAGGCCAAAGGCCTACTCACTCCAGGACAGGTTAGTTATTGTTTTGAAAATGAATGTATTGATTGTCAGTGTCATTTCGCATTTCATGTGATGTTGATTTTGACTGCTTCGTGAAATGGTTGGTGAAGAGTGTTTTGATTGAGGCCACTAGTGGAAATACTGGGATAGGATTAGCATTCATGGCAGCTGCCAAAGGATATAGGCTTATTATCACGATGCCTGCATCTATGAGTCTTGAGAGGAGGATTATTCTCCGTGCTTTTGGAGCCGAATTGGTTCTTACTGATCCTGCTAAGGGCATGAAAGGGGCTGTTCAGAAGGCTGAAGAGATTTTGGCCAAGACACCCAATGCTTATATGCTCCAGCAGTTTGAAAATGGTGCCAATCCAAAGGTGCTCTTTTTGTTTTTGTTTTCTTTTTTTTTTTTTTTTCGGCTGAATCATTACTGCTTTGTTTTGGTTAATGCAGTTGGTGGTTTGAACATTAATTGATTCAAGTCTGTTTTTAATTGTTGTAGATACATTATGAGACTACTGGACCAGAAATATGGAAAGGATCAGGAGGAAAAGTTGATGCTTTTGTTTCAGGGATTGGTACTGGGGGAACCATAACAGGTGCTGGGAAATACCTAAAAGAGCAGAATCCTAACATTAAGGTAGGCTCTTAACCTTTCTTTATAAATGTCAATTCACAGTAAAATTCATTAATCAGCATGACTTTGAAAAAATTGTTACTCGTATTGACTTCAGAGTTTTGCTCTTTTATTACCCTCATTTGGCATTTGTTTTCTCCCATTTTCTGTAGTTGTATGGTGTGGAACCAGTTGAAAGCGCTGTTTTATCTGGAGGAAAACCTGGTCAGTTATTTTCAGTGTGATGCATTTGTTAAATAATTCCTTAAAACAGCATGTGATTTTGCTTCATATCCTACAGAATAGTTTTGAGATATCAATCATAACTACAATTCATTATTGTTGACTTGAATTCTTTATAGGAGAGAAGGGAATGCCCCATTGTGCAGTGATTTGCAAACTGCTGACATTTGTCAGCAATATGCATAATAGCAGATCTTCTACATTATCTAAGCTTAGTAAAACCAGTGTCAGAATAGGCAAACAGAAGAAGGATTTTCCTCTAACTTATACACCTTTTTTCATTAGATTCTCCACTCCAAGAGCGAGCTTTTATTTGTGTTTAAGAATGATTTTTCAGCGTTTTTTTTTTCTCCTCTTGCTCCTGTTTTCTGTGTATTGACCTGAAATAGAAAGTTGACTTGGTTTTCTCATCTTATTGGCCATTTTTTATTTGATGAATCACTCGTGTTCATCTCATTCTCTAGGTCCGCATAAGATCCAAGGAATAGGTGCTGGCTTCATCCCAGGAGTTCTGGAAGTTGATATCATTGATGAAGTTGTTCAAGTAAGGCTCAAGGATTATTTGTTACTCTCAGTTATTTCAGGACTGAACCACCTAATTCTTATGAATTATCTACTCATAATTTTTGAGAAGCACTTTGTAAGTAGTATAACCTTGATTTCAGATTAGCAGACTCATATGGTTGACTCGACGATTAAGGACAATGCTTTTTTTTTTATGGAGATGAACTGTTAATATATTTCCCCTATTTGATACTTGATATTTGTGCCATTTTAACAGATAAAAATTCTAATTTTGTTTTGATTCCTGAGACACAGCCTTATTAGTAATTTGAATGTCTCAGGTGTTACCCAACTGAGTTTGTACAATTTTGCAGGTATCAAGTGATGAAGCAATTGAAACTGCAAAGCTTCTTGCACTAAAAGAAGGTTTGCTTGTAAGTTCTCCCCTTTGGTTTCCAACTGTGATTTAAACAATATGATATCACAGTATTTCTATTGCGTAATCTCCACATCTTCATTTTGAATTCTTCCATTTTTTTTTTTTTTTCCATTTCATTTCATCTGAAAAATGGGAACTTTTGGTTTAGGTGGGAATATCTTCTGGTGCTGCCACTGCTGCTGCAGTTAAGCTTGCAAAGAGGCCAGAGAATGCTGGAAAACTTATTGTTGTAAGTTTGACCGTTGTTTGACCGTTCCCTTCAAAATCTATGATAACTTTCTGACTGCCAAACTTACTTCAAATCTCTACTGGAATCTGGAGTCAATTTTGTCTCCCAATTAATTTATGAAGTTCTTATATGATCCATGAAAAAAATAAAAAACATCAGTTAACTGATTTTACTTGCATCATTTTCATTCTGTGTAACTTAACAACAAAGTTCGACTTATCATCATCTATAAATCTGTGTAGGTGATTTTTCCAAGCTTTGGAGAGAGGTACCTGTCCTCCGTGCTTTTTGAGTCGGTCAGACGAGAGGCTGAAAGCATGACATTTGAGCCCTGAGCTATTCACTGGTGTTAAGCTAGTTTCAAATTGATGCAGTGTTTCAGTTGGTACAAGACAGAAGTTCAGTTACTTCTGCTCATAATATTAGCTTAGACCTAAAAATTTGTAGGATTTCTTTCCTCGAAACAGCATTTTAATGCCTTATATCTTATGTTTGCTATGGTTTGTTAATTAAGCAGCGAGTTCCTCGCGTTATTTTCACAAATGTATTGCAATTATTTGTAATGTTTCTAATATTTATAATTACATAATAATAAATAACTTTTTGTGTTCTCGAGAATGAAATCATATTTCTAAAAGATTGTTATTTGTTTATATAAGTGATCTTCCAAGTTCCATTCTTTAAAGGACTCCATCTGTCGTCAACTGTTTACTCAAGATAAGTGTTGAAGATGCAAATAAATAAGAAATAAATAACATTATGTAAAGACTCCTTATTGGGTACTCCCTGCCCTCTTATATTTGAACAAACCCAAACCTTTCAAACAAGGCCGTCTTTGGAATTTAACTCTACTCTTTAAGAATTCATTTTATATTTTTATAGTTAAATTTCTTAAAAATAAATTTATTTTACATTTTAATAATTAAATTTCTTCAAAAATTTTCAACATGAATAAATTCATTCTTTTATTTTGGATTAATAAAATGAATAATGACAAATTATATATTTGCCCCTAAATTATAAGGTGTATTTTATTGGGTATTTATTATTAAGTGCATTTTAATTATTTATCAATTATTCAAGACATCTATTTTTTATTTAATTACCAACTTTTGACCAAAAAATGAGAAAATATACGTAAAAAGAAAAAAAACCTTTATGTTATGAGCCCTAGGTTTTAGGGGTGTTCAAAACGCAAAGCAGGAGTGCAGGGCTCAACCTGTGAAAAAACAAAGGGCTTTTGCCTATTTGCCTTAAAGCTCTTCCTGCTTGACGAGCTTCTGACTGTTGAGTCGCTGCGACCGGGAAAGTACGACCGTGCCTCTGCGAATCTCTGAATCTCCATTGAGGTTTGCTCTACCTATCAGGTACTGTTCTTTACTGTCTCTGTCAATTTAGGTTTTTCTTTCTTTTTTTTTTTTTTTTATTCGGTTGCTTTTAGTTTTTGATCAACAAATTTTATCGTTCTTTTATATAACTCGTCTCGCCAATCCTCGGTTTTTCTGAAGACCCGAGGAAGTAAGATATTATAATCGTTGCTAATGCTTTCGATCTCTGCACAGCCAGGAAAAGAAATGAGGTTAGGAAATAAATCTATAGTAAATCCGATATTTCGATCTCATAAACCCTAATCACGGATAAACTTTGGGCTAAAACTTTCGTGGGTCATAGGAGATATAAAATTAATGTTCTCATATCTATTGCAAGTTCAAAGGGTAATAGAGAAAAATTCAGTTGCATTTGCCGGCAGTAAGCTGTGCTCTGCTGGGGATGGAGATTATTGAGAAAGATAACACACTCAATTTTATGTGGTTTTATACGTTGAGCAGTGTAGAGTTTAGATTTCATTATCAAATTAAAATTTGCAGAGTAGATGAAAAGCTAAAAAGTATTCTTGGTAAGTCCACTACATTTGGTTGCAGGTTTAAGGGCTTATTATGTATAATGATTGTATTTAACTTGTGGTAGAGATAGTTCTATGAGAGATTATTACCATCATTCTTGCATGAAAAGTTGCTTTTTTCCCATAGGGAATGTATGAAATCACTAAGTTCAAGTATTATCTTAAAAGCTTAGTAAGCTTAGTTGATGATTCAACAAATTACAAATCGTAATTGTGACCTCAATTGCAAGTCCACAATATTCTTTTGGCCTGGAGTTATTCTTCAGGTATGCATTGAACAGCAACTCATGGGTTTGCAAAAGACTTCAGTAACAGTATTTAGAGTTTTGGCATTTGATCTTCTGTAGAATTACGTGGATCACCCCATTTCATCAGTCTTCATTATTTTTCTTTTGCAGAGAATCATGGCTAGCAAAGCTGAAGGTGATCGAAAGGAACCAATAAATGAACAGGCAATTGTGAATGCTTACACTGCACTGAGATCTGAACTGAATCAAATTTACTCAAAGATCACTGAACTTGAAATGGAAGTAAGCGAGCATTCCTTGGTCATTAATGCCATTGAACCACTTGACCCATCCAGGCGGTGCTACCGAATGATTGGAGGTGTACTGGTTGAGAGAACCATCAAAGAGGTCCTGCCTGCTGTCCAGCGCAATAAAGAGGGAATTGAAGAGGTTATCACTAGGCTTAATGAAGCTTTGGAAAAGAAGAAGAAAGAGATCGTTGAGTTTGAATCTAAATACAAGATCAGGATAAGAAAGCCTGAAAATGAGGTGAAGGATGATGGCGGCAAGAAGGAAGGTTCTTCTCAAGGAGTTCTTGTGGGTCCTGCAAGTTCAAGTGAATGATAGATTTTGTAATTTGTTATCACCTTTCTGTAGTTTCTCAGTCTTGTTTGATAAAAATTGTACTTTTTGTTGTGGTGCACCAGCTGTCGGATGGGAACTTTTTGATGATCATGATTGTAGACTGGCTGATATTACTGAAACAGAGATTATATGGATCCTCTTTTGAGTGAGGAGCAACTATTTATGGTGAATTTTTGAAGTACAAGAACAAAAATGTTTGAGAAGTGCTATGATTTTAATAGTGATGTTCCATAAGTGAAGTGTATTACAAATTGACAATTCGAACCTCAGGCAGCAACCTCGGAAATAAGTTGACGAGGTCCAGGTTTTGGGATACACTTTTCAAATGGCTTCCTAATAATATTTTCTGCGGCACTTGTAAATTCATGGAATTGGCCTTGAATTACCCGCATGAAAAATAATCTAATTGAAAGTAAATATTTTGTTAAGCTTAAGATACCTCACTGTATATACGAAAATTCAAATAATAAAATACAAGGAAAAAAAAAATCAATAACTCTATTAGATAATTTGCAGTGTTCTTCTCCTTTATAATAATGGATTTTGTGCAATCTTAGAAATATGAGTTTTGGGTGTTTTGATAGATATTTTCTGCTTAACAAAATATTTGATAATATACAATGATAGTGATTCTGCTTCAACAACTAACTGACATTTGAAAACAGAGTTCTCTCTTAGCCAAAGAAATCCTGAACACCTCTACCAGCAAAAATCCTATCAGACAACTCAGCTAAAACGGCATTGACAGTGAGCAAAACGACGCTAGACCCAGCAATCACACCAAGCACCACACCTGTGGTCCCCAACACCTTACCAAATGCGGGCCATTCTATCTCTTGAACCTCCTCCGCTACTCCGCTCAACAAGTCCCCTTGTTTCTCTTCCTTCTTCCTCTCCAGCATTGCCTTCTTGATCTCCGCCCCTAACTCGCTCACTTCGCCACTCGACTCATTCGATGATTGCGCTTCTTTCGCGGCCTCAGATTCCGTGCTTTCCTGGCTCTCCCCCACGGCTCTTCTTAAAAATGCTCCGTTCCCCGATTTTTGGTTAGTGATCGCAAATTTTCGGTGAAAGAGCACAGAGGAGCCAGCAAAAGGTGGCAATTTGAATTGTATGGAAGGATTTGATTGGGCTGTTGCCACCGGCGGTACGACATGGGGAAGTTTCGGCGAGAGGCTAGGGAGCGCCATTAATTTTGGTTTTTGGAGGTTTTGCCGAAGGAGTCGTATTTTTCTGGTGGATAAGGAATTGAACCTCTCTGTTACAGGTCATGTGGGCCTAGAGTTACTAATTTGGGCCCATATCATGTTTAATGTTGAATCACTTGTATTAGTTGTGTTGCCCAACTTGGTTTGATACTGGACTTTTGGTTGGTTATAGGTTGCAGTAAAATATAGCCCCACGTGTGCATGCTACATGTCACATGGACGGCTGTCGTTTTTTCTGCCAGTAAAAAGGTCGTTTGACAGTGTAGGAAATCTGTATTTGGCGAACGACAGTGGCTAAATTTGGGAAGTTGGCGCGGTTGGATTGATATAAGCGCTGTCGTTCGTTCCCAGAGCCGATCCTTTAAGAACCCCAAAACTTGGAGGTAATTTTACTGAAGCTAATAATTATTTACCACTTTTTTAAATGGTTAAAGTTTACTGTGCATGTTACAATTTCTTGAAACGAATGTGCGGTCGCTTCTTTACATTATTGTGGACACAGTTAAAAAATAAAAAAAGTCAGCAATTCTTCTGCTTAGATGGTTACTATTTATACAGAGAGAAAAGAAAACAAAAGGCTCCTCAGATTAGCATGACAATGATTCAATTTCCGAGGAAGAAAACCCATGAAACAGGAGCTCAAATAGTTGCAGTAACCTTGCAACCACCAAATATCTGCACAAACAAACAAATTATGACACTAACAATCTATCAACTTTCGATAATTTGCATGTGCTGCATGCTGGCACATATATTTGCTTGCAAAACTTGCATAAATCTTGATTGGACGACAAAGCAAAGATCTCTATCTCCAGGAAATCGCTTTTTCCTTTGATTGACATAACTATCCATAACCTGACAACCCTCATCAGATTTGGCTTGGACTTGTATGCCACAGCCACCGATCTCCATTATGTCTGCACTATTTTCAAACTTTGTTTGAGAAATTATTGGATAATGGATAAGACAGCTTTATCCTATAATTTTTTTTATAGATCTGTATACTATTTCACTTCCAAAGTGACTGCTTTCCCCCACCTAATTAGCCAATGAAGAACTTTTATGAGCGATCAAAATTCAATGGAGTTAGTAAACACCTGCTAATAATTAAGATTGGATGCATGCATTATGCATATTTGATGTGCCTCTTCGTGTATGAATAATGTGGAGCTCGCACCAAAAATTCAATCGTGGTCATTGTCAAGAAGATATGGATCTTACCTTTACCTTCATTGATTCATAAACATTGGACCCACTTCAAGATTTTGCCCTATGTATAATGTATCAACTCATGCCTAGTTAGAGGTGAAATCCCTGAAATATATTAACCCAAAAGTTAAAAAACATAAGCTTTTAGTTATTTTATATATAATGACTTGCAAAAGTTGGAGTTGGGCAGTGACAACACATTTTAGGTCTTGCATATATGGTTGGTGGTGGAATTGTCGGCTTTTGTCATATGACTTTCTAAACATATTTGTGTTATCTTTAACTTCTACGGAGCAAGTTTTTCTTTTCATAATCAATCTTTATTAGAATCTAACCAGCCAAAAAGATTGCAATTTTCTATATGAAGAAAAGACAATATTCCTTGATTTGAATAATTCACTTATTATCTCATAATTATACTATACATTTTGGAAGCCGTCCTTACACTTCTGCTCCTGCTCTTGGTCCAAAGTTTGTGTCTTTTATGGTGGGAAAGTGAGAGAGAGAGAGAATAAAGGTTAGCCATGGAAAAAAGTTACAAGATTCTCTTAATTTTTTATACTTGGCCTTACTTGTTTATTGCTAAATATCCAACCTATGTGCATTTGGCCTCATTTCTTTCAGTTGTTATCAATCTTAGAATTATCTTAATTAGCCTTTTTCTGCCTGTTTTCATGCCCTAATCAAAACCAGTAATCAAATGAGGACCGTCGGATTGTTACCTCTACAGGAGACACATTTTGATTTTATAGAACTCCACATCCCACCAAATATACTATACTAAGCCTAAATCAGGACTGTTGCATTAAATAAAAGGAAGCACAAAACGACGAATGGTCTGGTGTTAACCTTACCTAAACCAACTAACTTTTACGGGTAATTATAAATTATGATGAGTCAAAAATATTTCATTCTTTTGTTATATATAGTTGTTATAATTATACTAAGATCTGCCTTTTTCCATCGTTAACAGTAAGTGTATATCTCTTTGGATCCTCTTGGTTTGGTGCTGCTGTGTTCTTTATAAAACTGAAAAAGAACAAAATCACTTTCAATTCGAGTTTCTATAGTAGTGCTCTCCTTACTTGCTTTTTGCCATGCGAGTATTGCGACACATAGGGAGGCTTTCGATGCACCTTTTTTATGGGATTTTCCAGGATTGATTCGACTTCATCATGCTTCAAAATTTGTGCTTATCATGTTAATTGAACTGCATTAATCCTTATGAAATGATATACTCTCTGGCTAATAACCTTATTATGATTGGTTTCCCTCAGTATTCTTTTCAAGAGAATGATTTACTTAAACCAAATAAGATGCATCAAACAAATGAAAATTATTTTATTGCGGACATGTTGAAATTTTTAATAATTAACTGAAAAAAAAAAATAATTGAGGCAAATACTTGTCCAGACCTGATTTATGTTGACCCACCTATAGACTAAACTAATGAAAATAAAATTTCATAAAGTGAAAGTAATTTTTAAAAAATCTATAGTGTAATAGTTTAGTCTATTGGTTTCACATGTACGGTGGTTAGACAAGTTTTATCCTATTTTCAAAATGTGTAAATTAACTGAGAAATTTTGAGCTTATATTTACATAGCTTGATAGAACTAATCAGTGTAATCCTTTCAAGCAGTGGAGTACAAAAGTTTTTTTATCTTCTCAACAAGTGTACTTTCATATATTGAACTTGTATTCTCAACTTTATGAGACGACGCGGCTTATTACCCAAACTAAATTTCACCCTTATGCCTATAAGGTATTTAACACTGAACCTAACATGTTGTTAATAAAATATTGTATGTATTAGTGCGGGTCTTCTTTTGTCATTAGAATTTCATTCAAGTCTATGTATTGTCTTGATTCATGATTTTTGAATTGAAGAATTCTAAAGTGAGTAATGATTCATATACCCAAATGATGATTTTATATCATTGATTAATTCAGGGTCAGGACTTAATTATGCATGTTTCAAATGCAATGAACTTGCTATTAATGTTTCTTTATATGTGAATTTTATCCCTCAAATCATATGAATGGTTCCTCCATTAATTTACAGAAACTAACGTGCGCGAACTCACCGTTCCTATATTCGATTAAAAGTACGATGGTACTGCAGAAATCAAGTTTTGCTTTAAAGCAGTAATGTCCTAACAGAGAATAGAAACCACATACAGCCACCAACAATGTTGTGAAAAAATCAGGTGTACTGTCCCTATGAAATAGTTCCTTGGTACTTGAGATTCAGGACCACACAGCAGACCAATTCATGAGCGATTTGGGAATTTCAATTTCCATTTAACCAAACTCAATAATTTTACGGAGAGAGAGGAAAAACAATTATGAATAGGAACAATCATCAATTTAAAAACAAGATTAATCTTATAAGATATAAATTTACAAAACGAGACTCGTTAGAAAAAAAAATAATAATAAGAGAAACATATGCATCTTGTCATTTGGCCTCTTATAAACATAATTTGACATCGAGAATTTAACAATCTCCACGCTTTTCTTGGTTTCAATTTCCAAATTAACAAATTACATTTTACTTTTGTCTTCTTGCATGACAACAACCTTTTCTTTCTTTCTTTCTTTCTTTCTAACCAAAGACAAAGTAACTCTTCATTAAACTAAGAAAAGATATTGATACTAAATATTTTACACCAACCAATGTGAAATATTATGCCGCCGCCGGCCTTCAGGCTTCTGGAGGGTGTCCGATTCCGACGAAGAGGAGGATAGTAAGCAAATAATTATATCAGCAAAAGCACTAATAATAAACTTATGAGTGTGTTTAGGGTTTAAGCTAAGATAACAAGAAAGCAACTCATGCAAATAATCCCAATCAGCTTTCACGTCACTTAGCTTTCTTGCTTCAATCATTTCTTGCATCGAATGTTTAAAATCGCTGTAAGGATCTGGTGAGTACTTTTTAACGGCAACACCTCCGGTGAGCGGTATTACTTCTGTTTGGGACTCTGACTCCGGTATCGTTTCCGGGGACTCGATGATAGAGTTTGAGCGGCCAGGAGACGAGAAGAAGAACCGTTGAGAAGCGAAGATTGCAGCGAAATCGAGTGGTGAGTCGGTGTCGGAGTCAGAGTCAGAGGAAGAGAAAGAACTTAAAGATTTGGAAGTGGAAGCTGAGGAGAGGTCATAGAAGGAATTACTGAAGTTATTTATAATAATAGATGATGCGGTGGTGGAAGGCTTGGCAGTGGCGGTGGTTGTGGTTGTGGATGATTGTAATAAATGGGTATGTTCTTGTTGTATATTTAATGGATGTGGGGATGTGGCTGTGGTTGTGGTGCTGGCCGGTAAGCATTTGAGGAGGTTCTTCCAGAAGATGTTAGACATTTTTGAGAGAAAGTGTATGTGAGAAAGAGAAGTATAGTTTGTCTAGTGAAACCAATATGGAGATAGATAGAGAGAGAGAGAGAGAGAGAGGAAATTAAAGTGGGTGGTGGGGTTATTTATTTGATCTGCTAACAGAGCACTCTGTAAGGCCATGAAGGAAGCTGATGTTAAATATTTATTTATTTATTTTTATTTTATTAACTTTTAATATCAAACAAAATTAAAGTGTAGTAATTACCATAATTTGATTGGTACGTCTATTTTGCTACCAAGAAGTATATTCAGAAATTAAATTTCAAGTCTAAGCTGGAGTTTATTTAAATATCACCTTCGGCTTAACTATAATTGCAAAATAAATAATACTGTACAATTTAAAAATAAAAAAAAAAAGAGATGAAATGTCTTATTATTTTGTAGTATGCAAATATCAGGTAAAGAATAATTTTTTATTTTTTAATAATTTAATAAATATTTAATTGGTTTAATTCAAATTGAAATGTTGAATAGTATAACAGGGAACTCATGTATTTCCCCTTAAAACAATTAAAAGGGCAGAGAAAGTAAAAATAAAACATACGTAGATATAGATTAAATGTACAAAATTTTTCTGCCCAGACGTCACCATGTGCACATGTCTTCACAGAGTTGAGCAACATAGTTGATAGTACTGTGCTTTTGCATGAGATGCTTACGTTGTCCTGGGTCAACAAATGTTTACACGTATTTGTACTTGGTATCCATTATTATTGACCATCTTATCATTATACATAGTTTCTACTTCTAGTAATGGATTATTCAATTGAATTTCATCCTCAAATAATCTTAAAAAATTCAAAAAAGCATGCATGTTGAACTAATTAATATATATATATATATATAAAATTATGTTTGTATCCATCGCCTTATTTTGTTTTATTATGTGATTTTTATTTGCGTAAAGAGTAAGATATTTTAAATTCTGAATCATCTTTATCGTCAAAATTTTTATTAAAATTTAATAAATCAATTAATTAGTCTTCTGAGTGTTTGAATTTATTCTGTGTAGACACGTAAGGATGTTGGATCGAGTAGATCATCTACAAGCCTTAGAATTATTGCGGGAGAGAGACAAACGTTTAGCCAGTGATTTTCATGAGAGCCTTGCGTAAAGGCGTTATGTAAAAAATAACTTCAATTGCTAGATTAGATGTGTAAGAAATACATTTTCTGTAAGGAAATACATCTTCTTGCAATGAAAAGCAAAGTCACAAGAAACGCTGAAATTTCTTGCATTCACTTCTTCTCCAAAAATTTATCTGCAAGATTCCTAACAACCTTTCACCAAATGAAATTGCTCTGTTCCGGAAGACCTGTTATCAAATTCTTTTTTCTTCTACGTAATTTTTAAGTGTTAATTTTCCATCTTTCCTACTATTAGCTCACCCGTTCACTAATTTTCCATCTTCATATTATCTGAAGCCACAAAATCTCTAGCAAAAATCAGCAACTGATCGAGCAATGAACATCATGAGCTAATTAAATACGTACATAAACTTTTTACTTTCTGAGTACAGAAACCCATAAAAGATTTATTTTGAGCATCTTTTATCTGCTAAAAGCAGAGAAAGACAAATGCGAGTGGGAGGCAGAGGCAGTATGCGTAAGAAACCCAAACTGTCATGGCTTTCTGGTGGGGTGAGCTTCAGCGTCACTCTTCATTGTAGCTTATTAAAGTCTGTTACATTCGCGAGCGTATGTGTATGTAAGAGAAAAAGTGGCTCTGCCTCGCAAGATAAAGGCATGCATGTCCTTCTCTTTATAACTTTGGTCCATTAAATATATACTGTCATATAATTCAAAATGCAAAAATAAATGTCTTTTGAAACTTTCTGACTTTTACTTCGGGTGTGTACAATTAACTTTGTTTGGAACTTTTTTGGACCCACTTGTATGCTATATCTTGTTTTAAGGTGGTTTGGTTTGTTAGCCCCAATCTTATCTTGTTTTGGCCATAGGATGTTTGTCCATGTATATGGTACAATTGATTCTTGTTCTGAAACTTACATCCACTGCTGCTCCAAACCCTGGCCAAAGATCAAATCTCTAGCATTTTACCGCTGCTTTTTTAATTCATCCCTCATAGAAAATATTTAAGTCTCATAAATTATAATTTCCTGCTGCAGACAGACAGATAGAAAATTTATAAAACAAATTAACAAAACAAATTGACAGATAGAAAATTTATAAAAGAACTAAGATTGCCTTGCCTGAATCGAGAAACAGATAGAAAATTTATAAAAAAATTGAAATTACCTTGCCTAAACTGATATCCGAGATCTGAAACATAGAACTGGTCTAAATAAATATAATAAAAAACAAATGACAATAACATGTAGGGGGAGGGGCGTTTTATAAATTTGCATCTTAATCTAAAAAGATGAAGATACAAAAGATTTGACGATAACATGTTCAAATTGGGCCGCCTCCTTGCAGGGGAGAGGGGCATGTCCTAGATTTGGGCTTCATTGCAGGCCCCGACACCACTCTTTAGAAACACATTCATCAACCATCATTGCAAGTGGAGAAAATTCTCTCCATCAATCACAGAAACAGCATATACATTTGGGAGAGAAAAGATTACTTCGTCTCATTGTTAAAGAGAATGCTATAACATGCAAAACAGGTTACAGGTACATGTAGACTGAACATAAAACTCGGTGCCATTTCTATGTCCGCTTCGAGAAGACACTTGTTATAAGTACATACGCAAATACACTCCTACACACAAGGGGAAGTAACAGAACAAAACAAAGCAAACATCATATACAAACAAACACCATTCATATTAGTAACTCTTCATTAGTGTATCAGTAGTTAATGGTCTCATTAAGCCTAGCAGCTGTCGTCATTGACACCGCAACACCACCTGGATGCGTGTTTAAATTCGGATTGTTCCTCAACTCTGCACTAACCACCCCTTCAGCATCTGCCCTTGTCACGACCTTATCCGCCGCCAATTTCGAAGTTGCACCCTGCACCCACCCGAAATGTCACATCCATGCTACCTTGTACTTAATTAAGTGCATTAGTAATGACAAAATTAGTAACAAATTCCGGTTACCGATAGAACGTCGGCGAGTTTAATCTTTTCCTCAGCGCGATTCGTAGCGGCATTGTAAGATGCGGCAGATTGAGCTGTGGCTGCGATTCCACCTGGTACAATAACATTGCTGCCAGTTGCTCTTACTTCTGCCTCTTGAATTGCGGCAGCATCGCTCTGGTCCACTGCCTTGTCACCAGCTGTTTGTGCTGAGGCTTCCAGCGCTTCTCCTATAGTAATCGCATTTTGGACGTTCCCCGCAGCCAGGCCTTGCACTGGAGTAACTTCTACATATTGCCCAACGACCTTCCAATAAGATCATTAACAAAGGTATAAGTACAAAATCCCAAAAATCTTTAAAAAAAGGGAGAGATGGTAGAACAAAAAGGTGACCTGTCCCGCAACTCTTTCAGTGACTATTCGAGCTCCCGGGACGTCAGCTTCCATGACAGTGACGCCTCGTTCACTAGCAGCATCAGTGGCCTCGCGGTGACCGACAAGACCAGATCGCTCATTAACAGTTGCAGCAGCTTGCATGGAGGCAGCTGCTCCACCCTTCTGGGTCTGTCCAAACACCCTAGTTTCAGCACTCTGCATCATATTAGCATCCTCCGGCGCTATAGGCTCCTTTGCAAGGTCCCCGGTGACGTTAAACACATCGCCATATTTGATTGGTTCTTGCTCTTCCCTACTCCAGCCTTGTTGCATCTGTGACCGTGGCTGGTCTAGTCCGCTTTGCTGCGGACTCTGTGGCTGTCTCTGGCTCATCTTTGACGACTTGATATGCGCCAACACCAGTGCTTTGCTTTTTCTGGCTTGAATCGACACTTCGGCTCAGCTATTTGAGTTCAAGAAGAATGAAAGGGAAAGATTGATATTTATAGGTAGCACGAGCGCGGAAGATGAATACAGAAACGTGGCCTTAGGTGACAATGACACGAGTTAACCGAACAGTTAACTGTTTGCTTGTTACTGTGCACGTGGTGTATCTTTGGCTGAGGTGTCAACTGAGGAGACGTTGATGCTGCAAATTTGGAAGTTGGTGACACTTGGCATAAAATCTAACAGGTGGCCTCTAGCCAGGGCTGCACATGGGAGATGGACATGGTTTAAAACTTTAAATTAATTACTCCCAGTCTTTTTTTCAAAATAAAAGTATTTTTAACCATCCACGTAAAGAAATAAACGAAGTATTTCAATCCATCAGAATTCCTAATAAATAGAAGAAATAAATAAAAAGATTTTTTTAAAAATTTTATTTTTGTCAATCTGTCCATGAAACACGATAAATCAAGATTTAACAAATCCAATTTAATACCTTATTACTCTATTAAAATTATTTACATTAATTATTTCAATAATATATGTAAAATTTTATTTGGATTAACCATTTATAGAAAATAAAAATTTTTAATAATTTTAAATGAAATTCTTATATTTAATTATTTGTTTTAAAATTTTGGATAAATTTTAAACTAATTGCTGCTCGCAACACATTTAATAATTAATGATTTATATATTTTTTTTGGTAAAAACCAAATTTAAAAATGTTTAAGTATAAATTAAAAAAGAAAAAGAATTACAAACAGAAACCAAGACAATATTCCAGGAGGAAAAATAAAATAAAAAAATGAGCAGAATAAAATGGTTGTTATGCTAATATTTTTAATCTAATTTGCATCTATCTTAATCTTGTTCTTTATTCAAGCAAGTTTTCTTTCACAAAATTGTTTGAAGAGCATGTCTTTTTCAATCCAATAGTAGATTTTATACGAGAAGTCCTGTACTCTTGTTTCCTATTAGCCTTTATTTAGCAAGCTGCTATAAAATACAAATAAGAATATATTTACCCAAAAGAAGAGTGGTCGTAAAATTTGTTAAACAATGAGCATAAAATTCATCCCACGGTAAATATTGACTGTCTAAACTAGCTATAACAGCGGTTTATATATTTTTGGAATCAATTAGACAGTTAATGCGGTTGTTGAGAGTCTTCCGATCCTCCCATGCTTCAATCTCAATCTTGGCCAGCCATTAGAATATAGAGCATAAATGAGCAAACTAATATCCTTTCCGTTCATTTTTTAGGCTGTTTGTTAATGGCGTCTATTTTCTTTTCTATTATGATGATCAACCATCGCTCCTGTATCAAATAAAATCGACCATTTTTTTTAGGGTTCCTATATAATTTTCCCTTCTTAATTTGTTAACTCCAGAAACCCTAATTATACAATGACAATATTGGACAGTTGTATGGGAACACACGTCCTGGTCTTCCCTTATCCAGCACAAGGACACCTGATACCTACATTAGACCTAACCCACCAGTTAGCCACCAGTGGTCTAACCATAACCATCTTGGTCACCCCAAAAAACCTCCCTCTCTTAAACCCTATTCTCTCTAAACACCCATCGATCCAAACCCTAATCCTTCCTTTCCCTTCACACAATTTAATCCCACCTGGAGCAGAAAACGCCAAGGACTTACCACCAAATTATACCCCTATCATTGCACAAGCTCTGTGCCAACTCTATGAACCTTTGCTTGACTGGTTCAAATCTCACCCTTCTCCGCCTCGTATAATAATATCTGACATTTTACTTGGTTGGACCCAAACTCTTGCTTGCCAGCTTAACATTCGGAACATCGTGTTTTCACCTTCAGGTGCTATGGCGTTGTCCGTTATTTATACTTTATGGACGAATTTGCCTAAGAAAGACATTAATGACCAGGTTTTACTTTCGAGTATTCCGAACTGTCCAACTATTCGTTGGGAGAATATCAGTTCTATGTATCGTAACTACATTAAAAAAGATGATTCACTTTCTAAGGTTTGGATGGATTTATTTCTTGGTGACATGGCGAGTTGGGGACTCATTTTCAACTCATTTTCTGAGATGGAACGAGTTTATTTGGACCATTTGAAGAGGCAATTGGGCCATGATCGTGTGTGGGCAGTAGGACCTTTGCTTCCTTGTAACGATAAAGATACTGGTGCTTGTAGGCCAGCTGAACGAGGTGGGGCCAGTTCTGTTTCTGTGGAAGGTGTGACAACATGGCTTGACAAATGTAAAGATCATAGCGTGGTTTACATCTGTTTTGGGAGTCAAGCTGTGTTGAGAAATAGTCAAATCGCGGAGATTGCGTCAGGATTGGAAAAAAGTGGAGTCCATTTCATTTGGTGTGTAAAGGAGCCCACTGCAGCACAAGGAAGCGGAGGATCGTACGGTAGGATCCCATCCGGATTTGAAAATCGTGTGGCAGGGAGAGGACTTGTAATAAGGGGATGGGTACCACAGGTTGTGACTTTGGGTCATCGAGCTATAGGCGCGTTCTTGACTCATTGCGGGTGGAACTCGGTCCTTGAAGGGGTAGTGGCTGGTGTTCCAATGCTGGCTTGGCCGATGACGGCTGACCAATTTTCTGATGCTTTTTTACTGGTTAATGTCTTGAACGTGGGTATAACTGTATGTGAGGGTGCAGATACTGTGCCTAACTCAGCTGAGTTGGCTAAAGTGTTCGTGAAATCAGTGAGTGAGAACCTGGTTGAAAGGACCCGAGCAAAGCAACTGAGTAAAGCAGCACTTGATGCTATTAAAGATGAAGGGAGCTCCGCGAAGGATTTTGATTGTTTGGTGCACCATCTGGTTCAAACGAAACTACAAACTAGTTAATTCATTTTTACACCAATTAAAATATATTAAAATTGTAATAATTTGATTAAGTGATTGTTATTTGTCTAATGGAGAAGTAGAGATACAAAACACAAACAACAGCTCAAAAGTAAAAACAAAAATTCACAGCACATTTTGGAAATCTCAGTACAAATTATTACTCTTGTTTATTTATCTTTCCCTCTTCTACTCCATTATACATTAACCACATTCCTGAGTGGAGTGCAATTTTATCCATCACGACTTGCAACCTCCAATCCATTACCTGCAAATTTACACAGAAAGCAAGAGTCTTCTAATAATGATCTTCAAACTTACTAAACACTTAACTTAGGAAAACAAGAAATTATGGAGTAGTTATAAAAGCTTACCATCAGGATCAAAGAAGAAGACCTGCCTAATTGGTCGACCAGGAACAGACCTTTGAAATGTTTCAATTCCCTTATCCTGAATTTGACATTACAGTTTAGCCACTTCATGAAATATATTCAGGACAAAGGAAACAAAAAAGAGTACCAATAACCCATAAAGATTTGAATTTGTTGCCAGAAAAAGACAGGATATTGCCCGATGTCTCAAAACAATTCAAAGGTCCTTACTTTATGCAAGCCAAAAGTAATCAAGTCCCCCATTCTTGCAATATATAAATTTCCAGGTTTTGTAGATCACTATGTAGAAACTAAAGTTCCAATATTTATTCAAAATCTTTTTTTTTTTTTTTTTTTAAAAAGACTACTATTTTGGGAGTTCTATCTAGCTACCGATTCTGGCATATGGCTGCTAAATTCAACATATCTATCTATTAAATTTCAAGAACTGAATTCTACTATCATCAATTCAACATTTAATTAATTCATCAAAGATTAGGGTAAACCTTGAGAGTTTGAACAAAGGAATCGAAATTGGAAACGGAGAAGCAGATATGATGGCCTCTGGGGAGATGGCTAGGATCAAGAACCGGTGAAGTGGCGCTGTACGGGCCTTCCGGAAGCTTCGTGATAGAGCTTCTCTCTATTAGGTGGAGAGAGAATGCTTGAGGGAGATTAAGCCATATAACTTTGAATTCTCCGAAATCTGGACTCTCAATCTCCTCAAACCCAAAGATCTTTGAACACCAACAAATTGCACAAATCAGTTGCCAGAGCACAGATAGTAACTACTATAAAGAAATGAAAGATGGAGATTGCTTAGACCTCTTTGTAGAAGTTAGCAAGGCGCCTAATATCCGATGATTCTCTCGAGATATGGTTGAGAGAAGCTTCTCTCGCTACAGCCATTTTTCAAGCCCTTCCAGTTCAGTTAGTGCTTTACCCACCTTATTTCGCGTGTAGACTGTGGAAGAAACCGACCTTGTTTCGTGGATGCGTAGCCAAGCGGTACTTTTTCTCTTAATAATAATAACAAATAAATTTCTGTAGGATTCTTTTTTTTTTTTTTAAGTTTTTTTCATAATTAACATTATTTTTTTAAGTCCGATGCTATTTTATTCTTTATGAGAAAACATAGATTAAAATCCAAAAAATCCAACCTTATCGATGTAATTTGATCTTTTAGTTCTATTATTCGAGTTGATTGATTCAGTTTAATTTATAATTTTAACTAACTTTGGTTTTTCTTTTTAATTTTTTAATTTAATTCAAGTCAAAATGTCCCCAATTCCGATTCGGTTAAAAAAAAGTTATATTAAATGATAATTAAATTCTAAAACTGTTTGTGATTCATTCAAATCATCACCAATAATCTCTGCAAGAACACTTGCTACTCTGGAAGTGATGAAATCGACTGTTATCCCGGACAATAATTTCCCTGCCAACAATGCCTGAGATAAATTTAAAGGCGGTGTGACAATCACCGCAGATCCTAAGGTTTTTGGTGATTCTTATAGGCACTCCAGGAGGGATAGCTATAAGGCCAAAAGCAAGGGCTATTTTCTCACTGTGGTACCAAACTTCTGTCATTTTCTCTTCTTCTTCTAAATCATAAAGTGCATAATTTGTATCTGGTACGTAGCCAGCTGCCTTCATTTCCATTCTTAACTTAACTAGCATTGCCTGTATTTCGTAGTTCATTGCATGGGATGTATCCTTTGCTTGGAATACGTGAACTCTATTCTTTGCAGTCAGCCAACTGCAACCTGCACCCTTCTTGATTCCAACATCCATCATTTCTTTTCTCACTAGGGTGGCCTCCTCCCATCTAAATTAAGTTTCCAGAAAATTGGTTAGGAAGTGGAGATGAAAAGACAACAAAAAACGGAAATTTGAAAAATCAAAGAGTGAAAGAGAGATGTTGAAAGCAGCAACTCGTAAATTTTGTGGGAAAGTAATGGTTTTCACACAAAATATCATCCAGGGACATGTTAGATTTGTGCTGAGATATGAATAAGAACTCATTGTATTCAACTTTCGTGTTAGCAAGTTCTAAAGGCACTGAAATAGTGCAGAAACACAATAGAGATAACAGCTGATGATTTTCTTTTTCCTTCCAGGAACAACTTGCAATTCCAATCATGAAGCTCCTATAGAAAGACTAGTTTTATGCTTGCGGTTGTGGGAGGTATTGTAGTAGAGAAATGTGTTCAGATAAAACTTTCCTGCTAAAATAAAATCCTAAATAATACTACTTTCCAGTATCTCCTAGTTCCCAAGTATACCCACTTAACCGCTGGATGTCGTAACATAATCCTAGCAGTAATGGTCGATAAAATTTAGACTGATGTTCTGAACTTCAAAAGAGATATGATAGATGACAAGGATAAGCCATGTGCACTTATGTCCAAGGATTCTATATTTTGAAGAATTCAAATCAAAGATGTCCCCAGTCCAGATAATTCAGGAGCAAATATTGTGCACTCTAGTTCATGGACTATAAACCAGATATGACAGAAGACAGATAAATTAACTATAAGAATCTCGAAATTAAATGCTTTCATTACTTCTCACAACATTAACTTGAAAGAAATAATGGGGTATATAAACGATCATCCTACCTGCCAACAGCAGCAAACATATTTGAAAGCAGAACATGGTTGCCAGAATCTTTAGGATCAAGTTCAAATAAGTTATCAGCTGCAAGTTTCCCCAATTCTGGCTTCCCATACACCCTGCAAGCATTTAAAAGTGCCCCCCAAACCTCAATTGTTGGGTGAATGGGCATTTTCTGCACGAACTCATAGGCATGTTCTACCATTCCAGCCCGCCCTAACAAGTCCACAATACAAGCATAATGTTCCGCCCCTGGTTCAATACTGTATCGGTCCCTCATTGACTCAAAAAGCTCCATGCCCAATTCAACTGCCCCTCCCCTGCTACAAGCTGACAATACACATACCATGGTCACATAGTTTGGTGCCACCTCAGATGTCATTTCTTCAAACACTCTGATGGCCATATCAGCATGTCCTTGGTGTGCATACCCACTAATCATTGCATTCCATGTAACTAAATTTCTCTCAGGCATCTCTTGAAAGGCTTGCCTACAATCCTCAATACTTCCACATTTCCCATACATGTCAACCAGGGCGCTGCCAACAAAAATATCATCCTCCAAGCATGCTTTCAAAGCAAGTGCATGGACTGACCGTCCCAATTCAAGGGCTGCAAAGCCCGCACAAGCACTGATAACACTAGATACCATATAATTTGTTGGCTCAACTCCTTCTTTCCTACCCTTCAAAAACAACACACATGCCTTCTCTTTCTCTCCGTTCTGCTCAAAAGCAGCCATCAAGGAGCACCATGAAACAGCATTCCTCTTATCCATCTCACCAAATACCATCTCAGCCAATCTAACCTCTTTACACTTCCCGTAGAAATCAATAAGTCCATTTGAGACAGACATGTCCATTTCAAAGCCAGTTCGAATCACAAACCCATGCAACTGTCTCCCAAGGTCAAAATACTGTGGATCCACACATGCATTGAGAAATGCGCAAAAAGTTATGGAATCAGGCTCTCCACCCACCCGACGAAACTCTATAAATGCATTGACAGCATTTTCGTGCCTCCCGTCAAGCACCGCATTAGAAATATACGCATTCCATGTAGCAACATTTCTCTCAGGGAGTTCATCAAACAGTTTCTGTGCTTCATGTTTAAGCCCTGTTTTCGAATACATATCAAAAGCACTACAACCAACAAATACATCATTGATTTGCCCAAACTTAACCGCAATAGCATGAACCTGTCTTCCTACGAAGGGTGATCGCAGTAAAGCAGACGCTTTAAATGCGCAAGGGAAAGTGAAATCGTTGGGTTGAATATTTTCACGGCGCATGTTAAAGAAATGGAGTAATGCGGATGAGAAATGACCATTTTGAACGGAGCCAGATATAAGAGCAGTCCAGGTGACAACGCTGCGAGTTGGAGTGAGTTGGAGGACGAGGTGAGCGGGATTCGGGAGGTCAAGTTTGGAATACATATTGATAAGGTGGTTGGCGAGAAAGGGAGGCAGTGGAGATTGAAGGCTCTTCATAGCCTGCGCATGAACAGCTCGACCTAGGAGGGAGGAGCGAGTTGAGACTGCAGATTCGAGAAGTGATGCGATTGAATTGGGGGTGAAAGAAGGCATGTGTAGTTGCAGTCATGGCTTGTCTTGGTGGCGCCAAAGTTCAAAAGCTTCAAGCTTTATAAAAGACCTTCAATAAAACGATAGATGGGCTTGGTCACCTATGACCCAGTTGTTTTCAGTACATTGAGTTCTGTACCGACCGATTAAAAAAGAGCTCTTTTTTCGTGCCACAGGAACTGAAAAAGACTCGTGGTCTCTGCGAATTCGCCGTGACTTTCTCTAATCTCTATCAATTCCCAGCTTTTTGCGGGTTTTTGATCTTCACACATTAACAAACAAGGAGATAATTAGCGAAGCATCCCTTCTCTTTCTCTTTCCCTGGATCGCTCTTTCTTTCTGTGTAAGGAGGCAAGGGAAGAAGGTTTTCGCGAGAAGACAGAGAACAGAACGAAATGCCAAAAAACTCTCTTGATAAAAGAACCATTACTGATTTTATCGTTACACAATGGAATCCATAAGCAAAAACAACCATCTTACTGTCCAAAAAAAGCCAGAGGCTGTCTCTTATCTCCAAAAGGATATCGCTTTGCTACTTTCACAATGGAATGGCCTGCAAATGGCGGTTGAAAACCAGTGGGGCGGCCAGGATTCCCTCCAGAAATCCCACCAGCTCGCCACCGATATATTGTCTTGGTTCTCTCATTCTATAGGCTATAAACTAATATAATATAATTTCCTTCTCATTTAAATGTTGCTGAATTTGGTTTGGCACAATCGTGTCTCGATGGGAATTTTTTTATATGTATAATTACAGGACCACTTTATGTCGAAGATTTGGAGAATTTGCTCCATGAAAGATTATTGCTTTCTTTTAACACAGAGGTTGAGGATGGTAGCATTGAGAAGGTGTGTACATCTTTTTTTTTTTTTTTTTTTTTTTTTTTTTTTTTTTTTTTTTTTTTCTTTATTTTTTTTTTTTTTTTTTTTTTTTTTTTTTTTTTTTTATTATTCTCAGTTCTCTTTAATTTTTTTTTTTTTTTTTTTTTTTTTTTTTTTTTTTTTTTTTTATTATTCTAGTTCTCTTTAAATTAACCTTTTAGTTGTTTCCTTCTTCAATTGTAAAAATGTCGTTATTTTCTATGGATTATTGTTGTTAAAGATGTTGGTTCTGATTCAATAATATAGTCCTAATCAATGGTCTTGTAAGTTGCAGTAAGCTACTCTTACTAAATATCTGATTTCCGGGTTAAAATCTATATTCTTACGTGTTCTTTTGAAGACATTTGATATCATGGCAGACACATTTTTTTTACTAATTTTATGCGCAGATTCAATCAACATCATGCATGGAAGTAAAAAATTGTACTCCCTTTTTTTTTTTTTTTTCCCTTCTCCTAATTACCCTATATGGAAATGAATGGGAAGAAAATAGATCCAAAGGTTTTCCCTTTCACAGACCACGCCATTTCATGAATTCGCTGGAATATATAAGCCAGATGCTTAGTTTTATGGCAGAAAAAGAAATGATGTCCTTCCACTGATTGAAGTTCAGTGTCTAGGAAGCTTTTATGATTCGTTTTTATGCATCTCCATTCAAGCTTCTTGTCTGTTTCTGCTAATAAATCATTGCAACTCGAAGCAGGTTGCAGAACAACTGATAATGATGCATGAAGAATACTTACTTGGACAGAAAGCATTAGATAAAAAATGAGCAGTCTGACATTTCGAAGAAAAAGTTGATCAAAGGCTCAAAGAAACAAATATTTCAATGTGTATAAAGAGAATGAATCTATCCTGTATTTATGAACTCATAACTTGAGTTTCCAGATGCAGATTTTGATGTCCATAAGCAGCCAACTTACTTACAGATTCTGTGATTTTGCCATTTGCCTCATTTGTTGAAGAGGGAACATCATGGAAAACATTTTAATTGCAGTTTTTCTTCTAATTTCATTCTGTCATGCATCATCCTCACTTACTAATCTTTCTCTACTGTTTTAGTTGCAATATTGTTATAAAAGTTTGTAGTTAATTACAATATTATTACAACTCCAGTGGCTGCTGTAATCTTATCAATTCCTTGAAAAACTGATGCTACTCCCCCCATTATTGTAGGTTTAGCTTAGACTTTTGTGCCGATTAAGAAAATATAGTTAATATGGTTAAACCATAATTTTCATTTAATTTTTTTTTTCTAATGTACCAATACATTAAATATTAATGGTTTATGGAATTGATTAATATAAGTGGTAATCCTTTATTTATTTCAGATTTCATTTAATGGTAACAGTTAATTAATGGTAGCAGTACTGTATTTTGTTAATAAAAATGCATATTAAATGAGAGGTTTGGAAAATTAGAGTAAAAATTATTCTTTCTAAATCTATCTTTAAAAATGTTTCGCGCGAGTTTAGACAACGCGCCAATTAGCACGTGATGTGAGAGTGAGACTAAGTTAAAATCAATGACCAATTGGGCCTCTTTCTCTTTTCGGTTATAAATCCTCGCAACGGGACCGAATGGATGAAGGTCAATTCACTAAGGGCAACACGGATATTTTACTATTCCACCGTCCATATCGAGTCTCTCCCCCTTACTTTACCACTTCCCAGCTAACAGCTCTCCATTTCCTCACAACTGTGGTGTTCGGTCGCACCAGTAACAGTGAACAAGTACAATTTGACGCTGATTCAATTTTTTTTCGCTTTTCTTGATCCTAATTTTCTTTTTCTTTTTTCTTCTTTTTTTTTGGTAATTTTTTTCCAGTTGCTGGATTTTGGTGTCATGATGACCGATTCTGATCCCTTCCCCCTGCCTTCAGATCAAGTGGAAGAGTATGCTCCAGAGTAAGATTTTGAGTCATGATCTCTGACTCCGTTCTGATATTGTTATGTCGTACTAATCCACTCTTAATCTTTTTTAATGTTACTTTACCAAGAAGATTAAACCTTTTGTACTCTGTACTTGTCCGTGTAGCAGAGTGAAATTCATTACTTAATTAACTGATTTGCTTTCTTGAAACTTTAATTGAGAAATTTAGATGATGCAAACTTATAACATTATGAATATTTAAATGATACAAAATAGTAATGTTTTGTATATCTTGAACTTGTAATGAAGAATCTTTATTCTACCATTATTTGATTTCAATGCCAGTGGTCAGCCGAATGAACAATTCATGAAGAATGAGGAATTTGTGCAGAACGAGCAATATTTGCATGATGATCAGTTTGTGCAGGGTGTTGCGAATGATGTCCTGAATCAAATTAATAACGAAATTAATGGCAGCATTAATCAGGCAGAGGAGAATAACTTGCTCTGGCCCGTTCTACCTGGTGAATCTGGTGAAGGGTTGCCTTATGCTCCCATTGATTGGCCATATCCTGGTGATATATGGACCTGGAGGGTAGGAAGGAGGTTTAACAGTTCTGGCTACTTCCAAGATAGATTTCTATATCTTCCAAAACGTCTTGGCAAACAATCTTTCGCCAGCAAGAATGCAGTTGCAAATTATATTAGTAAAGAATTTCCAGATGCAGATATTGATTCTTTTTTTGCATCCTTTGCTTGGAAGATCCCCGCAAAAATTGAATCTACGGCCAAAGGTTCTCTTAAATTTTTTATTATCCTATTTGCTGATATTTCTAGTTCAGTATTTGCAAGCATTTCCTAACTGATTTAAAATTTTTAATATGTTCTTGCTGCTTTTTCATATAGGGACAACCAAATTTCTTTTGCATATTTTTTTACCTGATTTAGTTTATAGGGAGAACCCTAGTTTTTGGATTAAGGTTTAGTCTAGTGAAGGTTGTGGTTTCATGAAAGTTCAAGTTTAGAGTTGCTTGTGAATTATCCATGAACTTAAGAAATGCAAAAATGGGAATATCATGATTAATGAAAATGGGAAGCATGTAGCTAAATTTAGGAAACTTGAACTAGGAATCAATCAGAATCAAGGAGGAAACTTCACAATCAATGAGAGCTTTGGCCATTCCATAATTGTCACAGAACTATGGCTGTTCCATAATTGTGGTTTTATTTTCATTTCATAATATTGCCAACTTATCTAGTATCATGAAGTGTAATGTCTTAAGTAAATCAATTCTGATAAATGCGCATTACATGAAACACTAATGAACACATTGCAAAATTTATAGACTTGTAAATCATTCAAGTATTATTTTCATTTGTTTTCCACCATTGATAACCTTTTAGTTAACCAGATATTATATACAAAGTGATGATAAGAACCTGGTGGTTGAAGAGAAACTTAAGTTGGGAGTTTTATGCTTGATTGCAATTTATCCTCAGACGGAGCTACAAGAGACTTTTAACAATGTTGAAAGGTGCTATCAATCCTTGTGCTGATTGTGAACATGTTGATCTGCTTAGCCCAAACTTCAACCGGTGCCTTCTTTTCTCTTCTTGGGTTGTCAATAGTTCTTGTGCGTGTGCGTAGGCCTATGTGACTAAAGTGAATATTGATGGGATGAAATGGGACTTTTTATTGAATTATCTTTTCTTTGGAGCTTTCTACTACTATCTCAAGTAAATTTTTTTTTTTTCAGGCATAAAACTCCTAACTTAAGTTTCTCTCGAGCTACCAAGTCTTTATCGTCATATTATTTATGATATCTAGTTAACTAAGCAGACAGAATAATGAGGCATCAATGGGAAGAAAAAAAATCTCATCTTATGGAAGCTTTTCTGTTGATGTGTTTTGTTGCTACATAAGATTTGATGTTTCTTTCTTAATTTCTTTGGCCATTGAATTTATTATTTTTGAGCAATAAAGTTAATTGTTTTTCCATGTATTCTTATCTATGAGACAGAGGAGACTGTATCTGTTCCTTGTGTGAACCCTCCTTTGGATGGAGAAGCGACAGTCCAAGAAGAAAAGAAAGAAGAAGATTCTGGTCGGAGGAAAAGAAGAAAGAGTGGAACTGCCTTATTATCTACACCTCAAGCAAAACAGAATGGAAATATATCATCATCCAGACCCAAGCGAGCAAAACCGGTTAGAGCTGAAATACCACCTCCCACACCTAAGCTAACAAAAAAGAAAGGAGCTAAATCATCATCCACCACTAAGCGGACAAAAGGGAATGAAACTACGATATCATCCACACCTAAGCGAAAAACTAGGCGTTCTTCTAAACCATCCATCCCCAACGATGAAGGTGGTGCATTTAGCATGCAAGAATCAATGGTTGATCCAATTCCTGAGGATTTTGATAACTATCTAAATTCTTTGGAAGACATTCTAACCCAGCCTGTTTCTGAAACCCAAGTACCCTCTGATACAATTGAATCTTCTGTCATTCAAAATGAAATGGCAGAGGCTCGAAGTAGGCTTTCTTCCCTTCTTGCTATGGACTTTCCTTCATTAGTTTCATCGGATCACATTTTCGAACTTACAACTTTAGCATCCAAACTTCGAAGTGATCCTAATATGAATGCTGAACAACTTGTTAAATTGAAGTTGGTTGAAGAAATTACATCATTTAGTGAGGTTTTCCTAGAGAGCAGGGAATTAATTGAGCAGGTTGATGAATTCTTTGCTACCCTTGAGGCTAAAAAGGCCAAGGTTGCCTCTCTGAAGAATGAATATAGTGAATTGAGGGACAAGGCAGACCAGCTTCAATCACAGGTGGATTCAAACTTATCGACGGTGCAAGAAATCGACAATCAAATTGCTTTACTTCAATCTAGGCGAGCTGAACTTACTAATGCAATTCAGACTAACAAGGCAGCAAAAGTTGAGTTGACATCTGCTCAGAAGATGGTGGCAAATGCAATACCAAGAGTTGTGCATGAGATTCAGCTTGCCAATGCCAAAATACCAGACTTGGAGTTGAAGAAGACAAATGCAATGAAGCGTGAAGCTGAAATTCTTGCAAAATTTGCCCCTCTTCATGGGTTCTCAGTTTAAGCAATGTCTTTAGTGCTATGCTTTTGTGTTTGTTTTGTAGTAATACTCCTGTTACAAGGTTAAGTTCAAGATACCATCCTTCTGTAATGGTTTTATAAGTTGTATTCCCTCTGTAGAAACTAACTTTGATCCAGATTAGAAGCTTTTATTTGTAATTGTTTGTCTTTCTAGTTAGTTTTAGTTGTGTTGCCATTCAGAAATTCCAACTCCTCGGTACAGAGAAAATGGTTAAAACGAATAATGATGAGAAAACCTCGTCAACTTTGCCATGACTAATAACTACGTGGTGGCCTATGGTCATGTATAGTAAATAACACGGTTGTAATGTTGACTATTAAACCTAACAACTATAATATATTAAGTTAAAATGAACACTTCTAAAGCAATGTTTTTTGTAGAAGATATGTTTGATGTCTTTAATTTAATTTAATACATTTCTTGTATAGTGTTTATAATAAAAATGTTTTATATTACATTTTATTTCGGCATTCTAAATATATCAAGTATTTAGTAACTCAAACGGCTTATAATAAGAATATTTTATATTACATTTTATTTTGGCTTACTACATATATCAAATGTTTAGTTATTCTCAAAAAAAAAAAAAAAAAAATATTAGTAAATCAAGTGGGCAGACATATTTATAAATTCTGAATATATATATATATATATATATATATATATCAAGATTCGGCAAGTCCAGTTGTTTTGGACTGAATGTCCTGATTCAGAGATTAGTCCGTTATTAATCTCTCTCCAGTTGTTAGGGTTTTTTTGATTGGCGCTTCATTTCATTTCTGTATTTATGCGAGGTAGATTTTGGAATTAAATTGTGCGTGTTCAAATTCTCAACTTCCCCCTCTCTATTCGGTTTTCATTGTAATCCGCTTTGAAAATTCTGTCTTCTCTACGCACCGAATTCAAGTCCTCGCTTCTCCTCGAATTCATAATCTTTCTCTGTTACCGAGACCTGTGAGTGTGAAGTCCAGAGCCTGTTCCTCTCAGGTTAAATCTATGAGTCCATCCATTAATTTTTTTATTATTTTTGTTTACGTTTTGTAGGAATTTTTAATTTTACGAATTTAGTTAGTCAAGACTTTCCCTAGCTTGCGCGCTCGATTCTTTACATGTTACAAGAACTCATGTTCCAGTTTTTCTCTTTTCTTGAATTCAGTCTCCTTATTGTCATATAAAGTTGGAAGTTGGAACTCTAATCTCTTCTTGGTTCCTACGAAGAGCTAGCGTGATCAGGTGAGGCTTTGGATCGGAGTTTTTGTTGGTTTACAGAAACTGGAACTCCGTAGTAATGCGTGATCAAAGAGTTCTATGTCTTTTTACACCGTAGTAGTGTTTGTCTTTTTACATTAGTATTTTATTCAGTTTGATCAAAGAATTCTATGTTGTCTCGTCTCTTTAGTTTTTCTTTTTTTAAATAAGAGTTAATTATCCATCATTTGGTTTACGCTTATATTGCTATCTACTGATAACTTGGGTAATTATAAAATTTCAAGCTAATTAGTGAAAATTGTTCAATGTATGCTTCAATTTTTTTTATACTGACTATGAAGTTGCTCATGAAACAGAGCAAATAAAGTTAAATCACTTAGTGATTTTCTACTTATGAGATCTTAAGGCTTCCTTTCTTGTTATTGGCAACAAATTTTTGACATTTGATACTGTTCAATAATAGCTATTTGTCAGCTTAGAATGGAATCAATGGAAATTGATAAGGAAAGTAATGGAAAAGCACCAAGGCTGAGGGAAAATGGTTCCCATCTAAAGCCTGTTGCACCTGAGGAGTCTGGTGAAGGTCTGCCTTATGCTCCTGTGGATTGGCCAAAACCTGGTGATGTTTGGAGTTGGAGAGTAGGGAGACGAGTTGCCTTTACTGGACATTTCTTGGATAGGTACTTATATCTTCCACATCGTCTTAATCGTCCTGGAAGTATACCTGGTAAGAAACGTGGATTTGCAAGCAGGCTTTCAGTTGAACGGTATATCCGATCAGCATTCCCTGATGCAAACATTGAATCTTTTTTTGCTTCATTCAGCTGGAGAATACCTTCCAAAGTGTTGCCAACAAATGGTTAGTTCTACATTGTGCTGCTTTATATATTATTTGTTATGTGTGTTATTTTTCTCGTTTTTCTCTTGTAATATGATTGGCTTCAATAGTTTTTTCTGGAATTAGTGAACTCTCATTCACTATATACAGGCTAGCATTTGATCAAAATGATATCTCATAATGCATGTAACCTAGTGGTTTTAGTAGGCCATGGTCTTCAAGTCAAACATATGTTCCTTTTGATCAAAACTAAATTTAATATACACCACCTTGAAATGAATAATAGACCTGGTGATGTCAACTTTTAGAGAGCCAATCACCATTAACTTACTGAAGTACTAGTGGTTAAGAGTGAAGCATTTTTTTTTTTTTTTTTTTGGGTTAAATGCAAATTGAGTGCCTCATGAAGGTTTTTGCATTAGAGATGAAAGAGCAAAATTAACACTTGCCGACCTGTGGAACCTCACTATTGTGTGGTCGAAATTTCACGCCATGGACTTTTGTTTATATTATTAAATATTTTTATTTCATCACATCAAATAGGTTGGTTACTTGGTTCTATTACTTGGTAGATAGGTTTTTGGCTGACTAGGTTGTCAGTCTGAAACTCAGGATATGCTTCTTTTTTTAAGCTACAAATCCATTTTCTTTCAGGATGTTATTGTACTTTGGGTTTGATCTAGCAGTCTGTTGAATATATTCAGATGGTTTCTTAGTGCTTATTGATTGAACTCCGAAGCTAATATTTTTGAATATACAAGGGTGATCTGCCATTTTATAAGTGGCTTTTGCTTCCGAGCATGCTAAAGGCTTAGAGAAGTTTTTCTTTATAACAAAGATAACTTTTAATAGGTAATTTAGAGGAGCATGTCCTTCCAGCTTTTGAAGAAACAATTGAAAATTCGGAGTCAGATTCACAGTCTGACGGTGTGGCTTGTAAGGCTGGAAATAAGAGGTGCAACAGTCTCACAACAGAAGCAGAAAGTCAATCTAAAGCTGCAATGCCCTGTGATATTTGTTGCAGTGAACCTCGTTTCTGCCGAGATTGTTGTTGTATTTTGTGTTGCAAGACTGTAAATTCAAAGTATGGAGGTTACAGTTACATCAAATGTGAGGCATTGGTCAGTGAGGGTTATATGTGTGGTCATGTTGCTCATGTTGACTGTGCTTTCCGGACTTACATGGCTGGGACAGTTGGAGGAAGCATTGGCCTAGATGTTGAGTACTATTGCCGTCGTTGTGATGCACGGACAGATCTGATTCCACATGTTATGAGGCTTTTGCAAACTTGTGAATCAATTGATTCTTGTGAAGAAGTAGAAAAAGTATTAACTGTTGGTATTTGCATTTTACGTGGGTCCCAGAAAATCAACGCAAAAGGGTTGCTGAACAGAATAGAATCAGTCATTTCTAAGGTAAAGTTGCATACTCTAGATATGAGACTTTGCTTTTGCCAAAACTAGCAGTATGATAATTTGGTGCTTACATCAGCTTAAATGCGGGACCAGTCTTGAGGATGTGTGGAAAGTTGAAGAGGATGTCTCAGTTATTTGCACAGGTAAATTTCATTTTAGTCTGTTTTGTTTAAAAAAACCTTCCAAAAAAATAATCTTCTCATTGTTTGGTTGTGTTGAACTAAGAAAGACACGACAGCCTTCAAGTATGCTTTGGATTAAGCAACTCCAATTACCTAACCAGTCCATTATTCTAGTAAACTATGATTTTAAGGATGCATAACTCATCATTTTCTTTTATTTAGTGTTTGATAACAATCTTAGGGATCCAGATAATAAATTTGCCTTTCTTTTTGATTTTCAAAGTTTGTTTTGATGTTAGGAAGGGAGATGCAGGTTTTCCTGTGAGTTGTAATTGTATAGATAATATCTTCCATGATGGAAGCTCAAAGCTTCAACTTCTCTTTGGATTCATTATTCATGCTTTCTTATTTTTGCTTCAAAAGATTCAGCTGTTTTTATGGTATTGAACTTTCCTGCGAGCAGTTTCAAATTCTTTAGTTAGCATGCGAGAGTTTAGAAGAAAGCTATTTTCAAATTTAGCTATACAAATCATCTAATCAGGAAAAAGCTAGCTTTACAAGATGTGTAAAATGAATTTTTGAACTAAAGAAGCCTGAAGCATAGAAAGGTACTTATCATGGTTGGAGTTTGGCTCAGGGAGGGGAATACTGTATGAGGTTGCAGGTTCCCCATGTGGAGGTGATTAATGCTCCATAAAGAATATAATTGAAAACTCAAAGTTTCAGATTCTCTTTTTCCTGCAATAGATCTCAGGGGAAAAGTGTTTCTAAGTTTTGTGCTTCTGGCGATTTTGCTTGTAAGGAAGCAAGTGTCCTGAACTTTAAATTGAGCTATTTATAAGGACTTCTTACGGTGTAAAACATGAGAGGATACTATGTTAAACAATCTAGATTTGAGAAAGGTGCCCCTGATTTGGCTTTCTGCTCAGTGTCAACCTGAATGGAATCCCTGTAGTTGCATGCATAGTGGTATAAGTCTGGGGATGAGAAAGAAATGCATGTCTTACTCAGGTTTTGGTCTCAGATACGGTGATTGCATGGATGTTGTAATCTTTCAGCTCGGTCAGTGAACATGTCTTCCTGGTCAATGCAGCGTTGTGAAACCACCTGCACAGTTATTGTTTCCTTTCTGTAAATTTTCTCCTCATTTTTGTTATTTTCCTCTACAAGATTTTGACCATTTCATGTTTTAGAGGTTTCCTGATCATTTTATGGTTGTGAATGCATCCATGTGTATTTGCAATTCTTTTTTTTTTTTCTTTTTTGTAGTTGTATGTGTGAGGCAAAGGAAGAGAGGTTTGGGGTGCTTGTAATTACATTTAAACTCATTTAAGATATGTATTATTTGGACATAGGTGCCTCTCCTGATACAAAGGTGGAAATTACTGATCAGCAAGACCATTTAGACACTAAGTCGCCTGATATTTTGTCTATATCTTCTGATTATCAAGCCGAAACTCTAAAACTGGAGGATGAGATTGATCAGGCCCTCTATCAACTACGGAAGTCTCAGGCATCTGAATACAAAATTGCAGAGGAACGACTTTATGCTCAAAAGAAATATCTTCAGAACCTCTATCAGCAACTTGAAAGAGAGAAGTTAGAAATGACACGCCGCAGATCGGGTACCAAGACAGATGCCTCACTGAGCACCGTCTTGAACAGGGTGGATCAGATAAAGCAGGAAATGGCAAAACTCAAGGATATGAGACAAGTGGCCAAGGGATTTGGAAGGACTTCCAAAAGTATCCTCAAGGAACATTTTGGAGTGGACACAGAAGAATAAATTCTAACGTTTACTTAAATGTTTCAAGATTTCCAACTGTATTGTGTCCATGCTTGACACTTGATCTGGTACAGTTGATTAGATCTGGTGTCGGAGGGTGCAACAGATTCAGCTGTTGTCGAAGTCGCTCACGTGAGAACTTATTGCGGAATTGTCCATGGCACATTTGCGTGAAGCTGCTAGGAGTTGTGTTGGTGCAGGCTTAACATCTGCATTGCTACGTTTTCGATTAGCACAAGGAATTCAATTTTGGTAGAGTGACTTAAAATCTTGCCCACTATCTTTTTCATTTTTTTTTAGATGACAACTCTGTTAGAAGGTTTACTTTAATTGTAAAATTTTGCAGTTCAATTTTTCTTTAATCTTCATCAAGATTTGTGATATCATTAGATACCCATGTGACTTCTGATCGTATGAACTTTTATAGCTTGAAGCCTTTAAGGTATAGGAGATGGCAGACAATATTCTTTCAGGAAAGTGTCTGAAGAATCTATAAAACGAGGGAAGAATTAAAACCGAAAAACATCATTCGCATTTTCGCTTGTTCAGGGGAGCTTCTGGTTTTGAAACCAAATTTTTTAACGATTGATGATAGCTTCAACGGTTTGACAATTATTGAATTCTTGAAATTGTTTACGTTCTTTTGTTTGTTTATTACAAATTTTGAGGGGAAAAGGAATACCAACTATGAGTTTCATTACAGTTTCATTATTTATTGATTAATAATGGCACGCAACAAGTTATCATTAAAGATATTTGACTTCAAACCTTCCAGATAGATCAGATCAAGAAATGAAATTCAGAATAATTTTTTCATGCGAAATGAATTCCCATACCAAGAAAGAAGCCAAAGCATAAATTCGTAGCAACACTGAAAAGAGGCAGACTTGTGGCAGTGAGAGATTCCAAAGAGCAAAAGCATATATATATATATATCTTTTGAGGGAAAAGGATACCCAACTGATGGTTTCATTACAGTTATCATTATTTATTGATTAATAGATGGCACGGCAACAAAGTTTATCATTAAAGGTATTTTGACTTCAAACCTTCCAGATAGAATCAGAGCAAGAAATGAAATTCAGAATAATTTTTATGCGGAACGATGATTCCCATACCAGAAAGAACCAAGCATAAAATTTCGTAAGCAACAGTGGATAAGGGCAGGACTTGTGGCGAGTGAGAGATTCCCAAAGAGCAAAGATAGTTATATATAATATTATATACTATTCCCTTTCAAAAAAAAAAAAAAAAAAAAAAAAAATATTAATATATATATAATTATAATATATATATATGCAGTACCTATAACTGAGAATTCTCAAGGGTGACCATACAACACTTCTTTTTTATTTAATCCAAGAACAGGAGCTGCCATATGAAAATTATGTCTCAAGCAAGAAATATATATATATATAGATATAAGAAATGCTTTTCCACGCAAGGTTTATCAACTTTACGTGTCAATCTAAAGAAGGAAATGGTGGGGATGATTCCTCTTTAGCCCCCAAAAGGAATGAACCAGCAATTAACTTTGAAATAACAAACCCAAATGTTATGCTTTTAGTTTCTTATAACTCAAAATGAATTAGTATATTAAGACAAGCTAAATTTTGCAGTGAAAAGAACCTAGGAAAAGGCGGCCAGGATATGCTAAATGCATAATGAAGGGAATGCAACATCAGCAAAGCACTTCTTAGCCTTTCTCGAGATACAAAAAGCGGAGGGGAAGGTGGGGAGGGTCCAGCAATGGGTATCAAAATACCACACATCTTTATTTACGTCTACTAAACCAGGCCTTGATCGTGATACATCATAAATAGTAAAATTCTTCATTCAAGTTAGGTAAGGTTCGACAGTCTTGCTATGGAGGACGGAGAGCCAATTCTAAGGCTATTCTTAGGAGGGGAGAATATAGAAATTAAACCCAAATTATCTGTGCAAAGCAAGCGCTAAAATCAGGCGCCAAAAAAGAGAGTTTCTAAGGAACCATTATCATTCATGGTAATCACAGCTGTGAAGTAGAATTCAACCCCTTACCTAGTTTGGTTCAACAACAAAATTATTTATCAGTTACGAAGCTCGCTAGCTAGGGCTATTTGCAGCATGGAACTGAGAAAACAAGATTGATCTAATAAGGAAATCATGTAGAATAGGACATCAGAAAAGCATAATATGATAAGAATCACCAGGTCAATTAGGAACAGAAAGGAGCTAAAGAAGTCATAACACGCTGAAAGTTTGTATACACAACAAAAATTAATTCTTAAGCAAAAGATTTGTCATGCAAAAAGAAAAGATCAAGTGGAGTAAAAAGCCTCAAAAGATAATATAAATTTATCATTTCTTCGCAAAAAAAAACTTGAAATGCTAGCAAGCATATTTAAAGTACAAGCCTAAAAGACAAATGTAAGACTCAATCCAAGAGTAGGCACACCTTTATAAAGATACACCTAATGGATGGGAAGCATATATTCTTAACCAAGAAAGAAAGAAAGAAGCAGTTTTCGGCATTAAAGCATTAGTAGTTGTCATGTTGCATTATAATTTCAGAAATGCAACAAAGAAGTAGAAAAAAGAGCACAAGCAAGCTATTTGCCAATGAGTTCTAGCCAATATGAGAACTTTTAGGTCTTGAATTTTGCATGATCAAAACATGAGAATAGCACACAACATTATTCAATTAAAAACACATACAAATTTTACGATTTACTAGAAGTTTTAATCTATCAAATATCAGAACAATTTCACAAATTCCATTATTGCTATCATTTCTGCTCTTCTCATCCTCTAGACGGTATCAAAAGAAAAAAGAAATGCCCAAAAAAAATGGAAACTTTAGGTGCATCGCATGATCATGCCAAAACAACATAAACCTACTAACTATCAATTTCCATATTCAATGCCAACATCTGCAAATATTCATATGCAAAAATTAAAGAAACCTTAGTTTCATTCAATAACAAAAGCAAGCATACAAAACCTAATCCAACGGCGAACTTCAAAGGCTAACTTCAACAACAACATTCATTTAAAGAAAAAGTACAAAATCCAAAAGCTAGAAAGCAGTAATTATAATTATCACTGTACAAGCACAAGCCTAGCATTGTTATTATTATTGTTATTATTTCCCATACCTCCTCTAAAGTCTCCGTTACTATCATTCCCTTCTTCCTCCACTTCATCTCCCTTGGGCACAGTCACAATCAACTCTCCGTCTGTTAAAACCGCGCTAGCTAGCTCCGGCCGCGTCGATTCTGGCAGTCTGAACCTCCACATATCCAATTCCAAATCATCTAATGAAGATAATTCTAGATACCCATTTGGCCTAATCACGATTTTAGTAACACCAGGATGGATTTCGATCGTGTGGGCCCTCACTTCCCCAATATTATCGGTTTCCGCCACGAATCTGAAGCAATCAGGGTTTTCTTCCACCGAAACGTCCGCATCTGATCGGAAAGGAAGCTCCAAGACCCGGCTAAAGATGTGGGGTAGCCTCCTCAGCTTCTTGTGGGACCCACCGGAAGATGGGTCCCTCCGATGATGGTTGATATTATTGCTACCGGTGGTATTGTTGTTGATATAGTATTGGATTGTTATGTTGTTTCTTTTTTTGGGCATTGGATGGACCTTCATGGTTTCTAGGATTTGATCTTGGTTATTGTTGTTGTTTGTGTTGTTGTGTGTGCAAGAACAAGAAATGGACCAAGATTGGGGTACAATTAATAGCAGCAGAATAAAGATTCTCTTCAGATAAAAGATGATGGGTAAAATTGATCTTTGATGGGAATCAAAATCTTTGAAATGATTCTGATTATGGAATTGAAAAGGTGTAATAATGATCATAAAAAATGAAAAAAAAAAAAAAAAAAAAAAAAGAGAGGATCGTAACAATTAATAGGCAGCAGAATAAGGATTAACTTCTTATCAGATAAAAAGATCGACTGGTAAAATTTTGATCTTTGATGAATCAAAATCTTTGAAATGAAATTTCTGATTATGGAATTGAAAAAGGTGTATAATAGAATCATAAAAAATGAAAAAAAAAAAAAAAAAAAACAAATGGTGGAGTTTCTTGTTGAAGGTTTGAAACGAAGAACCTAAAGGAAACCACCACCAACCGCTAGGACCTAAGAAAGAGAAATTAAGAAGTGAGACTTCGGAGGTTGATTGTTCTCTTGTGTCGTACCAGATTAGAGTGGCAAATAAAGAGAGAAATATTCTAATTTCAATGGAAAAATTTTGAGAGGCCGCAAGGGAGAGAAAAAAAAATAAAAAAAAAAAAAAAAAAAAAACAAATGGTGGAGTTTCTTGGTTGAGGTTTGACGAGAACCTAAAGGAAAACCACCACAACCCTAGGCCTAAAAGAGAAATGAGACTTCGGAGGTTGATTGTTCTCTTGTGTGCGTACCAGATTGAGTGCAAATAAAAGAGAGAAATATTCTATTTCAATGGAAAATTTTGAGAGGCAAGGGAGAGAAAAAAAAATAAAGAAGAAATAAAGGGTTTCTTCATAAAATCTCCTCCTTTGGGAGTGTAGAGTGGAGAGAACGAATCACCCCCAAGGGATAAAAGAGAATGAGATTTTATAATTGTCCGTTTCATCTCATAAAATTACAAAGAATGCCATTTTCTTCGGGACTCTTTTATTAAAAAAGAAAATTAGAGAGAGAGAGATGTATAAATATTTTTGTATCCTTACATTATAGAATGTCACAAAAAGGTTGAAACATAAAAAGAAAGGTCTAATTTTAGGAGATGGAAACTAAATGGTATATAGATTATAGAGTGACTAATTAGATAGTTAGATTGAAGTTCGATTTATAATGCTGCTGATGCTGTGTTGGGTAATGGGTAGTTTAATCACATTTTCCGCGAACCAAAGTTGCAATCTTTGTCAACCCAAACGCGGGAGAGGAAGGTTACATGCCAAAACCACCATCGCATCAAAGAAATTCGGTCATCAAATTAGTTCTTCAACAAAAGATGGAAAACAAACTCTAATTTATCCTACTCCCACCCTTTAATCTTGAGTTCTCATTTTACTTTTATTTAATGGGTACTTGTCGTGCGTGTATATATACTGTACTCTTAAAATGTAAGAAAAGACGGATGTATAATTATATAAATTATAATGGGTAATTGATTATACAATCTCTATTATTTAAATATTTGCAGAAACCACTGGTGGGTTCTCAGGCATAATCCAGTGTTAATGAGTAGTTATCGGGGGAGTCTGAACTGCCAAATAGTGACGAATTAAGGATGTGCTTTCTACTAATATATGCATCAAGCAAATCTCTAGTAACATCAAGAACATAAAAGATGGGTTATTGGACAACTATATTTAACTAGCTTAATTAGGATTCCAACCACATCTTATCCAAAAATAAGAAAAAACAAAGCAACTGTTTGATTTTGATACTAAATTCATGGGATTTTTTTATATAAAAAACCTGATAATGTAAAGACAAGAAATGAAGTTTCTATGATGCTTCCTAGAATATGATGAAGTGGTCTTCATCTTGGACTCAAAAACCATCTCAAGGCTCAACCTTTACTTCGGCTTAAATTTGTCTCCACCATATAATTTTTTGGCCAAGTGCGTGCGGTAGGGTCCGGACTCCGGAGAAAGGCTGTAGTTTATGCTCATTGTACTTTCCCGCCGTAACTGCCTCCACAAACATGCAGTTTTAACAAAATCACCATCTCTGCTCTCTGCTACTATTAAAAAAAATTTGCAAGCCAAGGCATAAAAAGGCCATATCACAAGTTGAAGTTATGACATTTTAATGCACCTTGTTTGAAGCTTTACCTGCCTTGAAACCCATAAGCACAGGCACGTGCATGAAGAAAGGAGGGGGGACTTGAGATTTGATTTTGTCTCAAAAAGTGCCTTTAATATGCTGACACCACATGCAATATAAACGAACTGTTAACCCCCACTATACTTTTTCTCCTCCAGTGAAGAGTTAGCAAATGCAATATCCAAACATCTTTCCAAGAACTCTGATCTTTGGGTGCTTATGAAGGGCTGGATAAATAGCCTCAAGATTTGGCCACAGATTTGAACTAGCAAATGCATATCATACAATAAACGTTGGAATTCCCTAAACGCCAACTACTTAGCCCTTCAACAATGATCATGCCTATTCCTCATTCGAGGGCAATCTTGAAGTCACAAATATTGGCAACACCATTCAAAAAGAGGAGTTCCTCCATCAAGCTGCCAAGGCTCACGCGATGCATGGCTAGCTTTTCAACATTCTATGAAACATAATAACATTAATTTTGGATAATGATTTGCAGACATATTCTAGTCCACTGCATGGGTTCACAGAGATAAAAGCTGCCTATGGAAATTTTGTAAGATAGGGTAGTTCAACAGCAGAAGGTACAGACATTTGGCAAATATTTGCATCTACAATTTCCAGCAAGCATATCCTTTATTGTTCTCTCATAGACATTTGGCAAGTTTAAATTTGCTGCGGTTGTACTTGATTCAAGCCTAAAGACTCGCGATGGAGAATCCGACGCCTACGGCGAGATCTTCTATGGTTACGACTAAGTGGTTTGGCAGGTGTGCTTGATGTGCTAGGGTGATGAATCTCCTCCACCGGTGCTATGCAACCAAAAATACCATCTAGAGGGTCTTCCATCAGATCAGCACTGGGATTCATCTAAAGCAATAGGATATATAAGATATATATTCCATAGAAAGGCTCATTTCATATTTCAGTTGAACTCACTGATGGACAAATGAAAGCAGCAATATCAATATTGAATGATAAATCAGAGAAACATTTTTCCCCTGCTTTCCCCACCCCTTGACCCACCTTTTCCAAAGCACAAGTATTCTTGCAAAGGCTCAAAGACTGGAAAGAGTTCACCACAATTGAAAAGGTTGGCAAATAGTTATTATATTACCATTATCAAATTGCTTTTTTCTAAAATAAGAAAGCAAGCTCTTTTAAGATGTGGAATACAATTTCCAAGGTCATAACTGGTTACTGATAGATATGGCATGTACTTCCCATGAAAATAAGTTAAACCAGTACTTCCCATGAAAAGAAGTTAAACTAGCCTTTAAGAAGAATACTGCATTAAGAAGCAGATGACTCGATGCCAAGCAGTATATTGTGAAAGGGAGACCTATTCTAATATAACTAGATTTTAAACTTCTACTATACACCATAATAGCCACCTAACAGCCTACCTGTGGAGAACATATGACTAGCACGTCTGAAAACTCTTTTACAATCAAGATTTGAAATAGACCTAAGAAAACCTAGCTAACATGCACAGTCCATGTCAACGAGATTAGGAGTATGTTTGTGTTGCAATCATGTCCAGTTTTTCTGCAGTCATTCTTGACTTTGTAATGATTGCCAGTAAAAGAAGCCGCACCTATAATCACATAGAAAACTAAGGTTACTGCACTTACAGGAACTTGCTTGGACTCCACATGTGCCTTCTTACTATCAGAATCATTGTGGGAAAGTAAGTCACTCTGTGTCTCACTGTCATTTGTCGCTTGACCATAAGCAACATTGTCCCCAGAGAAATTTCGATAGCGCCACCTTAAATTTGGTTTATCTGAACTTGAGTCATCAAACACTTTCTCTGGATAGAAACGTCTAGCCATCTGTTTCATTAACCAAGGATCATCCTGATGTTTATTAACAACGCTGCCAATGAAACATCCATTCATCAGTACACAATATGTCTCTGAGTGTTTTGAACAGAGATTAAGAACGAAAGGGATGAGGAGATATTAGACGGCTATGGAGAAAGGAGAAAATTGCTTTTACTCTTAAACAAAGGACATTTTTTGTCAGATCAGACACAGAAAGAACCAAAACTAAAATCCAACAATATATCAGAGAAACTTTTATTTACTACTGAATGGAGCATAATTGGGAGGAAGAGAGAGGGAGAGAGGGGAGAAAGAAAAAAGAAGGGGGAGCAACACTATGATAGGTCATGACAGAAAAAGAAAATCCAACAATATATCAAAAACTTTTATTTACTACTGAATGGACCATGATTGGAGAGGAAGCGGGGCAGGGGTTGCAACACTACAATAGATCATACAGGGAAGAAGAAGATCCAAAAACATCAGAAACATTTTTATTTGTGCCAATAAGCATACATTCATACAGTAGTAAAAGTTATAACTGATTAATGACTGAAATTGTTAGTGGAAAAGAAATGGATTGACAAAATGTTCCTCAGAAATAGTGGGCCTAAAGGCAATTAGTTAACTTATGCTAGGAAAATGGCTTTTTTCAAAGTACAAGGAACAATTGTAGTAGCTGCCAAAACTTTAGTTTATACCAGTTTAAAGGTTGATTGGACAATTTTACCCTGATGGCTTGCTAGTTTTTCAAAATCCAATTCGGCACGGATCAATATCAGTCAATTTTCTCTCAACCTAACCTAGTAATCTCAAAACAGTACATGCAAAACAGGTTGCTTCAGGCTTGTTAATTAACTAAAAAGAGCAAGTACGCCTTGTCAAAATGTCTATTCAATGTACCAGAAAAGCTTGATCTATTTACCCATATAGCATTAAAACCAAAAAGGACACTGCTGATAATAAAAATGATGTGAAGGTACCTACATATTTGCTAATACCCCTTGCAATCGACTTCCATCCAGATTAAGAAGATGATCAACACAAGAATTTAGGGACCTATTTAATCTCTGCAATCCATACAAAATAGCAGCTCCTACAAAAAAAGTAACCCTTGTTGAACTACAAAAGGAAAGAATTCAAAAGGACATAGTAGTCAGGTTATGCAGGAGAGGGGGGCAGAGATTTTATGCGCGTTCACATTACCTCCAGAAATGTAGAATCGAGTTTTTAGCTTCCACGTTGCTGCTAGAAGACCAGAATTATTAGACAACCAGCAGGATAAACTTTGAATTTAATATACATGATTAAACACCAATTTGATTCCATGACACATTAGAGCTTAATAAACTAGGAAATACTTAAAAGAGGAGGGGGGAGGGGTTGTCACATCAACAAGAAAAACACGCATGACAGGCTAAATATAATAATATTTCAAAAAAATTTCCCGCAGAACTAATTGCACTAGAGAAGCATAAAAGATTGGGTAGATTAAAAATTCCGATTATAGAAATAACCAAAAACAATCAGTAACAGATCATTTCAAAGCATGCAACAATATGAAAACAACAACAAGAATCAAATTAATTTTGTAAGATGAAACTGAAAATCTCAAGTATCCAATATCCTCAGTTCTGTCTGGTTAAAATTTTCTTTTTTTCCGACATTTTGCTGCTAGGGCTATGAATAAATGAAAAATCAATGTGATATCTCGGTGACCTCTTATTGCCAAAGATAATGGGCACAGCTAATATGATACTTTTGGGTCGACCAACTTTTCTATGGGGGCTGTAGGGGAAAAAAATCCATGTAATATGACGTGTTGTAGTTTGAGTTCTATAAAGTTCTTTTTTAATGTTTTCATTTTCCTCCAAAGTAATCAATGGATAAATAAATAAAATATCTGTAGCCTTTGGGTTTAAAAAAACAAATTATTTTTTCAATATTCCAATCCAAGACATCAATTCTATTATAATCAAACACACCATAACACAACCCCAATCTTTGAGGTAGTGACTAACATTTGCATCAGAACCAAATCACCGATAGAATTACATATGGTAGACATTAATAACAAAAAGAAAAAGCACACACCTGCCAGAGTAGCGCAACCACCAACAACATTGCCGACTATAAATTCCGCTCGAGCCTTATGTATGCACGTTTGAAATACTTTTTGTTCCTCAGGCGTCAGTTTCTCCTAAAGGTTATCCCAAGAAAAGATAAATTAGGGCTGCAAAAATACCAAAAACTTTTTGCTTTCACTTTCATAATACATAATTTCAAGCTCCCGCTTAGTCCGCGTTTTTTAAAGCAATTTTCTTGAATCCTAGTAAACAAGATGAAAGTTACGGACAAATGATCTGATCTGATTTGCAATATCCCATTTCAAAATCAATAGAACGACTTCTACAAAGCAAATTTTCGATAGCATGAATGAGTTTCAAAGAAAATCATAAAGTTTTCACCAGTAATTTCTACACTATGTGTAGGTATTGCAACCACATTATTCCACGATATAATCATAAGCTATCGAGATTTAGGGATTATAGGAGCCGTTACCTCTTTATCGAAGGTAAGAATAGAAGGCCTAGGAAGAATAAGCAGAAGAAAAAGGTACCTTTCGGGAATTAAGGACATGTAGGAGCTCGACAAAAACTTCAGCCATTTTGCTCCAAATTCTTGCTGTGATGTAAAATGGTACCACCAGAGCCAGCAAAGCGATATCACTGATATGCTTTTCTAGTTTTTAGATGTTAGAATAGAAAGGTGATAGCTTTAATGGCTGGGCCCAAAGTTCAAAGTCAATATGAACCGAGATATGGCAAATGTTACTGCTACTGGCCCAAAGCCCCAAAATAAATAGCGAAGCAACATTTTGTTATTTTAGCCTGCAAAACCCAAAAATCCCATGATAAAAAATGTCAGCTTCAACTTCACCCGCCTTACCTCTTCCCCTCAGTTCCGCCACTATCCACACTACTCTCCTCCCATTTCTTTCCTCCTCTTCCACTTCTCTCTACCACCTCAAACAAGTGCATGCCCAAATATTGCGCTCCAGTCTCTCCCCCTCCATTCTTCTCAAACTCATTCTCTCGTCATCTTCCTCCATCTCCAGCCTTGAATATGCCCTTTCCGTCTTCACCCACCTTCCTACTCCTCGCCCTGCTCTCTCCAACAAATTCTTGCGGGCTTTATCTCGTAGTTCGAAACCTGAAACTGTCCTTTTAGTCTATGAAAAGATACGGGAAGATGGCTTATTCGGCGTGGATAGGTTTAGCTTGCCCCTGCTGTTAAAAGCAGCTGCGAAGGTCTCTGCTTTGAATGAGGGGATGGAGATTCATGGAGTTGCGACTAAGTTGGGATTTGATAAAGACCCGTTTGTACAAACAGGTTTAATGAGTTTGTACTTGGCATGTGGAAAGATTTTGGAGGCACGATTGGTGTTTGATAAAATGTCTTACCGAGATGTTGTTACCTGGAGCATCATGATTAATGGGTAGGCTTGTTGATGCTGCAGTATTGCGTTTTTCTATTGCATGATAAAATGTTTTTGACTGATATCCATTTTGCTACAGGTACTATCAAAATGGACATTTTGATGAGGCCTTGAAATTTTTTGAAGAGATGAAAAGCTCTAATGTCCAGCCAGACAAGGTGGTTCTCTCAACCATAATATCAGCTTGTAGTCGAGCTGGAAATTTAAGCTATGGAAAAGCAGTCCATGATTTCATTATTGAAAATAATATTGAGGTTGACCCTCATCTGGAGAGTACACTTATCTTTATGTATGCAAATTGTGGTTGCATGGATATGGCCAAAGAATTATTTTTTAAGATGTCATCTAGAAACTTGGTTGTTTCAACCGCCATGGTTTCTGGCTATTCAAGAGTTGGAAATGTTAAAGACGCGCGCTTGATTTTTGACGAAATGGACAAAAAGGACTTGGTCTGCTGGAGCGCAATGATATCTGGTTATGCTGAGAGTGATCAGCCTCAAGAAGCTCTTAATCTGTTTAACGAAATGCAAGCCTTAGGGATAGAACCAGATGAAGTTACCATGCTGAGTGTAATCTCAGCTTGCGCTCATCTCGGTGTGCTAGATCAAGCCAAAAGGATCCATATGTTTGTTAACGAGAGTGGGTTTGGAGGAGTTTTACCAGTCAACAATGCCCTCATTGATATGTATGCCAAATGCGGATGTTTGGAAGCAGCAAGAGCAGTTTTTGAAAAGATGCAAAGAAGAAATGTGATATCTTGGACTAGTATGATAAATGCCTTTGCTATCCATGGGGATGCCAATAGTGCTCTAAACTTTTTTCATCGGATGAAAGATGAAAACATTGAACCTAATGCGGTAACATTTGTAGGCGTGTTGTATGCTTGTAGCCATGCAGGTCTAGTAGAAGAGGGCCAGAAAATTTTTGCATCAATGATTAATGACTATAACATCTCTCCTAAACATGAGCACTACGGTTGCATGGTAGATCTATTCGGTCGTGCTAAGTTCCTAAGAGAAGCACTCAATCTCGTTGAGACAATGTCTTTGCCACCTAATGTCGTCATTTGGGGTTCTCTAATGGCTGCTTGTCGTGTTCATGGAGAGACTGAATTAGGGGAATTTGCTGCTCAAAGGTTGCTTGAGTTGGAGCCAGGTCATGATGGAGCGCTTGTTCTATTATCAAACATTTATGCCAAAGAAAAAAGGTGGCAAGATGTTGGGCAAATAAGAAACTTGATGAAACAAAGAGGTATATTTAAAGAGAGGGGATGCAGTCGGATAGAATTGAGCAATGGAGTGCATGAGTTTTCAACGGCAGATAGAAAACATAAACAAGCAGATCTGATCTATGAGAAGTTAGATGAGGTGGTGGGGAACTTGAAGTTTGTTGGTTATTCTCCTGATACTAGTGTTGTTTTAGTTGATATAGAAGAGGAAGCAAAAAATGAAGTAGTTTTATGGCATAGTGAGAAGCTAGCTCTTTGTTATGGGCTTATAAGCCAGGGAAAAGGATCGTGCATCCGCATAGTCAAGAATCTTAGGATTTGCGAGGACTGCCATAATTTCATGAAGTTGGTCTCGAAGGCTTATGAATTAGAGATCATTGTCAGAGATAGGACACGATTTCACCGCTACAAAGATGGTGTATGCTCTTGTAATGACTACTGGTGATTTTTCTTTTTCAATCTTATTTAATATATGGTTGTTGATACTTAAAACATTTTATATCCAAGAACTGTAAATTTTCTGTTTTTGAAGGAAACATGTGTATGAACGTTAAAAGTTTTGGAGATGATTTCACTATTACAAAGATTGTATGCTCTTGCAATGACTACTGATCAATTTTTTCTTCTTTTTTCAATTTTGTTTAATGTATGGTTGTAGATACTTGCACATTTTATAACCAAGAAAAGTAAAATTTTTTTGTTGAAGGAAACAACGTATGGAAATTCGAAGTTGAGGAACTGACTCGTATATGGTTTCCTCTCTCTCTCTCTCTCTCTCTCTCTCTCTCTCTCTCTCTCTCTCTCTCACTACTATCAATTTTTTTCTATCTTTTTTCAAAATTTGTTTTAATGTATGGTTGTCAGATACTTGCACATTTATAACCAAAAGAAAAGTAAAATTTTTTGTGTTGAAAGGAAACAAGTTATGGAAATTTCGAAAGTTGAGGAACTGACTCCGTATATGGTTATTCACCTCTCTCTCGTCTTTTCTCTCTCTCGTCTCTTTCTCTCTCTCTCTCGTCCGTCTCTCTCTCGTCTCGTCGCTTTCTCATCGACCCCTACTGGTCTAGAACTGCTCTCTCTCTCTCTCTCTCTCTCTCTCTCTCTCTCTCTCTCTCTCTCTCGCTTTCTCTCACCCCCTACTGTCTAGACTGCAGTACACTAATTCTTCTAATTTCTTTTGACAAAGAAAGCGCAAAAATAGAACTTGAAGAGGAAAATTCTTATATCCAACTGGATTTCTTGCCGCTAAAAGTAGAACCATGGTATTGTATTGCAAAAGCACATAAATTCATCATATACAATTTGATATGGAAGTATAAGAACGCAGAGGCAAGAAGACATTGTTCTAGTGGAATAATGAAGAATTAAGCATTAGTGAAACCATGAAGACATTAGTGATCTTAGTTATCTTACAGGATTATAGTGGAACCATGAAAAATAAACAACTATTTGAAGCTTTCATGAACAAACTATGAGGAATTTGAAAGAGCGAAAGATGGAAGAACCCTCTTCTCACAAGGAATGAGAACCGAAAATCTAATAAAAGAAAGGAGGCACTGGATTTGATATCAATCAATTCTCTCAGGTTGGGATCTTGTTATGGCTTTCCTCTGTATAACCACTATATCCGTGTTTGAAAGCAGACGTTAACCAGAATTCTTGATTGATCCTTCCGATTATTCTTGAAATCTGGTACATAAAGAGATCTGCTACTGCTGAAGACAGGCTTGAGTAATCCAGTACGGAGCTCCTACCATACTCCAGAACCCAAGTACTAGGGTCTAATTGCACAACAGAGACACCCCATTTCCTGTGAATCCATGAACTGTTGGCTTTTCGGATTGAATATCCAATCATCCCATCTGACCACTTTTCCAATAAATAAACAAAGATAAAAATCACAAATTTGATCGACAAAAACAATTAACCTACTGCAAGTTTAGGGTGTTACCTCTGTAACTCTGCCTGACAAAACAGTATAGGACCGTGAAGCAAATCCTGTTTTGAGCAATCCTGCAGTCTGCAAAGGCCAGCCCCATACACTTAGCTCCTCCATTGCTGACTTATACAGTACACAGCGCGAATTCAAAAGCAGACCATCCTGCAATGCGCCTGTTTAATTAGATTCTCAAGTGTCAAATCTTGGCAATTGCCTAAACAAAACATTGAATAAGAAACCTGATTGGTTAGTCGAGTTGGGACTTTAGATATATTGAAAATGAACCTGATTAATTTTCCATATTGAGTCCATATGGCTGCAATTTGAAACCTTCCCATCATGAACAAATTCCTTGAACTCATTCTGCAAGAATCTTAACCTCCCATTCAATTCTTGTACAACCCCAGATCTCTCACCAATTTTCCTCACCATATCAGAAGATAACAGAGGCTTTAAAACCCCACTAGCTCTCCAATAAAACCCTAATTCCGCTGCGAAAATCAAGCACAATCCCAAAATGAACCTTAAAAAAGCGCCTCCAAAGCACCAATTTTTCTTTGTCGTCTCCTTTTCACTGAAATTCAATCTTGCTGTTGATTTGAGGACTGGGGACTCAATTTTGGGACAAAAATTTGATGTGGGTGTCGACAAAATCGAAGTTTTGAAAGAAATAGGAGTGCGTTCGATATTGGGGCGTGAAGTAGAAAGCTTAGTGAGTGACGATTTCTGGATGCTAATAGGCATAAGATCAAGAGTGGCATTGATGCTGGCTATGCAAATTTCACAATTGCAATTAGCGTCCTTTCTGCATCCGGGGTAGTAACAGCTGTCTCTCTCTTCCATGGCTGTGGTGGTGGTGGTGCTCGATTTAGCTGATGATGATGGTGTTGATTGATGTGCTTTCATTTTTCTTATCTATTAGATTTGTCTTCTCTTTGGGCGCATCTTTATTTTTGCGTTCACAGCGTTTTATGTCAAGACCCGATAGGAGGGCTTTCAAATTTGAATCTCCAACGGTCGTGTGACGTGGCGAAATGGGCTTTTCATTTTTAAGACTGTATAGTATAGAGACATGCAAACTTCAAAAGGACCAAAATACACCTCTTCGTTTATTTTATTTTTATTTTTATTTTTATTTTTTTTCTCAAGGGGAGCCTCGTCTTGTGGTGTAAGCTTCTATGAAGTGGGATCAGAATATAACTTCTAAGGCCCATAGCCAGTTCCAGCATATGACCCATTAGGCCCATACGTTCCCATGGTAGGGTAGGCCCAGGCCTGAATTTTTCTAGCATATGGCAATTGTTTATTGATTCAGTACTGATTGTTGTATCTCTAAGGAATCCAAAGAACATTATTCACTTGGCATAAACAAGTTCCAAAGTATGATTAGAAGTCAATCTTTGTTGAGGTTTTTGAGGTGCCAACACACACACCCAGAAAAATGATGGGAACCGTGGATTCAATTTTCCCTTTCCTCCATTTATTTCTCCACAATCTTACAAAGATGACAGGAAAGACAGAACTAAAAAATGTCAAAGATTCTTATTCCCTTGATAATCAGGAATTTGCTAATTAATGGTTGAAATTGAACTTAGATGATTTACCCTAATCTCTACATAAATTAAATTCTTGGAATCCAATTCTAGATGCCACATGTTGCAGGGAATTGATGGTGCATATCATGCACGACACCCTATAATTTATAGGCATCAAGTCATTAATTAAGTATCAATTAACTATTAATCATAAGTTTACTTGTGAATAATTACTATATTTAAAAACTATTAATCACATAGAATATGATTATTGCTTTATAATTTGTCTTAAAACCACTAGAAAGTGCTTGCTAATTAGGATATATATGTATATCTGTGCACACAAATTTAAAAGCTTAAGTTGTGGCGAATAATCATGAATCTAGTTTTGCTATAACATTTTCATTTATTAATTAATGTGGGACCCAATAACTACCTAAGTTTATTAATCTCCTCATTAATGTTTGCCATCAAAATAAGTTGCCTTAATTTATTAATTAATAGAGGGACAAATTAATTATTATAAATTTGGTTCACATATATTGTCTCTGTTCTGTAATATTTGTCATATTTGAAATTTTACGTTCTTTAAAAAGTCATTAAATTTGTTTAAGTTACAATAAATTATTGAATAAATTGACTATATTACCCTTACTTTAATATTAATTTTCTAAAAAAAAAAACCATTAAATTGAATTAATAATTATTAGTCATATACAATGGGTAAACATGAAAAAAAATATTTATTACTAATTGAAACCACAAATGTGACAAGTATTTTGAAACATGTTATTTTCTCAAATGTGATAAGTATTACGGAACCGAGATAGTATAAATGAAGTGATTGCATTTTGTTTGAGGTAATACTATTATAAAAACTATAAATGAAGTGATTGCATTTTGTTTGAGGTAATACTATTATAAAAACAATTTTACTACAAGAATACTTCTCCAATCTCAAATTGTAAATATTTTTTTTAGAAAGAAGAGAAGAAAGCTTCACAATCAACTCGATATAGTATTTCCTCGAGATAAATACTATTATTAATTGATATATTTGTATTGAAATAAAATTAAGTAATTTTGAATAACCACTCTTTTGTTTTTTTTCTTTTCTTAAAAAAAAAGGATCATTCTTTAAAAATAGATCAATCCTTGTTTTTCTTTTTTTCAAAAAGTCTTTCCATTTTATCATTTTCGGAAAGCAAATCAACATATTGAATTTTTTTTAACAATTCCTTTATCAATAACTCACACTTTTGGTTGGAAGAAGTTATATTTTAATTTAATGATTATTGAATTGCTTAATTATAACCTACATGATGTTGAAATAGTCCTTTTCTGGTGTAGTGGGAAGTTGACCCTTATTGCTGTATTTTAATATGGAAAAAATAAGATTTGTTGATGATTTTCTTGATCTTTGAAATTCAACATTGCCAGGTAGGACTTATAGTATATAATTTTCCTCCTATCATAACAAATGGTACTGTTGTTTATAAAATTTTTGCAGACAATAATTTCTTTAGTCCTTAATATAATTAAGAACTACAAGAATTGTAATTAAATAAATTCAATTTTAAAGCAGTTTAGGTTAATTAGCAAAAATAAATTTTTACTTTGTCAGTGTTCTTGAAAAGGCTTCCACTTACATATCTCATATCTGCATTTCATTTTGTAACAAAATAAATAGTGAAAAAAGCTTGAAAATTTTCTAGTCTGCCTGTGTCTGTAGATGGGTAATTAGTTTTGCATGAGATAATACAAAAGAATTCAACCCATATGAGTCTTGAAACTGAGGTTTTATGGTTTTCTTCCATATATATCAACTTGTCTAATTCATTTAGTAAAAAGTTAGGATTTTTCCCTTCAAAATTTTTGTCTTCATGGCCAAGAAAAGGAGAAGAAAAGAAAAGGAGTAGAAGAAGAAGAAACAAATCAAAACAAATAAAAAAGAAAAATGCCTCCTTTGAAATAACATTCCCTGTACAAGACAAGATAAAGGCATTTATAGCCAAAAGAGGCCATAGCCATGAAAATATTATTCCAGGCAATTAAAGAAGAGGCAAAATGATCAGTAAAGTCTTGTGCTTGCTGATCTGGTGTACTTATTCTTAGAAGAAGAAGAAGAAGGTGAAGACGACAAGTCGCCTGACCGTCTTCTAAGCATCTGCCTCATCCCATCAGCAACTCTGACTGCAGGATTTGAATTGAATTTACCACAAAATGACATGTGAGCTTTAACTGCTTCTTCCATTCCAAATTGTTTTTTATTACCTCTACTAACTTCATCTCTAACAGCTTCTGAACACAACCCACATAGCCATTTCCCATCAAATTTTGATTTCACTTCAATGATATAATCTTGAGTGCAGTCCTCTTTCAGTCTACAACACTCGCACGTCACTGATTCAATCTCCATATCTCTCTAAATTCCAGAACTCTTTCTTTCAAAAGGGTTTAAGTAAAGTAATTAAAGTAAATGAGGCGATAAGTGTGAATTAAAAAAAAAAAGATTACAGGCGTGCTTTAATCCAAGTTGGATTTGGATATGATTGCAATGATGGTATAGAAAAAGTGGGTTTCTTTTGCTTCTCTGCTTTTGTTGCTCACTATGTGTTTGATGAAATGTTTCTTTGGTCTGCAAGAAATAAGTGAAAGAGTTCTTTTTATGCTTAGATTGAGAGAAAGAGAGAGAGTTAACGAGCTAATAGAGAGTAAGGAAAGTTGCCTTAATTTCCTCCATGTTATAAGGGACATGGAGCAGTGGAAAATGAGACAAGATTGGTCGGAGGGGGGCCCTAGTGGGTTGGCCCTTTCTAGCATTTAGTTACAATTTTTTTTTTTCCAATCTTAATAATTTATTTTTTCTTTATTTTATTACCTTTGTCATTTTGTGGGTTAGCTCTTACTTTTTAAGGGCAGTTTTCCCTTATTTTTGATTGACAGTTACTTTCGGTTAAATAGAACTTGTTTGGCTCAATTGGCTAATGTCACTGGCTGTCTGTTTTCTCTATTAGCTAAGGCTTAGCCACTTTTGCTTATTATTTTCCCATTTAAACCTTTTTGATTTTTATTAAATCCCTTTAGTTAAATTAAAATAAATAAATTTCTCTAAATATTGATTCATAATACCTATTTATCACTTAATCAAGGAAGAAGGTCTAACACTACCGTACTTCATTGACAAACTAGCCATGATTAGTTCAACAGTTACTTATTAATCTAATGGATGTGAATATGCATTAACTATACGTACCATTATATACTCTTAACCCTATAGTTTTTGATACAGCAGAATTATTATTATTTTATAAATTAATGAACTATTTATTATTCATTTGTTAAATACAAAACAATTACATTAGTCATTGACAGTTGAATATACACAACAAAGAAGTTGAAAGATGAACATGGGGTTTGTTCTCCACACCTTTATCTTTCAATAATGCTAACAAACTTTTTGACATTATTTATTTATTTATTTATTCTGAATCCACAAAGCTATGTTCATTTGATTTGAATCTATATACCAATTATTGGACTTTATGTGTAAATATTTTCCTAAAAATACTTCAAATACAATATCCCAGAATGAATTAATATTTTTCCTTCCATTTTAAGTTGTGACGTGATACTGACCTTGTCTTAGCATCAGACATGAAAGATAAACCTATTATTGATTAAGGGTTGGTCTTAGATTTTCCACTTTTTAATTTTGCGGTCTATGTTGCTTTCAGCTATTTCATCAGAATGCCATAATCATCTTGACTTGATTTAGAATTAGGCTTCTCAATTTTAGACTTATGGCTGATTATAATAGGTCGATGCCATAGCTGAAATTCAAAGTTTTACGACTAGAAGTAATTTGCAAATATTGTTAATTTGGAGTTTTTTAACCACAATTACCGTACCCTGCAAGTTGCAACAAATGAAACTCCAAGTTGCAGTTATGTAGTAGCTAATTAAAGTTAATGTTTTGATTTTCATAATCAAACTTTGCATTATTGAGATCATGAAAATGATGCAATTAATTAATTAGTATGTACGATGCCGTCAATTTCCACAAAATATATAAATATTGTTAAGTAGGAGTAATCAAATCTTTAATTCGATAAGTCTTTTGAATAATTGTACACTTTTTATTAATTAAAAGATAATTATCCAACATGGACACTCCATTTTCACAACAATGATCATTATGTCCTCAAGAGTCAAAAAGAAACTACAATAAATAAGCACCTAATGTTAATTATTTGCTGCTCCCTCACTCCCGAAATTATTATTTTCGATTTCCTTTTAGATGTCTGAAAGTAATAGTCTCATTTATAAAAATATATATTTTTTTAACCTTCTCACAATACCATTATATAATAATTCATGTAAATAGTTAATATTTTTCATTTTTTCATATGTACTTATATAATAATCCGTATAAATAATTAATATTAGTTGAATTTACCATTATATAATAATTCACTTTTCTGTTGCCTGTTAAATATGCTTAATTATGTAAATGTATATATATTCACATGGCACTTCATATATTTTCTTTTCTGCTGCTGTTTGTTCGTCCAGCGACAATTTAAACAATGGACGCAAATTCATTTGTAGGCAAGAGGGTCCCAAGCACACACTTTACAAACTCGTAGTGATATTTCGGATAAGACTTCTATGAAATTAGAGATTGTGTTGTCCCAATTTAATGAATACCCAAAACTGCAGTCAATTGTGTACTACTAAATACCAATATACATAGGTGCAGAGAGACAGGGCATGGCCAAGCATGTGGGGTTGCTAAAGAGTTGAAAGTGTTGGCCAAGTTCTAGTTTGGTCATAGTCATGAATCCATGCATACAAAAGGACTTGTCCGGTGGATGCCCGGCAATTACAGTGCCCACGTTGGTGTTTTCTACCAGTGTCTTTCAGGAGTTCCGCAACTTGATCTAAATGGCAAATGTAATTGAGTGAAATTTGAAAGCGAACTTTATTTGAAGTTTAAAATTTAGAGTTGTCACTATTAAAAGACCTTTACCTGTGTATTATCTGAAGGTGAAGACAAAACGGAAACTTAGCCATTTAACTTGAAGACTCGGCTTAAGATTTTACATTGTATAAGCCAAGCCATTCTGAATTGAGTTGTATAAATCAAAACAAACAACAAATCATTTCAAGGATGGGTTTTCTTAAGCTTTTATTAGCTCAATATCCATTGTTTTGAGGGGTCAATGATTCTTCACATGGGATTTTGTTTGGTTCCTCCATTATGATATTCATAAGGAGAGCTATGTCAAAAATTTAGTGGGGAGGTTGAGTTTGTTAAAAAAATTTAATGTCCTTCACATGCTATCCCACATGCACTTACCTTCCAACCAAAGGATTCTTTTCCTTCATTCCCCACCCAACCAATTCCTTATTATCATTTATCACCCACTCCTATCATCAATCATTTAGCATATACTCTAATTTTCCAACCTCATCTCCATTGCATTAAAGATACAAAGATGAGAGGACTAGAATACAGTGTTGATGCAAAATTCTGTTGCCTTGCCTGTGTTTTATTATTTGATTATGTTATGTGGGGTATTCTGTTTTATATGTTACATTTTGGTGCTTCAATCATTTGCTCAAAAAAAAAACTATTTCAACTCCCAACTTCTTCTCATTAGGACTTTTTGCATGCTGACTCTGCTGTCTAAGCATTGAAACTCGATTTCAATCTTAACCTCCAACACCCACATCATTTATTGTCTCAGCATTTTTCAAATGGAAATCTTAGAATTAAGTTCATGCATAGGTATACATCTTTATCCGGATTTGAAATCTGAAATTATTACCGATAACAAAAGCTTTAAATAAAACGAAAACATGACTGTAAATAAATAAATATGCAAAAGAAATTGTTTTTCTGTATCCATTATTTTTTTGAATACATGCACAAGCAAGTCTAATCAAGCAGGAACTGTATCCATTCAAACAAATGACAGAATGTAGCAAATGAAACAAACACAGGCCAAATAAAAATCAGGGGCCTCTATTTCTACTTTTCCATCTGCTTATTTTGTCTTTAAGTTAGTATTAAAGAGAGTAAAATCATGACTGATAATAAAGTTAACAAGAAAAAAGGTAATGAAAAGAAAGCATTTTCTTAAAGTAAAACATGGAAGACTTGATGTTAATGGTAATTAAAAGTCTTGTAATCAAATCAAAACTTTTCTGTCATGTCCTATCAATCATGTTTGATTTAATCAGTTTTTTTTATGCAAAGAGTTGGAGGTTTTTTTCTCGCATTTAATGAATTAATGAGAACAATACAGTAAACGATCGTGATATTTCGCCATTGGATTTCTGTGGAAGGGATAAAAATTTCCATAATAGGTATATTAGTGATTGGACTTATGGGGCAAGGATTAGTGGCAAGGCTGAAACCTCAAGTTTAGAATATCTCAAGCTAAGATTTAGGTAGGGGACTAAAGGGCAACCTGATACAGCATTTCTGAGTACTTGGTGTATCAAGTGTGTACATCATGTTTTGGGCAATGGGACCCTGTTTTCAGGTTCGTCCACATAAAATTAGGCACCACAGGGTTGCAATTGACTCCTAAATGTATGCTTCTGAAAAATATTTTCTCAACTTTTTATTTTCTTATGCTTGTATCGCTTAGAAAAATTAACTAACAAAAAATCTTTTTTTCATTAAAGGAAAACTGAGATTTTTGGAAGGACAACTTCTCTTTTTTAGAAAGGAATTTTTTATTTTGATAAAATCACTCTATAAAATAAGAAAAAAAGTTTACAAACATATCTATTACTACTAAACAACGCTAGTCACTTACTGATGATAATTAGTCATCATCACAAATCATTAGTGATAGGTGTTAAATTTATAGTGTTTTTAATATAGTTTTTATTAGAATTTTAGTAAGTTTTATTAGTTTAATTTGATTTTAAATTCAATTCTAGTATAATTTTGTTAATTTTAGTAAGTTTATTAGTTAATTTGATTTTAAATTCAATTCTAGTATAATTTTTTTCAAGGCTTCCCTTTGATTCTTAATCCCGCTTGATCTAAGAGAAAAATTGTAGGAATTTGGCACAGAAAAGAACATTTCAAGCAAGACCACTCAGGGGCCTACCACACCCAGGGCCGGTGCTTAGAGGCACACCGTCTAAAAACTAAGGAAATCAAAGGGAGAGACAGAAAGAGATCCGGCCAGGGTGGCTTGTCAAAAGCGCACGGCCGTGCCAAAATGAGATCAGGGCGTGTTCAAGCCTAGCACGCCTGACAAATTCTTAGCGGGGGAGTTAGTGAACAGAAGCAAGCTGACAGAAGCAAGCACGCCCTGCCTGTGCTTGGTGGCACGCCCGTGCCTCAGGGATTCATCAGGGTGTGCTTGCCTAGCACACCCCGTGCTTTACTAGCCAGACTTCCAGACTCAAGTACGCCCTACCTGTGCTTGGTGGCACGCCCGTTCGACCTCGGGGAGTTTCCTAAACACACTAAAAAAGACCTAGACCTATTTTTGGGGAAAAAGGAGTCCTAATCAAGAGGAAATCAAAAGCCTAAACAATCATGATCTCCTACAAAGGATTTTGCACTAAATAAGGATTCTATTTCCTAAAAGGATTCAGACTTACCTCCAGGAGCTCTATATAAAGAAGAAAACTCCTCAGTGCTAGATATATCTCGTTTTTTGTGCTACTCTCTACATAATTTACTCTCTCTCAAGACTTCAAGCATCCAAGAATTATGCCAAGAATCAAGGAAGCCATCCATATAGTTGTGATACAGTTTTTATTCTAAACTCTTCATCTTGTTTCTTTCTTTTCATTATTGTCTTTAAATATGATTTAAATATTGATGAATGATGTTCAAGATGGACTAAGTTTTATTTAATTTACTATGTCCCAGCTAAACTTTTATACTAGAGATTTGATGTAAACTTTAATTCGATTCCAGTTATTAATATTAGATTATTTTTTCCATATTCTTGTTATAAAACTAGTATTGTACCTTAAGGCTTCCAGCAGAAAATTTCCCCGAATTGAGTTATTTCAATTAATCCACCTATCGGTGAAAGAAGGGTTATTGACGTGGAAAAAGATTAATAAACGTACTTGAGAATAATAACTTGACGCGGAAGCTATAGGTTTGACTCAGGGTTTCATAAGGCTATTGATATTAATTATGGACTCACAAAAACAACCATAAAACCTAAGGATCTGATTTATGTTTGCATTTTCACTATTTAAAAGATAGTAATTAAACTGGATTTAGAAATAGCTAACAATACATCGGGAGAACTTGTTTAGTAACTCTAGGGATTGTTTCTCCTACTTGAACAATTTAAGTTGATATGAACTTAATAGAAAAAAAGCTGCGATTAGAATTAAGTAAAATCGAATTCCCTATAGTTTAATTCTCTGATTTTCTTCCACCCAAAATTTTGTGCCTTGATCTCCTCTGTTTTTACTTTAAAATTTTATTTTCCCTTTTAGCGATTCTCTCTATCATCGTCTAAAATAATAATAGGTTAACATAATTTTTGGTAATTGATATACTTATCATCGTCTAAATAATAATAGGTTAACATAATTTTGGTAATTGATATACAATCTCTGTGGATACGATACTCTTTTACTCTATATTACTTGTTGTGATTTCGTACATTTGCGAAAAACGCTGTCAATTAGTAACTATATAATTAATCTTTTTGTATTTTTTTATATTTAATAATAGATTTTTAAAAATGTGAAATTTTTGCTTTCAAATATATAATATGAATTAAAAATTGTAATATTTTTGTGATTTTTAAAATTATAATTAAATAACAGAAAATAAATTATTGAAAAAGTAATTTAAAAAAAATACATCCTTTACAGGTAAATTAATTTTAAAAAACTAAATGAAAACTAGAACGGGTTAAATTCGTAGGACCCTACCACGTGGGATGCAACATCAGCTTACCGCATGCATCCTCTTCCCCATGTGGTCGACAAAATACTTAAAAGAATATGCGGGCAGGGATTGGCCCAGCCCAAATCTGACCTTCAATTTTGCATTATAAGTTCTGGTCCTGTTCAAACAGCAGATGTCGCTTTCTTTCGCTTTCATAGACCAGAAAACAGAAAATTATCAGACAATTGTTCTCACAATGATTTGCGAACACAAATTAGGATCACTCGCTTTCAATAATGCTTTTCGAAACATGTAAATCTTCAGCTTATATATTTAGATGGAGACACAGTAATCAGACAGTTGAATCTTCCTCACTACAAGCAATGATAAAATTAAGAAATAGAACATACTGTAAACCAAATCATAATACAAGAATCGAGTCTTTAATATTAGTTTGCCGGAGAAGGAGAAGCTCTTGCCTCTAAGATGAGCTCAGAATTTCTAGTAAAATGTATTATCTTTCAAATTGACTGCAACCCAATACAGCCACAATCGTTTCAGTTAAACAAGAAAAAGTATGGGATCTATCTCTATTTCTGTGTCCAATTCAGTGATATTTACAGAATCTCTCTCCCTCTCACCGTGTTATGGTCGTACTTGCCACCAAAATGTGTGCTAATTTCAGTAATAGCAGAAGCAATGGTTGAAAAGCAATGCATTTGATTTCGATGTTGAGCAACCCAAAAAAAGAAAATAAAGATCAATTAGACTTCATCTCAACGTCCCCACCACCCTCCTCTGTGATGGTGTCAGATGTATCTGGGGGGAGAAGACCTAAGAGTGGCAAAGGCAGCAACGAGCTGAGATTGCACAGAACAATCAAATAGGCCAAATTGTCAAAGGTATCCTTTGTGACTCCGAAAAGCTGGGTTAGACCAGCACCTATCAATCCTCCTAGAACACTTCCTCCATTAGATATGGACATGAGAGTGGCAAAAAGTGTTGCTTCCATTCCTTCTGGGCATAATTTTGCTGCTAGCACAAGAACAGGCATGAAAGAAGCCTGCCAAAAAGATCAGTATATTAGTTTTTGCTGCTTTTGCATGATTAAACAATCATCAATTGAATCAACCTATGCAGAATAAGCAATAAAACCGATAGGCAATACAAATAAGGCAGCTTACATCGTGCATGCAAATGCCCCAAGATTCATGATACTCTAACAGTGAAACTTACAGCAGACTATATCCCTTACGAGTGAAATAGATGAAAAAATCAGGCGGCCAATTTGGATATATTTCTGGAAAAAAATTCCTCTTAAAGGGAAGCAATATCTAACTTGTTATAGAAAAAACCTTCAGAGGAAACAAAGAGAATTCTTCAAGCCAGTTGTAAGTAGAAAATTCTTTAGCTATTTTCCACTACTGGGCTATCAACAAATTTGGGCATTTCAAAGCAAAGACAAGCATCCCAAACAAATCTAACTTAATCATCATAGCAACTGAATTACTCCTGTTTGCCAAAAAAAAAAAAAAAAAAAAAAAACCTGTTTGCCCAAAAAAAAAAAAAAAAAAAAAAAAATGATGAAGGAATGAATAAAACTACCCTGACAAGAACTGTAAAAAAAAAAAAAAAAAAAAAAAAAAAATGATGAAGAATGATAAACTACCTGAGCAAGAACTGTTAAAATCAAAGAATCCCCAATCGCAAACCACTCGTCACTTATGCCAAACTTTCTATTTAGTCCAGAAACAAGGAAAATCTGAGCCAAGAGACATCACAAGTGAATAATAATACAATGCCCATAAACACAATTAATTCAAAGGTGAGCCCTAAATAAAAAAAAAAAAATCACAACACACACCTGAGTCATTCCAAGAGCTGTACCACTTATGGTAGTAAACATAAAAATCTTCCGCAAAGGAACATTTTTCAGAAAGCCATTATACAGTCCAACCCCAGCCAATGATGCAACTGAAGTAACAAGCTTGACCCTTCCGAGAAATTCTGGGGAGAACCCAAGTTTATTTGTGCTGAAAACAAAGACCATGATGTTGCATATTACATAGATGCTGTAATTAATTAAAGAATTGTCAATAGCCATGAATCAAAATCAAAGTAGGACGATCATACATACGTGAAGTAAAACATAGCAGAGTCCGACTGAGGCGTTGCCTGCCAGAGGAAAATAAATAAAGTGGGAAGAAAAACATTTGGCTGCTTGACTGCATCCCACAACTGAATAACATGCTGCTTTGAGCTTTCCATAAAATCAGGACCAGTCAAACCAAGATTCTGTCCTCTAGCTGGAACAAGAACACGCTGTTCTTTCACAAGAACAGCAACTGCAGAAGTTATCAGTGGTAGCAAGGCAGTGACACCAAAAACAAACCTGTAATGATAAAATCAGCAGCAAAATGACAGATTTCACAGCAGTAGATGCAAGGAAATTAAATCAACGCACAGCCGCCTCAAATACCTTACACCATAAGCATCCACCAGAGAACCACTAAAGTACGAGCTCACAATTCCACCAAAAGCTGAAGAACCCCAACATAAAGATTGAAGAGATCCTGACATGCTTTGTGACTCGCCACGAGCCCTCTCAACCACCATGGAATCTACAACCTAAACAGTCAATTTTTATGACAAATGTGATTGAAGGGGACAGCATGAAGTGCAATATTGCAGATATAGCATTCAAATAATTTTTCTATTCAGCAAAATGCATATACAAGGATATAGTTGTGTGCATGTGTGGGCGCATGAAATGGCAATGCATGACTGCAAGAGAAGGTGGTGAGGCAGAGACAGATTGAGCAACAAAAATATATCTTTGCAAGTGCCGTGTTCCTAAACATGTACCAACATAAATCTAATTAACTGCCCAAATCAAAAGTTCATCAAATCTGATATGGAGTTTGGTAGCACTGAACTGATAAGTAATCAAATATCTCAAATACCTAACCAGTTCCAATTTCTCTTACACATTTTTATGTACATGAACTTAGAAGTTCTTCCAATGACTAATTTAAATGGGACCACTAGGTTCTAGTACGAAATTATATTATTCAGCAGTCTAACAAGAATCACCAGTTCTAGAAATATTGTCATTATCCCAGCTTAAAACTAATCACATCTCTATTCAAGCATTTTAACAATTTCACGAAGTCGAAGATACTCACAACATCTGAGAAGGCAACAGAAAGTGATGAAAGAAGTATGCAGAATGCAGCGCTGTACTTGCTGTCAACAAACGTAGCCATTAAGCTCCAAGAAAGTGCACCAAGAAGTCCTGAAAGAACCAAGTATGACCTTCTTCGATAACCAAAAAGTGGTACAGAATCACTGCAATCACCGTGTAAGGAAAACAGAGAACAAGCCTTTAGTTCAAATTAAGAAGGATAGGAAAATTGAAAAGAGGAGGAGGGGGGGGGGGCATGCCACTTAGATACGAACCAACGACACTGAGAATTTTCAAAATTACACAGACAGGGATAGGACAAATTAAAAGCAGGACGGAAGAGTAGCGCGCGAGGTCCGGGTGTGCTGGGAGATGGATAGAGATAGAACATATATAGAGTAATATGAAACAAAAATAAGACGAGACCGCCAACGGCCAATAAAACCCATGACATACGCTCAAACAAATGGCACATCTCTTCATATTGAACAGCCTGCACAGAAAGGTATAATTGTGACAAACAGAAACAAACCCAGAGTAAGTAATCTAGCTGTCGGTTAGTCCACCATATAAATTGTCAGTCCTGAAAACAGTTCATAGAGCTATAATCATAGATGTTTAATTATGTAGACGAATTAACTGTTAATGGACTAAATTTCCTCCACTGCGCTTACAGAATCCATAACTACAAAAGAATTTCGCAACCCAAGGGGATCCCGCATGTGATTCTTTGAAAGGTTATATCAGTATATTAAGATATAAACATTCCATACAACTAATATAGACAAATTTAATTAAAAGAATTGAACTGGTAAACAAAAATATCAATAAGAAACGTATGACTATGCAACACTTTGCACATACTAATACAATATGGGGGGGGGGGGGGGGGGGGAGATGGAAGAACAAATAGAGGTTAAAGAAAAGAATAAGACCCACCTAATAAACCCATAAAGAGGTTTGACTAGCCATGGTAATGCAGAAAAACCAGATATTACAGCTGTCTAGTCCACCATATAAATTGTCAGTCCTTGAAACATCAGTTAACATTATGAACGATTATTTAATGCTAAATTTCCACTCCTACAATCCATTACTTACAAAAATTTCGCAACAATGCTGTGATCTTGAATTACAGAATTAAATTAAAATAAAAAAAAAAGAATTGACTGGTAAACAAAATATCAATAAGAACGTAGCTATCAATACTTTCCAAACTATTCAATGGACTCTACTAAGATAAATACACATATGACATCACCATAGGCCCATACACATACCTCTGCAGGATCTAAATGCAAATCATCTTTCAAGTAGAAACTGACAGCGAGTCTAGATAGGCCTAAAACACCTTGAACAAAATACACCATTGCAACAGCAACATTATCAGGTGACAAATCCACCCCAAAGCATTTGATTCTGCTACTGAGATATCTGTTTTTACGCACACCATTTTTACTACTTGAGCTTGTCCCTTCCTCCACATCTGTTGTTAGCATTTCACCTTTACCGCCACCTAATCCAAGCATAAACCAGCTGATTAATCACTAAAACACCAAACGATCGGGTTTAATAAATACATTTAATTGCTTCAAGCTTATCAAAATATTGAAACTCAAAATTATAATCTCATCTATTTCAAACACATGAATTTAATCCTAAGACAAATCCTTCGGGAAAAGCTGTCGGTTAGGACACATTTTAACAGATGAACTTCTAGATATTGAAGCAGATGCATTACAATAACGGATTTGAAAATAACTTACTATCTACGGGAACCAAAAGCGACTCATCGCTTCGGTCCCGCCGGTGAGCCGGCATCGGCATAGATGTGTCCGATTTCCGCCGTGACCTCCAGCGAGCTCTGCTAGGAGCGACAAGAGTGACAGGGTTCCGATAAATTTGACAGAAAGGAGAAAAGGAGATAATGGACAAAGGTAAATTTTGGGAGGGTAAGCGTGGGATTGAGGTAAATTTGATTGAAGCCATTAAAATAGTAATAGATTAAGCTTTTTTATCCAGTCAACCCAACCAACTGACCCTTACTGCGTCTGGTTCGGTTCAAAATGACTTATGTATCCCTATATGTGCATTAAATTGAAGATTATAAAAGCCGCAGAAATATGGACACGTAACCAGTCGTTGCCCCCGCAAATCTTGTATGGGCCAAGTTACAAACCGATGCAAACAACAAAGCCCATTTATTTCATAGGTAAAATCAACATCCAATAAGAAACCTCTGAGGGCCATTGAAACCGCTTGGAGCGAGCAATAAAAGAGGAAACTCTAAATTATATCATAATTAATCTTTTTATTTTCGAAAAAATGATTATGACATTTCTAATCCATTTTCAAATCCTTTCGTCCAAAAGTCCGCACATTACTCTGTTAAACACACTTCTTTTGAACGGAATATGTTCATTTCAAAGTATTAATATTTTTCTTTAAGCAAAGTGCAAAAGGATAACTTTTCTCTTTTCATAAATGTAATTTGGAGATATGTTCTCTTCTTTCGTTAATGTAATAAATGAAAGCATGATTAATTTAACAAACAATCAAGCATTAGTCAACAAAGAAGTTGCGGGTACAATGACTAATTTTGGAAACAAATTTGTACAAAAATTGAAAATAAGAGATGAAATTAATATAGAAGAGACACTTACCTTACTAGGGACATGAATTAATGTTGATTGATTGCAATTTGCAATGTTAAAATTATTGTTGAAGAATCTTTTAATCCATTATTAAGATAATGTCTACTAATATACAATTAAGACCTTCAAATAAACCCTACACCACATATTCTTTGTATGAATTTTATATTATTATGAATTTTTTACTTATATGGCTCCGAGTAAGAGCAATCATTCTACTTCCAATCCCAATCAACCTATTTGCTAACCCAAGAATTAGGTGAGAAACTTGGCTCAAGATTAGTTATTACACACGCTCGAGGAATATACGAAATATTAAAAAAAAGGTTGATAGTTATCTTCGAGGCGTGAGATGAGATGATAAAAAATCATTTTTCTTTAATCAGAGATTTCGACTTTGAGTCCTGAATATAGAGTCTATTTAAAATAATTGGAAGGGAGCACTTTCCTCCCTTTGTGGGCCTACGCAACGCCATTATTACATTCTTCATATTATTACATTTATTTTAGAGTCTTTTTATACAAGTCCAAGTGTTGAGTTAATATAATTTTAATGGAATTAATCCAATAGACAAGACTGTGAACTTTTATTTTTTTTATCAATAAAGATTTGATTTCACCTATGTGTGTTGCAACGTGTGATTCGATGTTCTTCTTTTTCACGTGAGATCGATGATTTGATTTTTATAGATAGAGTAAATGCTTGTTGAAAGCAATATGAGCTGAGGATACAAACCAAATATCTTAGTAATTTTTTGACAATTGAAAAAAAAAAAAAAAAAAATCCTTATATTATAGAGGTAAGTAGGCTCAAATAGCTGTGTTAGCAAAACAGACAATAATGAGCCGTCTTGAAAGTGAATTACACAACAGTAAACCAAATTCTAACTTTAAGCGCTTAATTTTATTGAGCAACATCGAATAAATACTCAACAAAAAAAAAAAAAAAAAAAGAAAAATAGAATCAAAACTAAATATGGCCTAATTCTTAAAGACACAGTTGTTTGCAACTTCCTTAGGATTTTGAAGGAAACAAAAGAGAGTAAAGAACCAATTCCTTCCTGGTGGCCTACATTTGAATAAAGTGAGAAGTGAGAAGCGTTTGTGGAAGAGCTAGAAAGAGAAGATGAAAAATAAAATAAAATAAAATAAAATTATCAAGTCGTAAATTGAAGAAGCGAATGGTCCCAATTTTGATTCCAAATTAGGTCTCTCCACTAGCAAGGGGGGCAAGAAGGATGTGTTTGGCACTGGGCAGGACCGCCTTGTCTGCCTCTAATCCCCACATTTTTTTACTAACAATATTAGTGGAGGTTTATATGCATCTCTGCTTTAGCTTCCTCAGTTACACTTCCTTTTCCAAGCTCATAAGCCATAAACCCCCCACCAACTTCTACTTCTTATTCTCCTTCTCTATATTGATAGATCAAAAAAACGTAGGTTTCTTCATTTTCTGAAGAACATGAGCAGACCCTTTTTTTTTTTTTTACAAAAGCCATTAAGAACATAAATGTACTGTTGACAATAACTTTATGAGTACTTGAAAAGAATCAAAACCCACTTTGTATTTTGCTTTATGCAGATGCCGTATGAAGCTTTTGTTCTAGTTCTAAAAAGCTACCGCATTTTGCACTGTAGAAAGTAATCTAATTCCCTTTTTTTTCTTTTTTTTTTTTTTCTTTTCATCTTGATTCAAGCAACCGTAAAATAAATAAATCTTACTTGAGAAAAATATTATTTTTTGGTATATTGAGAAAAATATTATCCATCGAGATTTGAAAACCATAGCATCCAAAATTGAGTTATTAACCAAATAGCATTTAAATTATTAATTGGGTATTAATATTATGATATTTGATTTTCAGTGATATACTAATATTATGAAACATTATTTCCTTTAAATGGAAGAATATTTAATTTATTGCCGTCAAATAATTAGTATTCAGAGTAATATACAAATAAGGCATATTTCAATTCATTAAAATAAATCAACTTAATGAATTCTTAAGTATAATATAAGTGCATGTAGAATATGAGTATCAACATAGAATTCTTTCTCTAATATTAAAAAAAAAAAAAAAAAAAAAAAAAATAAATAAGTGCGTTACCAATGAGAAGGGCACACCACTGATTGATCTTTTGTAAATTGTGATGAAGAAAATATATACCACATTCGAGATTATATGCGAACAACGCATATGCCATTTTCCTACAAAGAAAAATTTCATGAAGAAGAGTGAGTAACCGAGAACCTCAGGACAATAATGTACAATTTTAGGGCTCATGACTTTGCGCAGCGGTATCTAATAGTGTCATTAATTGATAATTTTCACAAGTGCTAATAATACTAACTAACTTTAAGTAAAATTCTTAATATCTCTATTTAAATAGGAAGGAATGAATTTGTATCCTAAATTTTATTTAGCTCCGTGTTCAAGATTCGAGTGATACTTAGTAAATTACCGTGTCGTAAGGGTACATTACAAATATATGGAATTGGGTCATATTTCAATTCATTTAAAATATACAACAGGACATCACAATCTTATGAAATTCTCTAATGTAAATTAATATATACAAAGTGTGCGCCAATAAGTATGAGTTAGGAATATTGAGCGTTATATCCACAAATATAAGAATTCTTCCTTTGCGTCGATCTAAATTAGTATAAAAAAAAACCACTAGTAAAAGGATAAAAATAAATAAATAACCTAAGAATCTCATATTGTAGGTAAAGTTGACCAAAGTAACGTATCTAAGTGAGTCATACAGAATGTGTTCGGAATATCGCGTGAGCTATAGATACAATATAAACAGTGAAAGAATTTCTCTACATAAAATTAATTATAATTAAACGGTTCAATGTCGCTGCTCACTGAGTTGGCCTTGTGCTTAATGAATGGGTCACGAAACGGATAAATTGTATGTATATATAGTCTCATAATTGAACAAATATTAAAAAAAGGCAATACATTACTAAATTCTATATAACCAGCATATGTACGAGTCATACGATCATCCTCTCTGATATCGATCCTTCCCAAACATTTTGAAATCGCGACAATCACTCGTAAATCGACACACAGCTAAATATCCAATCTAAAAACTTATACGACGTTTCTAAACATTAAACGAAAATAGGTCTAGACATAGAAACCAAGGCTACTATGCAATGTTTTTCAGCTTATATCCACCAGAGTCAGTCAGTCTTCCTTTCTAAATTACATATATGCAAAAAAGCTATCACACATAGTGACTAGAACTAGGAATACAATTAAAAATAAATACCCTCACTCGATAAAAATAAAGACCAACACTTAGATAAAAATTCCAGATAGGTAAGCACTAGATAACTCAAATTTTCTCTTTGGTGATTGACTATAACATATGATCTCATCTTCCATGAAAGTAAAGAGATCTTGTCTTGGCAATAATCAGAACAATCCTTCTGGCTCTAGGGTTACAAAGAGCTCTAAAACCTATAGCGAAGAATATGATACATTGTGGGTAATTAAAGGCTCTCTAGCGAGTTGAGTCTGTCCCTGCTCTTATCCATAACTAATAAATAACTCAAACTAGCGTCTGAAAAACATGAGTCTTCATATCCCACATTGAAGTTCACTAGTTAGACTTAATATACTCATCTGCCACTCCCTAGCAAAACTATATCTCAAAATTGTTCCGTTCATAATAAGGCAACTCAGTCTTGGCTTCGATGATATCCGGGGCCCTCTTCTAAACCTCGGCTGATCTAAGCATGACTTTTACACCTTACATGCATGTAAAGGAATAATGATCAAGATTAAGAGTAATAGACTCTGGTCTCAGACATCGAGAAAATCATATGTAGACTATTCTTATCTTAAAAGCTCTCAAAGAACAATGTTATGGCCTAGCCAAAAGCTAGGTAATAGACAAACGTCTTTTGCTAGTCCAAGGATGGGTTACAATTGATTGCTGTAATTGACCAGGGCCAAATGCAACTGGTTGCCAGAATTATTCAGGATAAGGCATATTATCCCAGAAAAGGATTATTGGACCAAAAAACATGCGCTTCAAAACACAAGACAGAGAGAGAAAAACATCTCGAACACTATACATCCCTCTGATACAATGTGGTAGGACTCATGGCTTTTCCGACGCTCTCACAGATCACTCTCCTTGCACTAATGCATAAACAAAGGCGACAAAAGCTGTCATAGGCACATAGTGCTCTGATGGATTAACTTGACCCATTACCGCAAAAGACCTCTATAGGCCAATCTTGCCCTAATAGGTCGCGGATACTCCAGGATAAACGATCCCACCCACAACTCTCATCCCAGCCGTTCCTCTGCTGGTTCAGACAATGCGAATATCTTCAACGTAATCATACGTAGAAAAAAAAAAAAAAAAAAAAAAAAAACCAATTCAATAATGTAGTTAGTAAAGCTTGACAAAGTGAACGTAATCAAGGAGATTACAAAGAGGGACAACATAATAAGAAAAGAATCTACTTTAATTAATTAAGGTCATTGGTCCTATGTGCTTTAATCACAAGATAATTGATGTATAATTTATAAAATTAAAAAGATAATATAATCTAAAGCTTTAGTCATACATCATCATCATCATCATCATCATCACACCAACTTTTGAAACCAAAACCTGTAGACAAGCAATCATCTAATTATCACTTTGTTAATTAAACAAGATCAAAAACCTACACAGAGTTTTCAGCTTTCCAGAGTTTCAGTCCCTCAAATTCTTCAAAAGGGAATAGGACTAGAACTAGAAAAATAATCATATAAAATAAAAACTGAAAACAGATTCAAGAAACCATTTTCTTTGGTTGCTTAATAATAATCTGTCTTCCATTTGAAGTAAAAATTTGATAATCAGAACATTCTCTAGTACAAAGTCTACCATTAGGGAAATATTTGGGTTTGGTTCTTGGTTGGCTGCCCGTTTCAGACAAAATAAAACTGCTAAAAAGTTTCATGAACAAGTTCCATAGACATCCTCTGCCTCCAGCTTATCTAATTGTTCCTCTAATAGCATCTCTTGATACCGGCATTCCCGGCTGCAAAATGCTTTTTCACCTCTGCAGTAGATCAAATTAAGAATGTTTATATCAACATATTACATTCTTTTTAAATTCAAAACAATTTTAGCTAGCAAAAGTTAAAAAACTTTTTCCATTTCTGATGTGAAATTGACCAACACTTGCAGAATGTCAGGTAATTTATATCAGAGAATTGGAAAAATGCCAAAAACAGAAACTTGGAACTAACCTGTACATGTAAATGTCTTTTCCCTGCCCAAGATTCTTCTTGCAAGCATAACAGAAGCTTAAGAAATTCTCTGATGGATAACTTGACCCATTACCCAAAAACCTATTAGCCTCTGCCATTGAAGCAGAAAACCCAACAACTCCACAGCAGCTTTCAACAATGCAATCATCAAATATATGAGTAGTTCTTGGATTAGGACCATAAGATATCACACAGGTGTAATCCTCGGAAAGTTCCATTTCACTAGCAGAAAGACACCCGGTAAAAACCCGTGGTGGTGAATTCGTATTGTCCACACCGGAATTAGCTGAACTGCATAATGATTTCTTGACTGGAGAGTGAAATAACCCAGAAGAGAAAGAACCCAGTTGAGAATTCCTTGTTTTGATTCCAAAATCAGCAGGAGATTTAGGAGATTGGTCTGTTGGTGAAAGAAATGGAGGCAAAGGAGGAACCTGGATCTTTAACTGTGACCCGAACAAAACCATTCTGCTTTCGGGTTTTGACAAATTGGGTTCAGTTTTATCACCATTAAGAGCATCAACGATGCCAAGACCGATGCCTTTGGAGTCCAGCTTATCCCAGGTGCGTCTGGTTTCAAATTCCGGGGTTTTAGGTGTCGGGTTCGGCGTAGGGTCAGGCAAGAAAGGATTTCTAAAGCCAGAAAAAGGTTTACTATCAAGAATTGAAGTTGGACTCATTACACCTTCAGCTGTTTCAGATAAATTCTTGAAGGTGAACCCAGTGAACAACCTTGGAAATGAATTGGGATTTCTAAATTTGTCCGTTGGAGATGGAACTGAACTGTAGTCTGCCATCAGAGCTTCCTTACTGCTTGTTACTCTGGATCTCTTTCTTAGCATCTCTTAGACTATTACACACCCACTGCAAAACAGAGAGCAGAAATGATTTAATACCACCAAATCAGAAAAACTTTTTACCAGAAATTAGTTAATTGACCAAAAATAAAAAATTTGGAATTGTGGTTTTTACCCAAAAATAACCACGGATTCCATCAAAACAAACTTGAAGCTCCAAAAAATAGCAGAAATTGGTGAAATGGTGATTTGATTGAAAGTTTATATTAGGAATAGAAAGGGAAAAGAGTAGAGATGGTACAAATACAGTAAAAACCACCATTTTTATTAAACCTGCAAATGAGAAAGACAAGAGGATCCATGAAGCACCTCTCTGGCTTTCTCTCGTTGTTGTGGTATAGCTATAGCTCTGTAAGCTCCATTTCTAAGGAGAGAGCAAAAACAAAGGAAAAGAGGGAAAGAAAGGACACGCTTTTTCCCCGTTTTTCTCGCTCTAAATCCTCAGCAAGAATCACTGACCTTACAGAACCGACATGCAAAGAGACCCTCACAAGTCATGATCAAGAGACCAGACGTGCATGCACCAGACACCAGCAGCAGTAAGAGGGAACGAGGTTTTGTAGTTTTGTTTAGCCCCTTTCTCTTTTTTTTTCTCAGGAATTTTCTTCTCTACTAATCTTTTCTTCTATTTTCCTTAAAAAAAATAAAAAATAGTGTGAACTGGTTTTAATTTGAACACAAACAAAAACAAATAAATCGGTTCATCAAATTCGAAAAGCTTTAAAAACAGACAAGGAGGACCCAATTGCAGAACCCAAAAAACACACAAGTTAAAACCCTTACAAGAAAACAAAATAGTGGAGCGGTGCTGAACGGTGAATGGTGAATGATCAGTGAAGTGACACTATTGGTCTCTCTCTTTCTCCCTTTTACTTTAGTGGGTTCTCTTTCTATATGCTTTTGGCTCTTTAAAACCCCACTATTTCAGTCATTCCATCATCAAACCTGAAAAATCGCCATGAATTTGCAGAGAGGACAGTGAAAGTAGAGAAAAAGAGAGAGAGAAAGAGAGAGCTCGTGGGTTTGAAGAGGTTGGTTGGTGGGTTGATCTTTAAAAGAGAGTGTGCATGGAAATTAGTGGCTTTGATAAAACCACTCCTTTCTTTTGGCTACAAATGGCAGTTTTTTCACGTTGGTTTTATGCCAAGAAACGCGCTCTTCTTTTTCTTTCTGAAACTATGGATTCTTAACAGTGGAAATTTTAAGATGCTGGATTTCTCTCTTCCTACAATCTAATCCCTCAGACCTCCACACGAGAATATAAAAACACAAACTCGAAGGCTGATCATGAGACTGCCCAACCCTACCTTCTCAGCTTATGATATTATACAAATACAACTCATTTTCGGCTTGGCTTAATCTTGCTTGGTCCCCTTATGTTTTCGAACGTACTGGACCACATCTCCCACTAAATAATAGTACATCGGTACTACAACAAGCGACTAATACATTACGACTTCAAATTAGGTATTTAATTTTGAAAGGATTTACTTACCTAAATATGAGTTTATGCCTTCTCAATAAATTAAACCAATAAAAATAAAATTCTTATTGACATGAGATATTTTCGATAATGAATTTTAATTTTCATTGATTTGATTTATAAATGGGTCATGGATATAATCTAGACAAGTCCAATTTTAAAATCAATTCCATATTTAAATTCAAAACGAATCTAAGTCATTGAAAGCCAAAAAATTAACAATTGAATTATAATAATTTTCATAATGTTTTTCGGGCTAGCATTAAATAATGTTTCTATCTATTTATGACAATTTTGTTGGTAAAGTTTATTTAAAAATATAATAGTTAAACCTAATTTTCAAACCATGATATTATCGAGATAAAATTTATCTAAAAATATAATACACTTCAACAAGTAATACATATGGGTAAACTTCAAACTTCATATATTTTTTTTTTTTTTTGAGTATTATTTAGTAAAAATAGTTATTTTGGTAATTGTTAACTGATTAAGTAGCATTTAACTTTTAATTGTTTTATAATCTTTTCACGAAACGCTAAAAATTAAATATTACATGAATTAATTTTTTATAAAATACTTTCTTAATTTTTAAAATTTAATTTAAACACTGTATTATTCAATATTATAAAATATAACATTTAAGCGTTTTAAAATACAACAACGACAAGTAATGTGAATCTAGGATGTTGATAGCATCAGTCGCTTCGCATATAACGTACAACAAGGTACTAAATTTGAGTTAAGTATTTAATCTTTCAAATACTTTGCCAGATACTTCAGTCACCGATCATTGGCTCCTATGCATCTCCGGCGGACTCGCGCACAGTTGATCCTGGGACTAAAGTCTAAAGCAGAGCTAGGTTTAGCTAATGCATTAACCTTAGTCAGTGGGACTTTAATTTAACTGAGACGTAACGTTCGTGATCTAACCTTGGTTAGTGTTTGAATCATAGGATGTTTAGCTTTTACTTCGCTTGTCACCATTATTACACTTCAAGTAAATTTAATTTATATATTTCTGTACGTTATTTAATAGTTACAGTATGACATTATGCGCTTAAAATTAAAATTATTTTGATATATATAAATAATCAATTAAAATATTGAAGTTAAATTTAATATATAATATTAAACAATATCAAGAGTAAATATTTAACGACACCCAATCCATTATTGTATTTATTCTCACTCCCATACATAGGATGTATAGGACGGTGTCATTATAATAATAATAATAACAATAATTATTCCTGATACTAATAATTTCCACGTTGGGTCCCGCTTAACTCCAACTTAAAGGGCTCGGCTTCATGGGTCCGGTCCAAGAACAAGGTAGGTCCCGCATTACAACTGAGGAGTGCATTTTGCGGTGTCATTATCTCAAGCAGTGTACTGTTTATTCGTTTATGGGATTTGTCAATCACAGGTATTGAACCCGCCTGGATCAACTCGAAAAACGGATGAATTGGTTTCAAATCAGGTCGGTTTTACTTTTGAAATCATTTAAAAAAAGATAATTAGATTAAACGGATTGATCCGTAATTAAACCGGTTATTTAATTGAGATATATTGTTAATATTTTTATGGTTTATAATTGAATCTTGATTTACTGACTAAATCAATGATCTATTTACTTGGTTTTTAGTTGAGTCAATATCCGAGCTGGATTTAGTAAGACTGTTATTAATAATAATTGTACCAATTAATGATTATTATCTACCGTATGGAATGACTGGAATACCCTTCAAAAGTCCATTTGTGAATGGGGACTAATCGGGAAGTGAAAAGACATGTTACAGAATCTGGAGGGCCCGTTTGGAAATGATGAGTTGTACAGTGTTCTTGATGGCTATTAGTCACGATTTACCAGACTAGACACAGTCACGCCCTACTGGCCCCACAAAACCTTTTATCAGATATTAAACTCAAATTGGATTCAATTATTATAAAGTTTTAATGGATTATACTCCTTTAAACCGGATATCACGGGTTAATGAATCAAATAAACAAAAATATAAATATTTTAAAAATTATTTTTATTTTATTATTTTTTTCTCATTTTACAGTAAATTTTTTTTTTAATAAAAAAATATATTTTCATTAATTTTATTCACAAAGGAAGCCAAGAACGGTCTAAATAAATTTAATATTATAAATTGATTTATTGATCAACCTAATAAATTTAATATTACGACCCGTTTAATTGAATTTTAATTTAAATATTTAAATGTGATTTAAAGTTGGACTTAACTTGATTATTATAATAAATATAAAGAACTTATTTACTAATATTAAAATAAAATTCAAATCACTTTGAATTCAAATAACTTACAAATAATTTTCATATGAATGCAAATAAAAACTTTATAATTACAATTATTTTGCAACTTTAAGTTTGAGTCTTTGCAATAACAAGATTTTTCATTAATTTTAAAAAATTATTAAGAACTATTATTATCCTTCTTATATACATCAAAATCAATTTCTATTCATTTAACCTCTATATATAAATAAATAAATAAAAGTTTTCTCAAAAAAAAAAAAAGGAAAAAAAAATATACGACTCAACGTTATGATGATGACCAAGTATACATGCTATGATAACTTTGCCAATATATTATGGTCATAATTTATTCTCCTAAGGCCTAATTATGTCCTTTTCCTACCCTAATTATTAAATAATATTTTTTAATACAATTTAATGAACACTAAACTTAATTATTATTATTACATGACAAGAGATATATGTTTAATTTAAAAACTATTTTATTGATAAAAAGCCCAACTGTCCCTAAGAATAGGAGCAGAATTTTGGAATCATTGCATATTCAGCCAAACACATCCTGACGGCCTGACCTAATAAAGGGCCATAGATAGAGAGGGTCTTGAATTGTTATTATAATTTATAAAGATTAAAGTACACCTCTTTAGGAAATTTTAAGAAAACAATTAATTTAGTATTATTATAAGTTAATATCATAAATAAATATAATAATTTTATGTTCCCCAAATTGTACTTTATTAGGGTAAATCATGTCCTAACTTTTTTAGTACCAACTAGTGTTCTTAGGCTATGTTAATAATGCAATATCATCATAATAACACATAGAACATACCAAAAGTAGGTTCCTAATCCCCTTGGGCTCTTTGTATTTTATTGATTTTGTATTGTTTAATTATTCTAACATCAAAGCCAAAACATAAAATTGCACAAATTTTAATTATTAAAAATAAAGGATTAGGTTTTATTTTAATTTACATATCTTTTGCCGGACAATGCAATATATTGCATCAATCAAATAATTAAAGTGACAGAACCATATGGATCATAATTAATTATTAATAATATAATATAATAAATGAGAACTTCTTCATTAATTGTAATTCTATGTCTTGATGTGGTTGGCATATAATCAATAATTATGTAAGCAAATTATTATTATTATTGTTTTTATTTATTGATCATGATAGTGGTTAATTATTATATTCAATGCATCCGATTTAATTTTAATTGATTAAATAATTAAAAAAATAATGTGACCAATCAAGCAAATTACTTAAAGGCTACGACCGACATATTGGGTCCTCCATTGACTTGGGTTTTTGTATCCACGTCAGCTTTGATTTAGGATCATTTTGATGATAAATGACAATGTTGGAGCCTTTGAAAAGAGAATCCATAGAAAGCTTTGATAGTACTATAAGAGGAGACACCAATAAAATTGATCTTGATGTCTAGTAGAGAAAAATTTATAGTCTTTCTTACTTTGAGTTTGAAGCTGCCAATCTCTGATTTGATATGGCTGAGGTGTAAATAGTCTGTTCAAGCAATTGAACATCAAAATCTAATAAATAATAATAATAAAAAAAAAAAAGAATTTCCCATAAAAAATACAAGCTTTTCTTTTTCTTTCTTTAAATGTAAAATATTTTGTTTCATTGAAATCAAAAAAAAACTATGGAATGCCAAAAATAAATAATAAAGTATTAGCTTTAAGTGGAAACCTAAAGAAATATGGTAATAAGCCAATAAATAAATAAATAAATAGAAGTTATAGTTTAGTAGCAGTTGGATTAATCAAGCACAGATATACTGTTTCAACCAACACAATTTTTTTACAATACTATATTATCGAGCTTGTACCCTAATCTAACCTAATTTTGACAATCTTTTTCAGATTCTAATCTAACCTAAACTTTATTTTTATCATGAATTTATATTTTTTTCAATTAGATAAGTTTAAGTATAAATTCTTATTAAAATACTGAATAAACTATTTATTTCACGCTTTGACTTATTTTTTTTTATTATAATATTCATATTTTATTTTGTCCTAATTTCTGCTCCTTAATGAAGTAGTTGGCACAATGACAATGCTTTTCGAAAAATTGAAACCCCAATTTAAGGGTGGGTTTACTTACATAAAATAATTTTCAATTTTATAAGAAAACAATTTTTTAAGAAAATAAAAACTTGAAAACATAAAATAAAAAATATGTTCAATTAGTAATGAAAAATTATATTTAATATAATTTAAAAAAACTACAAATAATATTCGTAACTTCTATAATTAAAAGAAATAAAATATTACTATAAAATAAATTTAAAAATTTTTATTTAATAATTTTGAATTTTTATTATTGATTGTTTATAATAATGATTCAATTTTTTATCATCTTGTTTAGTTTTTTAAAAATAAAGGACATAATATATTTGAAATTATAAAATTAATTACATATTATATTTAAATATTTTTATTTTTTCAATGAAAAAATTATACAAATTAATTACATATTATATTTAAATATTTTTATTTTTTTTTTTATTTTTTCAATGAAAATATTTTATAAAAAAAAATTTATAGATATTATAATTTTAATTACGAAAATGTAATATTTAAAAATGAAAATCTGAAATAACTCGATTTTAAAATTTTAAAAGTTTTTCCTATCAAATTTTAAAATTTGAATTTAATAATATAATTTTATTGTAAACAAATAGAGTTCTATAAAAATAATAAAATAAGGGAAACCAAACCGCTAACTAAGCCGATCGAACCAAGCATAAAGCATTAAACCCTTTAAAATTTAGAAGTTTCCATTTGAATTGAGCCGGGGAGAGAAACAGTCAAAAAGAAAAAGGAAGCCCGAAATCTCCTCTTCCCGATCGCAGACTGCGATTTCCCCCTCGCCTTCCCGATCAGTTTTCCGGCCACCAAACCGACGAAGCTAGGTGGCGATCAACTCCCTGGACACCGGAGACCTCAGTTCCGGCCTCCCTTTCGCTGATTGGGGCTTGACTAAGACGAATCGACGCTCTCTCTCCTGTCGCGCTGCTAGCCTCCTCCGACCCGCTTTTCCGACTTCCGGCAGTCCCAATCGGCAAGACTGGTATTGGGATGCTCCTCTCTTGTCGCTGACTCTATGGCTTTCCTTCTCACCGAGCAGAACTCCAATAGCGCTAATCGAAGCTGTGAGTATTTGACAGCTTCCCTTCTTCGATTTTCGGCAAGCCAAGCTCTTTACGGTGATTTCTTTCACTAAGGTAAATCGAAAACTAGGCATTTCTGCTTCAATTCAGTATTCTTTAAATTAATTTGGACTTGGGCTTAGAAATTGAAGAACTTTGAAATGTTAGGTTTTAAAGTTGTGAAATTTGGTGATCTGTTACAATATGGTATTTTCCATAGAAATTGATCACAGAATTGAACTCCATATAAATTTTGCTTTGATTTGATGTATGATGGTGAGATTTTGGTTCTGCCACCCCTCCGGACACAGTGGACGGTGGCGGTGACCGGAAAGGATGCAAATAGGCAAAATCATATATTCAATGCGTAGATTATGATTATCTAACCAATTTCACGATCAGATATGGTTGGTACCAATGTCTTAATCGAGCCATTAGGTAAATAGGCTTCAAAGCCGAATATCGCAGAAAATGACAAGAATAAGAATTAAATCAGTCTTAGAAAGAAATATTGTTAGTTAATTAGCTAAATGCTTACTGTTAATGATAACTAGAAACAGCTAGTAGTGTGAATTAGTGAAGGGAAAGATTCTAACTGTATAATGAAATTATTAGTTGAATGTTTTTGAAACTCCTTATTTTAATTAAAAAAATTATTTAATTCAATTTGATATTTTTACCAATCAAGATAATTATATAGACTTATGAAATTGAAAATTTATAATAACTATAATTTTATTTGATATTTTTACCAATCAAGATAATTATATAGACTTATGAAATTGAAAATTTATAATAACTATAATTTTCACGAATTTAAAAACTTTATTAACTTGAAAATTTTCAATTTAAGGATTTTCCTAACATGACTATCACAGTAATTTTTTGTATTTGAAAAATATCATCAATTGATTCTGCTGGGCACCGAACAAGATAATTTTATAGATCAATGTCTTGATATTGATAATTCAAAAAGAAGAAGAAAAAAAAAAATACAGAGTCACGAATTTGTAAAAGATCGTCCTTGCAGTATTATGACAAATAATAAGTATTAATTTTTAACAAATGGAATGGATTCAGTCTAACCAACCTTGACCAGGCCACTTCTGCAAATATTTCACTTACTAATGGGCCTTCAGACCAATAAGACCTACTGTCCTTACTCAAAGGGCCCATATAGCAGAAAGCAAAAAGCAAAAAAAATCCCCAGATTCCGTCTTATCGCAGCACCTCTCTCGTGACCTCTTCATTTGAGTTCTCAATTGGCGAGATCTTTGATCTCTCTTCTCCTCCCTTGGAGCTTCTCTATGTCGCTCAAATAAAGCTACGGCAAACCACATTTCATTTCAGCAGTAGGTTTGTGGATTGGATCTGTAATGTTTTTTCACTTTTCTCAAGGAAAGGTTCGGCATCGATCTCTCTTGAACTATTGGTGGCTTTACGAAACTCAATTGGGTGAAATGCATTATGTGGTCGTTTCTCAGAGCTTTCAAGTCCACCGATCCGGATGCATTAGTGCGCACCTTAGCCATCAGGTTTCTTTCTCATTCATTATCTCCAATTTACACTTACACACAAATATATATGTCTGTTTATCTAACTTGATTAACTGCTTCGTACCCTACCATGTGATTGTTAGGGGTTTCTATTTTGCATGTAATATGAAAAACTATTGTCACAAAAAGTAAATAGTAAGGGGTTTTTATTTGAAATTCTGAAGAATAACAGTTCTGAAAAAGAAAAGAAAGGACATAAAAGTGTCATTCTAGGCTTAGATGAGCAACTGACTCTTTTGGATCTTAATTATTTGTGTTCAACTATTTGTCAAACGCAACAATTCAGGTTAATCAATTCTTCAACCACTATAATATTTCTTTTATTGATAGGCTTTATGGATGGAATGATGATAATATGCCCCCCCCCCCCCTGCCCCCCCCCCCCCTTTGGTTTCCAATGATATTGGATTGAGAAGTAACCCCCCCCCCCCCCTTTGGTTTCCATGATATTGGATTGAGAAGTATTTTCGTGTGTGACAGTGAAGAAGCAAGAATATCATTGTCTTTTTGAGGTTTAGTGAGCCCTTAGTTTATATCACTAGAACATACTCTCCAAGAACATTATTGATATTAATATTTTTAAATTATTTAAAAAAAAATAATTATAACCAATCAAACAATTACTTAAAGGCTACGACCGACATATTGGATCCTACGTTGACTTGGGCTTTTGTATCCACGTCAGCTTTGATTAAGATGATTTCGATGATAAATGACAATGTGGGAGCCTTTGAAAAGTGGATCCATAGAAAGCTTTGATAGTACTATAAGAGTAGACACCACTAAAGTTAACAACAATTGATGTCTAGTGGAGAAATTTATGGTCTTTGTTTCCTTGAGTTTGAAGCTGCCAATCTGTGATTTGATACGGCTGAGGTGTATATAGTCTTTTACACCCCAAATCTCAATAGATTTTCAAGCAATGGAACATCAAAATCTAAAACACTATAAATCAATCTTCAAACACCAAATCAAATTAAAAAAAAAAAATAGAGATTCCCATAAAAAATTCAATCCTTTCTTTTCCTTTTCTAAATGTGAAATATTTTATTTCATTGAAATCCAAAAAAAGAAAAAGACTAGGGAATGCCAAAAATAAATAATAAAGTACTAATTTTTTTGTGGAAACCTAAAGAAATATAGTAATAAGCCGTATGGTTCAAAATAGATAAATAATTTTATAGACTCATGTCGTGATATTTTGAAAACTTATATGAATTTGTAAAATATTGTCCTTGCGGTACTATCACAAGCAAGGTAATTATTGTAATTTTTAAAGAATGGAATGGGCTCAGTCTAAATAACCTAGACCAGGCCACTCCTACAAATATTTCACTTACCATTGACATTGTGAGAGGGGGTTTTAGTTTTATATATTCTGGATCTACTAGCTTAGTATTTCGAATTGAATTATCTCTCTGAAATAGATAGTAAAACGGATGTGGGGAATTAAACGACACACTCGTTTACCTTCGATGGAATTAACTAGTGATATTATTTGGGAAATTCTTAGGCGTTTACCTGCCATGGATCTCGTTCAATTCAAATCCGTGAGCAAGGCATGCTATTCCATTATCACTTATCCACAATTTCTGAGGGACCATCTAAACTATGTTTCCATCGCAGAGAATGAAGTCAGGATCCTCATTGCATACGAAAACAAATTTCATCCTATCTTCTATCACGAAGAGGATAATGCCCAAAAAGATTGTCCTGTCTTGCCTCCTTTGATGGTGACTCCTGAATTTGCTTCTTGTCACAGTTCTTGCGTTGGCCTGTTGTTATTTCTAGCCCAATCGCATGCATACTTTGAGGAAAATCATATTGTCATATGTAATCCTTCTACTGAAGAGCTAATTGAAACACCCGTAACTCGCCATATCTTTCATTTTGTTGATTGCTATGGGCCACCAGAAGATATATTTGGTCTTGGCTATGATCCTCACCCTAATGACTACAAAGTTCTCAGGTTCCCTTCTACCTTTAAGGCTCAGAATGAAATTATTCTTAATGAAAAGGATGGATTCAATTGTTTGGCTGAAGTCTACCCGTTAAAGACCAACTCCTGGAAGGCCATCAAAGATGGAGGCTTTATGTATCTCATCAACAGCCGCTCGGAGTCTGCGACTGTCAACCAACATCCCCACTGAATGGCTACCCGTATTATTAATCATGATTCACTGTAATGTGTGATTTCAAAGGATAATTAGCTATTATTAATCCCGATTCACTACAATGTGTGATTCCAAAGGATAATTTTGGGGATCAGTGTTGCCTCCTTTTGACTAATGCAAGAATTTCAATTGCGTCGGGTCTGAGGATGGTATTGTATGCCTTGTAGACAATGGATTGTTTTTGGTGTTAAACTCTAATCTTGATCCTTATGAAGGTTGTGATGGTTTGGAAGAGGTAATAATTCACGTGAATGATTTAGCATGTTGTGTACTCTTATATTGCGGTAACCTGAAGAATGATACATCTTTATTCGCAGTAGGTCAGGTTCTTGGCTATTTTGTTCAACTCCTCGTCAGTGTGAAACTATGAAAGCAACATTTCTTGCATTTTCTCGAATGGTGTCATTTGACTATGATCTCAATTCAAAGTGACAAGCATATCAACTGGGGGCACAACATCTTTAGCTGCACCCCAGAAATCAAACCAGTATCAATCTTATCTTGTCAAGGAGAGAATGGTGAATATTTGCCTCAAAAGTTAACTCTGACATGTTTATGATGTTGCAAGAGAGAAAAAAAAAAGTAGTATACATTAGTATAAATCTATATCTATATGTATTTATATAAAGTTAAAGCAAAAAATTAGTTTCTTGACGTGGTACTATGATGTTACAAGAAAAAGAAAAAAGAGAAATGGTAAAGGAAAGGAAAAAAAATTAGTAGAAATAAATATAAATTATTATGGGAGATCTATTTTATATAAAATCGAAAAATTAATTTTATGAAACGTGGCACTGTAACGTTGCAAGAAAAAAATGAGTAAAAAAAAAAAAAAAAGAAAAAATTAGTAGACTGTTGTCTTGTCCCTTCCAGCATAAAAAATGCAACATAAATTATGCAACCAAGATAAGCTTAAGCACACAGATAGCATGAATGAAACACATGGAACTTCAGTTTACAGAAACCTTTAAGCAACATACCTCTAATGAAAATTTGTTGACAGAAGTAATTTCAGTTTACTATTAAAATCCATAACAAGGCAAGGCAGAGCAATGCGCAGAATAGAAAGGAAATGACAACCATATATATTACTAGTTTTATGATTTTTTGTTAGAAGCGTGCTTTCGTCTGATGAATTACAAAATCTTATCTGTTGACAGAAAACTATAGATAATCAAATCCCTAAATTCACCTTTACAAAACGTGTATTTTCTCAACAGACCTTCTTTCGAGAATCCAACCTTTTCTACTACCCTTTGAGATCCCTTATTCTTTACTGCTACAAGAGCTTCAAGTCTTACCAATTCAGGTATATCTTGAAATACACTAGACAGAGCCATCTTCAGTGCAATTGTGGCTATCCCTTGTCCCCAATACTCGGTAGCTACTGCATATCCAATGTTTGCTCTGCATCTATCATCACCGGAGTATTGCCAAATGGAGATACATCCAATTGAACGATGATCCAAACATATAGATCGGCGCCATGGATGGGATATGGCAACCTCTTTGAGGTGTTTTAGTGCTTCTTCTGTAGTGGTAATGGAGTTCCATCTCAGGTTTGAGGTTACTCTATCATCACTTGCCCATTTTAGGAAATCGTCAACATCAGAAAGCTTGAAAGGACGGATGGAAATTCTTGATGGATCCATAAAGATTGGGAACGATCAGCTTAGCTTAGAACAAGGATATAAATACAGGTATATTTAAGCTTATAATGATTACTTCACTCATGTATGGTTAGGTGCTAGGAAGTTGCCTAAGGTAGCATATGGCAGAACTACCAAACACAACACAGCTGCAATTATTATTTAAATAGATAATTATTTAGCTCAACAGTGGGTTTATACGAATGTTCCTGGAATATTTAATGATCCTTGCGTGCAACTGCAAGTAAAGCAAAATTAACCTTGAAAAGTTGACGCACAATTTCCTGCAGCTGCAACCATGCTTTGTTTAACCATCTATCTTGGATACTAACTTAGTAATCTATTTGTCTTCCAAGTGTACAAAATGGCTCAAGGTTCTTTTACACAAGCAAACTTGCAAGAAGGTGCTGATGAATTCTCTGATATCTCTCTTCGTCTTCTGGATGTGTCTGATATTGATGATTTCATGGTCTGGACTACAGATGAGAGAGTCGGTAATTTTTGCACTTAGAAACCCTATGCTAGCAAAGAAGATGGCATTAAGTTCATCAAAAACACTGTTTTACCCCATCCATGGTTTAGGACGATATGCCTTAACAAGAAGCCTATTGTAACCATTTTTAGTTAAAAAGAATTCAAGCTGTTAGCAAATAGTGACACTTAGGCTGTCCCATGTCATTCATCTTGTGTTTTTGATATTTTCCTTTCTTGTAAACTTGAACAAAATGATGACAGCAAAGCTTACTTCTTAGTTTAGTTTAACTTAAGTTATTGGGTTTGGTAATAAACTAAATTAGTCCCTTATAAGACAGGATACTTGTTGCTCATCGGGTGTCTCCATATTGCGCAGACAAATATACAAAAATATAAGCAAACAAACAATTAAAATATATAGCATAAAAAAATCTAATTTTTAATGTATTTAAATGCTTAATTAGCACTTACAGTATATGCATCGACATGTCAAAAACATCTATAATGGACCTAGTTCAAATTTTTTTATTCTATTTTTTAAAATAAACACATATATAAATAGATATTTTCCATAATCATTTATTCAAAAACGCGAAGCCAAGAACGGTCCTATAAATCTTTAAATATTATATGAAAATATTAGAATTTTGTTTTATGACTAAGGATCAACCTAATAAATTTAAGAATAGTTACGACTAGATTTTAATTCTAGAATGTTTTAATTAACTTTTATATATAAAATTTCCATTAAAATAACATAGAGTTGCTAAAAGGAGGCTAGTAGGACCTTAAAATTCTGTGCACGCATTAGTATAAAAATATAAAGAACATTATATGTACATAAGTGAATATAATGAAAAACAACTAACAATTCAAATATTCAAACTTTGAATTCCAAATAACTTACTAATAACTATATTTCATAATGGGAATCAAATAAAAAGTCTTTTTATTTAATTTACAATTAATTTGTATGTCAAACTTTTAAGTTTGTAGTTCTGTTTTTGCAATATACAAGTATTTAGTCATTAATTAAGCTGTAGCTATAACAAGTTATTTTACAGTGAAACTAGATAATTATTATCTACCCTTATCTTATAAATTCATCCATTCATATACCTGTAATGTACAAAATCTATAGTAAAACATTATTCATGTATACACATCTAACATATACCCCTTAAATTGCACCAAACCTTAAATAAATAAAAATTCATAACATCAAACAAAGAAAAAGAATGGAAGAATAATTAAATTTATATCGTACTTCACAAACAGCGTATAGATGATGACCAACCAGTTATATACTTTCAATCGCCTAATGAAAATACTTTGCCAATATCCATTATAACGCGGTCCATTATATTTTATACTTTCTCCCTAACCAAGGCCCTAATTATGTCCTTTTTCCTACCCCTACATTTTAGTGTAAAGAGAATAATCTATTTTCTTTAATATCAATTTTAATTGAACACTTTCAAACTGCAAAATCTTAAATTATTCAATATGTAGATTCCTACATGACAATGCAAGAGTACTTTATACCAATGTTTCAAGGTTTAAAATTATCTAATTATTATTGATTTAGAGAATACACACGCAGCGGGCCCACTTATCACAGATTAGTTGGTTGGGCTTTCTGTCGCCCCAAATTTACTTGGTTAACTTACTCAATTGGCGGTTATACTATATCTCATGTTTTGCTCTATTAACGTTCATCACCGGAGTATTGCCAAATGGAGAATACATCCAATGAACGATGATCCAGACACACTATAGCCGCGCCATGGATGATTTGCCCTAACCTCTTTGAGGATCGGTTTTAGTGCTTCTTCTGGATGGTAATGGGAGTTCCCATCTCAGGTGAGTCGAGTTTTTACATTGTCCCATTCTCTTATGGAAATCGTCCAACATCAGAAGCCTGGGGAGACGGATGGAAAATTCTTGATGGATCCATAAAGATGGGCGATCAGCCTATCAGTAGCTTAGAGCGAGGGATACTACAAATAATGGTTATAAAGATATTTCTTATAAGGTATCAATTATGGGTTGCTTGGGATAGGAAAGTTACCTTGTGTTCTAGGTTGATAAACTATACCACACACACAAAACGATTAATATAGAGATTTTGACGGAAATTATTATTTTAATAGTTATTTAAGTTTGCACTTAGTGGGTTTACTCTACAACTGTTCCGGAATTTTTTTAAATGATCCTGGTGCGTGCAACTTGCAAAAGATAATAGCTATAAATTTAACCTTTAGAAAGAGAAAGATATCGAACAGCAATCATATTTTCACACTTTGCAGCTGCAACCTAAGATCTTTGTTTTAACACTATTCTAATCTTTGGTAATAACTACTTAGTAATCTATTTGTCTTCCAAGTGTACAAAAATGCTCAAGGGTTCCTTTTACACAAGCAAACTTGCACCGAAGGTGCCTGATGAATTCTCTGATATCTCTCTTTCGTCTTCCTGGATGGTTGTCTTAGATATTAGATGATTTTCATGGTTCCTGGACTAAACAGTCATTTTGAGAGAAAGAATCGGTTAAATTTATATGCATTAGATACCTCTAATGCTAGCAAAGAAAGATGGCATTAAAGTTTCACAATACAATAATACACTACTGATTTGGTTACCTTCCCATCCACTGGTTTAGGACGAATATGGCCTCTAACAAGAAGCCTATTGTACCATTTTTAGTTAAAAAAGAATTCAAGCTGTTAGCAAATAGTGACACTTAGGCTGTCCCCATGTCATTCATCTTGTGCCTCTTTTGATAATTTTCCTTTCTTCTTGTAAACTTGATACAAAAGATGACAGCAAAGTTTACTTCTTGTAAACTTGAACAAAATGATGACAGCAAAGCTTACTTCTTAGTTTAGTTTAACTTAAGTTATTGGGTTTGGTAGAGAGTTGGTAAAAACTAGATTGCATTTCGTTGTATAAATGTAGCTGCTGAAACAGATTTGAAGGAAAAAAAATAGAAAAAGGAGAGAGTTGGATAGCTATGAGAAGACAGAGGAAGAAGAATAAAATGCTATGTGTTTAAGATATACTTTTTGTTGTTTCCTTGAAAAATGCTAAAACCGGCTCTCCTCTCCCATTTTCTAACACAGGCAAGGATATATGCAGAGGACTGATTCCATGGATGAGGTATAGCTACATTTTGAAGATGTTCTAGTGCTTCTTTCTTGGAGGTAATGGCATCCCATCTTACATTCTTTGCCACTTTGTCATCGCTGATCCATTTCAGGAAGTCGTCAACATCAGAAATCTTAAATGGAGGGGGAGAAATTCTTGATGGATCCATAAAGATGTGCAACAATGATTTTAGTTGAAAGAGAAGGAGATGCGTACCCTCATCCATAAGGTATGGCCTAGCTTTAATACCCCACAGCTTTTCTCCCATTATTCAATTTCAATTATTTAGTCAATTTCAATAGGATATAAACTTTTCCGCTTTATGTCACTGTTTTTGGTAGCTACATATGCAACCTGTTCTTGTAGGAAGTTTCCTAATTTCCCTTAATAAAAGATCAGTCAAGCAAGGCGGCCATGACATGAGCACTAGCAGCATTATTTTTTCATGTTTTTATTTTTTATTTCTAACCAATATCCTTGCTCACCACTCCACTATTGACCTCTTTAGATCTTGATTGCCAATTCTCCTGCAGCTTCTTTAAGTAGCATTTCCTTGGGGCTAAGTGAACAAAATGGAGCAAGGTTCTTTTGCATCAACAGGCTTGAAAGAAGGTGGTGATGAATTCTCCAATCTCTCCCTTCGGCCCTTCGATGTCTCTGATATTGAGGATTTCATGGTCTGGGCTACTGATGAGAAGGTGACTTATTTTTGTAGTTTTGATCCTTACAAAAGCAAAGAAGATGGCATAAATTATATCAAAAACACTGTTATACCTCACCCTTGGTATAGAGCCATATGCCTTAACAACAGGCCTATAGGTTCCATTTCAGTGACAAAAAATTCAGGCAATGATATTTGCAGAGGTGAACTTGGCTATCTTCTGGCTTCTCAATACTGGGGCAAAGGAATTGCAACAAGGGCAGTGAAAATGGTGGCCAAGGCTATATTTAAAGAGCAACCGGAATTGGAGAGACTTGAAGCTTTAGTAGATGTAGAAAATGTGGGTTCCCAGAGAGTGCTAGAGAAGGCTGGCTTCACCAGAGAAGGTGTTCTAAGAAAATATTTTATTCAAAAGGGAAGGATTAGAGACATGGTCATGTTTAGTCTTCTTTCTACAGATCCTGTAATTTGATTCTTAGTTAAGTAGGATAGAATACATCTGTTAGACTTCAATTCAGATTTATTGTTAGATATAAAAATTAAATAAAGTAGATTGTGAAAATTTTTGCTTTTCTTGATTGATAAAGTTTCTTGATTCTCATTTATGTCTCTCTCCATACTAATCCAACCAATTCTTGACTATCCCTTATGTACGTGCAATCGAGCCTTATATTGGGAATCGCGCGGCGCCAGTGTTCATTACAGAGACCGTAAAAGTGCTACTAAGGACCGCAGAAGGACAACTAAGCGTGTATGATGGAAAAGATGGTAAATTCATCGAACCTTTAATTCAAGGCCATAGTGGCGGCTTTCTACGTGGCACTCCCTACGTTGAGAGCCTCGTTTCACCAAGCGGTGGCAATTTGAAATGGTAATCACTCGACGGGCAGACACCTTATTACCTGCATTCCAACATCATGAATGAGATTCAATTCGAATGGCAATGGGATTTGCATATTATGCTTTTTGTTGCTGAGAACATGTATTGTTGCCTTTTATTTATGTTTTAAGATTTTCTCTCTTTATGTAACATACTTTGCTGGACTATTTGCTCCAAGCACACTTTTCTTTCTGTCCTTGGCTATTCGTGGTTTTGTTATGTTCTGCTATATTTATATTTCAAGCACCATTGATGCCCGAATGGAAAATGGGATATGGTCGCCATAATAAACAATTGCATAAATTTTTGGGCTATGCAGAGACATGTATTGTTGACATATTTATTTTGTTTTAATTATTATTAAAAGAGATATTTTCTCTTCTTTATGTACATACTTTGCTGGACTATTTGCTCCAAGCACACTTTTCTTTCTGTTGCTGGACTATTTGCTCCAAGCACACTTTTCTTTCTGTCCTTGGCTATTCGTGGTTTTGTTATGTTCTGCTATATTTATATTTCAAGCACCATTGATGGATGAACATAGCTGCATAGAAGGAGTCTTGGTATAAAGCCCGCTGGTTATAAAAGGATCTAAATAATTATTTATGTTTAAATAATAATTGCATATGTTTGGTACTTATATTATATGTTATCTTAACCATGTGAGAGTGGAGTAGACTTTCTGGTAGTTTCCCATCCATGATACAGTCTGATACGCCTTAACAAAAATTACAAAGATTGACAGAAAAAATTAAAAAGAATTTGATGATACCAATTCTTGATTAATAAAGTTTCTTGATTCTCATTGATATCTCTCTCCATACTAATCCAACTAATTAATATTTTCTCAGTATTAACTTCCACTAGGAGGAAAGCCCAATTAGAATAAAATCCTGGAGGCCCATTGAGTCTCGCAAACACAGATGTGAAGGTGAAGCAGATGGAAGGGGCGAAGCCGGAAGGTTTTACAGTGCAGAAGAAGTTTAGTACTGATAGGAACAGGGTGATGACTGCTTATGACGTTAGAGATAAACCTTCTGCTCTCAAGGCTGAAGATTGGGACCGGGTTGTGGCAGTTTTTATTTTGGGGAAAGAGTGGCAGTTCAAGGATTGGCCATTCAAGGATCATGTTGAGATATTTAACAAAAGTGAGTGCAGTTTGTGCTTTGTAGGTTTTGGTGCTTTACCTTTGGTTTTGCATTTTTTTTCCTTTTTGATATTGTTTCTAGTCATGTGGGATTTTGGTTGGATGAATGTGGGGATTTTGTATAAAATTGTGTATCGTTTGATTTCTAGACATATTATAGTTTAAATTGTTACAATAATTTATTGAATTTTTATGCAGTTATTGGATTTTTCATGCGTTTTGAAGATGACAGCATTGAATCAGCTAAGACTGTGAAACAGTGGTACGTAAAGATCATCTCGGTAAGTATTTACTTATTTTGTCTGGCTGCTTCATGCTTACAGCCCTGGTTTTTATTAGATTCTGGTTTGCTCCTTGTTCGTGTTATTTTTTTTACTACTTTACCTTTCCACGTTATTTGTTTCTTGTTTGTTTGTTTCTTGGCAATTAAACATTAACATTGGTAATGTGCAGATTAGCAAAAATAAGAGGCACCAGGACAGGGCTGCAGCATTAGAGGTGTGGGACAGACTAGAAGAATTTGTTCGATCGGGATCCCATTCTTGAAGTTCGTAGCAATTTTTGATATGACAGATGTTAAAATATGTTATCTTTTTGTTGTGAATTGCCTTTATTGTGTGTATAAAGTATATGGAATTCGGATTCTTCTAGCATATGGACTAGAAGAATGTATGCAACTGCGATTGCATTCTTGAAGTTTGTAGCAATTTTTGCATGTATTTAAATTTTGGTAATAAAATTGGCAATATCTGTTACCATTTTTGTGACAGATCTTGAATATGTTATCCTTTTTGTTGTGGATTGCGTTTATTTTATCATGTAAAGTCCATGTAGTTTGCATTTGGATAATTGTTTCCCTTAGTATCTATGATCAATTTTATTAAGAATGCTGCTTATTTTTGAATTGTTGACAGTGTTGAGTTCATGGAAGCAAAAAGTCTGGGACGGTTTGGTTTTAACTTGGAATTTGATTGACATAATAAATGGGCCTTTGAAATAGAATGTTATGGACCGTTAGGTCTCAAAGATTGTGAAGTAGATTTATAGCATTATTGGCCAGAATGGATGCGTTCATTCATAAGATCCAGTCATTTCAAAAATTGGTTTTGGAGCCGAATGATTTATTGAATATGGGCTTGAGCTTTCCCTTGTAGTTTTCCTCTGACAGCAACCTTGTTCTTCTTGTCAAAAATCTGTAGTTGGATTAGATAATCCAACTATGCAGAGTGTTTAGACATACTGATGTAAACAAGATCAAATTTCCGTTTTGAGGTGATCCTTTTGAAGATATATTTGTGCTTAGGGCTTATTCCCTCATGCATGTATAAGTGCATTAACAAACTTTTTATTTTTCCATGCAGGTTTGAAGATGTAAAGTGTATCATGACTGAGCTATGAGCTGTACAATATGGTTTGACACTGTGGAACAGTGGCAAGGATGCATCTGTAATTATGAACACATCAAGAGTCACCCATTGTTTGCCCTTCTGTTCAATGGAAATTTCAATTGCTTTTTGCACTGATACTTAGCTTTTCGCTGTAGTAGTCATGTTTGAACTTGCAATTTGCAGCAGAAAGTTGATTTTGACATGCTTTTCTTCCATGTAATTCTGTGTGATGGTATAAGTTTATTGCAGAAGGTGAGAGTGTTTTGACCACAACACAGATTTTTCTTTCGCAGAAGCACTATCCTCAGTAAATAATATTATTTGCTAATTCAATGCGCTCTAGGCAATTCTTTTTAACCCCTTATGGTATATTTTTTTTCTTGATTTTTCCATCACTTGACAGATACGAACAGGCTAGAAATTATTTTTATTGAGTGGGAAAGGAAGAGAGCAAGAAGTCTCTTCAGTAATACAAAACTACACCAACCCCATAAGAGGTCATGTAAAATAAATAATACATAAGCCCTCAACCAAAGAGAAATCAAGAATAATTCTATAAAATACAATAATATAAGGCAACTGTAAATAGAGAAAATCAGTATGTTATGAAAATTGAACTATATGATGCGGCAAAGAGCAGAAATGCAAGCATTGTCATGGACAACTTGATGGAGCTTCCATCCGATGTGCCATCTACTTCTGTTGAAGGTACAGTTTTAGATCCTGTTCCTACACCCACAAGACATGAATTGGTGAGTATACATAGTACTTTTCTCATCTGTTATAAATTTTATATGTCAACTAAGTTTACTTGTAATTTAATTTATGAAGCATGCTATACCTGGGTTAGTAGTTGGAACTTCTGCTGTTCCTGCAGGAGAGTCGGCCGGAGAAGCAGCTGTTCACATAGAGGTATACATAAGTTATAATTAGCTTATGTCAATTTTTCAATTTAAATTGATAGGAGAAGGGAGATTGAAAAGAAAATTTCTTACCGTTGCAGCGGCTGAGGGGTGGAGTCTGAACATTGCAAGCTCCAGGTAAGGCTAAAGCCTGGGTTTGGTTGATGTTAATCCCAAGTGAAGAGCCACCACCATTTAGAACTTCACACAAGCACTGTGGCGACGAGCGAACAACACTAGAAAGCTGTGTGCAACATTGTGAAGATGGAGTTGAGGAGTTCCCTGTGATATAATTCAGGCACGGTGACATGCTTATTAAGACATTTGTACAACTGGAAGACTGAGCCATAGCTCCTGACCATAGCATACTCACTAGGATCAGAGCCAAACTCATGCTTATTAAGACATTTGTACAACTGGAAGACTGAGCCATAGCTCCTGACCATAGCATACTCACTAGGATCAGAGCCAAACTCATTGCCAGACCTCCGTATGCCATTGGTTCTCTAAAAACTGCTTGTGCAATGTGAAGATTGAAGCTCTTTGTGATTAGATTAATGGAATTAGGAAAGGGAAGTGTAAACTTTATAGGAAGATGAGGCCACAAGTGACAAATGAGAAATGGATTGTGTTGGTGACCAACTTTGCCTAATCCCCTCTCTGTCTGTATAGTGGACAGCTAGGCAAGCTTGGATTTGAAGGTGTTCAAAGCTCAAACCAGGAGACTTGGAATTTGGAAACTTCATATATGTGGCTTATTAGGGAGGACCTTGAAGGTCGGTTTCATTAGGTGAGGACGTGTTGGTGACCAACTTTGCCTAATCCCCTCTCTGTCTGTATAGTGGACAGCTAGGCAAGCTTGGATTTGAAGGTGTTCAAAGCTCAAACCAGGAGACTTGGAATTTGGAAACTTCATATATGTGGCTTATTAGGGAGGACCTTGAAGGTCGGTTTCGTTGGTTACCAAACTTGTAATGCTTGATGTGTCTGCAAGACTAAATATACAAGGGAATTCAAACTCTGACTTTTGAACAAATTATAAAGCCTCCAAGAGAAGCAAACGTGTTTCTGACTCTTTCAACTTTACTAAAATTTGACTTTTGTACTTTTTTTTCTTTTGGAATCTAATAGAGGAGACGGATTTCTGGTGGAAGAAGATTGAAGGACTGCTTGATGTTTACGAGAGTGGCCACAAGCTACGTGTCCTGTTGCTTCCGATCTAAGAAAACTTTGACAATGGTATTTTTCAATGAACAGGTTTCATATCAGACTTGTCTATAAAGAATCCTGAGTTATTCTTGTTTTCTTGATGAGACCATGGCCAATTTAGGTCATAAAAGTACATAACTCCAGAGAATGCTTGAAATGGGTGGTATCAAATTTCCTAATTCGTTCTGCACCATGAATGAAACATGAAAATATTTAAAAGTGGAGAAAAACGATAGAAGAATTCATGAAGTGATTAATCAGAGCCACAGTTCTATTTACTTGGTTTTGGAGTGGAGGGTCGTAATTCTTACCATCATCTTGCAGACCATAATCCACGCTCCAGCATGGGCCACCGGCCCAAATGCGAAGATCAGTTAAATTGGAAATGATGGGACCATTTACATTCACACGCCATTATTTTAGTTCCAAATGCAACTCAGAAATTAGGCAAGGACTTCGAAGAAAAACAAAAATCCAAAAAAGATCGAAGGAGCTCTAAGCTATTACCCATTTGTAAAGCACTAAATATAAAAAATATACATATTTTGTTGCATCTAAACACTTTTCATATGTACATTTGATTACTAAAAACAAGGGTATGTAGTCTCTTGAACACAGTTTCAACAGAAGAGAAGTCAATATCAAAGCCATAACTTTGTCCTCCAAACTGTACATAGAGGTAACCTTTAGGAGACGGTGGTGGGGGCAAAATCTGAGAGATCTGCGGAAATTTTGAATTAGGCGGAGAAGGCAGGTCTTTCTTTTTCAAAGAGTAGAATACATCAGCTAGTAGAAGCCAAATAAGATCAGGGTCAATGGATGCAAGTCCTTGTAGTGCATTCACAGATGCATCGTGAAGCCCTGCAACACCACTGCAAGCTATTCCCACAACAAGACCGCTAACCTTCTTAAGAACTGCTTCCAGCGATGAAGCACTTCTTTTGTTTCGAGATAAATCAGCAATCATGTTGAGCACAGCAACCTGCACTTTCAGGTTTGAAACTTCAGCCAGGGAGTCCTCCGAAGAAGTAGGCGTGCTTCTGTAAGGAAGTTGTAATGGGATTCTTTCTTCTTTCGAGAAAGGTTTTTTCTGAAAGGGGGATGTAGAAAGAAGTTTCCAGAAGTGTGGCCCATCAGTAAGGAAGCGTCGCGAAAAGAAATCACCTCCGCAGATTTGTACAATGTTACTGACCACACTTACACATCTTCTTACAGCCTGCCAAATGAACGAAGTGTGATTGAAGACTATGCAACAGAAAGTGTTTATGAACTTAATCCGTGCAAGTTCGAGCTATAGAAACAATAATAAACAAATAAATAAACTCAATATTCCAACCCTATTGACAACATTTATCCTATTCAGAAATTTCTTTCATTTTGCTTTCAACTTGTCAGGCTAATCAGAAAGTATAAATAGATGACAGAATGAGAATGGCGCCTGTTGTAAATTATGCATTCAAAAGTGTTAATAGTAGTAATCAACACGGAAGTTTCCATATAATATTCAAAGCAGAAAAGATGAACAAGTACCACTGGATTTTTATTTTTAACACAGGTGATCAGGAAAGGCCATATTTTGTTCATCGCTGGAAGTAATCTGTTCTCATCAGCTCCATCCTCAGCAGCATCCAGAGTATCTTCAAGCTGATACAATGAGTATGAACGAATCACCTCCTCAATTGTTTCTTTAGCTTCCTTCTCATGCCGATAAGCTTCTTCCACTTTAGCCAATGTTGTAATGCCATCCTAAGATAGTCATTTGTCATGGAATGAAATATAAAAGTTATCAACTAATTTCTCTGGTGCCAGTAACAAAAGCATGTCAAACATTTGATGGAATTTAAATAGTGCATCTTTAGATATGGAGAAAAAAAACAAAACATGAGAATCATCTCTACAGCTATTGAAGGCCATCCATCCTTCCTTCCAATGAATTTTGTAACATTAACACTTTTTGGTTTCAGAAGGAACAGTGCTTACAAGATGACAAGATGCTTACAAGATTCTTATGTGTGGAAACTAGTGTTGGATAAGAGCCACAAAAATGGCAAGAGGTCAAATGCAACTTTAAGTTTCATAACTATCCTTTTAACAGCTTAAATAAATTCACTAATTGTTACCACATGTGTCAGCAAAGTTGAAGAATTATTGGGGAAAACAGGTACCTGGACTATATCCAGGGCTATCAAGCATGCTGCTTGGTTCATTGAAGCTAGTAAAGGTGTTGCTGCCATCAAGCATGAACCAGCAATAGATGCAACTATTCTTCTGAATCTTTTGGAATCATTCAACTTGAACAAAATACTCTCCCATTGCTCTGCATGCATCATACCATCAAAAGAAGAAAAAAAGTCTCCATCTTACATAAAACGTCAAGATGGATCCCAGAGCATAAATTGAACCAGAAATAGAATAAACATAGAAAAAGGCCTGCAGATAAATGACGCCAGTTACTTAAAGAGCCAAAAATAACTGGCAAATGCAAGCGCATATGTTTATATGATCTGAGCTCTGAAGAGTACTGATTATGGAAGATCGATATGTCACAACTATGCAGAAGAGAAAAGATGACATCTTACCTAAGCATTCGTATTTGTGATGGCTAAGTAGATGAGGGATGATCGCTGCATTATAACATGAGAGCAAATACAAAAGAGAGAAAAGAGTTTCCAATGCTTAGTAAACAGTATAAGACGTACAGAGATGGATGCCAGAGTCAATAAATTGAGACCAGAAATGCAAGAATACTAAGACATCAAGGAGAATAAGGCCTGCACAGGTGATGTATGACAGCAGTTCTATTTATAAGACGCCAAAAATTGACTGGCAAATTGATCAGTAAAGGCAGAACATGGCAAGATAGTGAATCAAATATGCCAAGAGCACCAAAAGGAAAAAGCAATAAGAAAAAAAAGTCATACCAGAGATTCAAGCAATGTTAGCCTAACTTGCACAACTCAAACTATATAACAGTCTCTGTGGCAAACAAGTAGTCTCCATAATGCACAGTTGATATAGACATGCATGCTCACACAGAAGTGGATACGAAATGTAACAATTGATTGGCCAAACTTACGCTATAGAGAGAGAGAGACGTACATAATTGGCGTAGCTGATCATAGCGATATCCAACTATTCTTCTGAATCTTTTGGAATCATTCAACTTGAACAAAATACTCTCCCATTGCTCTGCATGCATCATACCATCAAAAGAAGAAAAAAAGTCTCCATCTTACATAAAACGTCAAGATGGATCCCAGAGCATAAATTGAACCAGAAATAGAATAAACATAGAAAAAGGCCTGCAGATAAATGACGCCAGTTACTTAAAGAGCCAAAAATAACTGGCAAATTGAAAGGTAAGGCAGACATGGCAAGATAGTGAACTCAAATATGCCAAAGAGCACCAAAAAGAAAAAGAAAAAGAAAAAAAAGTCATCCAGAGATCAAGCAATGTTAGCCTAATCACAATAAACTATATAACAGTCTCTGGCAACAAGTAGTCCCCATAATGCAGTTGATATAACATGCAGCTCAACAGAAGGGATCCAAATTAAACACTTGATTGGCCAAACTACGCTATAACAATGCGTCTGAATGCATCATGGAAAAAGGAACAAAAAGATATGCTTTATTGCCACGGCAAATATGTTCTTATATAACAAGGATATACCCATATTATCACAAACGAAAAGGTTCCCTGTTTCCTTTCCCTTTGCGGATATCTTAAAAAAAATTATCATTACCCTGACATTTTTGTTATAACATCTAGACCTCAAATACAAAATAGCAAAGATAAAGCATCTAAAATACCTCATATGCCGATGTCAAGCAAACACTGAATAACCAATGGTATAGCTAACCCAAAGAAGTAGGTACCATTCATAACCATATGAAGAGAAATGCTACAACCAATAAGGGTTAAGCAATCACCTAATTCCATTTGAGAAGTATCTATGTGATTTTCACATCGTGATTTTGAACCTTGGCTGAGCTCCAGTCTAGCTTCCTTCCTCCCCACTTTGGACTTCAACTGAATAAGATATGATTCTGCATCACCAGGCAATGAAGATGCCTCATGTTTTGATGCCTTGGTAATTTCAGCTACAGCCTAAAGATAAGAAATAATTGATTATCTGTCAGGGAAGATGTGACGGATGTAGATTACAGTTGCAAAGACTTTACATCACTACGCCCTAACAGATAGGTCCTAGAAAGTGACATATCACCATGTGCTAACAGAGCAGAGCAAACAAATAAAGTGGTGAAAACTACCGTAATATAAAGAGTGTCTGAATATGACCTTTAGAAAGGGAATAGTTAATTCTGGGTGCTGATGCCTGCCAAGAATCTCAAGTTCTTGTGAAGCATAGCGCATCTGTACAATTTTACAATATTGATCCATGAGCATTTCAGTTCAATAAAAAATCCAGATGAAGTCAAGATTTAATAACTAGTATAACAACAAAAGATACCAAAATAAATGACAAGGATAGATATACATTTAGCAGACTACGAGAGATGATTTATACTTTGGTTTAAAAATAAGAATTTTAGTTAAATATGAGCACACTAATAATGAAGCAGTTTCAAAGAATTAAAGAGGGAATAGAACTATCATAATTCATCATAAATAGACAATGTAAACAATTAACTTCTACGAGAATACTGAGTACATAGCCATACTGGTTCGTCCAACAGAGGCAATATTTTATGAGCCACTCCAATATAGGAAAGCATGGACGCCAGAACACTAGGAACGTGTGGATTAAGATCCAAATGACGTAATTGTCGACATATTGGATCAATTACATAATCTGCATTTGCCAAGACTAATTGCCCCACCTACAGAATATTAATATAGAAAGGGTCATGGATGACAAAATCCAGTAGCAAATAAAAAAATTTTTTTTTAAAAGCTCACCGTTGGTTTGCCAGATGTAGCAGAAAGGACGCGTAAAACTGCATCAGAAGCACTTCTAACATGGAAGTTTGAGCATATAAGATTCTCGAGTAACAGATAGAGAGATGAGTGAAGAAATCCACTGGAAAAAAAATCATCTCCAAGGCACAGAGCAAAGGTGCCTATTCCATCAATAATAACCTGTTTGAGAAAACAGAAGGAAGAAACCTTACTTTTTCTATGCTATACAAAAGATAATAAATTGATACAAGATTCATGAAATTACATAAACTTCAGGTGAAGTAAGAATTAAAGTACCTGGTGTAGCATAGCAGTATCTTGGAAGAAGTGCAAAGTAATTTCTCCCACTTCACCATCAGGTTGAATGTGAGAGGGTTTATGATCAATTGGAAGATCCCAGACTTCAGATGATAGATATTCATGCAAGATTCTACCAACACAATCAATCAAGTGACTCCTAGAAGCCTTTTCCTGAGAAAGCTTCCAAATAGAATGAGTATGCTCAGGGGATTCAGCCATGCAATCCTGACCACCAGCAATACTTTCATCAAATTCTTGAACCTCTTCTCTTTTAACCCTGGATTTATGAAACATTTTTATAAGACTATCAACTGACTGATCTGATAGACCAAATATCATCTCATTCAAAATACATGCTGCAGTGCTGGCCTGCCGAAGTAATTGTCCTGAGCCTGTTCTGTTATACCAAGATTGCCAGCTCTCTTTATTGCATTCCTTGACACGAACTTCAGATATCAGTTTTCGCACGTAATCAAGTGGGATATCTGTAACAACCGACATATGCCCTTCACTTTTGAAGTCTAGCAACAAGTAAGAAGAAAGAGACATGGTTTAATTACAAAGTAAATTTAGCAGAAGGTTAAGAAAAAAAAATTGAATTTCCATGAGATGAAATGACCTGCCATTAAAGATAAACCTACTAGTCTAAGAATTCCTGCAAGAGCCTCATATAATCCCTGGCTGCCAACATAAACAAACCAAGGGGGCATGCGAGGAAGTTTATAATTAGTCTCCACAGTTTCTAATGAATATCGAATTCGTGTTCCTTGAACATCTCTGAACTTTGAGATATCAGAGGGAACAACATCCATGATGGTCTGGTCACTAGTAGCAAAGTGTGAACCAGCTTTCAAATCAGCAACGGAAGGAAGATATCCAATGGAGGATGGCCTTGCTAAAGTAAGCTTATCAAGAGCACCAACAAACACTGAATTCTGACTCAGACAGAGGGCAAAAACATCCAGGAATCTTGCAGCTATTACCTATGAAAATAAAACGCTTTCTTAATTGTGATAAAATTGAGAAACAAAAATGGAATCAGAGGCTTCCCGGAACTATAAATTGACAATAATGTAATCTGATGGACACATTCACTCTCTTGGTTGCTTTACAAGGTAAATAGGAAGAGTACAAAGTTTCTTCCTTGAAATGATAAGAGCAATACCAAACATAACCATTTCATAATCCTATATGCGATGATCATATCAATTTCATTATTAAGCAAACTTGTGCTGCAATATTATATTAACAACACAGTGGACATAAATCCATTTCAAAGATCATGAATGAGGCCCAATCTAGATTCGCATATTCAATGAGAAAAGATTCATGTCAATATTGAAGGATATACTGTAAAAAGAACATAAAGAACCTGAAGGTGTTTCAGTTGACGAGGCGCATATCATAGCATCTTGAGAACCTTCCCCAAATCATCTAGTTGTGCAAATTGTACCTATTCACTCTCCTCTATGTATGTTTTTAATTAATCAGATTGAGGATACTTTCTAAGTTCTTTAGCTTTGCTGTTCTCCTTTACACATCCAGATACTTAAGTGCAGTCCTCCTTCCAGGCACTTTTTTCTAAATTTATTTTCATCATATTTATAGATATTTCCTCCATGTGAGATAAAAAGAAATGTGTGCAAATTATGAAAATCAAAATAATTGAGAAACTGTCAGCCAAAAAAAAAAAAAAGCACATACCGGAGATAGAAGTTGATCAGACACAAATTGAGGACCAGAATAATATATGACCACAAGTAATTGCCGGGCATGTGAGAGCGCAAGTGATTCCTCATTACCCATCACTACTTTTGGAAGCTTCTCAATGAGCCTTCACAAATTTAAAAACAAAAATAACAGGATTTAATAAGAAAATTATTTCCAAAGTGAAAACCCTATAGCTCAACATTCTGACAATTTCACAATAAATACCTGCCAAATATTTCAGCAATATCACGTTGTACATGATGTTTGCCATTCAGTAAATATTCAAGACACTCCTGAGCAGGTGCAGACACCTCTTCAGAGTCATCAACAATCAAGACACATAGACACTCCTGCAGTGATTAGCACTTGGACTATGCATCAATCCAAAATCCAATAAAATTCTAATTCATGGATCAGCATTGAAAACTTTTATAAATGAGGTAAGTGAGGCCTATGACTTGGTCCGACACAAGCTAATTAATTGTTATGCTAGATTGGGTAACAATTTTTTAAAAAAACAATTCAAGGCTTTATGCACATTTGCTACTGTAAAGATATCCAAATATTGTGAATACAAGAAATAAGGAAAAATATAATGGCCAACTTTGACAAAGTACCAACAGATTTATTGCATAGAAATACCAATTTATTTTCCGCTTACCAAAAGCATCAATCTGCTGCCCTTCAGAGTGTAACTGCACTTTGATAACAGTCCTTCTATGGCAGCCACTAGTCCTTGTCTAATCTTTTTCGCTGGATGAACACAAATCTATTGAAAATGTAAAAGATTTGGCAGTTAATGGAAAGAATTATGAGAGAGAGTGCAACAAAGATTTAAGAATTTTTTAGTGAACTTTGCTGTGCATAATACAGACTTAAGAACACCTTATAGCTGAACATGAAATGAAAAGCAAAGACTTACATGTGGAAATGTTGCACTCAATAGTTTGTCTAGATGTGCCGAAGTTTTCTCAATCCAATCTCTTGTACGATCCACATGCAAAGATCCTATTTCCTCGCCAACCTTATTGTTCATATTTTTATTAAAATCAGAAGCACGGGAAACCAAATTCACTGTTCCACCAATCGATCCTTCAGACACAATTTTACTTTGACCTTGAGTGATATTGGGCAAATTGCGTAGTTCATCCAGAAGTGAATGTATAGATTCATTTTTCTTTGAATTAATTCCATTTATTGCATTTAGGGATGCACCAAGACCAGACAAATTAGCATCATCCTGAAGAACTATCATAAGATACTCAGCCAAGCCTCTAATTGCTTGATCAGTAGCCTCCACACTTCCTGCTGCCCCACTTATCATTGTCTTCGAGACATGCAAAACTTTGGCAAACTGACTAACGACTCCAGGTAGAAAGAAAGCCAGTGCATCTGCAGTAGCAACCTGCATAAGTGATTCCATTATTAATATCAGCAATTTTAAATACAGGAAAAAGGCAATTGCAATAGCAAGCCAGTGTTGAAACTACTCGAACATAACATAAACTAACTAATCCTCTCTGATAGAAAGGTTTTCCTTCTAAATTAATTAATCCTCTTTGATAGAAAGGTTTTCCTTCTCGAGTTTTCAATTTGAGATATTTACAAGGTCAGTGTCTGCTGGCAGAGTCACATGGACTGCAGGTGCAGGAACTCATTCTGTATAAGAAAATATCTAGCAAGACTTCAAGAAACATCTGATTGCATCTCAGCATAAAGAGACTCCCAAGAATTAAATCATAGCAACAAGATTCAATATCCTGGTGAAAATAATAGGATTTTAAATCTGTCTAACAGAACTTAAAATTTGGAATTCAAGAGTGTCCATGCTGGCAGTCGCAAAGAAGGGGAAAGTCTACCAGAGTAATCAGATAAAGAGCACATGAATCACTGCAAGTGAGAACTTGAATTGATGTCTACGTGTCTCTTAGTGTTAGATGGTTACCTTAGATACAAGCACACGTAAGGTGATAAAGGCCTCAACACGGAGTTTTGCATTGCCATGATGCCCTCGCACTGCCTCAGTATCTGCAGCCTTCACATAAAATCCATTACTCATTTCACAAAAAAAAAAAAAAAAAAAAAAAGTTTTGGCATTTGCCATGATGCCCTCGGCAACCGCCTCAGTATCGTTGTGCAGCCTTCACATTAAAATCCATTACTGTCATTTCAGAAAAAAAAAAAAAAAAAAAGAAAAAAATATGATGAAAAAAAAAAAAAAAAAAAAGAAAAATATGATGAAAGATTTAAGAGAGAAACAACTATATAGTGTTTGGAGAAAAAATGGCCATGGACCTAGAAATAGCAAGGAAAAGCACGTACTTTGAGAAGAAGTGACAGCCAGTGGCCAACAGCAGCTGCAGCGGTTTGCGACTGGAGAAATGCAAGCAAGCATTCTCCTTGTTCTGGAAGATACTTTGAAGCCCCACATGGAAAAGCTTGCATATATGAACTTTCTAAAAGTGCAGGTAAAAGAAAACTTTGTCTGCATGTGCAACCTTCATCAGAGCAGGGAAGTAAATTCAGAAGTAGAGCTCTAAAACACTTGATTACTCCTTCACGAAACTCTTCAGAAGCCTCAAGAGGAGAAAGCAAAGCCGCATGAGTCAATTTCTTCATCAGTACAACCATCTGAAAGTTAAATAAATATCTTCAGGTAGCAGGAAGATATACGCACTAGTGAAATAAGTTTCAGATAGATTTATGAGCATATACTTGAGTCAACCGAGCTAACAAAATTTCCATTCATACATTACTATACAAGCATATACAAATGATTCATGTCCAAGGAAAATGATATTTAAAAAATATCACCTGGTCCACAGATCCCAAATGACATTTCTTCAGAAGCTCCTCCAAACATTGCAAGACGGTTTCTGCCACTTTGTCACTGACTTTGTGAGGCAAGCTTGAGACATTATTTGTGGCAACCTTCTCCCTAGGATCATCCTTCTTTGAGGATCTGCTATCAACTGCCGCATCCAACAGAAGCAGCAGTGGGAACAAGGTATAACTGAAGCATTCATAAAGTAGCACATTTGGTTAAGATATTTTTTTTTTCAAAAATAAAAAAATAAAAAAATAACTACCATTCAAAGAAAATGCTTACATGACAATTCCATATCAGTTCCACATAAAAATAAAACAAGATCTGACCACACTACACTATACACCCACCTCATAGAATAAATATATAAGTAAATAAAAACAGGGTTAAAATTTCAACTATGCATTGATTTTGCAAATGGATAACTTAATTGATCAAAAGTTCCGTGATCTTCGGTACTGCATAAAAAAAAAATGCTTACACACTCAGGTGCACTAGTCCACAAAAACTGCATCTTAAAACAACAAAAACACAAATCAATGCCCGCTGTTACCAGTCTTCAGTTATTCAAAAAGAGCTCACTCATGTCTCTATAATAACTAATAACTCAAAATTCCTGCTCCCTATATCAATTCTCATAATTGATTAGCATTAAGGCAAAATAAGCAATTGAACTTACTCAAAGAAAGGTTGAAGGGCATCGGAGGGTGAGTTACGAAGGAACTTGAGCAGTGAAGAGACTGCCAAAGAGTCTTTTTTAGGGTTTTGTAGAAGTTCTAGAAGCTCTAAGCAGTAAGGTTTTAGCTGCGAAAAAATACTGATCCTTTGTTGTACCCATTGTTCAGTTTCTTCGTCGTTTTCACCGGTAAGCTTGTCGAAATTTTCCATTCTAACGGTGAAGTCACATATCTTTCCGGTGAGAGGCGCGAAATTGAAGTTTCAGTTCTGGAAAATGAAAGAAGGATGAAGAAAAGCGACGATGAATGGTAAAAGCCCAATCACTGGACCTGATTTTCGATCCTTGAATTTGGTCCTAAGTTTTGTTGATACGTATTCAAAAATAAGCGTTTCATGGGCTTCCTTGGGCTGAGCCTCCCATCGGACCTTAATTATAGGCGGTGCTTTTAGTTTTAGCGCTAATATACCACAGGAACTTTGTCCTATGCACGCGCTGTCGTCATCCGACTACACGTCGTTTAGGTCGTTCTTTCTGCCCCGAACTACAATTACCATACTGTTTTAATTGATAGGCTCCTTGTTAAACATGAGAACGTGATTGTGAACAAGGCATTTATTTCCATGATTTAATTTCCTTTGTTTTGCTATAAACCAAACCAAATAGCCCTTATAGTTGAGAACTAACTCTCAGTATCGAGGTACCAAAATTAAGTCGGGAGATTATTGGTATTTGATTCAACAAAAATCCTAATTTAAGGAAAGGAAAATAAATGGGAAGAATTAATAATCAAAGTATAGACCAATTTTAGATTAATTCAAAGCATATATATAGTTTTTTTTTTTTTTTTTTTTTTTTTTAGATTAATTCAAAGCAATCATATTAGTTTTTTTTTTTTTTTTTTTTTTTTGTAAACCTATTGATGATTCTGCATCTCCTCACTAAAACAGAAAACTTTCGCCTATATCCAGCTCAAGGGGCCCAGCCCCCTTCATTGCACGCGCAGAATTTTATAGACTTTTTTTTTTTTTTATTAGTTAAAATTTGGGAAGATTTTTTTTTTTTTTTTTTTTTTGTAAACCTTTGATATCTGCATCTTATAAACAGAAACTGCCTAATCCAGCTCAAGGCCAGCCCCTTCATGCACGCGTCAGATTTATAGACTTTTTTTTTTTTTTATTAGTTAAATTGGAAGCACAGAACATAAACTCAAAAGCTTGCTTTTTATTATAGTACTAATATCGGGAAGCAAGTCTTACAACAGATTAACCAAACATAAACCACTCAAACAACATTAAGCAAATCGCACAACAAACTTCTGTAGAGATATAACACCATAAAACAAGCACACACACGTATAAAGATTTCATATATATATATATATAGTGGAAGCTCAAAGACACCCCAAATTGAACTAGAAGCTGCTAAATGTTGATGCCATGAATATAGCAAAGAGAACAAGCTGTAGGGTGAAATCCATGGTGAGGCCATTAGAACCGCTAACTCCAGTCTCTGGAATTGCTCCTGTAAAGGCAAACAATAAAATGTTACAAATTTAGAAGCATTGTTCTCAGCTTTCTTGTTAAGAATAAGCAGTTTAGTGGTACTCTACCATCAGGGTTCTGAGAGTTTGAACTCTAATTATCAAAAACTAAAAAGGTACCTGTTGAAGAATCGCCTGGTGAACCTTCAGGAGAACCCACTGGAGAAGCTGTTCAAACTTAAGCCATCAATTTCTGAACTATAGAAACTTAATTTAATCTAAAATAGTGTATATTTACCATTATTGCACTTGCTAACAGGCGGAGTTTTCACATTGCAGGCACCGGGAAGTGCTAAAGCAAGTGTCTGATTAATACTAACACCTAATGATGCACCACCCCCATTTAGCACAGTGCAGAGACATCGTGGCTGTGATTGAACAACAGTAGCCAGTTGCGAGCAGCAAGAAGAAGATGGAGTTGATGAGCTTCCAGTTACATAGTTTAGGCAAGGAGCCAGGCCAATGATCACACTGGTGCAGCCTGACTGAGCCATGGCTCTTGCCCACAACATGGCCACAAGGAGAATCACTAGACCTGTATAGTTCATGATTCCCCTTGAGGCCATGTTGGATTATAGTAAAGGATGGATTCTTGAAAGTGCTACTAAAGTCTCTTATCTTTTTTACTCAGTTACAGAATTATGTAATAACAGCTTTAGATTATCTAGTTTTTACTGAACTGAAGGGACTAATTTATAAAGATAAATTTTTTCATTTGTTTATTTGGATGATAAACTCTAATGGAGGCTTTGGTGAACTAGAACAGACTATATGAGGTAAGATTTGCAATTTTTTTTTTTATGTTATGAGGTTTAAGATTCATTGCATAGTAAGTATTGTTATATGCTACACTTTTTTTTCAAAAACAATTTCAAGGTGCTGATTAGAATAATTTTGTGTAGCAGCAATTGGAACTTGAATGTGACCTTTGAACAAATAGACAGACAGCAGTCTGTTTACCTAATTTCCAAATGGATCACATCTTCTGAACTTGGCTGAGATAATTACTTCTCTGCCTTTGACAAAAATGCTCAATTGTATTAAAGTTGACTATGATCTCTCTATATATATATACCTCTCAAGGGCCAGGTGAGCTAAAATGCCAAGTCAAAATACGGTCCTGAAGGTAACCTATGCCACTTGGCAAACTCAAACTCTTTTGTTACAGACAGAGTTAGTTAAGGTAGTTGAACTTCATACCCAATAAATCTACACCTAATATCCTACCTCCTCCACGCAAACTCCCCTATAAATCCCTTAATCTCTCTCTCTCTCAAGCACACCAAACATAAAAGATTCAATTTTTTTTTTTTTTCTTCTCCAACAACTCCTAGTTATCCACAAGAACTCTTTAAACCCAATATGTACATTTTTAGGCCTGTTTCAAGAATGCTAGCAATTCTTGCAATTGCTTTGATAGTCTTGATTAATTTTCCTGCTGATGGCCAAATAAGTACCCCATGCACACCGTCAATGCTTTCTACATTCTCTCCTTGTATGAATTTTCTAACAAATAGCAGTTCCAATGGAACTTCTCCAAGTCAACAATGTTGCAGTTCACTCAAGAACCTTACAAGTAATGGCGTGGACTGTTTTTGCCTTATTGCGACCGGAAGTGTTCCTTTCCAAATTCCGATCAACAGATCCTTAGCTATCTCTCTTCCTCGCGCTTGTAACATGCCAGGCGTCCCACTCCAATGCAAAGGTACAATCTTTTTCAACAAATTAGTAACGTTCAATATTGTTATTTTAACTTGTACAGTCAAAATATTAATTCAAACCTTTAATTTCTTGCAGCCACTGGTTCACCAGTTCCAGCTTCAGGTATAACTTAATATTTTTTTTATAACTAAGCCGAAAATTCAGTTAACTATATGCTTATTAGTTGTATTTATTGATATTCAGGCCCTGCCTCACTTGGACCAACTCTTTCACCCAGAATTTCTCCATCTGCTAGTCCTAAAGGTGGTCTGCTTCAACCTTTATATTAGTTTTGCAAAATTTTTTATATATGTAAAGATTTGTGTGTTAACAGTAAAAATTGAAATCATTGAGCAGCTTCTGTTGTGCCTGAGCCAACTCCATCTGCTATTCCACCAGAATCCAGCACAACACCAGTTCTGCCTCCACCTTCAACAACAGTAGGTACTGGAGCCCCTACATCGACAACTGGGAGCCGCCCGGTTCTGACTCCTCCGTCAGCTGCTGTCTCCTCTCACAGCTTTTCACCATCTCTTCTAATTTTTGCATTAGGATTTGTAACTTTGAAGTACTACTAGATTGTTATAGATCTATTCATGCCTTTATTTATGAATTTAGAAATATTCTTTTGAAGTTTGATTATTGATTTTAGCCTTTTAGTATAATTCCCATGATTGAGTCCCCTATTGGGTGATAATTTATTAAATAAAATTTTTTTGTATTACACATGTATTAGTGAATATAAATATCAGTTTATTTCTGTAAATAATCTTCAAACATCCTTCGAGGATTTTCTTACTTTTTTTTTTTAAAATTTATTTCTTGATTGGCAATAAAAAAGAAGCCGAAGGTAATTCATGATGGGCTTTCTCAAAGGGCCAATAGCCCAATACACTGTAAGTTATAAATTCCATAAACAGACCCACCATTTAGATTAATATTTAATTTGATAAAATTAATTAATTGTGATGTACTACTTATTATTATTTTATACCCATAACGGTAATGGATTCCCCAATTATCAGAGGGTATCTAACAAATAAAAAAATTTGTTAAAATAATTTCTATTTGGTCCAAATTACTAAAGTCAATTTAATAATTTTAAGTTTATCATATTTGTAAATATAATTAATAAGTGATAGTGCTCTAGGAGTTGATGGTATGATTGTGCTCCAACCATTGGTACCTTTTCGTACAACTAATATAACACAATTAGACAACTAATTGTTTATATTGAGAAAATTAATTATTTAGAATATATTTATAATATTAATTAAATACTTATGAAAAAAAAAAATCAAAGATGATGTGAATGTTGGATATATATCTTTTAGTTTCGTATTGGATAAAAGATTAGTGTTTGGTGTGAATCATACATTTTGGTAGAAACATAAAGCATGATCCACTAAAAATATAATCACTGCTTAATTATATTAATTAGATTAGATATGCCCTAAATATTTTTTTCCCTTTGTTAGAAATTTGAATTACTGTACCTTACCTGGCTAAAAACCTAGAAAAGGCAATTTTTCAAAAAAAAAAAAAAAATGTAATTTGCCTTGTAATATTAGTGTTAATGTATATCCAAAACTAAGTAAGTAGATAAGATATGATTGAATAGTATTGAATAGCCATTATTCTTGACCTGTATTTTTCTTTTTCTTTTTTTTTTTTTTTTATGAAAAAAAAAAATCAAAGCATGAATTGATGGAATGTTGCATAATATCATTTTTCTCTTTAGTTTCTCCGTATTTGGATTAATAAGATTTATGTTTGTGTTTTGGGTGAATCATACATTTTGGTAGAAAAACAATTAAAGCATGATCCACTAAAAAATATAATCCACTGATCTTACATTATTTATTAATTAGAATTTAGATATGTTGCCCCCTAAATATTTTTTCCCCTTTGGTTAGAAATTTGAATTAACTTTGTACCCTTTACCTGCGCTAAAAAACCAGGAAACAGGCAATTTTTCAAAAAACACACACACACACGAAAAATGTTAATTTTGCCTTTTGTCAATATTAGTGTCTTTAATGTATATCCCACCAAACTAATGTCAAGTAGACTAAGATTATGATTGAATAGCTATTTGAATAGCCATTACATTCTTTGGACCGTGTATTGTTTTCTTTTTTTCTTTTTTTTTTTTTTTTTAGAGAGTGAATTCTTTTAGCTGTATGCTTGCACTAGCATCAAGATCTATCAACTTTGCTTGGTCATCCTGTAACCAGCTTGGAGGCGCTTTTTTATTATTAGCCTTCAAGTCAAAAAAATGACCAAATGCATAGTTAAAGGATATTTCTTTTCCCAGCTATTTTCTTAAAAAAAGATTGATTAATTTTCTTTTTATATCTAAGAAGACAGAGAGAATTGGTAGGGAGACCACTTGTGCTATGACTAATAAAAATACTCACAATAAATATAGACTTTTGTAGTTGGTGGCTTTTTTCTTTTTCTTTTTTTTTTTTTTTAGAGAGGAATTCTTTAGCTGTATGTGCACTAGATCAAGATCATCAACTTGCTGTCACCTGTACCTGAGGCTTTTTATTATTAGCCTCAAGGTCAAAAAATTGACCAATGCATAGTAAAGATATTTTTTCAGCTTTTTCTTAAAAAAAATTGATATTTTCTTTATATTAAGAAGAAAAATTGCTAGGGAGACCACTTGTGCTATGACAATAACAAATACTCAAAAATATAGACTTGTAGTTGGTGCTTATTAATATTTATTATTTTAATTTAAAAATAAGTGTTTTTCATAAATTAAACTATAACGCTAAATACTCTCTCCGTACTAAAATATAAGTTATTTTAAATAATATTATTTTTATTTAAATTATATACAATAGTTATTTTCACAAATTAATTTTGAGTAAATTATTCTTATTTTTATTTATAAAAATTAATTGCTTCTTCAGTCCCGATAAAACAAAATTTTAACTAACTTCTATTTTCAAAAAATATATATAATTGAGCCATTACCGGTTCCTAAAACAACTATTGAAATTGTTTAATAAAAGAAAAAAAGAAAATACTTATCTAAAGCCGCCGTGTATTTTAAGTAACTGGGATATTTAATTTAAATAAAAAACTAATATTTTTATCGAAAAATAAAATAATAATAAATGATAATAGTTTTTTAAATGGAAATTAATTATTGATTAGATAGACGAGAAATTGTTTGTCCTACCCATTATGTTTTCATTTGCCCTCCGTTGAAGTCCAACCTTATAGAGTTGACTCTATTGCTATTTGCTTTATAAATACTATAAACACAACATTCTCTGAATGCTGTAGTCTCTAGTCTCTCTCTACTCAGAGATCTCTTCTTCTCTGCAACACAGAAAAATCAGAGAAGGTTAGGTGAGGTCTTAAGTAATGGCAGGTGGAGGATTTGTAGACGGAGGAACTCTCAAAAGAGCTCATCAATACGAGTATAAGATCACCGGTTACTTTATCTTTGCTTGCATAGTTGCAGCTCTTGGCGGATCCCTTTTTGGTTATGATCTTGGTGTTTCTGGTCAGTTTTCTTCTCTGTTCTTCTTTTTTTCTTTTCTTTTTCATTTATGTTTTTTTGTTCAAGATTCATTTGATTTCACGTGTCACTATATATGGAACAATGACCTGTGCATTTCTTTCTTTTAATAATAATAACGATGTTATTGACTATTGTTGTGATTATCAAGACTTACAATGACAGCTTCTTTTATTTAAAGTATTATACATAGAAGAAAGAAAGAAACTTTCAATTTTTTATTCAATTATTATTGTTATAGTGAGACGAGAAGAAAAATACATAAACTTCATTGTTCCTCTGTTTTGTTTGGATCACCAGAATGGAAAAAAATGCAAAAAGAGAAAAGAGAAGTTTCGTACTTATCAAAAATTTCTTCTTGTTTCATCAATTTTCGTTCTCATAAAGAGAGGTATCTTTCATCAGTTTCTGATTACAAAAAAGCGCATATCTTTTCCTGTTACCGGTGAGCCTGAAACATAACTTTCTATGGTTCCTCTGTTTTGTTTGGATTACCAGAATGGCAAAATGCAAAAGAAATAAAAGAGAAGTTTGATACTGATAAAAATTTTCTTCGTTCTCCATAGAGAGAGAGCTAACTTTCATCAGTTTCTGATTACAAAAGCGCAGATTTTTTCCTGTAACTGGTGATCCTGAGATCGCAGGCTGTTGGTTTTTGTTGTTACTGGAAAAGATTCCCTCATATAGACGATGGAAAATATTACTTCTGACATTTTGTTTTTTTTTTTTCCTCGATAACTTGTCGTGTAGAAGGAGAATATGGTGCCGTATAGGAGGATAATTTAGTGCATATCTTTTAGATTCGAGAGAGAGCTGAATGAGTGAAGAGTGAAAATGATTTATGGATGGTAGTTCTCAATTGGGTAGTTACTACATCCTTCACTAACAAAGCAATATAACTAAGAATACATGAAAATGCTTCAAATTGATTTTCTTGTTCAGCTTGATTTAATTTGGTTCTTTTGAAGAAAAAGAGAGAGGTGAAAAATTTATTACTAACTTTAGATTTTAGTATATGTTTATCTAATATTTAGAGGTGGTAATAGCAATTGAACTTATTGTGTGCTTATCCAGGTGGAGTTACTTCCATGGATGATTTCTTGAAGGACTTCTTTCCAAAAGTGTATCGGAGGAAGCAAAAACATCTTAATGAGACAGATTACTGTAAATATGACAACCAAATCCTCACACTCTTTACATCCTCATTGTACTTTGCTGCTCTTATTTCAACATTTGGAGCCTCTCATGTTACCAGAAATAAAGGAAGAAGAGCCAGCATTATTGTTGGATCAATTAGTTTCTTTTTAGGAGCAATCCTCAATGCAGCTGCCGTCAACATTTCAATGTTGATCATAGGACGAATCCTGCTTGGCACAGGCATTGGATTTGGCAATCAAGTAAGTCCATTTCTTTCAAACCAAAAAAGTTTTTACTTCAATTATTTATGAAACTAATTTTATTGTTTTCTTGTCCTAATGTTTCAGGCAGTTCCTTTGTATCTTTCGGAAATGGCTCCTGCAAAAATTCGAGGAGCAGTTAACCAATTGTTCCAACTGACAACCTGCTTAGGGATCTTGATTGCTAACCTTATAAATTATGGAACTGAGAAAATCCATCCATGGGGATGGAGGTTATCTCTTGGTTTAGCCACAGTTCCTGCAAGTCTAATGTTCATAGGAGGAGTTTTCCTGCCTGAGACTCCCAATAGTCTTGTAGAACAAGGCAAATTAGAAGAAGCGAGAAAAGTATTAGAGAAAGTTAGAGGCACAACAAAAGTTGATGCTGAATTTGATGATCTTATAGATGCAAGCAATGCAGCAAGAGCTATACAGCATCCATTCAAGAACCTTCTCAGAAGAAAGAATCGCCCTCAATTGATAATAGGGGCTATAGGAATCCCTGCATTCCAACAACTTACTGGCATGAATTCTATACTCTTTTATGCTCCTGTTATATTTCAAAGCTTGGGTTTTGGTTCTGGTGCTTCTCTATATTCATCAGTCATAACCAGCGGAGCACTTGTTCTTGGTGCTCTTATTTCTATGTCTTTAGTTGACAAATTTGGAAGAAGAGCTTTCTTTCTGGAGGCTGGAACTGAGATGTTCTGCTATATGGTAACAGCACTCATTTTTAGATATCGTTTCAACTGCTTTTCAGATTGCACTTTTTCACCTTCTTTTAATTTTTTTTTTTTTTTTTTTTTTTTTTATTGAAAGAAGGAGCTTTCTTTCTGGAGGCTGGGAACTGAGATGTTCTGCTATATGCGTAAACGAGCACTCATCCTTAGATATCGTTTCAACGGCGTTTTTCAGATTGCACTTTTTTCACCTTCTTTTTAATTTTTTTTTTTTTTTTTTTTTTTTGGAGGTTGTTTTGCTCAAAGCATACCCAGTATGGCCAAAAAGTAGTCTAAACGCCCAATGTCAAACCATGACCACTAACTTCATTGTTTGAATTTCAGGTTTGCTGTGGCCTATAAAACTTTGGCCTTTTGAGTTTGGAGAAGGGAGTATGGACCTCTTTCCCAAAAGGAATTGGCATATTCTTGTGACTAGTAATTTTTTTTTTTTTTTTTTTTTTTTTGAGTTGTTTTTCTCAAGCCATACCAGTATGGCAAAAGTAGTCTAACCGCAATGTCAAACAGACACTAACTTCATTGTTTGATTTACAGGTTGCTGTGGCTATAACTTTGGCCTTGAAGTTTGGAGAAGGAGTGACTCTTCCAAAAGGAATTGGCATATTTCTTGTGATAGTAATTTGCCTGTTTGTGTTAGCATATGGAAGATCATGGGGTCCTCTTGGATGGCTAGTTCCAAGTGAGATCTTCCCACTGGAGACAAGATCAGCTGGGCAGAGTATAGTTGTGTGTGTTAATATGCTCTTCACAGCTCTTATAGCACAGTGTTTTCTGGTTTCACTCTGTCATCTTCGATACGGGATCTTCTTGGTGTTTGCTGGTTTGATTTTGATCATGAGTAGCTTCATATTCTTCCTGCTGCCAGAAACAAAGCAAGTGCCAATTGAAGAGGTCTATCTTCTCTGGCAAAATCACTGGTTCTGGAAGCGCATAGTGGGTAATGGGGACCAAATTGAACTAGATGAGAAGACAGGATCACGAGTTTAAAAGTCTACACTCTGTAGGGGGAAAACTTTGTTTTGAGAATTGTTTGCTGTTTGTGAATTAAAGTATTTAGTTAGTTGGGCAAATTATAAATAACAACACAATTTCATTTCATATCCGCATGAAATATAAATAATTGGAACGCTGAACGTCATGAATAAAATGGTGATGCCAAAATTGAAATTAAGAAATTGTGTTAAACGAAACTAATACGGCGTCGTCGAGTTATGGGGAAGGGTAATTTTGTCAAATCAGACGAACAAGCCAAATCTTCCCGCCAATATAAGAGTTACCAGTAACTAACTTGGAACAAACTAAACAAACCAGCAAAATTCCTGTGTCTCTCTCTTGCTCTCTCTCTAACGCGCGCTCTCGCTCTCTCTCTCTCTCTCTCTCTCTCTCACACACACAAACATGACTGCCATTTTTGCTCTCATTTTCACCTCCATTCTCCTTCTCACCACTGCTTCACCTCCACAACCATCGCCGCCTCTGCCATCATCGTCACCAGACTGCACGGAGGAGCTCGTCGCTTTCTCCCCTTGCCTTGGCTATGTCTCGGTGGAACCAAACAACCTGACGGACATGGCTACTCCTCAGTGCTGCAACGCCTTCTCTAAAGCTGTCAATGCCAGTGATGGTAACTGCTTCTGTTATCTTATGAGGCAGCCTCTGATCTTTGGATTCCCGTTGAATGATTCGAGAGTGGTTTCTTTGCCTTCTGTTTGTTCTTCCGTTTACGGTTATGGAGGTTTAGCGACAATTGATGGCGGATCACTGGAATCGATTTGTTCAGGTTCGGATATGAAGCATATTCTTGATTGATCAGTTATATTAAATGTTCAATTTTGATTTTACTGTTTTTCTTTTCTTGATTAAATGATCGATGACAAATCTTGGATTTATTTTTGTTTCTTTTTGAGTAATCACTTTGGAGTTCAGAGTCTTAGAAATCCATAGCCACAGAGCTCTCTCTAATCTCTTTCTCTTGGTTTGGCGCCATGTTTCTTCTAGAATTTTGGGCGCAAGTTAGCCTTCACTCCAGGAATAATTAGGTGTAGTCAGGTCTACTGATAATTCTTATGATGCTAAAATTGCTGCTGTAGCATTGTATATTTAGAGATCATGGCATTGTATTGACCAATAATTATCCAAGATTTGCTCCGGAACTGTCTAATTATGATTATGGATCTGCCCGCTTGTGCTACAGGGTCATCAGCACTGCCTCCTCTCCGGAGCACAACAGGTTTAATGATTCCAAAAGGACCTGATTCTGGTAAGCAGACTCACTAACCTCCTTTTACCCTTATATCCACTGTCCTCTTCACTTGGTTGAATCTTAATTTTGTTTGGCACCATAGCTTACTTGACAAAATGCTCTCTGAAATATTCATCTCTTATAGTTTTTAAAATAAATTAACTGTCCTACTTGGTGAGTTTTACTCCAAAATTGCAGAAGTTCCAGACATTGCGTCATCTCCTTCAACAAGTTTTCCAGCAGAAAACGCTGAGACTTCACCTACCCCGCTAAGTTTGATACCAGAACCTGTTGTTAGTTCTCCGATAGCTTTGAAATCGCCACTAACTCCAGCCAATCATTCATCTGCAGTGAAACATATTAGCAACAGCTGGGTTTTTCCTGGAACGCTAACTTCCCTGGTTATCTTTTTCTTTTCATGAACTGGATCCTTTTATTTTCAGTCATCTGTAATGCTGCACCTGCAAACACCATTATGATTTCTTCACTCATCTTTGTCACTGCATAATCGACGAGTGACACTTGATTTTGAAATAGCATATACAGTTTCAAGCAAAAGTTAAGAGCATCTCAATGTGCATACAGCAATATTTGCTTATATGATACATTTTTTTTCCCTATCAAGTGTTTAGAATGGCATTATATCACCATACGCTACAAGTGAAATTGTAGTTAATTCTCAGCAACATAGAGAATGATTCATCAAAATTCACGGCAAAAACAACTGTTAGATTTGAAATTGGCTGGACAACTTGATTCCTTGAGCCAACCGAGATTCCATTATCGAGTACATAGGAACATCTTATCTATCTAAGGATCAAACTAAAATAAAATGAGAATAAGCATTCCCGTTGCTTTAACTTCTGTGAACAAAAAGACTGCACATCTATGACTTCCAACCATCGGACCACTCTGCTTCATCCACAGGTTTTGAAATTTCTGTTCGATATGAGTCTTCACCCCATCCAGCCTCTTCGGAGGGCTGAGGGTTTTCTACACCATAGTTACTGTTGACACAGTCCTCCTGCTCTTGAGATTCATCAAGAGGATCCTGTCTTTCTGGGAGACCACAACCTTGATAGGAGTCGTTGTCTACACAATACCACAAAAGCTGATTCCAGTAAGGGTCCTGCAAATTGCAAACAATTAAATATAAGTAATCAAAACAAATGATCAGCAAAAATTTCAACCGAATCCGACTCTTTAACTGTGTATCATATGGCCAAGGCACATAAATTTGACACATCAAATTTTGGTTTGGTCAATAATTTAGTTATCATATCACTCTTGCACATGCACAGAAGCAGCAAATACAGATCTCTAAGTCTATATATCTGCACAGGTCATGCATGTATAGAATTATAACGTTTAAGCTAATTAAGATGCAATCTTCAAGGAAAAGTATAATTGTTTGCCCAGTATCCTTCTGTTCCAATCGATTAATTTCTTACGATGGCCTCTAAAAAACAAGTAATACCTTACTGATAATGTGTGGATTCCCAATAATGATAAGCAACGACATAGCACGGGTAATAGCCACATTAAACCTTCTTGGATTGCTCAAAAAACCCAAACAATGTCTTCGGTCAAACTCATTGTGTTTGATTGTCGATCTGACAGTTGATACAACAATAACTTTCCTTTCTTGCCCTTGAAATTGTTCAACACTGCCAACTTTGATGTCAGGGATATCCAAATCATCAAAGACCTTCTTTAGTTTGAGTACTTGCTGCTTATAAGGTGTGATGACCCCAATATCAGCTTCATTCATATCTCCTGCACAAATCAGTTTGTTTACAACATCTACTACCTTGCTTACTTCAATGCGGTTAAACCATGATGGATTATTTCCTTCCCTCTCATCACAGCCTTGTACACCAAAGAAGAGAACAGGAAAGTTCCTGCCCGGAAGGAGATTCACCAAAGACATTAAGGAATTTGTATCATCTGTAGACTCTTTGCTTGCAATCAATTCCCCTCCATAGAACAGGTTTGAAGGGAGATGCAAAATATGTGGGTGACATCGGTAGTTCCTAACCAGTTTTGTTACATAATTTTCATCTCCATTGCAGTAATAATCACATTCAAAGAGCCTTTCCAAGTATGATTTTCCTAGTCCGAAATTCTCTGCATATTTAGAGTATATTACAGGACCCAACTGCATGGGGTCTCCAGCAAGAACAACAACTGTATCCCTCTGGCTGAGATTAGATATAGGGACCATGCTTTCTGGCTCTGAAGCTTGCCCAGCCTCATCAAGGAAAATATGAGAAAAGTGACCACGCTCAACACCCTCTCCATAAAGAAATGAGGCACTCATATAAGTTGATATTATGATCCTATAGCGTGTGAGAGCACAGAGTGGAGGACATTTGAAGAGGAACTCATCAAAAAAACAAAACCTTTTATATTCAGATTTTACATCATCTAATGGTCGGGAAGTTGCATTGAGTCTGAATACTTCATTTTCTCGAATATTAACAGCATTCTCACATAGAATTTTCTCTAGCAAGTGATCTGCTGCGCTATTTGAAGGTGCACACACAAGAATCCGGGTATCTTTTCGATTTTTGTAGAGCTGGAGGATTGCTTCCACTATTGTCATAGTTTTACCAGTACCAGGTGGCCCATAAATGACATAAGGGGGACCTCCTTTGCAGCCAAGGATCATCTCAACCGAAGACATCTGCTCTTCATTGAGATTATAAGTAATGGGCACCAGAGGAGTAGTTTCAATAAGCCTATTTTCAGAGCAATCAGATGGAAATAAGAACTCTGTCTTTAAATTTTCAGCTGCATCTACAGCCTGATACTGCCTTCTCACATTGAGCCGATTATATGTAAAGTGTACATCATACAGATTCCCACTGAAATTGCCAGAGTGAAATTGAGGGGCAAACTTTAAATAAACTTCATCAGCCTCAACACGGTGAACAAAGCCCTGAGAACACATTTTTTTAACAAGAAAACACAATTACAAAACAAATCTAATATAGTCAGAAAAATAACATAGTACATTGTTGTTTCTTTGCACTTGGATTCTCTCTAACCGAAATTCTTCAAGCAAAAACTGATCTTAATGTAATTATTTTATATAAGAAAGGACAAACCTGATACGGAGGGGTTGCTTCATCAGAATTTGCAAGCTTAGCAAAGATGAAATCTCCATGGACAAGTGAAGGTCTCCGCTCAGCAAGGCCTGGGACCACGAGGGACAGAAAATCCCCCCTCTCCTTCCTCATCCCAACATTCTCCATGTCATAAGTTCTCATGTCTTCCTGAATAAAAATAAATAAATTCAAATGAATAGAGTACAAATTTAATACCATCATTGCTATTGTAATTGCTCAAAGAAAAGCTACCTCCATTTGTATTTCCTCCATCATCAACAATGTTTTGAAGTAAATAGCATAATTCCCCCTTATTAGACCTTCTGTAATAGCATCAGGGGTCTGCTTGCTCTCAATCGATTCTCTAACTTGTTTAGGAATATCATAACGAGGAAGTCTATTTTTGGATGGACGGCCTACTGCCCTCAAAGGACGTGAACCTGCAACAAATGTGTCCACAGTGAATTGCTTCTTTCTTGTAGATTTTGAATATGGCCTTTTTGAAGCCAAAGACCTGGATATCTTATCTTCAGCCAATAGGAAAACCACCCGTTCAATTCTATCATCTCCAGCATCAAAATGCACAACTGAAGTGTATAGTCCTATTTCTTTCGGTTTGCAATTTAGCCAGATGGTTAATGTTTCATTAGGTTGAAGCATTCTATCCTCTAGACTATAAGACTCTAAGAAATCCTGACTGTTGTTCCCACCATTTACTGATGTTGGCTCCATTAGAGAAAGTGTAAAAGAATCTTCAGGATTGGAGGCATAAATTTTGGTCCATAAATCAACAGCTTCATCAGTGGTATTCCTAATAGTTACTGAATCTGTAGCAGTTTCTCCAAGAAATACCGACCGAGGTTTCCCATCAACAAAGGGAAATGGGATGGAAATGACGATAGGACTCTCTTCAATTGGGTTATAACTGCAAACAGATTTGTCATCCTGATAATCAATGAACCCAATTTCACCTTTTCCTCCAATTACAGAGTATTCATCATCATCCCATCCACCATCAACGCTACCCATCTCTAAACCACAAAACAAAAAACCCATTAGTTCACCCAAACCGTAGCATGTTCAATATATACAAACAAGAGCAGATCAAATAAGAATTGCTCATTTGATCTTCCAATTTTTATAAGTATAATAACACAAATCATTAACTGGACAGACCGAAACTCCGAATAATCACAATCCATGAACAATAGAACAACCGCAAAGAACAATGTAAATGAAATACCAGTATTATTTAATAACCAGGGATTTAAGCGAGCTTCTCCCTTCCATTTCATCAACAGAAATAACATTTAAAAACACATATAAATGCTACTGACAACTTCAAACATGCACAATGTATATTTACTTGCCATTGATCGGAAACACGACATGGTCTCAATAAATAAATAAAATATTCACTCGATCCCAGCAAAAACAAACCCATCTTCACTACTACACTTAATATGATTATTAAATTCTTATTACCATCGTACATGAAAAAAAAAAAAAAAAAAAAACGATCGATCCCAGCAAAAACAAACCCATCTTCACTACTACACTTAATATGATTTATTACAATCTTAATTAAACCATCGTACATGAAAAAGAAAAAAAAAACACATAAAGAAAAAAAAAAAAAAAAACAAACATAAATATATAACAAAAAAAAGAGAGAACAACACGAACCTTTGTTGGAAGTTCAGAGATGGTTGAAACTCAGATGCGGATGATAGAAATGAAGAATTGAGATAAATTGAAAAGACCCTTTACATTTGGTAAGGTGGGTATAAATTGGAAAGTGAAAACCCTCGCAAAAAGGGTTGGTTTAGCATACCGCATATAGTGATGAAAGTAGAGTGAAAAATCAAGCTTAACGTGGCAGAGTCTCATTGCACAGCGTTACTATATTTCCAGGGATAGAGGCCTATATTTCGGTCGTTCGTTAACTCTTTGATTCTTCACTGTGTGGATTGGTTAGTACCGGTGTGCTTCCCAGTTCGACCGATCCCATGGGCCCTATAATCATAATGACTAATGAGTCCATTTGTATCTTTGGATTTCCCTTGTTTACGAAAACAGACAAGTTTTTGTCATCACTCCAATGGCTTCGACTTTGTTATAGAAATATAAGAAATATCTCATGAAAAATTAAATATTTAAATATTTGATAAAAAGAAATATCAGTGCTATTGGTTTGACAAGTCAAAAGTAAGTCAGATGAGTATTTTTGTTTTTGGGTGGGTTCTTAATTTCTAATCATCAAAGTAAGGTTAGTGTAGTCTCTTCTTGTTTCCTGAAAGCCCGCCCCACTGTTCTATTTTTGACCTGTTTAAGAATCCACATAAGAAAATTATCTAAATCTCGGAAAATTAAGGTAATGTTACCCCTGGCTCCTATAAGTTCTCAGGTAATAATTGCTGCTTCTCAATTCTCATTCACAATCCAATAGGCTTGGCAGCCAATTGAATAGCGGAATTCACCACTGAGAATTTATTTTATGGACATCAGCGCCATATCAAGTAGCTTCTTTCCTGCTTCATGGTATGGATGATCGTGCCTTCATTTCCCATTCCTTTATAGTTTTGTCACTTCTAAAGACAAACTCAACTGACTTTTGAGAGTTGAGAGAGCTTAGTTCAGAAGCTGTATTTACAACTTCTCAAGAATATAAACAAAGTAATCTTTAACAACAGGTACAAAGAAAGAATTTGAAATTAGTCCTGAATTCTGATCCAATTGATTAAATCATTCAGTATCGGCCAGTCAACTTAAACATAAAACAAGAAACGGATGCCCAAAGAAGAAAAACTCAGGCTGCTGCAGCGTCCTTGACAGATTCACGCCATGCATACTCTCTGGCTCCATCCTTGTCAACAATCTTGATCACGAAATTTGGTGGTGCCACAACCAACCTAGAACGTATCTCCATTATGCACTTATCAACTAAATCAATTGCTTCTTCCACTGACATGCCACTGTGGTAGTGTCTGTCCATCATGGAGAGAGAGAAATAAGACCCGTATCCAAAAGCTCCCTTATCAACCTTGTGAAGGGTAGCAATATAGTCGATGTAGTAGAGAGAAGGGCCAGTCTCATTGTCATAGCCAGCCAGAAGGATGTTCACAGAGTATGGATTCTGAAAAACCAAATTTTAGAAAAGGCATATTAATAGTTACCTCAGAAGAAGCTTCGAACTTATAGGCTTAGCACATGAGTATTTATGATAACTTCATCTAGAAATGGTTTACTTCACCCTTAACACGGTTTTTTTTTTTTTTTTTTTTTTTTTTTAAGCTTCACCCCTTAACAGGTTTTTTTTTTTTTTTTTTTTTTTTTGGGGGGGGGGGGGGGGGGTGGGTGGGCCACTGCTCCCGGGTGGGTGGGCCACTGCTCCCAACTCCTAAGTCCCATAAGCATAATATGTCTACTTAACAAACTATTGACCATGAAAGAGTCATACTGCACAAAAACGGGGAATAGTAATAGAAAAAAATAGAGTAATTACAAAGGGGATGGTTAAAAATAAGTGCACTTTTCCAATAAAAAAATTTGCATAACGTTCAGGTTTATCCCATTTGAAAGTGGCTTCCTTCTATCTATACTCTTCCTGATAAAAGAGATCTTCATAATATTCAGGTGCATCACATTTGAAAGTGGCTTGTCTCTATCTTCTTTCATGTGCAAGAAAATAGTTTGAAAATAGTTTCTGGTACTACAAACATTAGCAACATGCCCAAGATGATAAATTTTTGCAACGGAAGTGGTAAGACCATCCTTACAATAAAGCAGTCACTTGTTAAGAAATTTCCCAACGTAAAAGGATTCTTATGAAAGTTGAATCCTTCCTGAGCCTTCTTTCAATTTGAGTTCCATGACATGTTAACATACATATCTCTTCTATACAGCTAAAACCAGAATGCTCATGATGAATATTAGTGCGAGAATCCACTTCCAAAACTTAAGCCCTCACTGCCGAGTCCAGAAAAAAAAAAAAAAAAAGAAGCTACATATGCACATACATGTTTTCTCAAGCCAAAGCAATCTCATATGAGTGGCTAGATGCAAGGATCATTACACACCTGGACAAAGCTCTTCAACTCAAAAAGTTTCCCACTACCATGTAAACCTAGTTACATCTCTCAGCCATGGGGGACTATATAAGGCCTCAATAAGCCTTAACTAAACCAAAAAGGAAAAGAACATTCTAGTTGTAGATTCACGCTCTAGAAGATGTCAAATACCCATGCCCAAACCCAAGAGAATCAGCCCAAAAGGGTTATACAAGTCCCAACAGAAGGGCAAGGGAAGCACATGTGACAGGATGATCCACCAATTAGGTTCATAGATGATGTAGCAATTGGAAAATAGATGTTTCAACAAGTTCCATGCTATAGAAGCCATCAAGCCAAAATAAACTACCATATCTAATGGGAATACCCCAATTTCTTATGGTTCCTATCTTGGGATTAAAAAATAATTGTGATTCTAACCCACTTGACATAAGCATAACAGTTATCCCTAACATATTGAAAATCAGTGATGTCCACAACTTTTCACGGAGGACCTTAAGGAAGCTAGTTGTCTCCTGACACCTGCTACTCTAAGGGCCTGTTTAGGTGACATTGCTTCACATAAAAGCCTGGAATCAAAATGGCTTGCTACCAAAGGGCTCTAACACTAAGCTACATGGAAGAATGGAGTTTGTAAATAGCTTATGCTTGGACTAGTGACAAGTTAAGATGTTTGCTAAAGTGCTGGGTCAGTCCGAGAACTCCTCGATCCATAGTGCAATGTACCTTCTATTTTTATAGAATATGATGGAAAATTGATCTTGAAAAAGCTCGCAGTGCACAATCTTAGTGATAAAATTCAGAGTCTACAAAAACACTGAAGTAACTCATAGTGCTAAAGCCAACAATACATTAATTGCCTGACTAATTCTCAACAAAGCATACCTTGACTAGCTAATCAAAAAGTAAATTTTATTTCATTGCTTAAACTAACCAAATAGCAAATCTCTATAACCAAATAGACTATACTTCAAAGTTCTTGGCCAAACACAGCATACCTCTATATGTTCTCAGAGCATGCTGAAAACTCTTTTTAACCAGGCATTCTCCATCAATTAATAATACCTACATCTCTAATTCCAAAAATTCACTCTTAAAAACATTTTCCTCTAAGAATAACTTCAAATAATAAACATAGCACCCAAAACCCATCAGCTCTTAGTTTTAATCACAAAGCAAAGTAATCTATACCATATTCAATTCGCATTGCAGCATCAATAGAGCAAAAGCCCTTAAATTTTCCTCAATGAAGCGAGCATGCTCAAGACAAACAGTCAAACCCTAAACAAAACCATCAAATCTGTAACTGCCAAATAAATGCGACCAAATTACCTTTCTCAAAGCAGTAGCTAGCTCTCCTCTAGTGAAGTTGGCAGCAGCCGCAGTTGTCAAAGGAATTCCATTGCGAAACTGATACAAAGCCACGTTTTTCTGTATGTACTCCGTGAATTGAACTCTGCAAACCAAACCCCAAAAAGTTCAAATCTTCAGAATATAGATTATGGTTTGTTTAAATTTTAATATGGTTTCATTTTATTTTGTAAGTGATCGAAGGACCTGTCGCCGGCCTCGCCGCTAGCGGCAACGAGCTTGTGGGAATCCAGGATCATGATCTTGTCTTCATTAGACTTGTGTACGAGGATACTGTTTACGGCCAATGTGTCCGCCGCAACTATCGCGAAACCGTTGCCTACTAGTCCAAACACGCACTCCATTGTTGTTGATCTATTTGTGGATCGGTTTCTGTTATGTGTTTTTCTTGTTCTGTTTTGGTAACCAAAGATTGAAGAAGATGGCAGGGTTCTCTTCTTGAAGAACAAGTAGGAATTTCTGCATTAATTCAGGGATGTTTTGGTCATTGCAAGTTATACGGTAATGTTTGGTGGTAAGAAGTAAAACGTTGTCGTTTTCGAATAAGAGTTACTTCGGAACTGCTTAGGATATCCACCGTTCCGTCCCAAACGGAGTTTATTCTTTTTTTGAAAAACGGTTCAGTTTTTGAAAATCTTATTACTCAGTTCTTAAACTAATTGATTGTTGCTCTGGTCATTTATAAATTGATTTGATTATAAAGACAAAAAGAGAGTACTCTTCTCTTATTTATCCACAGTGGAGATCTTAATCTCCATAGACACATATTGTCAGTACTCTATAGGTAATTTACATAATTTTAACACTTTAAACGACCAACCTTCTGTACTATTACATTAACCGAACTAAAAGAAACCGGAAAAATCCAAAATTGAAGGGATAGAGTGGTCTCTATCCTCTTCTCTTCCATGGCTCTGTTGACGCGCAGCCACAAAGTGTGATTCTTTTTGGTTTCTAAATATCTTTTCTATCAGTTCTGCTGGTGAGTTGAAAGACAGCTCCTTTGCTTCTCTCTCAATCTGGTTCATTATATTGTCCCGTCCTGCAAAACAAGAATATGTACATATATATTTGATTAGATTATTTGGTTAATTGGGAATTAATGTTTTGGTTTAAGCAGCAAAGATTGAAGAAAAGATCCCTAACCAGCAAGGAAATTTCTCTGGTTATCCCGTGCATTGATTGCGAAGCCTATTAAAATCAGATTCTGGTTTTGGGAAGCCAGAACTGCAACTGGATGACCTGCCGGTGTTATGAAGACATCACCAGGAGATAAGTCAGAGCTTATCTTTTGGTATTGTCGAGTCCCCTCTGGTGGTTCTTCTCTAGGTTCCATTCTTTGACTTGCTAGATGTGGACAAGCCATTTCAAAGCGTCCAGCTCCTTCCACAACTAAAGCAATCATTGTAGCCTTCGAATTATAGTGTGGCACCATTAAAGCTCCCTACGATTTTTTTATAGTTCAATTATTATTGATAAAACCTTCCAATATTTAAGAACTAAAATTAGTATTTCCATAGTAACTATTTTCCTTACTCTTTTGATTTCTGCATAAGAAACAGAGATGTCTACGTCCTGCAATGAGGCTTCAATGAAGTTACCAAATCTATTTGAGTACAAAGGTTGCCGATTGAGAAGATTAAAAGGGCGTTCAGATTCATGGCCTTTCTGCTTCGTTGATGAAATATGTTGGCTTAACGCCTTGAGATGTTCTTGAGAAGCCTTTAGAATCACACCTTGTCTCTGTTGTCCAAATAGTCTGTCTAGCTGATCTCTTGGAGTCTTTATATACACATCATAGACAAGATAATGGAAAACCCAAATTAATATCCAAAAAATAAAAATAAAAATAAAAATAAAAATCATTAGAAGAGGCCTTACGTCAAGAGCAGCTTCAAGAACATCATTGATGAAGACTGTCTAAAATGACTCAGGGTTATCTCCTCCTGCAGCGAAATATTCCTGCAGGATATGTAAAAGGTATTACAATTATAAGATTGTAAAACTAAGAAAATTGGACCGTAAGAGAAAAATGAGTTAATAACTTACCCTGAAATTTCCAGGGGAATTGACAGGTTGCATAAGCTTTACCATATTCAGTTTTTCGTTATTATCACGGTTAATCAAGTATAGAGTTGCCCCTGCAGGAATCCTGATAACATCTCCTTTCTCCAGGTTGTAGGAACGTCTTTCATCCCGCAGCACACAAGTAATAGTCCCTTTACCTGCAAGGAGATTAGTACATTTTTTGTTAAGAAATTAACTATGTATTAAGGGTAAACAATTCATACAGCATGCAGTTAAGAACTCTAACTCACCCCTTAGGACAACAATAATGGATTCTGCATCACAATGGTGTGGGACAACAAAAGTGTTAGGATTTGCTTCCAACGTTGACAAACGATAATTTTCTATACCACGTAGAAGCTCAGACCTATCAGAGAACTTCTCAAGAACACTAATATGACCTTCTTGTGTCTTATGTCGAGACTGTAATCTCTGTGCATGGAAATAGTAAGGGTTATCCCTCTGTTTCTCCATTTCTCTGCTTTTGGTTCCTCTGTCCGAGCCTCTTTCTTCACGTTCTTTCTGTTTTTCCTCAAATTGCCTCTCGCACCTTCCTCGACACTGCGATTTCTGGCGTTCTGGTTGTCTATCGCATAGCTCTTGGCATCTCTCATATTGCACGCGAGGATCCTCACTTTCGCCCTCTCTCTCTTTGATAACTTCCTCTTCACAGCGTTTCTGACATCTCTGTAGCATTCTATCATCAGACTCCTCCCTTCGGCATTGTTCCTGGCAACGCTCAATCTTCCATCGAGGGCTCTTTGGATCTCGGGGTGAGATTTCTTCACCTTCACGCTTTTCCTCTCTATGGTTTTCATATTTCCGTTCACAATGACTTGCACAGGAAATCAACCCTGAAAAGTCTTTCTTAGTTTCATGGCAACGTTCTAAACATCGCTCCTTGTCAGTTTTTGGATACGGAACCTCATAACCAAGAGAAGAAATTCCAAAAGAAAAGAAAAGCAATAATATTGGCAAGAACAAGAAAAAACCAGGCTGTGCTTTGATTGTCATAACTAGGCACCTGGTTAATACAGCTTGAGGGATAATTTAAACAGAAAAACCCACAACCTTATTTATACATAGTGCAGGCGAAGACACTGGCTTCGTGGGTCAACATGCAAGGTGACACGAGTGACAAGATAAGTGTCCTGTTACTGCCATTAACGAGGCGCTACATCCTTTGCTATGCCTCACGTGGTACGGAAAATGAAGGCTTTATAAAATTACAAACATGATAGTATTTCTATTCATGCTTATCTTTCTTTTTGTTTTCCTTCTGGTAGTTCTTTGTACAGACATGTATAATCATTCTTGTAACAATGTAGTTTCTGTTGCAGGTTAATGTAATGTATTATGTATGGGTGTGTGCAGGATGGACATCCAGTCGTACACTTGTTGACTTGCATGCAATACATTACAAAATAGTATAAGATACAAAAGTTTGATTGTTAAATGCGGCGAAGCTTATCTGTACCATCAAGAGAATACAGACATACGCCGGCAGCTGGCGGTTGTCTTCAAGGTTGGAGTTTTCTTGAACAAGATTGCAATTCCAAACAAAGTATAATGTCGTTTAATTTACATGTAAAATTAAAAGGTGTTTCTAATTTGCAAACGAGAACCAACTCTAGAGTCAGGTGATTTTCAATTTTTTGACGGCACTTAGTTGAACGATGCGTCGTACTAAAATGAAAGGGGAAAAAGAAATACTTACTGTAACTGGTGCGCGTCGAAACTTACGGGATCTTCATTTTACTGCCAACAGCAAATGAGTATTTAGAATTGGGGCCCGCGGATGTCGGAGCGTCGCTGTTGGGGCGGAACTGTTATAGCCGTGAGCAAGAGAGAGTCTAGGGATTTGGGAGTTTTTCGTGCGTTATAAAGTTTACGAGTCACTACAATTCCCGTCGATAGCAGACGACAACGTATTATTTTGGCCTTGTTCTCGTGTGTTAGAGCTCATTAGGTTTCACTATTTATACTATTTACAATGATATTCTCGGATATAATTATTTTATATATTATGACATATAATATATATATTTTTTACCAATAAAGTGTTATCTGATTAATCTTTCTATCTCTTGTAGAAGATATAGAAAGTAAGAGGTTTCGAGTTCGAGTCCTCTCCATTGCAAATTGCAAACATGATCGAATAAGTTACTACGTATCATACATGCCAACTCGAATTAATGAATATGAAAATTATATTCTATATGATTAATACTACTTATTCAACAAATTATGAATATGAAAATTTATATTTCTTATATGATTTAATACTACTTATTCAACAAAATTAGATTGATTGATACGGGTATTTTTGTACGAAAATTGAGTGAAACAATAGCTGGCCAATAAGCTGTGCAATTCAGCGGCCTGCCACAATAGCTATAACAAAAATTGAAAAAAAATGGCTGCGATAGCTATAACAAAAATTGAAAAAATATTTCCCTTTAGTTGGCGACTATCAAAAAAATCAGAAAATGTTACGAAATTTATATTAATTGCATTCAGTATAAGTTCTTATTTCAGTCTATTAGACTTATCATGTATCAAAAAAAATATATATTTTTTTTTTTATTTTAAAGATCAACATATTGTTTTTTATTATAACTGAAAAATATCAAGTAAATTTTGAGAGTAATACTTAATAAAATTACATTATAAATAAAATGATTATAAATATTAATTTTTAAAAAAATATCGATAATTATTTTGATTAAGTTAATAAATTAATAAAATTTAAATATAGTGTAAATACAAATCAGCTAAAGTTTATATAAAAAGGTTTCAAAACCTGATTGATGAAATTAATCATCAATTAAGACTTTCATAAAAATACGAAATGTTCCAATTTTGTGCTTCTATTTTTAGCAATGCATTAATAATTGTATTGACATTGCATTATATTAATACCATGTTGTGAAATTTCAAAAATAACTATTAATGCATTTATTAATATCTCATTTGAGCTAGATTAATTTGATTCAAAATTTCATCCAGCAGTGTCGTTTAGATAGTATAGATTACAGATACTTTCTCTGTTCTATAACTTTTGTTGTATTTTCTTTTTCCATTTGTCTCAAAATGTTGATCTATTTTTTCTTAAAAGTGAATAACATTTGAAGTCCATTATCTTGTCTTTATTTAATACTAGTGTTAAAATCCGCGTAATGCGACGAACAATATTAAAAAATGAAATAATTTTTTATAATTTCAATACGAACACAATACGAAAAGTAGACGGTTGACACAAACATGACACGTTCAACTCGCTTAATATCATAAGCAGGTTAAGTGAGTCGTGTTGATCCATATATAACTTGTGTAACCCGCTTAATATCATAAATAGGTTGAGTGGATGTGGTGACCTATATACGACTCACTTAACATACTTATAATATTTTTAACTTTTAACCTATATAATTAATTTTTAACTTTTAACCTATTTAACTCATTCATAAATTTTAAAAAAAATAATATTTTCAACACTGTAAAAATTGTGCATAAATACTTTTAAAATCACATATTAAAGTAAAAAAAAGTAATACAACAATAAAATTTATAAGTAATACAACAATAAAATTTAAATAGGTTTTAGTTTGACTATTTATATCTATTACTAAAATTATCTCTTTACTCTTAAATAAACGGATCACTACCCTAACTCGTGCGTCAATCCATGACACAACACGTTTATATTCGTCCATTTATTTCTCGTGTTAGACGAACCGTACTCGCATGTCGTGACCCATTTTGACACCCCTAGTATGACCCGCATCAAAAAATGCACACACACTATTCATGTATTTTTCTACGGTGATAATAATTTGCAAATTTAACTAATTGTATTGAAATAAGAAATTAAGTTTTTTTATATTTATAATTTATTATAAATGATTATTTATTTATTTGAAATATTAATATATTATACTTATTTAGGATTATCCTGCTGTAGCTAGTCACACCTACCGCGCTACTTAATCTAGTTATAGTGTATCTTCAAGGATATATTATACTTATTTAGTATAGTGTATCTTAAGGGCATGGATCTCTTACTTTTTTAAAAGTTACCGTAGCACGTGATACAATATTTTTTTAATTTATTTTTTATCCTTTTTTATTAATGAATAATCATAAAAAAAATAAGAATGGACTAAATTGTTATTTCGGAAAAACTTTCGTTACTTATTTTTTTGGATCTAAAAGAAAATTAAAATTAATTTTTCTATACAAATTTATTTTTATAATTTCTTATTTTTCTTCTAATTTTAAGAGAAAATTGTCAAAATTCTTTTCTCTTATATTCTTTTCTTATTTTCAAATAAAGTAATTTTTGCTTATTAATATTAATTTAGTTTTTTTTCCTCCTATATGATATTATCTGAGAATACAAAAATTGCTTTTTTTCCATTATAATCTGCATAATACGTAGGGTAATATTAAAATATGAAATAATATTTTATAACATCATTCAAAATAGTAAAATTATATAATAAAATGATAAATTATATCTGATTGAGATATGATGAAAAGTTACGATTCTAAAATATGTCTTCTTAAGTATCATGCGAAACTGTTACGATTTCGTAAAATTTATGTCTTTCTTAAGTATCATCGCGAAATTTTTTATAAGGTAATGCAATTAGTAAAATCATCTTTCTATTTTTTTTGTATCGCTTCCTATATGAATTCTATGTTTTTATAAATTTATTAATAAATGATTGTTTATTTGTCTTAAATATTCAATGTATACTTAGTTATTTAGGTTTACTATGTTCATAACGTGTCGTGGCATGTCTTAACCTTTTTTTCAAACAAATTCATTCATAAATCATGTTTCCATGCGCCATCATTGCTCACGGATATATGAGCTACTTATACACAAACTAATCAATTCAGACGTTTTATTTTTTATTACCAATTAAAAATGAAGTGTTTATTTAATTAAAAATGAAGTGTTTTTTAATTTATTTTTGAGTCATTGAAATAAGAAATTAAGTTTTTTTTATTTTGTGTTTATAATTTATTGTAAATGATTGTTTCTTTATTTAAAATATTAATGTATTACTTATTTAGCGTGTGTCTAAGCGTGTGGATATCTTACCTTTTTAAAAATTATCGTATCTTGTACATTATTGCATCTTATGTCCTGTGTTTATGCAATCTTCCTTCTGGAATATGAGACTACTCTATACACCAAGCTAATCAATTAATTTTTTTTTATTATCAATAAAAATAAGTATTTTTTTAATTTGCTTTTGTCTCATTGAAATAAGAAATTTAGTGTTTTTTATTTTATGTTTATTATAAATAATTATTTATTTATTTGAAATATCAATGTATTACTTATTTAGTGTAGTGTGTTTTAAGCGAGTGAATGTCCTACTTTTTTAAAAGCGAGTGAATGTCCTACTTTTTTTAAAAATTATCGTAAATCTCGTAACCGTTCCATATCTCGTGTCCTGTTTTCCCGTGGCAACTACAAGCTTCCTGGTATAATAAGACTATTCTTGATACACAAGCCTACTAATCAACCAAAATTTTTTTTATTACCAATAAAAAATGAAGTATTTTTAAATATTTTTTGTTTCATTGAAATAAGAAATTAAGTTTTTTTTATTTTATGTTTATAATTTATTATTTATTCATTTGAAATATTAATGTATTACTTATTTAGTATAATGTATTCTAAACGTATGTATGTCTTAATTTTTCAAAAATTATCGTATCTCGTACATTATAATTTATATTTTTAAATTGCTTATATATTATTTAATAGTAATGTATTGTTTATTCACACTCTTTTTCAGCATGTGAATTACTTATTAATTATTTTATAAGAAGAAATAAATTTATATTAATATATTAAATGCTAGAGATAGTCCTTTTTATATGGATATTATCTTGATATAGGGATTATCTGAAAATATAAAACAACTGATCTTTTTATAATTTTTACAGTTATACTAAATTGTGTAAATTTTAACATTTGTGATTCTATAATGCAAAATAATGCTAAGTGGCAAACTGTGCTAGTTACACTTGGCTTTCATATAAAGCAAACTACCCTACTTTTATATATTATATAGTTAGGTATAGATTTTTCAATAATGATAATAATTTTGAGAATTTAACTAATTCTATTGGAATAAGAAATTAAGTATTTTTATTTTATATTTATTATTTATTATATATTATTTTATTAAATGATTATTTAATTTATTATCGTATTCTCGTCTTCTTCGTATCATGTATCTATGCAAAGCTAACTTTTTATATATAAGACTAACACATATGTCAAGGCAATTCATTAAAATGAGAAATTAAATATTTTTTATAATTTGGGTTATTGTATTTTAAATTTAATTTTTATTTAAATTAATTAATATTTTCAAAAATTAAAGTATTTTTTTATTTTATGTTTTTATTTATTATAAAATGATTGTTTATTTATTATTATATTTCGTATGTTTATGTATCTCGTGTCTCGTGTCTGTTGATATATAATGGTAAATAATAGACTACACTATACGACAAGGTATCGAATAAAAAAAAAATATAAATGATTGTTTATTTATTATTATATTTCGTATGTTTATGTATCTCGTGTCTCGTGTCTGTGCAACCTAACTTATGGTATATAAGACTACACTATACGACAAGGTAATCGATAAAATAAGAAATTAAATATTTTTATTTATTATTTATTATAAATAATTATTTATTTATTGTCATTTATCCCGTATGTTTTGTATTTCGTGTCTCATGTCCATGCAACCTAGTTTCTGATATATAAACTACCCCATACACCAAGATAATCATTAAAATAAAAAATTAAATATTTTTTATTTTATGGCTTGGCTATTTATATTTTAATTAAATTTTAATTGAATTTAATATATTATCTTGATGGGATGTAACTAATAAATACTATCATGATAAAGATAATATCTATAAATATGAAACAACTTATTTACTTACAATTGCTATCATTATACCTTATAATCATGCTAAATAATTGTTGTCCTCTTTATACTTGTCAATTTTAGATGTTTACACTTGGCTTCCATATAATATAAACTGCTCTGCTTTTACATGTATAGATGCTTCTTTGTGAACAAATATAATAATCAAACTATTATATTATTAATTAAAATATTGATATAAACAAAATTAGAATATCCACATCTAATATTTCAAGAAAATTCTATTTAATTAAATATATATTTGATTATAATTTGATTAATTTTAAGAATAATTTGATACGAAGCATTTAATTTCAATGGATATTAAAATAAAAATATATTACAAAAAATTATATTTTACCTATATTAAATAAATTTTTTCTTAATCCGTATGCAATTCAATTTAGGATAAACATTATGGAACTGATGGAATATTAATTAATATGCAACTCAATAAATATCATATTGCACCCTAAAATCAAACCAAGCTAAAAGCTCTAATTCCATCAATTCCTTTATATCTACAAATCTAAAAAGACAAATCGTCCATTTATTCACAGAATATACTTCACCGACAAAACCCTAAACACAAACTTCTTGTAAACTTTATCGTCAACAACGTCTAAACCCTAATTAATACCAGCAAGCTTCTCCAATGTCGTCGAAGCGATCTCGTGTAGTTAGATCATCGAGTCAAGGAGAGATTGGGCTATTCAATCAACTTCAACCTATTGAGTCTCCAGTGGCTTTATTTCAAAGGAAGAACCCCGCCCCAATCACTACTACGTCGTCGGCTTCAAAACCAGTTAAAGAATCTCAACCGACTCATCGCCAATGTATATTCTCGTTGGATACGCCAGAAAACCAGAAGAATGAACTAACATTGTACGCGAACAAGGAATATGGTAAAGGGTTTGGAGAGTTTCTTAAGGCTTGTTCCTTGTGCAAGAAGAAACTCGATGGTGGCCAGAGTCTTTACATGTACGGGTAAGTCTTTTCTTTCCTTTATTTAATTTGATTCAATTTTTCTTTTTCTTTCTTTCTTTATTTTTCCAGGAGATGAATAATGATCTTAACTTTATGCCAATCCGATTTTCACTTGACATTATAATTGCTCCAATAATTATTTCATGGATTTTCAAAATTTTCTTGAATACCAGTTCTTGCTGTTGATCTCAGATTTTAGTGTTTCTGATATGATTTTTCGCTCAATTTAATATTCTTTATTGAAGATAAAATATTTTGCTACCCTTTTGATTATTTTTGCACTAAACATGCTTTCTTTAATTGCACTGATTAGTTACCTAGGTGCTTTTTGCTCAAGGGAATGCCGGGAAGATCGGATGGCTTTGGATGGGTTTGATAAAGAAGTGGCTGAAGAATTATCAAAAAGAGCAGCCAAGTATGCGCCAAGGCTGGGTTTTAAGCTTAATTGACTCAAAGTTCATTTGTTAGTTGCAGAAGTGCATAGCTGATAGCTCTAATGTTTTCCATTCAGGTTGCACTTTAATCAGTATGTAAAAAATAGTAAATTTTTCCTAGCTCACATGTCAATGATCTTGTAAATTTCCACTTTCTGATCATTTTTATGTTTTGGTCTCTTTTAAAAAATAGTACTCAATTTCAATGTTTTTCAGATAAATTTTCTTCTTCTGTTAATATCAGCAGCCAGCAGGCAAGGCAGCATATATATATATATATATATATATAAAGCAGCAGGCAAGGCAGCCATATATATAATATAATATATATATATATATATATACATACATATATTCAATTATTTATATATATACATACATATATTCAATATTTATCCATCTTTTGCTTGAAAGTACAAGGTTTTGGCTTTGATTTGCATGTGCACAATGATTATATTGCAAATGTGATTTGAAAGTAAAGTGTGGGGAGAATAAAAGAAATAAAGAGATTATTGCCTTTTGCAAAAAATATATTGAACACTCAGAATCCTTCAACTACATGACATAGTGAGTTGTTACTAATTTAAGGAGCAGAGAAGCAAGACCAATCCTTTAGCAGGGTTCTGTACTGCAAAGACAAAAAGAAAGACTCTTGCTTTTGTCTTTCATTCTATTTATTTGGCCAATGTTGCTTTCAACATCCACTAACAAAAGGGTACTGAATACTGATTTTTCGCAGCCAGCCCAGATTTTATCAGTCTATTCATCTAATCCTTATTTAAAGTTTGCATCAGTTAATAATATCAGTAGTCGAAAATTATGGTTATATACCAGTTTTTTTAGTTAGTAAATCACTATGGCCTTGATGAACTGAAACAGAAAGGTAATGTTAAAGGCAGAAGATGAAGTGGAAGTTGCACACATCATGACTTTCTAATATGTCAGATTTTTAGTCTTGTTTTGTGCTTTTCAAGTTTTTATTTTGATCACAAGGATAGACAGATCAAGCATGAGATATCAGAATATGCTTTCTGTTTCGTTTGCAATTAGTATCAATTCCTTAAAGAATTTCTGCAGGACCGCAAAATGTTTACAGATTCAACTAATTCAGAAGCCATCTGATTAATTAAGGCTTAATTGATAAATATAAAAATTAGAAATGTAAGAATTTTTTTTTTTCAAAAAAAAAAAAGACAAGAGTATCAGTTGGTTCATGATAGAAACATCACAGACACATGACAGGAAATTTTGCCTCCAACTGGGGACCATTTCTACAATAAACTAAAGGAAAAGGAGACCTGTTTGGAAAAAGTGTAGGATTGGAGATAATGCAATTAACAGATTCTATTGGTTCATTTTTACTAATTTTCTGCAACATATTATCTACATTCTCTGAGAAATTTTAATTGCTATTGTTGGATGAAGATGGGAATGAATTATTGTATTGATAATGCACACATTGAAATTGAATCGGTTGACATTAAATAATGAATACCTGTTTATGGAAAACTTGGGTGGTCTGTGGTCATAATCCCGTAGAGATAGTTCACTGATAGACCCGGTTATAATCCCGTAGAGGTAGTTCACTGATAGACGGGATAAGTAATTCGATTCATTCACGTCCAAATCATAATATATGGAATCCATATTATGTAAGGAGACATTGCTTTTGCTAATTCAAATTCGTCTATTTCCGGGTCAGTTAAAAAGAGCATATTTTTAGGTAGAAATTGCTTTTTTTTTTTTTTTTTTTTTTTATTGCTTTTTTTTTTTTTTTTTTTTTTTCATTGTCTAGTTTTATCTTCTGAACAAGTGAATACAGAATAAGTATTTTTCCAGTCGAGAAGATCCATTGTCTTCTAAACTTGAACAAGATATGCAATTACTTTAAAGGCAACATGATCATCAGCAAACAGTGCTTTTTTTTTTTTTTTTTTTTTGAGGAAAATCCAATTGCAGCAGCAGTTTGATTTTGGAAGTTGACACGCAGTTCACTTTAACTATTCATAGTGTCCATCCGATATGCTATGCGCTTTTTTTTTTTTTTTTTTTTTGAGGAAAATCCAATCAGCAGCAGTTGATTTTGAAGTTGACACAGCAGTTCAACTTTAACTAATTCATGTGCCTCCACCGATATGCCTATCGCATTCACCCTATCTAATCTAAGTTAATATATATTAATACTTACTTTTAATTTTCTTGAAAAAAGTAGGTGCCTAAATTGGCAGCTTTGGACATAAAATATTACTCATAAGGCACTAACTTCCTGTTTTTCCTTCTCGTGGACTAAATTTTAACAGCTGTATAGGCAGAACCTTTCAAATGTCACAGTAGGCAGATTAACAAAAGAGATGGTGGATAAGCTCGTGATATAGAGGAAACACTTAAAAAGAGGAGTCTATAAATCATGGCTCCCAATAAGCCAGCAAAAGCAGTAAAACTGTCTTATGCTTTTCTAGTTTGTTATTCAAACCACAGTAAAAGAAGAAAAGAAAAACAATGATGAAGCTGCAGATTATCAAAACAACCTTTTTCAGTAAAATCATCAGCAACAACACAAAGAGCAAAGAGGCATTCTGGAATCTAACATAAATTTCAATACTATATAATTCTTTCCATTTTCTTTTTCTTTTTCTCTCACTTTAGTAATCAATATCCATCCAATCTTTACTTGGCTTCTCATTTAAAACAAAAAGTAAGTTCTCAAATGATTGCATTGACCATCATCTTTCATCTTCTTTCAGTCATCAAAAAACAAAAACGCCGTCCTAAACTAAGAAAAAATTGAATAAATTAATCTCTGGACACCCACTTGGCAATTCCTGACGGGGTAAGTTCATCCTGCAAAACAAGAAAAAGTTTGTTCATTATCACTAGGTTATCTTTAACATGAGCAAAATAAAGATAGATAAAGAAGGATATAGTACCTAATCACATTTTATGCCTGTGAAATGCAGTGCAAAAACTGCCAAAAAGTAGGGTGTTTGTTAATCAGGTTAGCGAATCATGTGACTGAACAGAAACTGGTTGTTAGTGGCTAACTACGTTTGATGATCCAAGTTACAATGATTTGATGATGTGTGGAGTTAATTAGCTACAAAAATTTACACCTGAAAAAAAATAAAGAAAGAAAAATGGAGATAAGTTAAAAGAAAGAAACAAACATGTACAGCAAAACCAAGAAAAGTTAAAGAGAGGAGAAAACTATACCTTTTTCGGTTAGTGGGCAACGGAATGTCTCTATCACCCTTCAAGGAAAAATTTTCTTCAAAGTTATTCCCACCTGCAAATGAGACCAAATTCAACATTAGAATAGGAACAAAGCAAAAGATTTTCTCAAGAAAACTTGTGAAGAGAAAGAGGGTGTCTATGACCGACTCTTATGCATAAAATATTTCAATAAATTCCCAATTCAGGTTCTGTTTTTTCAGTTACATTTTCATTTAGATTCACATAATCCATGAGGTAAATTACCAAAAGCAGCAATATTCAGTTTCTTGTGAGATACACCATTGATATCTCCTTAATGCTTAAAATGAAATCTAAATTCTAATTCTACTAGAGGACCACCAAATTGGACCCTAGCATGCTAATCCATTTTGGTACCATCCATTTATCAACAGGAGAAAAGACAGTGAAAAGGGGAAAACATTTTAAAAACGAAAAGGTCAATAAGAGTTTACCCTTGATTGAAGAGTTATGCTAGGAACTCACAGGTATTGTTTGAAAATGTTTTGATGACTTGGTTATAGCCCACAGAAGTCACTCGATGATGCAAAAGAGGAATAAATGCATACTACAGTTTCAGATCATTCCTCTGTGTGCTGTTTCTTGAAAAAGATTATGGAGGTGCATGTAAAGCATCTAAAAGCCTAACTACTTGGTTCACACAACAAAAATGCCAATTTTTGTATATGCAGGAGCGAGTTTGAGTGCATGATTACATATGCCTGTCCTGCAATCATATGCAGATATATCAGAGAAAAAGAGAAAGAGGAAGCATACCTGCACTGCCTCATTGCCATCTCCTCATCCATCAGAAAAAGTTTAGCTCTGTGTAACCATGTGAGTATGGCAAGAGCTCCTCGACCTCAATCCTGGAACTGGAGTAACTCACACTTTTCTTTAATCGGCCCTGGCTAGACTCAACCTCTGCCCAAAATATGCCGTACACTGGCCTATGATCAGAGAACCTAGATTCTCCACGTACATAAGATAATTGCTGGAGGCCTTCTCCATGCCATAAAATTCTATCGCACCTTCACATAAAATTGGTCGATCAGCATGACAAATGATTAAGAATTAATAATAGTGCTCACATATTACCATTTTTAGTCCTATATTGATTGTTTCTTTTGCATGGAGAATATGTCCTACTTTTTCTTTTTTGCATAATTCCTAATACATTATGGTAATGTAGATGTTCTTACCAAGCTGGAGTGCGACGCTTCTCCTTTGGGTGCATGTCATCTCCTGCATATCTGTCTGAATTAGTGGAATATTTGTATGTAGGTGGGAAATAAATCTTTCCTTCATTCCAGCCTACAAAAACCCGACCTCTTCTCTGTTCTATTCGTAACTGTAAGAAAACAATCATCAAATCAGATGGAAGCTTATTTATAAGTGATAAAAAGATTTTATATGTTCCTGAAACAGAAAGAGAACTGAGAGTAGAGCTCAGAGAGAGGGTACGTAAACATGCCTGGTCATTCTGCAACAATGCCCTCCAGTTTTGCATCTCAACCAGTGCCTTAGCAGATCGATAAGAGAGGGCGATGCGATAATTCAAATCCCCAAGCCAAATAATTCGACTACATCAACATAAACCAAATTAGATACAGAAAAAGTAAAGGGAAGAAGACTTGTTGGGGGGGAGGGAATTACATAGATAAATAGAGTGTGAACCAGAACCACATGAATGTTGATTTAGAAAATTCATACAGATATTTACCAAACAAACATAACATTACAAAAAGCACAACTTGGCACTTCAAATGCATTAGAAATTATAATTAAATCAACTCAATTCTCATGTAAAGGGAGATTATTTTCCTTTCATATCCTTAAATCATCAAATCTTCTCCTTTATGTAAACACTTATCCAAAATTTTCCAGTTGCATGTAGTAAGAATAAGTTTCTTTAATAGTTAACAAGAGAGGGCATTACTCATGCTGAAGAATTGTTTCTGGGGATTTCTCATCGGCCGCACTGTTAACACGCGGAAACCTTGTCTTCTTAAGAATCTCCATGACATCGGCATTCCTTCTTAGCTCGTCACCTTCTTTTTGTCCAGAGGTTAGATGACTACAGATGAAGCAAAAGGTCGTTTCATGCAAGGACATGCTAACTGAAATAGATCCCTGCAATACCCAGCAGAAGAATGCTTCTTGATATGTATGACTTGAAAAGCCAAGTAATAAAGAAAATATGAGAAAGTACACGTTTCACTTGAACAATACCTTATTTCCAAGATAACCCATCAATCCTCTGCCAACGCAAGAAACTTTCATGTTTCTAACATGATCTCTCAATTCACTCCGGACCCATATTGTGAGGAATATGCCAACCATTTGTTTACTTGCCACAAGACAGTACCTTGAATATCCTGGCCTCCTATATCCATCTTCCATAGATGTAGATCCACTATATGAACCACCATAGGACATTGGTGAGTACAATACAGTACTTGGTGAATCCCCCGGCCCATTATCATCATCTGATGAACCCCATCTGGAGTAATCACTAGGCCTGGAGTAATCACTTGGCCTTGAAAAATCACTAGGTCTGTGACCCCATCTATAACTGGGATCATAGTCACTTGGCCTGTGACCAAATATAACCCTGTCACAAACGCTAAACCGCCGATCTAGTCGTGGTTGTGGAATTGAAGGGTCATTCTCCATTCTCCAACTGTGAGTTGTTTGGAACGACCGGCGATGAAAGAAAGATGAGTTCTTCTGCCTAGACGATCCCTCGAAATCTGCATCCATTTCTACAATTGGTTCAGGGATTGGAGAAGGTGTATAACACCCACCACTTCCACTAGCTCCAGGAAGATTGTTTAGAGTCTTTCTAATGAGGGCCAACCATTTTTTGGCAGGGCCATTGTCTTCTGCACCAAGAACATTACCAGCATTCAAAGGAACTATCTCTTGAAATCTGAAATACAAATGAAGTAACACATTTTTCCATTACTAAATAATTAGAGAGCTTATTAACAAAAGATGAAAAGATTACAACAACAGGATCATACCCAAGAACATATATGTCTGCAGGAGGTGAGGCATGAAGCCAGTCATCAAGACTCAAATTACTTGGTGGGGATCTTCCTGCCACATTCCATGTAGCTACAAAAATGCTGCCCCAAATTGCAAACAGAAAAGCCATCAGTACTTACACATCATTAAAAAAATGCTAGGAAAAGAAAATTAACGACAAAGCACCTGTAGTTCTGCACATCTATGATTCGAGGGTGATCAAGATTCATTCTCCCTCGCCGGACCTGCTCTGGATTCTTGGTAAGTTTCTCTGCATCAAAGTTGAGGAAAATATTAGGAGTTTACATATTGAAGGGAATTGAAACATAAATCGAGGGATATTCACCAAAAGTAGCTCTTAAGTTTTATTGATACTCTACCTGTTTTGCTTTTCTTGATGGTGCACGGCTCCCTCTCAGAGAAGCTAGTCCTGTATTCCACTTCACCACCTGAAGAAAGAGAATCAATACTCAACATCAATCTTATTTTCGTCATGAAGGGCTAAAACAGTAGGAATTTGTAGAAACTCAATTTCTATCAGCAACAAGGAGAGAGTTGGCATTAGCAAATTTGTTAGACGAGGAAAAAAAAAATCCTTTTAGTTCTTAAGGAACTGTGGGAATAAAGAAACAAGAGATACGAAAAATCTTATTTCTTTTACTGATTGGATGCCTGCAGTTGCTAGTTCTACTATTGGCAAAGGAAAAGAAAGTGTGATTGATTCTTGAGAATCACAAGATCGTTAAACACAAAGTTCCAAAGCATATTCCTCTTTCTTTTCCCAATTTTCTCAGCAAAAACCAGAAATTTATAAATTGTACAGTAACCCACTAATAGAAGGAAGCAAAGTTTGATTCTTTGATTCTATCAATCCCAAAAAGAAAATGCCAACCTCCATAAACATCATCCGCTTGAAATTCCTCAGTTTTACTCCTGATATTGAACCACTTCCTGACCATTTTTTTCGACCATGAGAGCTTCACCATACAAAAACAGAAAACAAAAAATAATTAACATCGTCCAAGAACCATTATAATTGCTCAATTAAACAAAAGGAAACAAATTCCATTGGTTTACAGACGCAAATAAAGTGAAAAAAAACCTTGCTTTTCTTGGAGTTCCCATCTCTCATTTTTCACCACTACTTCATATAGCACTTCTTCAACTTTCTGCTACCCCAACAAATTATTGGGTTCCGTTTAATATCCTCAAAAATATCAGAACTCGACACCAGGAATTTGTCTCCTCCAGTTTTAGTTTTCTTGCTACAATAAGCTTTGATACAAGAGGCCAATAAGCACAGCTCTGTACTGTCTATAAACTCCAAAAAAACTCCCAATGCTACCAAAATAAAAACTGGAAAACGACCAAACGGACCAATTAACAATTGGGTATCTTGCTTTCGGCTAAAAACTCTGAACTAAGCAAATAATTAACCAAATAGACCAAAGAACCAATTGGTTTTCTCTTGGTTTACTCTTCTAGTGCTTATTATGCTTATGAAACACCAAGGAAGAGCAAAGAAGCAAAAACCTAGAAAATATGAGAGTGCAATTAGTCAAGAGAGACAAATGCTTTAATGCGTGGAAGTGAGATGAGATTCTTGAAGTAGAACAAGACAATGTAGCAGACATAGAGAGAGAGAGATAAAGGAAGCAAGTTTTAGACAAAGAAACTACAGAGAGGGAAAGCTTATAACCTTCTCTCTCTCTCTCTCTCTCTCTCTCTCTCTGTGCTACTCTTTCTCTCTCTATGTCCCCTCTTTGAAACAAAGAGCCTCGTTCTCAGTGAACAGCAAAGTATCGAATTTGAACAGAATAAAGTGCAGCAACAGAACAAGAGAAGAAGAGAGAGAAAGAAAGAGAGACATAAGACTCAGTCTCAAGGGCTGGCTTTTCTTTTCTTTCTTTTTCTCATTTTCCAATTATTTTTTCCTTTTATTTTATTTTTTTATTTCTTAGTACCCTTCTTCAAAGTTCAAATCTCAAGGCAGGCCCAGCATGCTTAGGGCAAAACGGGCAGGTCGTTTTGTTCTATAACCTTAACATAAAACGACAATGGTCAACTAAGCAGAGCCTGCCCTGGGTAAACAAATAATGATCTACAGTGTCATGTAGCTGTGCCCTTCCCCTTCTCTTCCCACTCGTACCCATTCTGGTCTTTCCATCAAAGTGAAAAAGCAGTTAAAGAAGGAAAAAGATAAAGGGAATGTATGTGTAGTACTGCTATATCTTGTTTCTGCTTCCATCTGTCTCTTTCTCTTTTTAAATTTTTATTGATTATAATTTTTTTTTTTTTTCTTTTTGGGTTTTTGTGTTTCTTCTTTTATTAGGCAAGGAATGTTTTTGGAGATGGAGAGGGCTATTGTGTAATTGAGTATTGACAAAGGGATTCTTCTTAGTTCTTCCATATAGGCTTTTTGAAAATTTTGGCTCTTTTTTTCAGCTCATTATTTTTATAATTATGCTTTTGTTTTTGGAGCATTGTGTAGATTTTGATTGCATGGGAGATTGGTAGCTCTTGGCGTGTCAAAGGAATGTTGTTAACCAATTTGGAGGGTTCTTTTGGCTCAGCCTATAAATTGTCCTTCAAAATAAGGGCATTTGTCCCAATTTTAAGGTCTTTCTGTTTTTTCATTTCCATTGCTTTGCTCCTTAAAAATCTACCATCCATTTGAGGTCCCTTGCTTTGTGCTTATTGTGATTTTCTGCTCTATAGGGAGCCTCCTAAATCCTTCCCCATAGAAATAATGCTATGTAGTTAATTTCTTGTTGTAGATAAAATTTACATTATGCTTTCAAATTTATATTATGATAATTTTATTTCAAATATAAATATTTGAACTCAATTATGAATCCTATATTAAAAATTCAATATGAATATTATGAAAAGGATAAATATTTAAGTTAAGTAAAAATCCTAATATTTTTTTATAAAAAAGCATAAATAATTTTTTTTAGTAAGGAAGGAGGGCAAAAAGAATAAATAATTTTAACTTAATTATGAATAGTTGAACTTAATTAGGAAGAGAAAATATTTTTATACAGTGAAGTAAAAATATAATTATTAATTTATTATTATCACATTTTTAACTTAATTATAAATATTTTTGAACTCAATTAAGAATTCCAATATCAACAAAGATAAATATTTTAATTTAATTAAAAATCTAATATCTTAGCAAAACAAAAAATAAATTAACTCAATAATTGTGAATTCTAATATTAAAAATTTCAATTAGTAATTTAATAATTATAAGTATCTGATATCTGAACTAAACATAAAACAAAAAAAAACGTGATAAAAATTTTAAAAAGTTTTTTGAATTAGGAAAGACTCATTTCATAACTAAAAACACAAACAAAGTAACAATTTTTTTTCCGCCTAAATTATTGAGCTAAATTTGGAAGCGCCCCGCCGCCCATGCCTGTGCCTCCGCCTTTATGAGCGGCTCCGCCGCAGATAGTCAACTCTAGATTGAAAAACATAATTAAACAAATAAAAGAAAAGGGTTTCAAATTTTAATTGACTAGTCTTATAGCTACTTAGTGGGTTTCTTTTACATATGGCATGTTGCTAATCTCATGATTGTTGGGCCTTAGACATTGATTAGAATAAAAGAATTATATTAATTAAGCCTGACGGCTAGGCCATGCCTAGTTGTGGTATTGTAAGGCACAAATTGAAATTGGAAAGTCCTTTTTTTGATCACTAAACCCTAATCAAAGTCTAGTTTTTGTTTTGTTATTATTGCAATTTGGTCCCAATTAGGAGTATAAGCCGTATAAAAGTTGTTTTTGCTAGCAAAAATAAAACACACCCAGGTGTCCCATGACATGGTGTCTAGATTTGCTTTATTCCTCAGAAAGAAACCTCACTTAGAGCTCAACTTGCAGTGGATGGATACTGATAATATCCAATGTCACATCCCATTAATTTTACTCTAAAAACTTCTAATTTCATAAATTTTACCCTGTAATTTGATCCATTTTTAATATTAAATTATTAAAATTTTAATCATTGAATTCTCATGTTACGGGATAGATGCCTGTATAAAAAAATATATGTTAGAAATTTTGTTTATGTGAAAAGAATATTCTACTAGTGATATATTTGGAATTTGTCTTTCAGAGTAATGTATGTGATGATGCTTATATAATTAGGATTGTTGGACAAACTGTTAACTGTTACGATAACTAATGACTGTTTTAGTAGCGTTTAATTATTAGCTGTTTAAATAGTTTTTATAAGATGCTAAAAAATTAAACGTTACACGGATTAACTTTTTATAAAACACTACATTAACCTGTAAAAACTAATTCAAACGATATATTATCAAATATTATAAAACGCTAAAAACTATTTAAAAAGTTAACGTGGAACACGATATTAAACAAAAATAGAAAATGAATATAATTTTCAAAACATGTGTAATGAGTGGACTTCCAATGTGTTCAAATCAAGGTTATCTAATCAGCATAAAATCAATTACATAAGTGAAAATGGATGCTAATGTGCTTTTCCTTTTGTATGAAATTTAGAAAAACAACAGATTTGGGTTTTTGATTCGTCTAATGTGGGTCTTAGGAAATGATTTCAAGCAATAAGGTAAAAAAAGTGAAGAATGAAATAATACAAAGAAACTTGTAAAGTGAAGACTTGTATCAAAGGCTAAAGAGCAATTGGGTCCTGTTGGGCAAATTGGGATATCTAAAGATGAAAAGAAGAGAGTAGAGAGACCCTACATTTTGTGACACCACTTCTATTTTGCCCCTTTGACAACCTCAAATAATGGTATCAAGAGAAACCAAGGTTTTTGGATTCAATAAGGACATTATGAAAAGTTGAGTTCATGCCTCATTGTAGGGAGAGGAAAAAAGAAGAATGTGCATTTTTTGTTTGGATTCTATTGAATGTTCATTCTTCTTCACTATTCTTTTGTAGTATATAAATAAATATATGAACAATGTAATTTTTTTTTTCTATTTTTTGAGTATCTAATCTATTATTTTAATTTTCTGAATTTTAGGAGTGGGTGTAATAGGTTAGGATTTCAGTCAGGGTGTAGTTATCAGATTTACAGTTTACGACCTATTTTTTACTATACAAAATAAACGAATTTAATAAATACACGGAATGTTGAAATTTTATCATTTAAATTCAATCGAGTTAATAAGATATCAATCATGAAGCAAAAAAACAAAAAAAAAAAAAAAAAAAAAAATCGAAAAAAAAAAAAAAAAAAAAAAAAAAAAAAAGAGAGTATTTTAGTACCTATGTAGCTACCTCTTTTTTTAATAATAATGAATAAAGTTAGTCTTTGAAGTTTTGTGGATACAAAAGGGCAAGGCAGAGAAAAAATGGACCGTTGGTTAATAAATATAAGTAGGCCCTATATTTTTCAATCAAAATTTTCATATCCACCATGTAAATCAAATGTCTATTTCTTAGAAACTCTAAACAGAGAAATTCCATCAAGTGGTATCCAATCTAAGGGAACACAGCCTTCATGTATTCAACTAGGAAATGATGAATTTGTGATACGTTTTTTTTTTTTTTTTCAATAAATAAAAAAGAAAGCCAAAATATGAATATCTACCTATATGTAGCATGACCATATTTCAACGTTGAGCACCATCTTTCTCATTTAATATGGACCGCATAAATATTTTGCAAATTGCTTAATGGAAAAAAATATGAAAAATTCTAATAAAAGATCTCACGAAAAACAATCCATGTTGTAATTTTCATTTTTCGTATTATAAATATTAAATTTTTTCCATTTTGGTTTAAGATAATAGCACGACAACTCATTTTTCACTCATTAATATATATAAAAGTAATTAGAATATAATTTCTAATAATTCACTAATAAAGTTTGAAATTGTTTTTTTGTGCATGCATGCTCAAAGCAACACAATAATTTCCAATATGTCTATATATGGTACGTAGTACTATTAATTTTCCCATTATAGCTTCCTTTGTGTGTGTATATATAATGGAAAGTACTAACTTATATCTTGGTGTATCTAACAAAATTAATTAATTTTTTTTTATTTAAACAATTATATTTTTATAGGAAAAAAAAGATAAAATTGTAATAATATTTAAAAAAAATCTCTTTTTAATTAGTTAGATACATAAATAATCTATGCACCGGGTATAAATAAGTAGCATTATTGTAAATAAATAAAACAATATTGGACTAACAAGCCGCCCATATATATAAAGATTATATGAAAAACAGGTCAAAGAAAACAAAAAGAACTCCAAGAAGATCTTACTTTGCTCTTTTTTCTTTTTTCTCTTTCCAATTATACCCTTTCAAAGTCATTTCTTTGGTGAATCTTAAGGGCTTAAACTTAAATCATGATTTACGAGGCAGTCAAAGGAGGAGGCAGCAGCATATTTATCATTTTCTTTAAGATTTTTTTTTTATTATTATTTTTCTAAATTTGCTTTTCTGGCTTTGAAGAGAGACCCCATTTTCTCTTTCTCTTTACCATATGGTTTTTATCCGTTTTAAGGCAAATTAGCTTTCATCTTTTGATTTTCAAATTCTATAGGGAGACTCTTTCCTTTCTTCTCATGTCATTATCTTTAGCATCTTCCACAGTTTCATGTGTCTGTTAAATTTCATTTTACCATTTTTACAATATGGTGTTTTTAGTTTTTTACACACATTATTTGTATTTGTCTGTATATTTATACTTCTTGTGATGTAGACATATCTTACATGTACATGTATCTATCTTCTGATACTTTTACTTGATATTTTCTGTCCTTTTATTTTTCTTTTTTCAGTAGAAATATATACAAGTATTGTTTTCTTTTTTTTTTTTTTTAAACTACAAATCTCCACTTCCAAAACAGTGAAGGAAGAAGAATGAGTAACGTTGGAAGGAACTTTTGGTGCCCCAAGCAATGCATGCAAGTAATGGAAATTTGTCAAGCTTGATAATTAAACCCACTTTTTTTATCTATAGAGGGTGAAAAAAGGTTGTAATAATTAGTAAAACATGTCGGACCATTTGATATTATGCTATGAGTTCCCCAATTCCCACCCATTTTGCACCCACAAAATGATTAAAAACACAAAATTGATCGATTCCATTTTACCCCTTTCATGCAGTTAATTTTTTAATTATTTCAATTCGGTACTAGTTGGTAAGTGTGTGCTAGATATTTAGTTACACACAGATGACCTAATTATTTTACCACTCATAATGATGTAGTTTTATGACGAAGAAGACTCGGGATTTGAGACCTCAACTTTCTATATCCGTTATAGGATGTAAAAAGACTAATTAGACCATTTAACTCGCATGAAATATCATTTTAAAGGCAAACTCATCGATCTTACTTATTTAATAATTTGGAGTGTTTTTCGATGAGGATCAAATGTTGTTCCTTTAAGACTCCATTCCCTATTTGTTGGAGAGACTTTATTGGTTTTTTTAATTTTGAACGATAGGAAAAGCATATTATGTTCTTATCATTTTGATTTCTTAACATGTAAAGGGAGTGGATAAGCTTATTCTCATTGAATACAGGTTAATTGTAGAATATTGCAAGGTATATAATTGAGAGAAAATAAAAGTGATATTGACAATTTCTTTCGATATTAATTAATTATACAAAAATATTAATTTGGAAATAATTATTTATTACTAAGTATTTTATAAGATTAATATGGTCCAATATAAAAATAAATATAAAGTCTTTAATATAACAATTTATATTTAAATCTGGAAATAATTCTTTAATTATTTAAATTTTATTTTCCTTTGATTATTTGCAAGTCTATTTGCTTCTGCAAGTCGATGGACATAGTTCACCAAAATGGGGTCAACAACCATGTATACCTCATAATGCAGTGGTCAATACTTGGGAGAATGTCTGCAGATAGGACCATAGCAATAAACGTAAACAAGAGGAAACCACACCTCTTTTCTGCTATATGTCTACATATACATATCTAATAATGTATACTCTTTTTTGGATACGAAACTGATCTTATTTTGGTATATTCATAGCTACCTTTTCTCGTAAACATTTTTTCGTATATCGAATCACAATATGTAAAAGACATCCCAATAATAAATTTTAGAAATCAGTCACATAGTTATACTGTTCAAGTTGAAATTCTAATAGTTGTTAGAAGAACCTGTGGTGATGCATTTGTATAATTAGGTTTGTATGGGGATAGGGTTGAAGGGAATGGAGATGTCAAGAATTGAATGATCTCATTAATGTTTTGAACAAAAATAGGTAGATGTAGATGTGATGAGTTTATTACAGGTTCATAGTACAAGATGAAAAATCAGAAAATGGGGAATGACCCAATGGATCATACAAGTGGAAGAGCCATTTGATGACCGTTTACTTGCTATTGGTGGTTGCTCTTTTTATAAACCACCTTCTTCCATGTTGGCTATCAAATCATCGAGGGTCTTTTGTCCTTTTTCAGATCTTGTCCTCCATCAACCTCCCTCTCTTGTCTTTCAGTTACCACTTATTGACTGATTGATAATAGGCAGAGTTTCAATGTCAATGGTGTGCCAATTCTATCACTATCCCAACCCCATCTCGCAGTTGCCATGCACTCACATCTAGTGTCAGGCCCAGGTAGTTGTAATTCACTATTAATTGTCTTTATCCTGTCTATATCTTAATAATCCAAAATTGTGCTTGGAATATAATTTATGCCTACCCTAAAGGAACTGGAAATTGTCTCTACGAGGGTATGGATTTGCTAGGAAAGACAATTTTCTTTTTTTAATTTTTATTCTATTTGGCTAATAATTATGGATGGTAATTATATATGTTCTCGCCTTATTTCCGTCCTTTTTAATAATTTAATACTTAAATTATCAAATCCACCTCAATTACCAAAATCAAAAAAATTAAGTTGGTTTGAATTATAAGCTGCCTTTTATAATGTTGAAATTACGCAATTAGTCCTGATCCATTTTATAGAAAAAATAAGTGGTAATGGGCTTTCAACTTACTATTTGGCCACTAATAAGCGTCCAATTGAAAACAATATTAGGGTTTGTATTTCGAAAACCAAACGGACCTATTCCAATCAAGATTTGGATTTGCAGATATTTTGGGCCTGGCTAGGACTAACTTTCGAGCCTAGGGATATGTTTGCAACATATTTTAAGAAAAGGCGATGTAAATGAAAATAACACAAAATTCATGGGCAACTGGTATATTTACAAATTCTTGTACCGTTCGACAATCGAGTATCTCCAATGCTTCCGGCGAACAAGCAACTAGACTAGAATAGACATAAAGGCTGTCTATTCTTGCAGCGACCGCATGTACTCCTTCGATTTCGTTATTGCTTCATTATCTAAAATAGTATATATATATATATATATATATATATTCCATCATCGACAACGGTAAAAAGTTCTCCGACTTACCAAACGAGAAAGAGAATAGAGAACGAATATGGCTGCCTTTTTACTTCCCTTTCGCCATAGAAAGGTTTCAGCTCTGGGAATTTTTTGCCTTCTAAAAGGTTCAACTTTAGATTCTTCTCGCACTTGTTGAATTGAGGTTAACTGTTATTTGATTATGGTTATCGCATTGGTAGAAAGTTATGTTATTGCAACTCTTTTAACTTTTTTCTAGTTGAATTAAATGTTTAGCAGGCAATTTGGACCCTTATCAGTTGCGTGTAGAATTGAAGGTTGGAGGTTTAGTTGGTGTTCATAATATGCTGAGAGAATACAGCAGTGGCAATGCTACTGCCAAGATTGATTTTACGGACTTGACGTAAGAAATCATTTTCTTGCAGATTTTTTTTGTTGTTTTTTTTTTTTTTTCACTGGACATGCAATTGCTTTTGTGATCTTAGAAATTTAAGCGTCCATGTAAGATAGGACATGCAATTGCTTTTGTGATCTTAGAAATTTAAGCGTCCATGTAAGATAGGACATGCAATTGCTTTTGTGATCTTAGAAATTTAAGCGTCCATGTAAGATATAAGCGTCCATGTAAGATAGGACATGCAATTGCTTTTGTGATCTTAGAAATTTAAGCGTCCATGTAAGATAGGACATGCAATTGCTTTTGTGATCTTAGAAATTTAAGCGTCCATGTAAGATAGGACATGCAATTGCTTTTGTGATCTTAGAAATTTAAGCGTCCATGTAAGATATGTTACATCTTCCCGTTCTGTTTGTTTGGCATGAACTTTTTAAATAGAAGAAGTGTACTTCTGTAGTTTTGTTCATCATATATTTGCAGTAATCTATGCATTATTTCGATTGGATTTTAAAGAATGAAGCTAGGTTCTAGTTTTAATTTAGAAGCTATGTAAATGAGAAATTATGAATTCCCAACTGTGGACTTGGGATTTGTAGAATGAGGTGCTTTAATTTCACGCTTATTGAATTAAGAAAAAGAAAATTTGTGGGTGTTCCTGTGAGTTTGCTCATTCAAATGGCTCGGAAGATAATCTAAATTATTAGCTCTTCCGCAACATTTATTTTTGGATTCTTACATTTTAATTTTTATCTTCAGTTGTGGCTTGGAATACCATCCTGGACTCTGTAGTAGATCTTATTTTCAAGCGTTTCTTTGTCTACTTGATTGATTTGGTTATGCTACTTGTGATAACTGGCATTTGTTTTACAACTATATGTTAACTGAGAAACATTTTTTTTACAATCTTCATTCTTCTAATTATCATCCTACTAACCAATGTTTTGTTCAATGCAGTTGTCCCCATTCATGGTACCCAAAAGCTCGGAGGAAGCATCGCAAGGTTTATCTGCATGTGGGACCCACAAATAGTGGTAAAACTTATCAAGCCCTAAAGCAGCTGGAGTCAAGCCCTTCTGGTGTGCTATTACTGCCTTTACCATGCTTTTTTATTAATGTTGTCATCTAAATCACTAGTTCAAGAGTAAGACAGGAGTGCATAAGGCAAGGGTGAAGAATATATTTGCATTGGCTTTGTCACTTGGTAGGTATATATTGTGGTCCTTTGAGGTTGCTGGCATGGGAGGTGGCAAACAGGCTGAACAAGAGAAATGTTCCGTGTGACCTAATAACAGGACAGGAGAGAGAGGAAGTTGAGGGTGCAAAACACAAGGCCGTGACAGTTGAAATGGCTGATGTAAACTCCGATTATAGTTGTGCTGTTGTTGACGAAATTCAGGTACATTGATATGGTCTATATGAAAGATTTACTTCAGGGATATCTTCCCAAACAATTCTAAGACTTATGATCAGTTGCAATGTAAAGTTGCAGAATATAAAATAGTCTCAATGATAAGGCAAAAAGTAAACAGATATTTCATCATCCTCAATGATTACAGTGTCCATATCTGTCTGGTTCTCCAGCACATTTTCTCAGTTACTTTATTTAATATTGGTAATCTTGTTTATTTCATTGCTCTTCACACGGAAGGGGAATTTTAGCTTAATCTTTTCCTATTCTTTAATAAAGTATGATTGCCCTTAAAAATCTTATTGTACCTGTAGTTGTAGAAGTTAAAAATGTGGATTTTATATTGGTATAAGTTGAAGAAAACGTATTTTAGGAGATGGTCTGATGCTAAACAAAGCCATGAGGGGGCATAGGTTTTCTTTTCTAATTGATACTTCCAGTACATGTTTTGGCTTTATTTCTTGAGTTCACTAAGTACTCCAACAAATAGCTTTATCATTTTCAATATGAAAACAACTTGAGGTCTTTTCTGATCTCAGGATAGGCTGTTATATAATGTAACGAGTCATCTTAGAGCTGATTGACGAATTACAGTTTCTGTAGCCAACCTTAGGATTAAAATATTGGATAGGTTGTTGTATTTGAGCATTAGTGGATTTCTAATGTCCATTACTTCTAGTTTTTCTTCAGATGTTGGGGTGTAAGACAAGGGGTTTCTCATTTACACGTGCTCTTTTGGGAATTTCTGCTGATGAACTTCACCTTTGTGGAGATCCAGCTGCTGTTCCTCTTATTGAGGAAATACTCAAGGTCACTGGCGATGAGGTTAAGGTAACATAATTTTCTTAATGCATAATTGGTTTATGCCTTTTTTTTTTTTTGTTAACTTCTTCAAAGTCACATATACAAGCATATTTAGTGATCTTGCCTTTAATGAGAGGGAACAGTGGAAATAAATTGTGAAGGAATGCAACAACATGTTGCCCTTTTAGTTGGTTTTCTTCATGAATGTATTCCTGGAAAAATGCTAATTTCCTCTAGGTGTCACCCTCCTGTTTTATCCTTTCCTAAGAAATTGAAAGATATTCAATATTTTCGTAACATGAACAAGAGTTATGGTGCTGTTATGAATTTTCAGTGTATTTATTTCGTTTTTGGCTATAGAGAACCATGCCAGTAGCGGAAAGCACAACAAATGTTAAGGGACTTTTGTTTTAAGTGGTATAGAATTAATGGTGAATATTGATGTTGTAATTTGGAATCATGTAAATTGGTGCAAGTAAATTTGTATTAAATGTATAATTGACTATTGTCATAGAATTAATGGTGAATATTGAATGTTGTCATTTGGGAATCATGTAAAATTGGTGAAGTAAATTTGTATTAAATGTATAATTGACTATTGAGGCTGTAAATATGTATTATTGGAGCTATAAAATTTGTATTAAATGTATAATTGACTATTGAGGCTGTAAATATGTATTATTGGAGCTATAAAAAACCTTGTTATTGAAATTTCTGACCGTTTTTGTATTACCTTCCAGGTTGAATACTATAAGAGACTTTCACCGTTAGTTCCATTAGAGATACCTCTCGGATCCTTTTCTAATATACAAACAGGCGATTGCATTGTAACATTTTCACGTCGTGAAATATACAAATTGAAGGTTAGAGAGTTTCTTCAATATTTTCATTTCAATTCCCTCCCACCAAATCCTCTTTAGATGCCACTATGTACACTTTTCATTTTCTTCTACATATTTCTTCATCAATTTCCTTTACATTTTTTCAGTGTTTATGTTTGATGATGCACTGTTGAATAAAATGCTATCATCTTGCCTTTCTATTATCTAATGCTGAGTCTTGAACTCAAGAATGAAAATAAATACTAATGTCATAGTTCTAGGGTGGAGAATGAATTTACATTTTCTTATATACCGTTCATGTTACTGATTATTTGATTGTTAGATACACAACATCTCTTTTGATTGGCCTTTTCTTGTATCCCCTTTTTTGTTGCTAGAAAAAAATTGAAACTGCTGGGAAGCATCTATGTTCTGTAGTTTATGGTTCACTGCCACCAGAAACTCGAACAAGACAGGTGCAAGTTCCTTTTCTTGCTTTTAAAAATCTTCATTTACCTTGTTAGGTATATAGTCTATTTTAAACTCGACATATGTATTCTCACATGATACTTCTATTCATATATTTCAAATTTGCAAACTCGAACAAGACAGGTGCAAGTTCCTTTTCTTGCTTTTAAAAATCTTCATTTACCTTGTTAGGTATATAGTCTATTTTAAACTCGACATATGTATTCTCACATGATACTTCTATTCATATATTTCAAATTTGCTGTTTTCAATTGTTATGTGCATTATTTAATTGGTCTCCTCTCACTGAAGTGCCTCACGTGGAAATGTTTATTCAATCTTTTTTTTTTTTTTGGTGTGGATTTTGAAATTTATATGCAGCTAGGCGGTCATTATTTGTGCCATTCCTTCTATGATATATGTATTATATTATGAGTTGCTGAGTTAATATGTTCTATAGGATTTCAGGCAACCATGTTCAATGATTCTAGTAGTGAATTCGACGTTCTTGTGGCTAGTGATGCCATTGGGATGGGTCTTAACTTGAACATTTCTAGAATCATATTTTCAACAATGAAAAAGTTTGATGGTGTTGAGATGCGGCCTCTAACAGTTCCAGAGGTCAAACAAATAGCAGGTATGTGATTAAAATGAGGATATTAGTTTGGTAAATTGTTTGGCCTTATTTTAGCTAATTTTATATTTTATTAAAAATTTGTTTAGCTATGTTGTTGTCATATGTTAATATGCCATGATGTATTTTAGATACATTTGCAGTGTTTGCATGCCAGTTATTCTATTGTTTTTCAGTTAATTATTGGTTTTTATTTGTTTCCTTGACCTGTGGGTTTAGCATGTTAATGTATAACAACCCCTCCTATTTGTGCTTAGGTTTAGTTTAAGTTCCATCGAGTTACGTTTTAGTACATTTATCTATTCCCTTCAACTGTGTATATTTTGCTTTTAGGGCGAGCTGGTAGATACGGATCGAAATTCCCTGTTGGTGAGGTGACTTGTCTGCATGCAGATGATCTGCCCTTGCTTCACTCATCATTGGAATCACCATCTCCCATTCTTGAGGTGATTACTGATGTAAAACAATTTTGTGCTTTAATGGTTTTAAGACGTGATTTTATAATTGCATGTTCTAAACTGAGCAACTTGTATACTGCAGAGTGCAGGATTATTTCCTACCTTTGACCTCATGTTCATGTATTCACGGTTACACCCCAAAAAGGGCTTTTACCAAATTTTGGTAGGTCACTCTATAACTATTTGCTTTCATTATACTGGATTTATCACGTAATGAACATACACATTTCTCACCTGCAAATTTAGTGACTGCTAATGGTCATATGTTTCCGCTTTCTTTGGTGCAGTTAATATTCCTTTATTGTTTTGTTAGGAATATATAATGTGCAGAGTTATTCTGGCAAATAAATGGTTCTGCTCTTTTCACTGTGTAAACTTATACTTGTATATAGTGAACTTTATAGATGGATTGTTTACATTTAGCTTCAATTTTGGTGTATTTAAAAAAAATAAAAATCTCCCACTTATAATACGATATTCTGCGACTTGAATTATTTGTATATTTATTCATTCTAAAAGAACCTATAAATATTAGTTACTTTCTATGTTCTATTTTTCTTTTCTATCTATTTTGCTATGTGTAAATCTGAAACAAAAATACAGTGTTATATTTGTGACTTTATTATAATAGATGTTTTGGTTCAGAATTAAGCTTAAGTTGAGACTTTTAAAATATTTTGGGAATTCACACCTTCCTTGTTTCCTCTAGTAATTGCAATCCATTAAGCTAGTTTTTTGTATTCTATTTGATATTCAGTTGACCCTTTCCCCTTTATGCTGCAGGAACATTTTTTAGAGAATGCCAAACTGTCTCCAAATTACTTCATTGCTGATTGCGAGGCATTATTGGTAAATATCATTAGAAGACAGATGTATAGTTTTAGCGTAGTCTTGTTGGCAACATAGAATATCATCTCTCTCTCTCTCTCTCTCTCTCTCTCTCTTCTTCTTCTTCTTCTTTGTTATTTTTGGATTTACAATAACCTTTTGTCTAATTTGTTAAAAATGTTTGACATCAGAAAGTTGCTGGGGTTATTGATGAAATGCCTCTTTCGCTGTATGATAAGTACCTTTTCTGCATCAGGTAACTATTTTTCCTTCCCTCAGTCAACAACGATTTTGTTAGCTGTGCTTTTCCTTCAGTTAATGTTTTTTAATGGTTCATTAATTTCTTGGACACTGCTCACTGCTAATTTTCTTATTATAATCTATATCGGTGATAAATTTTAATACCTATGTTGGGTTGCATTTCTAATGTATTACTTTTTCTCACATGCAGCCCAGTCGATATGACTGATGATATCTCATCTCAGGGTCTGACACAGGTAAATTTGTGGTCCAATATTTTAAGTATGTTTTGTTTGGGCATAGAAGTCAATTTAATTGTTATGTTGAAATGGACCAGTTTGCTGAAAATTATGCAAAGAAAGGCATTGTTCGACTAAAAGAAATATTTACCCCTGGGACACTTAAGGTGCCAAAAACACAAGCTGCACTCGGGGAGGTCGAGTCAATTTACAAGGTTAGTTCTTTTGCTATTCAAATCCTGAGAGGGAGAGAGGCAGAGAGGGGTTCATTTTCCACATTGAAAGGTTGAGAGGGTTTCTTGTATGTATGTAAATCGTCAAAGTTTTGCTTGAAAGCTTGTTCAGCAATGGAGGAAAGCACACAAAGTTGGAATGCATATATTTGTTAATGTGCTAGAATTTGTAATATCATCTTAACTTTTTAAAAGTCCTGGAAAAATTATAGTTGTGCTTCGTCTTCTTCTATATTGAGTTTTGAATGTGATAACCTCACTCTATTTTACTACATCTGTCTCTGATAATCCCTTTCTTGGTACAACTGAAGGTATTGGATCTATATGTTTGGTTGAGTTTCCATTATGAGGATTCATTTCCAGATCGAGAATTGGCAGCTTCTCAAAAGGCTATTTGCGGCATGTGAGTCTGATTCAACCTGCATCTTCTGTTGTTTTTCATTGAGCTTGTAATCACATTTTCAAGCATTTCTTCAGGTTAATTGAGGAGTTCCTCGAAAGACTAGGATGGCAGAAGCCAAGAACAAGAAAGTTGCCATTAAGCAATGTCTCAAATTCTCTCCTGTCTAAAAGCATTAGGCGGTATCTGTGAACCACTCTTATTATTTATTTTATTAATGTTTTCTATGAAGTGGACAAAATGGTTTTGATATTTAGAGGATTTGAATCAATCGTCTTCCCCGTTAGTGAAATAATAATGGGAAGCAAAATTCGCAAAGGCGCTATAAATTGGAGAAAAGCTCTGTATTCAAATACCTTTTTTTTTTTTTTTTTTAAATAGTTTAAAACAGTAATTTAGACTCTTTAATACGATGCAAAAGGGAAATTTGGTCGGTTTTGTTCGCGTACTAGATAATTTATTTGCACCTAATAGGTTAATTGAATGTGTTTAGTAAGAATTTTAATCAGTTCTTAATTATTGATTAAAGTTTGCATTATGGATCACACAGTTTATATTATAATTTTGATTTTCTTATTGATTAATAATTGATTTGTATTTATATTATATTTGACGAATGTTAGCTTTATAAAATAATAATTATTCTTTTTTAAATTAATGTTATTATTTTAATAGATATTTTAAATGTTCTTGTGACAACATTTAATTAAATAACATTTTTGTTTGTATAATATATTAAAACAACAAATAATAAAAATGTTATTATTCTTTATATGGCTCTCTAGTGCAAGACCAACGACCGAAGCCAATTTCAACCAAATCCGCCTAAAAATGGTAAGCCCAACAACTCTTCTTCTCAGGTCCCAGTGATCTTATAACGCTAGAAACTGTTGACTGTTGTCTTCCTCCACTCTGCACCATACCTCTGTTTCGACTTTCAAGCTTTCCTCTTTTGCTTTGACCATATATGGGTTATAACGAAAATGGCATCTGAAAATCAAATTCTCAAGCTTTCTTATTTATTTTATCCCCAAAAAGTAACCGAACCGTTCCCTTATTAACTAAGCCGTCACAGATTATCCCTTACTCCTGCTTCTCGCGAGTCACCTGATGTCCCCACTTGGCTCCGCGAGAGCGAAAACCCAGAGCTAGCCGGAAACAACGACAATGATTTTGTCATTCCTTCGCTCGCTAAATGGATTGAGAACCGCAACCTTGTAAATGAGAATAATGATGTCAATCATCTAATATTTGAAGCAGACGTTAGTGATGTGGATAAAGCGGTCGATATCCTAAAGAAACACTAGCCATCAACTGATAGTGTTGTTCAAGCCTTGAATGAGTGCAGTTTCAATGCAACAAATACTTTGATTTCACAACTTCTGGAAAGATTTAGCAATGATTGGGTTCCAACATTTGGAGATTTCATTTGGGCAAAAAGTTATGTGCATCCACCTGAATTATATAATTCTATGGTTGATATACTAAGGAAGCACAAGAAATTCAACCTCGTGTAGGAATTACTCAAGCAAATGGAGAATTTAGAAGGGTACATTTCATTGGTCACAATGAGTAACGTGATGAGATGGCTAGCTATAGCTGGCAAATATGAAGCTGCTGTTGATGCATTTAGAGAGATTGAGAAATATGGTATAAGTAAAGATTTAGAGGCATCGAATAAAGTAATGGACACATTGGTGAAGGAGGGAAGCGTTGAGCATGCTTACAACGTGTTTATGGAGTTTAAGGATTGCATACCTGTGGATTTAAGTAGTTTCAATATTTTGATACATGGGTATTGCAAAGCAAGGAAATTAGAGGATGCAAAAAAGGCTATGAATGAAATCGAGAAACATGGATTTCACCCTAATGTTGTTTCATACACATGCTTCATTGAGTTATACTGTAAATTGAAAGACTTTCGAAATGTCTAGGCAACTTTAAATGAGATGTAAGAAAAGGGTTGCAAGCCTAATGTAATCACTTATACCATTGTTATGCTTGCTTGGGGAAAGCATATCAAATAAATGAAGCATTGGAGTTCTATGAGAAAATGAAAAGAAATGGTTTTGTGCCTGATTCTTCATGCTATAGCTCTTTGATTTTTATCTTTAAGTCGATCTGGAAGGCTCAAGGATGCTTGGGATGTTTTTGTGGATATGAAAAAACAAGGAGTCAGTCAGAATTTGTTGACGTATAATACCATGATATCTTGTGCTTGTACCCATTTGGAAGAAGAGAATGCACTAAAATTGCTGCAAAGAATGGAAGAGGATTCGTGCAAACCAGATATAAAGACATATGCATCATTATTGAAGATGTGCTGCAGAAAGAAGAGGATGAAGGTGCTCAAGTTTTTGTCGAGCTACATGTTTAAGAACAATGTTAGCATTGAACTTAGTACATATACTCTTTTGGTGAATGGGCTTTGCAAGAGTGGCAAGCTTGATATGCTTGCTCGTTCTTTGAAGAAACAGTACTCAAGGGGATGATTCCTAAATATGACACATACAAGATGTTGGTGCAGGAACTTGAACAGAGCAGCTTTTCGTCTAGCCTTCAAAAAGTGTAGCAAGTTTTTGCCTATTCTAGACCCTAGCCTGCCTTTCCATTTTTTTAATTGTTCCTAAAAATATCTTTTTTGCTATTCAAATCACCATATCATTATTAATTCAGTACACCAAATACAAATTTAATAGTTGGATAAATAAATAAATAAATAAAAAGACAAAGTCACTTCAAGATCATAAAACTAGCTTCATTTATTTATATCTAGGTACTAGAGTTAACAATGTGGCAATGGAGAGGGTTCTGAACCGAATTATTTTCGTTAAGGCTGTGGTTCTGATTTTGAAACTACAAGATTCATTCGAAACGTTGTTCAAATATCAAGAAAATTTTAAACAATTATTATCCACCTCCAATTAAAAATATTTTTTTCATCTTTCTAGCTTCCCATCATCAAGGTAGGAAGGAAACGGAAGAACTTGTTAAATTTTTAAAAATAAGCAATATTACTATATTTTTTTTTGTCGTAAAACCAACATTACTATAATTTAAAATTAAGGTGTCTAAACACGCCTTATCGATTTCCTAACTCATTGTTTGCCTTCCCCAAAATAGGATGGATAGTGTATAAATGGGTTTGAATAGTGATTTTAGTACCCGATCATATCCGGTTGCAATGGGGTATCCGTCATCCACCCCGTTATCCATATGGTTTAAAGCAAAATTTTTATTTTTATATTGATCAATATTATTAAACCCATGACCTTTCTAATATTAATGAAGTTACCTTACTACCAAGCTATTTAACATTCTTAAGTGAAAAATATGCAAGATATACATATATATATATATATATATAATATATTAAACCCATGACCCTTTCTAATATAACTGGAAGTTACCTTACTACCCAAGCTATTTAACATTCCTTAAGTCTGAAAAATAATCTGCCAAGATATACATATTATATATATATATATTATATATATATATATATATACACACTAATTATAATAATTTATATTTCTTTTGAGAAGAATAATAATTTATACTCTAGACATTTATTAATGAATAAAATATTATTAGATAGTAATATAATCTTATTCGTAAGTAAAATTTTAATAAAATTACGTAAATTAAATTATAATATCTTAATAAATTAAATTTGTTTTCTTTTTCATAAAATATATTAAATAAAATTATATAGATAGTATTCATGTCATGTCTTAGTAATTTAATTGAACGATTTATAGTTTGGTAATTGTCCACAACCTATCTTAGATTTTGTAATATATAGATAGTATTCATGTCATGTCTTAGTAATTTAATTGAACGATTTATAGTTTGGTAATTGTCCACAACCTATCTTAGATTTTGTAATAGCAGACAATGTTTTAAGCTAAGCAGTTAATGAAATTGCAACTTTCCTTTTCAAAGAGAATATTACATGTTAAATTGTTTTATTATTTTGAAGTTGAATTTTAATGCATTTTTTATATCTTTTTTTGTTGCACTTAGGGTTCGGATTCGGGTTCCATGCGGGTTTATGTTTTCTGGATTGAATAAATTTGTGATTAAACGGGTTCGAGTAGTATGCGGGTAATTCTAAATGGATTTGGGATGGATCGGGGTATTATTAATTTATTCTTTAACGGATTTGGGTACTTAAAATGATAATGGATTTGGGGTCGGGTAATTTATTTCTGGCGGGTACTCGCCCTGCTACCATCCCTACCCCGAAATATCCTCTTAAGTGTTCGTGTTCGTCTCGCTGCGCTCACTCGCTCCCGCTATCTCTCTCTCTCTCTGCGCATCTCTGGCTGGTCTCTGTGTTGGTCTCGCTTACTCTCTCAGCTCAAGTCTTACTGACCCAGGTCATCTAGCCTCTGCCCCGCTCAATTGGGTTGATTTTATTTACCCTACCAAAATTGCAAAAGAGAGAAGATATTGCAATATAGGTTAATCCGCGTTGCTTTCTTGATTTTCTTTTTTATTGTTTTTCATAGTTTTTTTTTTCTTTGCTTTAGGGTTATTTGTGTAATTTTTTCGAATAATTTTGAAGGAAAATGAATGGAAGAAATTCTTGATTGTAGAGAAGAAGTAACATTGATTGACGATTCTAAATGGTTTATTGTATAAGATCAAATTATTAAGACAGATGTGAAATGTTGGTAGATTCCCTTTCTTTTTCTTCTATTGCTGGTCTTATTTTCATAAAGATTCTCGCCATGTGATTTTGGTTGCTTATTCTTGTATAATATCCAGTGCTTCATTGGCTTCCTTTGATGTGTGGAATATGGTGATTCCTTTTCTGCAGGGTTAAATTGTGTGTACCATGAAGAGGTCAATGCCATGGAGTGAGCAGATTGATGTTATATCATCAGATGAATCTTCTTCCTCAGATGGAGATATAGAGACTAATGATGGAGTTGATCCACAACAATTGTCCCTTAACGTTTCACTTGGTGAAACTACAAAAGAAATATCTTCTGAAGGTATTAATTCCACTAAGTTTCTTTTTTTGAAATGTTACAATGCTATGCCATAGCACCTCTTATAAGAAAAGGGTTAAATTATGCACTTCAATTTTGTTTAATCTTTTCAGCACCATCTATTCCTCCATTTGTTAACTAATCTTACAATGCAAATATGGTTGACATTTTAGGTGTACTTACCAGAAGAGCAGAAATGTATCAAGAATACATGAGGCAGCTCCCTATCCCACCACATCATGGCTCTGTTATACCATTTTCATCATGGGTGGGTTTAGGCAAGTCAATAAAGCAACTCTATGGACAACCTTTGCATTACCTCACCAACATTCTTCTAAAACAGTGGGATTATCTGAGAATTGGCAGCGAGGACGAACAAAGGGCCTTAGATACTATGATTCATCCTTGTAAAGCTGAAGCCACCATATGGCTTGTTGAAGAAATTCACAGGCGTACCTCATCTCATCATCATGTTGCAAAACTCTGGTTGTTGGATCCAATGCATCATACTTTTGTTGACTCCATTTTCCCACAACTGTGAAGCATCATTTTGATTGTCAACTGGTTATTAGCCATGTTTGAGCTGATTCTGAAGGATGCCTTTTGATTTCTGAGGTTTGAGCTTGGAAATGTATTTCCTGGATCTAGAATGTAATAGAACCTTCTATTTTAGAGCTGATCCTTTTTTTTCTGTCAATCTTTGTAATTTTTGTTAAGGCGTATCACACTGTATCATGGATGGGAAACTACCAGAAAGGCAGACATAAAGGATCCAAATTTTGCATCATAAAATTTTTAACTCTTTTAGTGTCTAACAATGAATATCATTAAAAATATTACAGGAGTCTTGGTATGAAAATCATTAAAAATGTTACAGGAGTCTTGGTATAAAGCCCGCTGGTTATAAAAGGATCTAAATAATTATTTATTTTTAAATGATAATTGCATATGCTTGGTATTTATATTATATGTTATCTTAATCATGTGTGAGTGGAGTAGACTTTAAAGTTAAATAAGAGTCAAGAAACCTTCTATGCAGCTATGTTCAGCCATCAATGGTGCTTGAAATATAAATATAGCAGAACATAATAAAAACACGAATAGCTAAGGACAGAAAGAAAATGTGCTTGGAGCAAATAGTCCAGCAAAATATGTTACATATAGAGAGAATCCTAAAATATAAATAAAAGGCAACAATACATGTTCTCAGTAACAAAAAGCACAATATGCAAATCCCATTGCCATTCGAATTCGGTAATTATCTATGTATCTCAACTGAGTCTTATCGTTAATCATTGTGTGAGCGTGGAAGTGAGACTTGAGAGAGTGGACTCTCCGTAGATAGAAACTCTCATGTTCAGGCCAATCAATGGCTGCTTCGAAATATTAAACTATCAGCAGAACACTAATAAAAACACGAATAGCTAGGACAGATAAGACACAATGTCGCTTGGAGCAAATAGTCCAGCACAAAATTATGCTACATATATCGAGAGAGTGTCCTAAATGTGAGTGAGAGAGTGAGAGAGAGAGGCATAATCCGACCGGGCCAAAAAACAATACATGCTTCTCCAGTAAACAAATAAAGCACACATATGGCACACAATCCCATTAGCCCATTCGAATTGATTCCTCATTCTTGATGTTGGAATCGCAGGTAATAAAGGTGCTCACTGTTCTGCTTGAAATATAAATATAGCAGAACATAATAAAAACACGAATAGCTAAGGACAGAAAGAAAATGTGCTTGGAGCAAATAGTCCAGCAAAATATGTTACATATAGAGAGAATCCTAAAATATAAATAAAAGGCAACAATACATGTTCTCAGTAACAAAAAGCACAATATGCAAATCCCATTGCCATTCGAATTGAATCTCATTCTTGATGTTGGAATGCAGGTAATAAGGTGTCTGTCTGTCGAGTGATTACCATTTCAAATTGCCACCACTTGGTGAAACGAGGCTCTCAACGTAGGGAGTGCCACGTAGAAAGCCGCCACTATGGCCTTGAATTAAAGGTTCGATGAATTTACCATCTTTTCCATCATACACGCCTAGTTGTCCTTCTGCGGTCCTAAATAGCACTTTTCCGGTCTCGGTAATGAACACTGGCGCCGGCGCGCGATGCCAAATACAACGCTTGGGTGCAGGTACATTAGGGATAGTCAAGAGTTTGACCCAAGAATCAGGTTTTCCATATTCTTTCATAGACCACAAGATGAACTCTCCCTGAATGGAAAACTCGGCCAAACCAAGAAATCCTCTATAATTGTGAACACTCACATTCTCTTGAACAGACGGAGGCAGCATCATATCCCCAAAATTATCCTTTCCTGCATCAAAATAGAAAATCACACATTGCGATGAATCAGGATTAGTAATATGGGTGGCTATCCAGTGGGGACGTCGGTTGACTGTAGCAGGCGCCAAGCGCTTAATGAGGTACATAAAGCCTCCATCTTGGATGATCTTCCAGGATTTGGTCTTCAAAGAGTAGGCTTCAACCAAACAGTTGAATCCATTCTTTTTATCAAAAGTCATATTCTCCCTCGCCTTCAAGGCAGAAGGGAATCTGAGAACTTTGTAGTCATCGGTGTGAGGATCATAGCCAAGACCAAATAGATCTTCTCGTGGCCCATAGCAATCAGGAAAATGTAGAACAGGGCGAGTTATAGGCATTTTAATGAGCTTTTTAGTACAAGGATTACATATGACGATACGATTTTCCTCGAGGGATCTCCGGCGTTGGGCTAGAAACAACAACAGACCATCACAAGAACCATGAACAAAAGTAAATTCAGGAATCACCATCTGAGGAGGCAAGACAGGAACTTTTTTCTGGGCGTTATCCTCTTCGTGATAGAAGATGGAATGAAATCTGTTTTGGTGCGTAACGAGGATCCTGAATTCATTCTCTGCGGTGGAAACATAGTTTAGATGGTCTCTCAGAAATTGTGGATGAGTGATAATGGAATACCATGCCTTGCTCACGGATTTGAATCGAACGAGATCCGCGGCAGGTAAACGCCTAAGAATTTCCCAAATAATGTCGCTAGCTAATTTCATCACAGGTCGAAGTTTGCGTCTTTTGTTTTCAATTCGAGACATCTCGACAAAAACCTTGAGTTAGAGGGGTTCGAGGCTTTTAATGGCTTGTCCTGCAATTCCTTATCCAATTTGGTTTCGACTTTTGTTCGAGTTTTACAAGGAATCCATCATTCCTATTCAACACTGGATTGAAATCTTAAATCACGAATTTAACTTTTACATTGAGAATTATACGTTGAGTTCCTATATTATACCCTTTGTCAGTAATTCAGGAATACCCAGAAAATTGAAATCATCTTTATTTCATTAAAGATGCAGACCCTGTTACACTTCTACGAACTTAGATAGACCAAAAAAAGAGGGGAAAAAAAAAAAACCAAAAGACATTGGGCTATTACTTAAAAGGGTGAAGAAGAATTGTCAGAAAGAAGCCTTGATATAGCCCGAATAGTATTTGGAGTAGTTCTACAGCAGCCCCCGAAAAGAGAAGCTCCGGCCTGTCGCCACTTGCCAATGTATGAAACGAAGTCTTCATCCGTTACTCCACTTGATTTCTGCACCAAATAAACCTTAATCCATCTCAACAATCTCTAACAGGATTATACAATATTGCTAAACTAAAACAATAGCAAGAAAAATATAACTCACCACCCATATTTTGCGCTCAGCATCATAAGTCTCTCCGCTGTTTGGATATATCACTACTGGCTTATTTGTAACCTGACAGATTAATCACCCACTACTTAAGTGTCATTACTGATAATGACAATATATGTATTGTAAAATTGCAGAGAAAATGTGCACCTTGGCAATGGAGAGAATAAGTTCGCGAATAAATCTAGGAGGAGTACAGTTGATTCCTACAGCAACTAGTTGCTTGCAGGAATCTGCAATGGAAGCACATTCTGAGATAGAATCACCACTGACTACGTTAATTCCATCCTTGGAATTGAAAGAGAACCAAGCTGGAATTTTTATGTCTTCTTCTTCAAGCAGCTCAGCATATGCCTGCATTCCAATTGGGTCATTTAGAAAGATTAAATTAAATTAACAAGAAACTAATCTATTTTTATTTGTATCTACGTATATACCTTTGCTTCAAGCTTATTAGGAATTGTCTCAAATGCAATTATGTCAGCTCCTGCTTTGGCTAGAATTTGTAACCTTCTCCTGTGAAAATCTTTCAGTGTTTGGAGAGAAACTGAATCTCCATAGTTGCCACTGTAATTAAATTAATTAAAAGAAAATTAATTAACTGTTATGCATAAATTAAGCAATTGCTTAATTTATTTACCTATACTCAGAACCATCAGCCAAATAAGCACCATAGCTGCCAATGGAGGCAGCGACCAGAATTGGACGCCTTGTTACGTTTCCACTTTCCATAAAATCCCATGAACTTTTTGAACAATTGTCATAATAAATTTCTCTTGCTTCGCATGCAATTTCAACACTTCTCCTAAGTAATAACTCTGCTTCTTCTCTAGACAACCCCTTCGCCTCGAAGCCCTGAATAGTTGCCTGTCACAAATTTAATTTTTTTCCAGGCAGCATAATTAGTCATAATACTTTCTTTTTTCTAAAAAAAAAAAAAAAAAAACTTTTTTTTAAAAAAAAAAAAAAAAAAATAGTAAGAACGAAAGATTATTACCTGATAAGACGCTGTTAATATGATATTTGCACCTGCATCGAGATAGTCAAGGTGTACCTGTCACATTTAAGCTAATTAGCAGAGTCGACTGGTAATTAGAGAATTTGTTCTTCATAATTCAATCTTCTATTTCAATATTAACGGTTAGATTCCACTCAACAAAAAAATTAAAACCACTTTTTTTTTCTTTTTAAAGAATCACTTTATCGAATATTTGACGGATGTTATTAAGAATAAGATTTACTTGGATTTCGCATTGCATGCAGTAGACAGGTGTCACAGAAATCCTACATGAGGATGAGCTGGACAAGTAATACCTGCCTAGTTGCCACGTCTTTGTCAGAACATGACAGTCGTTGCCATCGTCAGCAACCTACGTTGTTTAGAGTTGCGGTGTTCGGGAAAGGAACTGAGCCACGTAACAATCAAAGAGCTGAACCCATTAAATTTCATTTAGCTTCTTTACGCCATGTTTCGGTTTTCATTAACTAAACTAAAAATGAAGTCTAAATTTGCCAAAAATAACTAAAACCAAATTAAAATCCAACTGTTTTCAATTCGGTTTATTTTAGGAAGCATTAATTCGGTTCGGTATACGGATTGAATGTTCATCCCTTCAGAAAACAATACAAATGCTATTGGAAAAGATTCATTAAGAAACAAACACTGGAGGCGAATAAATTTAAGAAATAAGAAAAGAGTAGAGTACCTTTCTGACGAGGTGAGGAGAGCTGATAAGGCACTTGGCGCTCCAGAGAGGGTCATTTAGGTCAGCGCCATGTCGTTCGAGTTCAGTGGCAAAGCCGCCATCGATGACGGCGTAGCCACCACATTTTTGGAGGAAATCCGACATGAATGATGAAGTATCTACGCTTTCCAATCCCATTTCTCTTTTTAAGAGAAGGCGCAAGTTTGGATATGGAAGGGTTTCTGTCGGAAAGTATTTGATCGACGGATAAGTTATCGTCTTATTGGTACGTTTTGTTTTCCTTCAAACTGGAAGGACCAAAATGTTGCCTTATTTCTCGAAGCCATTTGTTGTATTATAGAGCGAAGCAGAGCAGAAGGAAGGAAGGGACCGCCTGGATTTGGAATTACCCTTTTGCCCACATATATGTTACTAATAGTTTTCTTTTTTTTTTTTTTTTTTTTTTCTCTTTTTTTTTTTTTTTTTCCAAAGGCAAACGTGGCATTTTTTTTTTTTTTTTTTTTCCAAGGCAACGTGGCATGTCAAGTTTTTTTCTTTCCTTTTTTTTTAATAAATTAAAAATACTTTTAATTATTTTATATTACGTCTCAATAAAAAAAAAAGACTAAAAATCTTAGCAAAAATTCCTTCTTTTAAGTAATTTTGAAGATAAAGCTATGTGTCTATCTCTTAGAGCAGGAAAATGAAGTGAAAGGAAAGAGATTCGTGCCATAAAGACATCATTTCCGAAAAAATAATAATAATAATTGAGGCTTATCTATTATTAAAACTTATCTAGATTTAGCTACATCATACATGCTTATTTCTTGCAATAGGTTTCTTAGCTACTTATAACAGATCTAAAGGTCACACGCATATGCCGTGCAAGGAAATTCCATTCCAAAATGCCAAATTCTCTCTCGCCACGCAAAATAATTTCCATGAATGAGTTGTTTTGAGTTTTTGATATATATACGGATATCTCAACTTACTGATTTATAATTAAATTTTACCCGTATCGAGTCAATCGATTAAAAAAAAGTTTATATTTAATCATTTGTACATGAATTTAATTCTTAGAATACGAGGTTATTTATAGATAAAATGAGGTGGAAAGCATATGCATATAAAAGAGATGGATTGGAGATGGAGGTAGTAGTGATCAATCACCAATCTTTTTGCTAACAGAATTTTAAAAATTCATCATTGATGTAAGAACAGAACAAGCAATTAATTTTTAATTATTTTAGTTTCTTAGATACAAAAGCTGATAATATTATTCATTCATCTTTTTTATATTTATATAATTAATATATTGATGTGGCGTCTTATCTCTACAACTGAATCCACCATCATCGACTAATTTTCATGCGGATTTAATAAGAAAAACTAAAAAAAAAAGCACAAATGTCTGCCTAAATTCTGGACAATTCAGTTACATGAATCTGTCTCTATCAGGACACCAGATATGTTTAAAGAATAGGAATTTGTTCAATGAAAGACAAAGTTACACCAACATTTTCATGAGTGAGCAAATGAGCTCCAATAAGGTGAAGTTTCATTTGGAAAAACAAATTACTACTGAAAGGGAAAGGTAAATTCAGCTGTACTGCTACATATGCATTATTATCTTCTAGTCATTGGAATCCTTTTTCTCCTATAAAAATAAATAAATAAATAAATAAACACAAGTTTTTTCATCGATCAAATTAAAGTGTACCATAAATTATAGTATTATACTATGATGGATATACATATAAGATTAAGAGTTAAATACGCAAAAATAAAATATTTATGAATCAACTATAAATTTTGAAACGAAATTAATTTTATATTTAAAAATTAAAAGAATATTCGTGAAAAATAAAATTTTCACGGCAAACAACCAATTCAATTTTTTGTTTTTCAATTAACAATTAAAATTGTTTCTCAATTTATTGTAGAGAAAAAGTAAAGATTGTAGATGCAACATTTGAAATCAGAAGGGCCACCATATACAAATTGCTGCCTTGTTCCTGTGATACGAATAGATTGTGTTGGTATGTGTGGATGATAACAAAGAAGAAGCGACATAAATTTTGGTCCGACTAGAAATCCACTTGTCAAGAGATTATTGGATTACATGAAAATGGTGCTTTGATGAATAATGATAGCAAAGCTTATCTTGTCCCAGGCTCTGTGGATTGTGGAGAAACCTTTTTTTGTTTTTGACACGACTGAATTGATCTCCATTACAAATTACATTATCTAGATTAAACTCTTTTTTTTTTTTTTTTTTCTTTTTTTTTTTTTTCTTGCATATCTATATTGCTTTAAATCTTGTATTCCCATCTCTTTGTCTGAATTGATTTTTTTTTTTTTTTTTTCATATCTATATTGCTTTAAATCTTGTATTCCATCTCTTTTGTTGAATTTGAGATTCTTTAATATTTTTTTTATTCTATATCCGGAATAATTGAACTTAAAGCATCTGTAGATGGCTTTTAACTTGGCTACCATTAATTATTTTATTCTAATTTTACTCTTATTTAGATATATAGATATATTAAAATTTGTCTAAAATAAATAAACACTAATTAAAAGGGTAATTTAGTCTTTTTTTTTCAGAATCGAGGTGATTGAATGATGCTAAAAGAAGGAATTACAAGTTTAATAAAAAGTTAAAAAGAAAATTTTTTGGGGAAAATATAAATATTAACCTAAATACAATTTTATAATTAACAAAATAAAATGTTGGACCTCCCCCATATGAACAAGAAGGCCTAACCTCACAGTTAAGACAGGTGATGGTCTAATTCTAAAATAAGATGGCCCATTAATTATAATGAGTTGGCCCAACTGAAACTCAAAATAGCAGCCCATATGTATGACAATCTATGTGTTTCTCAATCCTTTCACCCCCTCTAGAGTTTCAATTGAAGAACTCGGATAATCCTTGAATCGAAACCTATATATTATCGATGTTTAGATTCATCTTCACATGAAACCATTTCTATCTTCTCTAAACTCCCCACGGTCTCTGTTTGTCTCCTCTGTTGCTCTCACTCTCAAGCGCCAAATCCTCCTTTTCCATCCTCTCAAGCCATTCTCATCAACCTCGACTATAAGAGCAACCAAATGGAACTCGACTACGAATGTCATCATCACTCACCCGATTCTTCTAGTAATGGAGTCTTGCACTTCGATGATCCAGTTGAAGCAAATCCAAGCTCACATGACCAGAACTGGTCTCATTACCCACACATTTCCTGTAAGCCGTGTATTAGCGTTTTGTGCTCTTGCTGACAGTGGAGATATTAACCATGCCTATCTGCTATTTACCCAACTTGAATACCCCAATACTTACATATGGAATACGATGATCAGAGGATATTCTAAAGCCATAATGCCGGTTATGGGGTTTTGTTTCTTTCGCCAAATGGTTCGAGAACGGGTTGAAATGGACGCTAGGAGCTGTGTTTTCGCACTGAAAGCTTGTGAGCAGTTTTCGAGAGTTTTACAGGGGAAATCAATTCATTCGATAATTTGGAAAATAGGTTTTTCTTGTGTTTTGTTAGTCCAAAATGGGTTGATTCACTTTTATAGTGTGCATGGATGTTTAGTTTTAGCTCGTAAAGTGTTTGATGAAATTTCTGTAAGAGATGTTGTTTCTTGGACCTCGATGATTGATGGTTATTCTGCGCATAATTGCTATAACGAGGCTTTAAAAATTTTCGATTTGATGTTATTGAGTGATGTTGAGCCGAACGAAGTTACTATGATTTCAGTTCTTTCAGCTTGCTCGCAAAAACGAGACTTGAGAATGGGGAAGAGTATACATGAATATGTGAGAAGGAAGAACTTGAATCGTAGCCTGAATTTGATGAATGCAATTTTGGATATGTATGTGAAATGTGGTTGCTTGGCTGAAGCCAGAGAAATTTTTGATAAAATGGAAATTAAAGATGTATTCTCTTGGACTAGCATGGTTAATGGGTATGCTAAAAATGGCGAACAAGAGTTAGCAAGAAAGTTGTTCAATGAGATGCCTGAGAAGAATGTGGTTTCTTGGAATGCCATGATTGCTGGCTATTCTCAAAATAACCAACCAAAGGAAGCTCTAGAATTGTTTCATGATATGATGAAGGCTCGCTTAGTCCCACTGGAGAATACTTTGGTCTGTGTTCTCTCTGCTTGTGGTCAGTTAGGGTATTTGGACTTGGGTCAGTGGATTCATCTCTACGTAGTTAAGGAAGAACACTTAGAAACTAGTGTGATATTAGCAAATGCATTAATAGACATGTATTCTAAGTGCGGAGTAATACATGCTGCTGCTAAAGTTTTTAATGAAATGATGGAGAAGGATTTGGTTTCTTGGAATTCCATGATTGCTGCCTATGCTAGTCATGGGCATGCCAAGCAAGCTCTCTTTGTTTTTGAGCAAATGATAAGCAGAGGATTTAAGCCAGATGATATTACATTTGTGGGTGTCTTGTCAGCTTGCAGCCATGGTGGACTTGTTTCTGAAGGCAGAGCATATTTTCAGGATATGGAAAGACATTATGGTATAAAGCCCAAGGGAGAACACTATGCTTGCGTGATTGATTTACTTGGTCGAGTTGGGCTTCTAAATGATGCTTATCAGTTGATAACTAAAATGCCAATGCAGCCAAGTGAAGCTGCATGGGGTGCTCTTCTCCATGCTTGTAGGATGCATGGCAATATTGAACTGGCAAAGCTTGCAGGTAAAAATCTTATGTTGTTGGATCCTAACGATAGCGGTATTTATGTCCTACTAGCAGCAACTTGTGCTACTGGCGGAAGCTGGGGCGATGTGAGGTTCATTAGAAGTTTGATGAAGGAGAGAGGGGTTAAAAAGATCCCTGGCCGTAGCTTGATAGAGATTGAGGGTGAGTTTCATGAGTTTTTGGCCAGCGATGAATCACACCCGGAAGCTGAAGGCATTTATAAAGCATTGGATGAAATATTTTTGCTGTCCAAACTGGAAGATTATGTAACAAATTCTTCTGATTCAATGGAACTTAGGAATTGATAAACCCTTTAATGAAATGAATATGGATTTGGATTTCAGGTTTTTAGTCTTAAAATCATAAAAAAAATTAATAGAGTGCTAATTTGGAGAACTTAATTATTTCAAATGTATCCCTACGTATCGACAATCATTCAAAGGTATAGATTTCGCAGCAATAATTGTTGGAATTGACTTAAACTCTAGGCAGGAAAGGAAGCAGAGTTCCCACGTGTAAATATGCATAACTCATTTTGCAGCACCATCACAATACCCTTTAGAGGCAAGAGAAATTAAAAAGAGAGAGAGAGAACCGCCATCAGAATCAGTCAAAACTTTTTCTATTTCCCTTTGTACATTGGAAACTTTTAACATGCGGATAGGTTTGAATCCTTGACCTTCTACAATATGAGAGAACCACTCAAACAATGATCTAGTAAAAATGTAGAACTTTATGAACCTTATAGCTTGTTTTTAATACTGTGAAGAAAAATGTCAGGTAACAACCAATTGAAAGCTTGTTGACATGATTGTCTGTGCCTTTTAAATTGAAACGAGAAACAAAAAGACACAAGGAAAAGAGGTAATGAGGAAATCAGGGGCCGCGAGCAGGGGCAAAACAGAAACAGCCACCAGGTGAATGGTCATCGGGTATCATCCCTCCTCCCTTGCTTGTATCAATATTTTCTAACATACGCACCACGTCAGACATTTCAGGACGTTTTTCTGGATTTGCATCCCAGCATTTTCGCATTATGCTTGCTAAAGAACTTGGACAGCACCTAGGGATCTCCGGTCGTAAATTCTGCCAATGAAACTACAATATTAGATTCCCAAGCTGGTTGAACTTCAATAGTAGATTATTTTTTAGCATTACAAGGAAATCTATCACCACAGAAAATATTCTATAAACTGAAAATATTATAATATCCATTTTACTAGAATACGCTACAAGTAGAGACTCCATAACTTTGTGGATCTTCTCGTGGCATACACTAAAGCTGTGTAATTTCTAAAAATTATGCCACACCAAATTCTCTAGTCATCACAACAATAAAAGAACAAACCATTTTCATTGCAATATAGTGATATACCAATTCTGCAAGGACCTCCAGATTACTTTCTTGCCAGTAAAAAATCTAAATAAGCATCGAAAAGTATTTGAAATAAGATTTTCTATTAATCATTTCATATTAACGTCAAATGTATATCACTGGAAGAAGCAGAGTGAATTGCTATTTTGCAATTTAAGTAATTAAAAATATTTATTAATCACAAAATAGAGGCATGACTTGGAATAAAGCTGCTGCTCATAAATTTATTAAATTCAATTCCAAGAAATTAGACATGAGAACTACCCAAACCCAATGATGGCATCATGCTCACCACAACAGTCATATTCATCAAAGTGTTCTTGTAATTCCACTAGCTGAAAACGGTGAGAAGTACTTACATTAGGTCCACTTAGGTCATAATATTGCAAGTGAAGCATCAAGTTATGCGAAGAAATAATTACTGCTCTGTGAACTAACCTGTCGAACAACAGCAGATGACACATCAGCAAAGCTAAGATCAGGATATGGCATATCACAACAATAAATTTCCCACAAGCATATGCCAAAGCTGTAGACATCACAACGTCTATTATACGGTTTGCCATCAAGAACCTACAAAATGTACACTGTTAGAATGTATTCAACTACAGATCAAACATGAGAATTCAACACCATTTTCATTTTTATATTAATTAATTTACAAATGACAGTGAGGATACGTCTCTTTAGGTGCAGTTATAGAGAACCACATGAAACAAGTCGTATGGAAAGTTAAAACACCACACTGGAAAGATAACTTGGAATTTCTTCCCCACTTTATTTTCCTTGAACTAATTCCCATACCCATTCATTGTCAAATAGGACCCTGTCTGTTAATTACAAAAGCATATGAAATGGCAACAATACCTCTGGGGCCATGTATCCAAGTGTACCAGTTTCACCAGTCATGTCCCTTGGATTCTGTGCTTCAACACGGGCAACACCAAAATCAGCAATTTTAAGGGTTCGATGAGCATCCAGTAGCATGTTTTCTGTTTTGACATCTCGATGCACAATCTTCTTTGAATGTAGATAGCTAAGTCTGCAAAGAAGCACAAGCAGAATCCCAATGAATAACTAATTTATTTTAGAAAACTTTTCTAGCCAAAAAATACAGAAAGACAGAACTCACCCCCTAGAGAGATCCAGAGCGATTTGGATCACCACCTTATAAGCAAGCTTCCTTCGCCTATTCCTTATCAAGTATTGTTTTAGTGTCCCACCAGGGAGATACTCAACAACCACACAACATGCCCTTGAAGGGAAGGAAGTTTGACCATCCTTAGCAGGAACTTTGAGATTTGATGTTCCCATTGATGCTCCAACAAACTGTTAAAAAATTAAGAAGGATCAAAAGCCCAGTTGAAGAAAGGTGAATCTGCTTTGACAGCCAAAAAGGTAAGGCACATCCTTTATGTAGGCAAGTCCTGACTGATCAGACCACTTTGGTTGTTGATATATCATCACCTCATAAATAAGAAGATATCATAACAAACTATATACATATATGAAAAATCAAATATCAAGAAACAACAAGCTTGCAAGGCACAAGTTTTTGTTATGACGATCCAAGATGAACAATTGCACATCCCATAGATGCCAGCTTATTAAGTTATGATAACAAACTAGAAGTTTAAAAATAAGTTGGTACTTTTGTGACGTTAGGATGGGTGAGCTTGTGCCAAACAGCAACCTCTTGCCGAAATGATGTCCGCAGAGCAACTGTTTCAGCAGTTGTGGCAATACCATCCTCACCCCAGTCCAATAGCTTCACTGTAATATCCAACATAATAATGCATTGAGCATTCAACATCAATAAACACAGTTTTAGCATACTAAACATTACAACAGACACCAAATAATTAACCCAAGCCATTTACATCTAAATTTTAATGAAAACATCCGTTCAATGCATTCAAAATTTTCTTGGATAAAACTTCAATTATTTAATTAATATGCATACAAGTACCACGATATAATTTGATTGTTTTCAATACTTATTAGTTAACAATTTCAGGAGTTTAGCAAAATCTAATTGTTAATGACCAAGTTGTTGTGCTGACTATAATACCAGGAAGATAACATCTACTTTTTTTCTGACTCTGACGGCAAACAACCACCATCTCCACATACACCCAAAGAAAAAGTTCTGACTGACCTCCAAAGTGGCTTCTCGACACCAGACCACTAGTCTACTCAGGTTTCCACTTACAGATGTAATGACTGAAATGCTAAACAAGTTGAGTGGTTCGTCTGATTGAACATTTTAATGGACTCAATATACACTGGATTAGCATGGGCTGTACTACAGATACCATCATGCAAAAGAAAGCAAAAAGAATTTAGGCGCCATCAGAAGAAATTCAACAAAGTAGTTTTAGGATTAGTTTACAAAATCTGAAACCATGAAAGTAACCCGACCGCTACAACTACTTCCCTGTAAAAAATTTCAATAATATAACGAACAAAGTTTCAGAACATACATTACACCACTCTCATAGCAGCATTTCTGAGCTCTGAAATCATAATAGTGCTTTTTTACTTGAATAAACCAGAGCAACTGGGAAAAAGGAAAGGAGAAAGCAATTACCTGCTACTTCTTGGTTATCATATGTACCACGATACACAGTTCCATAAGTTCCATGGGCTACCACATGCTTTATGTCCAATTTAGACAAATCAATCTCCCAATCTTCTTTTGCCCTCTGGGGCTCCATGCTCTTTGACCAAACCTTGCTAAGGTGCCTCTCCAGCTGTACATCCAAGCTCTTTAGATCGATTTTATCGGCTCGAAAAAGCATATCTTTGCTAGTAACACTTCCTGTACCTTTCACCTTTGAATTGACACCACTTTGGTTATCAGATTTCTCCTTTGCCATGACACCCCCAGCATCATCACTTGTTCTTGAATCCATTATATAGAACCAAATACAAATACAACCTCAAATTCCCAGAAAGCAAAAAATAATCACAAAACTCAAATCCAAGTCACTTGTTTACTATCCTAGAAAGACCTTATTGGCATAAAATTCAATTTTTCATCATTGTCGTCGAATCCCGAATAAAATTTAATGATCAACAACAGCAATCCGTAATCAAATCAAAAAACTAACCTAAGATCAAATTACAAATCAAATAGTATAGTGAAAAACTTGATCAAAACCCAGTTTCACCAACCCAAAATCCTATTCGAGTTGCCTCTAATATTGACCTTACAACCAAAAAATCAATATTTTGTAGTAGATTGCTCACCAATCAGAAATTGAGTAAGCAAAATACCTTCTCTGTTTTGCCTGAAAAAATTGACCATTATAGTGGCACAAAATCCCCAAATTCCCTATCACCAACCCTTTTTTTAATTTCATCAACTAATTTAAATAAAACCACAAAAAATTGAATAAAAACAAAAAGTAAACCCTAAGAAAACGACCCAATTCCCACCATCATCTAAACCGAGACCGAAGACCCAGAATTTTCAAAACAACAAAATAAAATAATAATAATAATAAAAAGAATTTTTAACAAATAAACCTTTAAGCACAATCAAAAATCATCACTGAAGCATGCAAGCAAAACCCGAAAACCCAAATCCATCCCGCCCTCAAAGAAACAAGTTCATTAGAGAGAGACGAAAAGGTTGACTTTGAATACTACAAAAATGTAGAAGAAGAGGAAGAAGAATAGAAAGGACAGAGTCGGTGGTGCCTCAACAATGATGTCATCGCATCCCTTTTTTTTACTTTATCACTCCATTGAAAGGGAAACGGAGGGAAGGTTTTGCGGCTGAACACGCACAACACACAAAAAGAGAGATTCTTATTAGAGACGAAACTCCAATAAGCCACCAAAAACCCAAACAAAGAAGAGAGAGAGGAGAGCGGAGTTTGTGCCTAAAATAAGGAGAGACTGCTTCAAAATCTAAAAAGAGATAGTATATAAAATGGAAGGAATATAGAATTTTGAGCCAAACCAACCAGTCTCCCATATCATATCCATATCAATATCAATATCGAAAGTACAAAAAGGAAAATCCAAAGTACACTACAAATACCAGATATGGCCACCTTGATTCATTGCCTCCTCCTATAGTCCTATTCTATTCTCAACGAAATTACCTGTATTTTCTGCATTGGACTATTTTACCCTTTCCATAAATTTGTCTGCAGAAATTATCCGGTAATTAATATGAAGATCCAATTAAGATAACATTACTTTATCTAGATATCTTTAAAAAGCATAATTACAATTATCTCCATTTGGCTAAACAAAAAAATAATAATAATTCCATTATTAGCGGAAAAACGCCAGAATCAATGAGGTGGCATATTTTCTAACTTCGGAATTAATGAAATTAAAATAACAATAAAATTTACTAATTCCATAAATTGCAATCTATTTTTTTAACAGGACAAAAGGATTGTATTAAATCTATAGAATATATAATTCCATTGATCCAAACACTCCTTAATTCTATGTGCGTAAATATAGAATCCAAAAGGGGCATTTTGATTAATCATGGATTCGGAATTTGGCACATTTTTGTTAAGTATGAAAAAGAAGGGCGTAAAAAGGAGAGATCCAAATGGCGTGATACCGTCAAAAAGCACACGAGAATAAAACTTTCCAAGAATGGAATTTTATTTTTTCTTTTAAAAAAACTGTACGATAATTGGAATTTCGGTGCCACCGAAGCACATTGTGCCAGTCAGTACTATAATTGTACTGGTCCACCTGTCTTTTTTTCGCAATTTACAAAATTATTTATTTATTTTTATGGAACCTTGTGTATTATTTTAAGTCTTTAAAAACAAAGTCGTGGATATATAAAGGAAAAGAAGAAAGAAGTTAAAAGAAACAAGAAGAATAATATTTTATATTTATCCCTATATCTAGAGCAAAAAGTTTTGGATCGGCGCTCTATTCATTTAGTATTTAATTTATATATTTTTTAATTTCTAAAATTTTCATTTATTTTTTGTCTTGTGATTGGACCACTAAATGATTTCTCTGAAAAATTATTTTATAGATAATTATAATTTTGAAATATTATTTAATGTATTTTTTCAATTTATTTTTTAATAAGTATATAGATAATTAAGATTTTTAAATTTTTCATATTTACATTTATATATATATATATATATATATACAGCAATCGCGTAATCAAATCAAAACTAACCTAAGATCAAATACAAATCAAATAGTTATAGTGGAAAAACTTGATCAAAACCCATGTTTTCACACCAACGTCCAAATCCTATTGAGTTGCTAATATTTGACCTTACAACCAAAAATCAATATTTGTAGTAATTGCTCACCAGATCAGAAATTGAGTAAGCAAATACCTTCTCTGATTGGCCTGAAGAGAAATTGACCATTATAGTGGCACAAAAATCCCCAAATTCCCTATCAACCACCCTTTTTTAATTTCATCCCTATTTAAATAAAACCCAAAAAAATTGAATAAAACAAAAAGTAAACCCTAAGAAACGACCCAATTTCCCCACATCATCTACAACCGAGAACCGAAGAGCTCCAGAATTTTCAAACAACAAAATAAAATAATAATAATAATTAAAAAGAATTCTTTTAAAACAAATAAACTTTAAGCACAATCAAATCATCACTGAAGCATGACAAGCAAACCCGAAAACCCAAATCAATCCCGCCTCAAAGAAACAAGTTCAATTAGAGAGAGACGAAAAGGGTTGGACTTTGAATACTACAAAAATGTAGAAGAAGGAGAAAGAATAGAAAGGACAGAGTCGGTGGTGCTAACAATGATGTCATCGCATCCCCTTTTTTTACATTTATCACTCCATTGAAAGGGAAACGGAGGGAAAGGTTTTGCGCTGAACAACGCAAGACACAACAAAAAGAGAGAATTCCTTATTAGATCGATAATCCCAATAAGCCACCAAAAACCCAAACAAAGAAGAAGCCGAGAGGAAAGGCGTGAGTTTTGTGCTAAAAATAAGAGAGACTGCTTCAAGAAATCTAAAAGAGATAGTATAGTAAAATGGAAGGAAAATAATTTTGAGCCAAACCAACCAGTCTCCCTACTCAATATCCTATCATATCATATCGAATAGTACAAAAGGAAAATCCAAAGTACACTACAATCCAGAATATGCCACCTTGTGAAATTCATTGCCTCCCTATAGTCCTAAATCTAATTCTCAACGAGAAATTACCTGTATTTCTTGGCATTGGGACTATTTTACCCTTTCATAAATTTTGTCCCTGCAGAAATTCGGATAATTAATACTGAAGATCCAATAAGATAACATTACTTTATCTAGATATTCTTTTAAAAAAGCATAATTAAACAATTATCGTCCATTTGGCTAAAACAAAAAAATAATAAAATTCACATTATTAGCGGAAAAAACGCCAGCAAATCAATGAAGGTGGCATATTTCTAACTTCGGAATTAAATGAAAATTAAAAATAACAATAAAATTAACTAATTCATAAATTGGCAATACTATTTTTTTTTAACAGGAAACAAAGGATTGTAAATAAATCTATACGAATATATAAATCATTGAATCCAAACACTCCTAAATTCTATGTGCGTAGAAAATATAGAATCCAAAAGGGGCATTTTGATTAATCATGGATTCGAATTTGGCACATTTTTGTTAAGTATGAAAAGAAGGGCGTAAAAAGAGAATCCCAAATGGACGTGATACCGTCAAAAAGCACACGAGAATAAAAACTTTTCCAAGAATGGAATTTTTTTTTCTTAAAAAAACTGTACCGATAATTTGGAATTTCGGTGCCACGAGGAAGCACATGTGCCAGGTTACAGTACTATAAGTGTACTTGGTCCCCTGTCCTTTTTTTTCCGCAATTATACAGAAATTATTTATGTTATTTTTATGGAACCTTGTGTATAATTTTAAGTCTTTAAAAACCAAAGTCGTGGATATAATAAAAGAAAAGAAGAAAGAAAGTTAAAAGAAATCAAGAGAAAATATTTTTATATTATCCTATATCTAAGCAAAAAAAGTTTTTGATCGCGCTCTATTCATTTTAGTATTAATTTATAATATTTTTAATTCGTAAATTTCATTTATTTTTTGTCCTTGTGATTGGACCACTAATGATTTCTCTGAAAAAATTTTATAGATAATTAAATTTTGAAAATAATATTTAAGTTATTTTTACAAATTTAATTTTAATTAAGTAATATAGATAATAAGATTTTTAAATTTTTCAAATATTACAGTGATTATTAATATATATAACTATATAGTATATATAGTATTAATTTTCCATAACATTTTCTTCTGTGATATGATTAATTTCCATAACATTTTCTTCTGTGATTTATGTTTCTTGAAGAAAATTTGGATTCCATATTTTTTATCTTCCATAATTTATATATTTTTTTTTATGAAAAATTTAATATATGCAAATGAAGTAAGTATTACAATGATCCACTGCCTTTTAAGCTCAAGAAAAATTGTTAGAAATAAATACCTTAATGGAAAGCTCATTATCTAGTATATATCTAATTATATATATAAACATTTTCGATAATCTTTTTGATATAAATTAAATTTTACAGTTTCTTTTCATTTAATTTGATAGTGAAAATAATACATGCAACGGATAGACTCTCGTGTAAAAAGAATTTTTCATTCAATGCATTACTGCTTTTATAATTTTCATTGTTAATTATATTTAAATTGAATTTTAATCCTTAACAATTGCACCTAAAAAGCAATTCCAAAGCAGAGTAACATACATTTGTAAATATTAGAAACAAAGAGAAAGTTAAGAATTTGGTTTTCTCTTGTTTAATATTTTTCTTCTTTTATAAATTTTTAATTTTATTTTTAAAATTATTTAATGTTCCTCAATTTAAAAGAACATAAAGTCATTATTTTTATCATCTATAAGTGAGCGTGCACTTCATAATATTTAAATAAGGAATTCAAATCTAAATAATTCATTATCTTTTGAAATTCTTAAGAATTTATTTCACAACGATAAACTTCTTCATACATATTTTATCCGGTATTGAGATTAAGAAGATAAAATTATCTTCACCCTACACACAAAAAAAAAAAAAAAACTTATCTACAGTGATGGGCTCTCATATCAGTTTGGGCCCATCGTAAAGCGTCTCATTTTTTCGTTTTGGTGGCAGCACGTGGGACACGATTGGATTCTGATGGGGTCAATCATTTAAGAGATACGTACCACTTGTTTTCTCATAATATTACAATTACGATTTGATTTGAGCACATAATTCTGTCAATAATAAAAATAATAATAACCTTAATTATCGGTACACGAGAGGTTGAGAAACTAAGTATTATTATTATTATTATGTGAGCCCAAAAATGGGTGGAGAAATAAATTGTAAACTTCTTCTTTACAAAAATCCCATCCATTATTAAGTCTTATGGAGTTATGAGTGATTAATAATGGGTCTACTTAGTCCTATATTTTAAGGTAACCCAATTAGTTTTGGGGCACTTTCTTTTTTTTCTATTTATCTCTTTATTTGATCGTGAAGAATACTAATATTAGATTCATGAAAATAATTCCAATCAAGTCAATGCAGATAGTTTTATTCGATTACATAATTTTGAATTTTGAATTGTCATTAACTGAAATTATCAATCTAATCAATTCATTTTAGTTTTTTGTAGGAATAACTTAGTTTTCATGTCTTTATTTTAACTTTGAATTAGATTGCAAAACAATACCCGCGCAATGCCGCGGGCCTTCATCTAATCGTATTATTCAAGTAAAACCCCTTCCAATAATAACTACTCTTAATGTTTAGTGTTTTGATTGAGTTAAAACATTATTTTAATTAATTATTGTGTTCGGTAACGTTACATCTATCCTAACTTTTAGAGTTTAAGATAAATGGTTTATAAAACGTTATACTCATTAACTTTATCGCTTTATAAATTTTTTATGATATTTATGTCTATCACTTGTCTTTGTTTTGTTTTCTATGATCTTATCAACTTTTGTCTTTTTATACGAAACAGTTAATCAAATACTTATTTTTCCGAACACATCTATTTTTAACCGCTATATAAACAACTAACCACTAACAGCTGACATCTACTATAACCGCTAATATTACCGAATAGGTCATAAATTTTATTAAACTTACGAATAAAATTTTACTAATACAATTTACTTATGCTAATACAACTATCTCCTCGGAAAATGCTAAGTAACTCTTATCTAAAAACTGAACAAGCAGCCTGAAAAAATGGCCTTATATGCTTGTGAACTAGGAAACTTCCTTCAACAAAATGTTAAGGAAAAATCCAAAACTAAACCAGCTATATATTACAAAGTACTATCATTTAAAAGCACCAGAAAATCCCAAAACCCAGAAAAAATGGTATTCTAGTAATGGCTCGTTTTACAAGGCAACAGATGTTACAAGCAACTGGTCGTATGTAAGCAGGAAGATATTCATCATTGCTTAAAATATGACTTTTTCTTTGGTCTTTTCCAAATTGCAAGAGCATAATTAAAAATTAACAACTAATTTTAATTAATTCAGGTACTTTAGTAGTTGGTCAACTAAACTATGTATTTTAATAATTCACAATCTGACATTTACTAAACCCTCCAAAGACTTTAGTATACATATTTAATTAATTATTGATTAACACTAAATTATTAAAAAAATATCGAATAATAGTTTACTTAATTAGAGATAATGTAAATGTGTCAGATGATTAATTAATTTTTTTTAAAAAAAAAACAAGTGGAAGAATTAGTTTGGCCTGCAAAGTAGGCAAGGGGACAGTCGACATTATGATTTAGGCATGAAGTTCACATTCCAGAGAATGTGGGCAGTTGGGAAAGAAAAAAAAGAACAATTTATGCCATTATTTCACCACCGCTTGCTTTTGTTGAGCCCTAATTTAAGGCATGAGTTCTCACGTGACAACCCGCTCTTTATGCTTAACAATATTAAGGGACCACTTGTCTGCCCTTACTAAGGACACCCTATTCTGTTTTATTGCACCTGATTTATTAACCATATGCCAAGAAGAAAATTCCTTAACACTTTGTTTGGAGGAAAGGAGATAGGGATTATTAAAATAAGGTACAGTAAAATATCGTAAATGAAAGTATGATAAATGTCTTTTTTGTACTTATGAATAAAGCATGATAAATGAAAGCATGTATATAAAAATAATTATTCTAATTTATTCAGTTTTCTTTGTATAAAATCGATTGACCAAATTTAAAAAATTGAATCGAACCAAAATTTAATTGAAAAAAATGGGAGTTTTTTATATAATAATGTTGGTTAAATTGTACTACTATAAAGAGAATTATAATGTGCTACCAAACATTACAACATATAATAAAAAGACTAAATGAGTTGGTGATAAAGACTAAATGATGTGAATGGCTAACAGAACCATATAATGTCCTCAGCTAATGTTTCCTTCCTAGAAGAATATTTGCAATAATTTGGTGATACTTTAGTTAGGAAAACGCAAAGCCATAATAAAGTGTTGCCTAACTCACGAGTCTTCATGATAACGCCTCTTGATTTATTGGGTTTATGTCAATCAAAGGATAATAAAGTTAGATTTTGTTGACTCCTAACTCCTAAGCGCTGCAATATCGGTTGAGGTCTATCGTATTTGGTGCGCCTCAAACCTACCATATAACTTATTAACCTACCTTTTGAAAATATTTGCGCGGCAAAATTGAAATCGCCAGTTGTCACCACGTCAGCCAAAAGGGAATTATATATTACTGCTATTAAAGACTGATTTGGACCGGTTAGGCTATTTTGTCTAAAATAACCTTTGCGGGTTGGTAATTCCAGAATTATGTAGTTTATCGAATTAGGGCCACAATGGTAAAAATAGTAGAAAATGCCTAACATTAAAATGCGAGGGGAGGAGGATTGAAGGGTCACGGGTCGTTCATGAAATAACGTACTCGATTCAATGCCACGTATTTTTCTTTTTCGCTCTCGTGTGCAATTACGCATTCAATACCAAGAATGTGACATGCTTGGCCCTTGCCCATGGTAATTTATTTATTTATTTATCTGAGTACAGTACTTTTAATATGGAAATGAAAATTTTAACTTTGGCCGTAAAAATAAATTTATTTTCCCATATAATTGCAAGATATTAATTTTGATAAATCATAAATTATTAGAGAACATACGCAGCAATCATTGTTTTTTATTTTTTATGGAAAAAGAAAAAAAAATCATTTGGATGTTCTTAAATCTTAATTAATTAAAATGAGAAGTAAAAAGGTGCGTAATTAGTGGTAATTATTTGTTTACGTCTTTAAAACCTTTGGTTGATAATTATTTTCATAAGCACGTTTATTTGACCATCATTAGTGGAAATTAGGAAGTTTTAAAGTTAATGTAATTACATCGTTTTAATATTTCTTGTTTAAAAGGAAATACAAAATAATAATTTTTTTAAAAAATGTTACTCTTATAGTTAAATGCATTTGTCCTTTTCGATAATGTAAGGACTCCATTTTATTAATCAGTGATTGTATAAAATAGTTTCAGTTCCAAAGCATATCTAGGCAATAACAACAAAAATGAGTAATCCAATGCATGGAAATCCAACAATATTATAAAATATTAATATCTAAGTTTTTTATTTAGTGAAAAAAAAATTAAAATAGCAACTTTTTTTATCAAAGTAAAATTATTAATATTTTTTTATTAATTGGAATTTGAACTCACAGTACAATCAAGCAATTATAAAAAACTTCAAATAAATTTGCAGAAATTAAAATTGAAATATTTCTAAATGTTTAGATAAAAAATTAAGATAAGTAAATACTTTTAAATAAAACCGAATAATAAAAATGAAAATAAAATATAATAGAAATTGACAGAATTGAACAATTCTTTGTAAGATGATATTGGAAGATATCTTATTGTGATCTGAAAAACAGCTGAATCTGATACTGGTACATTTAATTAAAAAATTCTGCATAAATTTGACTTGCACAGTAAACTCACAGAGCTGTTACAAAGCTGAGATTACAGAAAAATGCATAAAAACAAAATAGAAGTGGCGTATATTCTGTAAATAGCAAAAGCAAAGAAAAATAAAATAAAATAAAATAATAAAAAAAAAAAAGTAAAAAGAAGAGAAAGGAAAATCCATAATCAGTAAAGAGAGAGAGAGAGAGAGAGAGAGATCAGAGAAGCCAAAATCAAGAAGACGTTACTTTTGAAAAAGTAAAAGTGAAAGCGGTAGTTTTCATGGAGACACAAATGGCATATATTATACAGGAGTGGTTGTATCTGTTATTGAGTGTGTGGTGGGGCTGGCTGGCTATGGTCATGGTGGGTCATTTGGGGTTATCGCCACGAGAAAATCCTTGCCTATCCCGCCTTCCCGCTTCTTCTTGCAATTGAATCTCATCTTCTCTACTTCCCATTTCTAGAGAGAGAAAAACTCTCTCTCTCTCTCTCTCTCTCTCTCTCTCTCTCTCGCAGTCACTCACTCACTCATTCACTCTATCTTTAGAAATATATTAGATATAGAAAGTGACGTACCAACAAATTGTATGTGGAGATAAAGCTGCTAAGCTAAGTGAAGAATTTAGCTTAGTTAGCTAGCTATATGGAGCAGCTTCTTCTTCATTGACGACCATGGATACGCCTAAGAAGACTCAGATAACTACTCCGCTTTCTAAATTCGAGGTGATTATGATTTGTTGTGTTTTTGCTTATCTTTTTTTTTTTTCTGGTGAATTAGAGAGTGTTAGTGTGCATGTGCTTGATTTGGATTTTGGGTGAGCTGACGCTGACCTACTTGGATTTTTCTGAAATCAGTTTAATTTTTTCTGAAATTCGGTGTTGGCGTCTCTGTGTGCGAAATAGTACAGATCTGTAGTTGAAGTTGTATTTCTGATTTAAGCTGTGTGTGAGTGAATGTATGCATGTGCAGTGTTCGTTGAATTATCTCTCCTCTGGTTTCTTCACAACTTGTAGAAGAATGAAACTTGGATTTCTCTTATTTAGCTTCTTCGATTTGTTGGTTTATTTGCTTATCCCATTCAATGCAAGAGAATTCGAGTACTCTTTTTGGGTTTAATTTGATTCATTAGTCCTTTCTTTTTTTCCATCAGAGTTATAGGTTCTGCTAAAACATGCAAGTTTGGCGTATTTGTCCTTTTCTTCTTCCTACTCAAGACTGCTTAATTTTGGAAAAACAGGATTTATATTTCTGCCTAATATTACTGTTCCTAGATATGGAAGGATGAGTTTCACTTCTATACTTGGATTATCTTTTATCTAATTATGCAGATAAACACGAAAACCTTATTCTGATATTGGCATTTGAGATTTATCCTTTTCCTCCATCTGATTGCTTTTTTATTCCAATATCATCTTAGAGAAAAGTCTTTATTACTGGATGCAGGATTCACCTGTCTTCAACTACATCAACAGTCTATCTCCTATCAAGCCAGTGAAATCCATACACGTTACTCAGACATTCCATTCGCTTAGTTTTGCATCTCTGCCATCCATTTTCACTTCTCCCCATGTTACTTCTCACAAGGAATCAAGATTCTTAAGAAGGTAATTACCTTTTTTTTTTCTTGGTTGTTCATATGTACTGTAAACCGCTCTGAAATCTTATACTAAACTGTTATTTTCAGGCATAACTATTCAGATCAGTCAAAACCAGAAATCTCCTCTGAAAATGGAAATAAAGTTGGCAGCAATGAGGGGGATGTAGCTCAGTTGTATGATGACTCAAGAGAGCTACAGGAAAATTTTGATGCAGGAGTGTCTATTGCTGAAGCTTCTATTGAACCTCCGAGTGAACATGCAGAATTCGCAATTGAGCTGCCACGGAGGTTCAAATATGATTGTGGTAGTCCAGAATGTGACACAATGTCTTGTTGTGGTCCTCACGTGGATTGTATGTCAGAATTGGCTGGAATATCCGCACTAGAAGTCTCTCAAAAATGTGCAGACATGCATTTACAGGGGATACACCCGACCAAGAGGAAAAAAGAAGCTGCAGATTGTGACTGGGAGAGTTTGATATCAGACACTGCTGATCTATTAATTTTTAATTCTCCTATTGACTCAGAAGTTTTTAAGGGGCTAATGCAGAAATCACTGGATGCTGGTGGAAGTTATCCTACTCCCCTTGATGAGGTGCAAATGCAAATAGTTCCGGTTGGTTCTGTTGAACCTGAGATGGAATATACTTCAACTCAACCTGGAGAAACTACTGAGCCTAAGGAAATAAAACAGAGACTGGACAACCTGACTGCTAATAACAATCCAAGTGAGGAAGTGGATAACGAGGTGGGAATGCCCATTAGAATTAGGGTAAACTTGAAATTTGTTTCTGTTGGCTGAAAATCATGGAATTTAAGCTCCAGATAAAACTGACAGCACCTTTCTTTTCTGTCTCTCTTTGTAGGTCGTTTCTAATTTGCATCGTGGCATGCGAAGGCGTTGTCTAGATTTTGAGGTGGTAGGAGCTGGTAGGAAGAACTTAGGTGATAGTTCGAATTCAAGTACATTGATAGCTGGGCAATTTGATAAGAAAACTGCCTCTAAAGATAAGCAGCTGGTTTCTGTTAAGCCTGGCAGTGATTCTTCAAGGCGTGTTTTACCCGGAATTGGTTTGCACTTAAATGCTCTGGCAATAACTTCCAAGGATAGCAAAAACGTGAAGAATGAAACTCTGTCTTCGGGCATAAGTTTGCCTAGCTCTGTTGCTTCTTTTCACTCCCCAACAGCTGATGAAGAACTTAATGAATCATTGGCTCTAGTTTCTGTTGAAAGAGACACGGAGCCAACTGAAAATGGTGTTCCACCTGGGGAAGATGTTTCTCAGGCATCAGCTTCTTTAGTTGCTGAAGAGTTCAATCATAGTAGCCCCAAGAAGAAGAGGCATGCTCCTTTAACAAAAATTTATTTAATGTTTAGCATAATACTCATGATTAATTATGATTGTTATTATTGTATTTCAGGCGTAAGTTGGAAGGAGAAAGTGAGGCCTGCAAGCGTTGTAACTGTAAGAAATCAAAGTGTTTGAAACTGTGAGTTCGTTTTTCAAGTTCTAAATTCTATCATAAATTGCACACTCGATATAATGTCCATCTTTTCATGTCATATGCATGCTCTTCTTGCAGTTATTGCGAATGTTTTGCTGCTGGTGTTTACTGCATAGAACCATGTTCATGTCAAGAATGCTTCAACAAGCCCATTCATGAAGATACTGTTCTTGCAACTCGCAAACAGATTGAGTCTCGCAACCCTCTTGCATTTGCTCCAAAAGTGATTAGAAGCTCAGAATCTGCAACCGAAATTGGGGTTAGAATTTAAGCATTATCTTACTTTTTTCTTTGGTAACTGTATTGAGCTTCTTTAACTTTGTGTTCCTTTATAACTAGGACGAACCCAGCAAAACACCTGCTTCAGCACGGCATAAAAGAGGATGCAATTGCAAGAAATCTAGTTGCCTAAAGAAATACTGCGAATGCTACCAGGTTTTTCTCCTCAAAAATACCTTTTATGCATTTTTTGTTTCACTTAGACTGATTCATTATCATGGTTTTCTTGTGAAGGGCGGTGTTGGATGTTCCATTAACTGCAGATGTGAAGGGTGCAAGAATGCATTTGGAAGAAAGGATGGTGAGTTCATTCTAAAAGAGTTCACATGATTGGCTTAAAATTTATACTTCGAACCATGGGCAGCTTATTCCATAATCAGTTTTAGGTACTGTACTTAATTTCTTGACTGCTTTTGGAATTTAGGATCTGCTCCTATGGAAACAGAAGCTGAACCAGAAGATGAAACAGATGGAGATGAAAAGAATGGGGTTGACAGAATCTCACAGAAAACTGAAATCCAAAACAATGAAGAGCAAAATCCAAATTCTGCTCTTCCAATGACACCATTACCACTTTGCAGGTTTCATTTCTGAGCACTTTGTTGTCTTGTAAAGTTGAGTTCCATATTTCTAGATTCTTAATGATATTTTTGATTGGCAGACCATTGCTTCAGCTGCCATTTTCATCAAAAGGCAAACCACCAAGATCCTTTCTTGGAATTGGATCATCTTCTGGATTGTATACTGCTCAAAAATATGGCAAACCCAATATTCTCAGACCTCAAACCAAGTTTGAGAAACAATTACCAACTGTTCCGGACGATGATATGCCTGAGATGCTCAGAGGCAACTACACTCCCAGTACCGGAATCAAGACTTCTCCAAACAGCAAGAGGATTTCTCCTCCTCACAGTATTTTAGGATCATCACCGGGCCGGAGAAGTGGCCGGAAGTTGATATTACAGTCTATACCTTCATTCCCTTCTCTCACTCCCCCACCATTGAAATGAAATCTTAATTCACATAAAGCCAAATGAAATTCTTTGCCTTTTGTCATGTTAAGATGTAGTTGAGTGCTAGTTCTACTCTCTTGTACAATAATATGCCATCTGGCTCTCATAATGTCCAAGTACTTCAAATCATTGTATAATATGGTAATTTGTTTTTTTCATCTCCAAGCTTAATAGTCAATAGCATCATTCTTACATCAATATCCTGTAATTTGTGGAGCCACAGCGAAAGAGAAAACACCCACTTCCCTTTTTTTTTCACGTATAAACTTTCCCTTATATTTCAGACGGAAGAAAGTAATATATTTTCAAAAGACGGATCCGCCCATTAATCCATCATGGGCCCGGGCCCAATTCGTTAAAATCACATTGTAACCATCCAATCCAAGTACGCAATCAACATAGATTCGAATGGATTCATATTCCACGTGTACTGGATCTCAACAAATAACTCACGTGACAAGCTACTCACATTCTGAGATTACACGGGATCGTTCAACGACCTGAAACTCATTTCTGGTTGACACCGTTAACGGGTTGTTACTCAAGTTGCACGCGGGCACTTGCGACACCCGCTTTAGATAATAAGTGGTCGTTCGATATCACACTCGAGAGTTTTTCCGTTTCCTACGGCAAGTCGTTAACTGACCAAATGTGCAATACAATCCCTAAAGAAAATTTTTATTTTCCAGTCGAAAGTTAAATACCGTTTCAGAATTCGAAACTTTGGGTGAGGAAAGACTGAAAACTTGTAGATAGATAAAGAAAATTCAAGATTTGTAAATTTAATCTTGAATCTTTTAGCCCTAATTCAAATACTAAATTAAACATCAGAGGTGTCTAATTGTGAGCGATTATATATATATATATATATTTCAGTGGCGAGCAAACTGTGATTGTTTTTTTTTTTTTCGAGTAACTGACGCAGCCTGACCGCATAAGGTTACCAATACATGCTGAATTGCTGATGCTGGTTTAGACAAATGCTAAAATCACATTTTGCTCCCATTTTCAGAAGTCAGACAGGAGCTCGTCCATATTTTCCATCTTCAGTATGCAGCAAAACTAAGCAAATTGAATTCGACATGTATATAACAAATGTATACTGCATTGATAATGTTTAGCTGGAAAATGTAAGGGAAGAAATGCTGAGGGCAACAGCTTATTATTACTAGATTAGGATTCTTAGCTTTCTCCTAAGCTAAAAGGACAGATTCAGCCTAACTAATCCAAGAAATGCTCTCTTAAACATAACATCAAGAACATTTCAAAGAAACTTTAGCTTATAAATACTAGTAGGCTTCTCCATGATCAGTTACCTCAATCTTCATGAGTTGAAGGTCTTGCACATCCACAGAAACAACCTTTCTTTCGCCTTCTGCTGCTTCTCTTGCTACCTCTGTAAATGAAGTCCTTCAAGATGACACCTGTTCTACTTCCAGGAAACCTGAGTTTACCTTTGCTTTTCTTTTCATCCTCCATTTTTAGCAGAATGTATTGAATGCTTTGTACATCAAACTGCAGCCGTCCAATCTTTTCAGATCCTTTCTGTGCCTGTTCCGTCAGTCTTTTTCTGCCGATGTTAGTCCCTTCTGATGCTGCTGAAGTGTTTGCTTCTGAAGGTGAGGGACTCTCTTCGATGTCTTTTGTCAATTGATCATGAGCATCAACCAATTGTACAACAGCATCCTCAACTTCTTTTAGCTGTCTTTTCACCCTTTCAAATTCAAGGTTATTGGCCTTCTTGCTCCTTTTCTTGGTTTCCATTTTCTTCTTCAAATCTGCCACAGCTGTTTGAAGAGATACTAATTTCTGTGCATCAGAAGCAAGTCTCTCCAGGATCTTTCCTCTGTTCCCTCCTTGATTTGGCTCTTTATTCATGCTTGTAGACACCTCTAGCCTGTCAATGCCCACTTCCCTCTCTTCTTGTAACTCCAAAGGAGGATTTCGACTCTTATGGTTGGCATCTTTGAACTGATGAGGGGCATTAACATTCTCCAACTGTGAAGCTGCCTGCTTTTGTATAGCACTGGACATTGGATTAAGGCTATAGTCTTGCTCAGCAGATTCCCATAGCTTGAGCATCTGATTATCATTCTCGGTCTTCTCCATCTTGTTTCCCCTATACAATGAACAATCTGAAACCTGATCAAGCGGAATGTCTTTCATCAAAGTTCCATTCTTCACTTCAGAAACATCAACTTTACTTTTATATGTACTAGCATTTTTGGTGGGCCCATTTTCAAGCTCTGCCTCTTCCTTCTGTCTCATTTCCAACCAGTCAGCCTCTTTCACTGGATATTCTAGCTTGATGTTGGTGTTTTCTCTTGCCTGCATTACAAGCCTATTCATTTCTTTGACCACAACCTTATCAACTGCTTTAATTCTGTTTTGTATTTTGAGTAGATCTGAAATTCCATTTGGCACTTTTTCATTATGTGTGAGTTCCTCTTTCTTCATTTCCAGAGGTTGAATAGCCATTTCTACACCCTGATAACACAACAAGAAAAAATTTATATATTAGTATGCCCAGTGTAGAACAGTTGAATAGAAGAACACGTAGGAGACCACTTGCTTGGAGTCCGATATGCATATTTCTGCCACATTGAAAATTGCAAATAAAGACTAGAAATATTCTCTTCAAATTACATGCAGCATTTGAAACTCAAGTAAAATCAATAAAGCAATTATAATTTCTAGTAGCATTAGATTTTGAGTGTATCATGTCAGATGGTCAAGTTTCTATAAGTAGAAGGTAAATCAGGTGGTTGGGCATAAAAAAGCTCATTTCAAAGCCTAGGAATTCAGTACCTCCTATTTCACCCAAAAAATTTGAACAAGTAGAGGACAACATGACCTATGTACTTTTGAGCTGTAGGCACAAATATGAATTGCTTCAAAGTTAAAATTTTCAGTGGAAGTAAAGAACTTTACCATTTGTCCTTGATTTGCAGTTGCTAATAACCTTGTGCAAAGTAGGGCATTGCACTCAAGAGATTCTATATTTTCTCTTAAAGAAGCTACCACTGGAGCATATGCAGACAATTGAGCCTTCATTTCTCCAAGTTCAGTTTCCAAGAAGCCAAACCTTTCCTTCATCTGATCAATTTTGACATCCTTGGTAACTTTTTCATCTCCAAGGTTCTCGCAAACTGCAGTCAGCTCATGAACTTTATTTTCAAGCAAAACCTCACGTATGCATGATATCTGAAGATCAAAGTAGAATGATGAAGCCTCAGCCTCAAATAGTTCAAACTCATTGCTTCTCTCTTGCAACTCCAAACTCAAGTTCTCTTCTCTGGTTCTTCGTTCTTCAACTTCCTTGCATAATGAACTCACTTCTGACTCCAGATTTTCATTTGCTTCTTTAAGATATTGAATTTCCTTCTTCTGACTTGTACTCTCTTCTGACAGCTCAAGGACCTGCTTCTCTATATTCTCCTTAGTTATTTTTGATTCTTCACATTCCCTCTTCAGTTCCTCTATGGTTTTACACAATTCTGCATTTACATTTTGTGTAGCCTTAAGCTTCTGTTCCACTTCTAAAAGCTCATCAGCTTTCTGTCTGATGAAATCCTGTTTAATTACAATTTGATGGTTTAATTGATCAGTCAAGTCTTTGCCTTCTTCTAGCTCCTGGTGCAACTTCTGAATTGTTTCGCTAAGATGCAGGCTTTCTGTTTCTTTTGCTTCCAGCTTCCGCCCCAGCATCTCAATCTTCTCCTTGAGGTCCTTGTTAATCACATGGAGACAGCTGAGATCTTCAGAAAGTGCTTCGAGTTCCTCAACTTTCTCAGTCCCAAAGCTCTTGAAAACTGATGATACGTTACCAAGGGCTAGTACTTCCTGGAGAGCATCATTGTTTTCTTCTTCAAGCATACGCATTTGCTCTTTCAGATCTGAAAATTTATCAAGCAAAGATCTGTTTTCACCAAGTGCCTTGAAGTTTTCCTTTTGCAATGCCAAGTATGAACCCTGTAAACTTGCAAAATTCACATGCTGACTTTCCAATTCAGTCTTTAGTACTTTCTCATGCTGTTCTCCCTTGCTTATTTCCAGCCTCAACTGCCTGTTGCTCTCCAGAAGTTCATTCTTATCCTTTTGAAGCAGACTACAATTCTCTGTTGTTATCTCAAACTCCTGCCTAAGGATTTTCTTCTCTGAGTCAAGTTCAGCACCCTCTGATCTTAGTTCTCCAAGCAAAGTTAAGAGCACCAAATTCTCAACAACCAGTTGCTGCTTCTCATCCTCATGTCTCAAAAGTGAACCCTTTAGGTCCTCAATGTTGTCCAATATGTGGAGAAGAGGAGTCTGCTCTGCTTCAATCCCATCCTCGTGCTTATTAAGTGGATCAAATTGAACAGCCTTGAACACTTGATGAAGTCCCATTCTTAGCTTATCAATTTCATCTAATAAGAATTCTACTTCCACCTGCTGCTCAAGATTCTCAGTCTCCAATTCTGACATTAGTTTGTTTGACAATTTGGATGCCTCAACATGTTTCTTGCATTCAATCAACAAAGATAAGTTCTTCTCTTCCAAATCTTGTATAAACTTCTGCAAGATGAATATCTCAACCTGAGCATTTGCTGCCTTGTCTAGTTCTTCTTCAAATTCTTTCTTACTTAACTTGCTTTCTTCTTTCAGAAGAAGGACCTGGTTCTCTAGATCTGCCAATCGGGATTCACTGGACTGCATATAACATGCCCGCTCTTGTTTTTCTATGCCAAGGTAACTCTGCAATTCTTTTACTTCACAAAGCGTCGATTCTTTCTCCTTCTCCAGATCAGTGTATTTCTCTTCTAATCTTGTAAACCTTCTTTCCAGGTTTCCCAGTCTCTGTTCAACATTTTCCAGCTGACTCACTAGGGTGCTTCTTTCATTTTGAAGAATGGATTTCTCATTTTTGAGCATTTCACAAAAGTCTTCTAAACTTTTTGACTTTGCCCTCAAACCTTCGAGTTCAACATTTGCATGAGAGATAGAATGCTCCAGCAATGCATCTTTATCCAGAAGTTTTTGCATATTTTCTGTCATGGTTTGTAACTGAGAAAGCAGGATGGCTTTTTCAGCAACAAGACCAGATTTTTCTCCTTGAAGAAACTGACAGGATTCATGCAATTCTTTAACCCTCTCTCTTGATTCTTCCAACTTGCAATTCAATTCTGATAGAGATCTTTCTAAAGCAACATTCTTTTCCAGGAGCTCATTCATACCCCTCAGCTTCTCATAGAGATCTTCCTTTTCATATCTGTCCTTTTTGCAGACTTCTTTTAGCTTCAAATTCTCATCTTGCAAGTCCCTGATTGATGAAGTGATGCACTCAGGATCTAAATCTACTGACTTCACTTGCTCTATTAAAGCCTGATATCTTCTATTCAAGCTTTCAATCTCCTCTTTCAAATGGTGAATCTCTTGCTGCAGGGAATTACTTAGAGCCACTTGCAAAGCAAGTTCTTGTTCAAGTTTATCCTTAATTTCCTTCAAGCTAGAAATGTCATTTTGTAAATTCATTATTGAACTTTTGGAAGAACTGTTCAATTCATTGAGACTCTGGTTCTCTTCCTTAACCCGTTGGAGATCTTCCTGCAGGTCACTGTTGCGTATCTCCATGTCCTTCAACATTTGGAGCCTGTCCTGAAGCTCTTGTGCCAAAGCTCTCTGTTCCTCTTGAGATTGAGAGTGCAACTTCTGCAAAGTTTGTAAAGCAGCTTCAACTTGAACAAATTGTGATTGCTCATATTGCAGTGAAGTTTGAAGTTTCTCCAATTCATGTTCCTTCTCTGACAGCTCTTCATCCTTTGTTGCTATCTTCTGCACCAGATTGTCTGCTTCCAACTGTAGCGATTGATTCGATTTTTCTAGCAGAAGATTCTGTTGTTCTACACTTTTCAGTTTTGCAGCTCCTGTCAGAATTTCACTGTTGAGTCTTTCAACATCTTCTTGGGCACGAGAAATTTCATGCTCCATTTTAGCTATTCTCTCCAAACACTGCTCATACCGAAGTTCAGCAGCTTCTTTCTCTTTGTTCAACCTATCAAGAGCTTGCTTCAAGGCTTTAACTTCAGATTCTGCTCTTTCACTTTGCTCATTAAGTATTCTAGAACTTGCCTCTGCAAGAGAGATTTTATTCTCTAGAACTGATATCATTTCAAGACATTGTTTGTACTGACAAAGACCAGCTTCCTTTTCAGCTTCCAACGCAGAAAGTCCTCGCTTGAGATTTTGAGCCTCTATTTCTGCTTTAATTGCTCTCTCACTAAGTCCCTTAGCTTCCTCTTGTGTTTCAGAGATCATAGTTTCCAGACTAGAAATTCTTTCCAAGCATTTATTAAACTGAAGAAGACGGACATCTCTCTCGGATTCTAATTTAACAAGGGTTTCTTTCAAGATTTTAACTTCAATTTCAGCTCTGCTTGCTCGTTCATCAAGTCCCCCAGCTTCTTTCAGCTCTCTCTCTAGGCTAGATAACTTCTGCAAGCTCTGTTGATACTGAAGAACAAGAGCTTCTTTTTCAGCTTGAATCTCTGCAAGAGTTTTCTTCAAGTTTTGCACTTCAGTTTCACTCTCTGCCATTTCATGGATGTTTGAGAACTTTTTCAGCTTTCCTTCGGAAACTTTTGAAACTGCTAATACTGACCCAAACAGTTCATTGAGCTGTTTCAAACCTCTCTTGCTTATTCCAGAATCTGATCCATCTGTATACCCTTCATTGCTTTTCATGGCATGCAGGTCAGCTGAAGAGAGTCCCAGTGCATCCTTATGCAAGTCATCAGGATCAAGAAAAGCACGAATTGGGTGAGGCATTTCTGGTGTGTGAGGCTCACCCTCAGGACCTGAAGAGCTTGATAGTGAATCATCATTCAGAACATAAGGTACTTGATTGGGAAATGCTTCTGCCATGGTTCGATGGGCTTGGCGAAGCTCCACAGTTGCATGATCATATCTCTCTGCTAGTGCACGGTAAGCCCGATAGAACTCTTCAACCAATTTCATCAACTCTGGACGTTTCTTATAGTACATTTCTGCCCTCCTTGCAAATGAATCTGCATCTTCTTCAATGAGCTTGATCATTGCTTTTACTTTGGCATCCATATCTGTTTAAACAAATTTATGTTCGGTGAGAAAATGGCCTGTGAATTGCAAAAATGCAGCTATAAACACACCAGTTCAGTTCTTAAATGTAAAGAAAATTCAGCATTTGAGATAAACAGGTTAGACAATCTAAAAAACCATCAAACAATTACTTTTTTAATTTAAAAACCACAAGGTTGTTGTCCCAAACCAAGGTGTTCATGAGGTGATGCAGCAAAGAAATTTTCTCAGATGCTAATGCCCAAACCCAGCTCAAACTATAAATAAACATGTACTATTCACCTAACTATAAGTGATTGTATATCACTTTTACAACCAAGGCAGGAAAGTAGATGCATCAGTATGGAGCTCTCAACTAAATTCAGCAGTAAAGTCTTTGCAGAACAATTTTTTCTATCGTCTCGGTATCTTGTATAATTGTTTAACTTCTAAATACAAAGCTCTCAAAGGAATACATTTGCACAACAGGAAACATGCATTATATCAAATAATGTTAAGAAAATTCACCAAGATCTAAGAAGAGAATAAATACCTGTAAGATTTTCCTGAAGCCATTTTGAATTCTTTGGACTATTGTGGCTATCCCACCACCAAGAATACAATCGCCTGGATTCAGAATGCGACAAGGTAGCCATGATTCCAGCCAAGAACAAAAAAGCAACAGGTATGGACTTCACAAAGGTCTGGTCCTTGCACCAGTAATAAAAACCCAAGTATTGGATCCAGGCCAGACTAATAATATAACTTCTTCCAACCACCTAACGGACTTTGTCAGATCTTTGTTTTTCACTTCTTACACCCTATGTACAGACACCAAGATCGTCAATAACCGTAAAATGAAATTTCAAGGAACTCCAAATTTACGAACAGTTAGGACGCAGCCTACCTGCTCTATTGAACAAAAGAGCAACTATTTCTCCAGCCACAGGAACTATGCACTTCAGTGAACTTCAAAATTGTAAATTGAAGAAAAATGAAAACCAGATCTCCAAACCTGTACATTGCAAAACATCAGTAATATACGGCCAAACAATGCGAAAAGGGCAAAAAAAAAAAAAGTCAACAAGGAGAAATCAGGACATAAACTCAAATGTCATGCATTCTTTTGATTTCCCCAAGCCAAGTATTAAGAAAAACAAAATGCAGCATAAGAATAAAAGATAGAACAGTAGAAAATAATTTAACAAGAAGGAAGAGAAAATTGAACATAATTGAACAATAGAACTCCGAAGAAGACATAATTTAACAGGGACCAGAAAATTAAACACATATCTAATCACTAAAACGGAAAACAGCTAATGAACTAAAATCTACCAGTCAAAGGAATAGAAACTCGATCTTCGAGCAAAGTTAAATCTCAAGAAGCAGCTAAGCAGAAAAACATGCTTAAACGAGCCACAAGGCTATGAACCTAACAAGTCAAAGCAAAATCACAGTTCAAATGAACACAAAACTATGAACAGAAAATGATCCTTTAGGCGCATGCTAGAATGTGTCGATGGATTTTGATCTGCAGTAGAAACTATTATCCAAAATAACATAAAAACAGAAACTTGAACCAAATGGGCATAAAAAACAGCAAAAAAATGATGTCTTGATGGCATTTCAGATCAAACACCTACCAAAATGAAGCCCAGTGATGGGTAGTGATCACTGATCAGCAGCTGCGACGCCAAACCTCCAGCTGCGCATATCGTCACAGTCACCCCATCTTCTTTATCTACCTCACAAACGCTCACACAAAGAGTCTCTCTTTCTCTCTCTACAAAGGGTCACCTGCACTATATTCTGAGATTTTGGTAGACTGGCAGTAAAAAAGAGTGACAACTGACAAAGAATGAGAAGATAAAATGCAGTACAGAGAAGATTTAATATTTTAATGGAATACGTATCTGCACATATGAAGTAATATAGATGGGATTAAGGAGGATAATACATTGTAATTGTGTGTGTTAATTGTGGTTAATGATTTGATTAATGTTGGAAATAAAGATAAACGGTCACATTCTTCAGTTTTTGCTATTTCTTGTCGTTACCATTTTATGAGGCATGAGATGGGGACTGCCAAAGTACCATGAAAAGGAAGTCAAATGACTAATCTGCCATTGCTTAAGATCTCAATAATGTTCTTTCTTGGGTTCCGAGATCTGACTTTTTCCACTCTTTTCTAAATTTATTACTCATTCTAAAAAAATAAATAAATTTTTTTAAGTTTGATGATCTTTTTTTTTTTTTTGTTTATTTCATTTAAGTAATATTTTTTAAAAAATTATTAATCATCCTCCGGTAAAGAATAATGAAAGTGTTTTCAATTATTTTTTAATTCTTGTGTAAGGTATTTTTTATTTTTTAAAATTAATTTAATGTAATTTTTTTAAAGGAAAATTAATTTAATGCAATTAAACAAAATCAAACAAATAATGGTATTGATGTCTTTTACAATTTAGGTTCTTTTTTTATCCTATTCTTTGTCAATGTGTTCTTTGAAACCATTGTTTCTTCTTTGTATTATTCTTGGTAATTAGTTACTTGATGCCATTAATTCCTATGAATTGCACAAAAGAATGAAATTAAAGACTAATTATAAATTTTTTTGAATAGTTAATTAATTAATTTTAAGATAAGTATGACTATAAATTTAAACTCTCTCTTCATTAAATTTCGAAAACATGAATATATAATACTCAAAAATTAATATTAACGTGCTTGATAAAATTATACAAATTCATTAAAATTTTGAAATTAGAAAAACATACATGTAAATTGATTTATATCAAAACTTAAAAAGGCAATAAAAATGTACATATTTTCCAAAAAAAAGAAATATTTCGAAACTAAAAAAAAAAAAGCATTGTAAAATAATTTTTCAAAATTTTGAAATAAATTTCAATAGAATTTGTAGATGCAATTTAATTTAAATGAGGAGTCTTGCAACAAAATGATACGAGCTATCGTGTATTACCCTACAAATAAAAATATAGAAAACAAAAAAAAAAAATGCAGGCATGGTAATTTAAAAAAAAAGAAAAAGAAAAACCAAATGAGTGACCGACACGTATTTTTAATTTTGGGTTGTATTATTATTATTATGTGTACATAATAAATGCTACTTTAGCAAGTTGTTGACCATTGACTTATTTGTCTTGATATATAAAGGAGTTTCCAGCACATTGAATCTCCTCAATGTGAATAAAATAAAATGCTGTTGAAAGATTGGTTCTGATTCCATGCCCCCATTGTCTTGTCTTTCTACTCATCGTCTCGTCATCATCGTCTCATCATATCATTTAACCAAATTTTTTTAAATGGAAAAAAAATACTAAAATATAAATCGAAAATTAATATGAAATATATATAAAGAAGTGAATTTTTTTTTTTTTTCAATAATTTCCTTTGGGTATTAATGAGAAGCTTTTGAAGTATATATAATTAAGTTTTCAGTGAGTAATTAAGGTTCTAATTCTAATTAATATGGAATGTAAATTTGGGAGGTGGGCCATTCATAAGGTGGTGCAATCTCTATCACCACTTAATGAAAAAAATAATAATTAAGGATTAAATTAATATAAAAAGTTACTTCCAAGTTTCTCCATCTGGTAGAGGAGGTGATTGCATCAACCGCGATTACATTAACTTTCATGGACCCCTTCTGTCTTTAAATAGGAAAGCAGATAATAAAAATAATTAATTTGGTAAAAACTATATTTAACACAAGATACAAAATATTTTTAAAAACAAAAAGATTTTCCCTTACAAATTACTCCTATTTAATATAAGACACAAATAGCGATAGATTCTTCTTCATCGAAAAGTAATAAAAAAGTTACGGCGCACATTTTTCACCGTGACAATTGCCGAATTAATTACTAAAAATGGCAAATGAAATGATAGAAGAAGATACGGTTAATTTATGAGGAAAAAAACAGAATAATGAGATGCCATAATTATGATTTTTATCATCAATGAGTATTATTAACTAGGGATTAGTGGTTTGTTTGGCAATTTGCTAATCCTCCAGAGGAAAAGATTAGAGAGAACAAAAAATGAGCTGTTTGGGTTGAATTGATGAGCTAAAAATGGACCCAATGGGCACATGGGAGTCTTTAATTAGTTGAGTGATTGTCTTGTTAATCTAAAAATGTTGTCTGGTTCATAACCCAAACTGATCTATAATTCTATTTTTAGGTTTGTAATCATTTACCAATTCTGGAAAGACAACTCTCATCTCCACCTTTAAGATACAAAATCAAAAGGGCTCGCTCTTACTATTTACACGTGAGCCATCTTATCATGCAATACAAATTTGATGATTTTTTTTTTTTAATTTTCTTAAAATACAAATTTTTTTGTGAGTACTTTTAAAAATCAAATCCATCTTGTTAAAAAAAAAAAAAGATTAGTAAAAAAATCCATATTAATTAATGAAAACTTCATTTAGGTTGTGATTATAATAGTGAATAGATGGAGACACTCACATTTGAAATGACAATGCAATACATGTATATATGTACGGTAGAACTGTATTGGCACGTTTATATAATTGAATAATTTATTTTTCAAACTGTATTTGAATTTGGTAATCTCCTTTTCAAACTAAAAAAAAAAAAAAAATTGATGCTTACTTCCCACCTTCTACCAAATCAAGCTACCATGCTTTTAAGGCACTATTGATGGAAATTAAAGTTCAACAAAAAAAAAACAAAACTCTAAGATCGATGCTCGTAAACTAATATGATAATATATATAATTAAAATTTGAAATATTAAAGAAAAAATATGATCTTAATTCACATTGTCACACTTAAAGCACCAACAGCAACTTACCAACCATTAATAAGTGCATTGAAAATCTTGAAAAAGCAAATTGAGAGAAGCAATATGCAAAATGGACCCCAACCCAAAAGATAAGATGTTGTGTTTGTGTTTGGTAGTAGAGGAGGAGCCAGCTATAACAATGCCAAATAAAGATTCTGAAAAATCTATTTATTGCATTTTTGTATGAAATCTGAAAAGGAGTTTGCTGGGTTTTGTACTAGCAACTTCAAAATAATTTAATTTCTTCCCCACCATCTGTCACATTTCAAAAGCAAAAGTCATGTGCTCGTTTTTTATTTACCACTTTTTTCTCTTAATTTGGCTTGTCTGCCTCACATTTCCTTCCTCATTAGGGATCAATCAAATTGCTTTCAAACGACAATCAATAATTATCATCACTTAGCAATATTATGTCTCAACATTTCCACCGTCAATAAAAATCAGCCTGAAAAATTCTTTATTTTTTTTATAAATCCCAAATACACATAATATATCCATATGAAATTTATTTTATTTATAAATTTATCAAAAAATTCTTTTGAATACACTTTTATAATTGGATTTAACATAAAATTCATTAGTTTTTTTAATAATTTTAACTCTTTTTAAGTGTAGAATTCATCTGCAAATTCTATTCACTAAAAAAAATTATCTGAGCAAATAATGAATTTCAAAGAATTAAAAAGATTAAAATTTAGAGATGATTTCCACAAAAATTATGAAATTCATCTCATACCAAGCGAGCTAGTGATCCAAACATGTCAATTTTCCTGCACTGATTAAGTACCTTAAAATAAAAAAATGAAAAATGCCAATGAATTCGAGTTTTCTGGCGACGAAGTAAATTGACTATTTGAATAAAAATGCCAAAAAGAGGAACTCAACAGAACTGTCAATCTCAATTATAATTCAAAAACGTACTGCAATTTTTGACTGCAGCTTAATTTTTCCTTTTTTTTTTTTTAAAAAAAAAAGACCTAAACAGTAAATAAATTGCAAAAACAAAAATCATTTCAAGTTGATGCAGCAGCTTCAGCAGGAGCCTCGGCCATTGTTTCATCAGCAGGCCGCTCCAATTTCGTACCAACATCTTCTGAATAATCTCCATGTACCTGCATAGCATGGACAGACAATCAGAATTCAGAAGAAAGAAAGAAAAGTACTTTCCTTCAAAATACTTCAAAAGAAAGAAAAAACACGAGCAAATGACATGCCTCCATAAGCTTTCCAAGATCAAATTTTGGAGCTTTCAAAATCTTGACTTTCCGAACATAGACATTTTGTAAAGGGTAGATGCTTGAAGTTGCCTTTTCAATCTCTTTGCCAATTATCTCAGGAATGAACTTGCGTACCAACTCCTTGAGATCACAAGATGTTGCTTGGGCTGTCATGATCTCCCTCATCTTTCGGCGTATCTGGCAAAATAAAAGCAGGTTTTGTCACATAAAAGCAACCAAAAACAAAGGACATTGAGAATTTGAGCTTTCAACTTAAAAGCAATGTAATGCTTTACCTGTCTAATCTGGCTGGATTGGGCATAACAAGTCCTCTTAATTTGGTTTGGTCTTCTCTTGGTAAACCCAATGCAGAACATCCTCAAAGTGTAGTTGTCAGTTGTCTTCACATCCACATGAGCTTCGATCAAAGTTTGCCATTTCCTCACCAAAGACCTTAACTTGTCTGTTGTAAAATCCATTCCCTATATCATGCACCATGAATGGAAAATAAGAAAAAGAAAAGAACAAATTGCTTCAAATGGTCAACAGATACTAATAGAGCATATAAAATTTCAACTATGCATATCATACCCAAAAATTTGTCAAAACATTCCTCCCTTGAACATCCTCGGCTCTCAACCGGATCTTTCTAAAAGCATAATCCTCATCGCCTTGAAGATCAGCCAGTGAGATGTCAAAAACACGATGTTTGAGTCCTTCCGAAGCAATCTATTAGAACAATAGAAGATATAATATAGCAATAGGAATTTGGACATGTACATCACTTGTAGGCATTCAAAGAAACATGCTTAATTTCTCATATGTATGGTATGCATTAGAGAAGTACAGTTTTTTATGAGTATACAAACTCATACACACTGCTCATACTACACCACAAAATATGGTTGAAATATGCTATTAAGTTATTTAGCTGATAAAGAGGAAAGGGTCGTTATTGCAAGTTACTACACAAAGAAATGAGTCACAACTGAAAATAAACTAGTTTATATAACAAGGGGTGGGGTTAAGAATATGAATAAAAAATTGCAAGAAGATTATTGGGAGATTTCACAATACAATTTTAAAAGAAAACGAAATTCAGAAAAATAATTTCAATGTCATCCAAAATGCATATTAGCACAGAAGTAAACCACTTCACATATGGCAGTTTTGGATTAATGACTGTCGATACTAGCAATCAGGCATATGAAAGTTCAGTTTCTATGATGAAATGGAACCCACATTATAGAAAGGTCGACTTAAAGATTGAATCCTCGCATAAAGATTGTGTTTCAATCTGTGAATAATATCATATTGCCAATCATTCAATAACACAATTCTAATCCAGATATAAATATGACACAGAATACTGAAAATAAACAATTCGCACCAGCATAAGTAAAGATTCAAACAGAAGTAAAACGAACCTTGGTACCCTGAGTTCGGCTAACAAGAGTCTTGCCCACATTCTTAACAGAGAAAGCAGAAGGAGCTTTAATATCATACCAATCCTTCTTTGCAAATGGATCCGCACTATCCAATGAAAACAAAATGAAATAAGCGATTCCAAAATCCATCTCAAAAGGAATTTTGAGAAAAATTCAAGTAAACAAAAACTGAGAGATAAATTAAAAGTAAGACTCACGCCTTCTTCTTGCCACCTTTCTTTCCCTTCGAAATCCTCTTGTTCTTCCTGCACAGCGACAACAACAAACCCAAATTACAAATCAACTCATTTGCAAAGTCCAGAAAGAGAGAGAGAGAGAGAGAGAGAGAGAGAGAGAGAGTGCTGCGTACCCGACGGCCATTGTTAATGGTGTGGAGAAGCTAAGGGCAGCTTTAAGTGCAGAAGGGAAGTAAAACAAAAACGGCTAAGCGCAAACCCTTTCAGAGACAAAACCCTATTACTGTGTGGCTTAAATAGGTTTTAGCTGATTCAATGTTGTGCTTCTTTCTGTTGTACCTTGAGGGTAGTTTAGTACTTTTTAATACTGTTGAAGGGTAACTTTGTTATTGCATGAATAAGTTGAACGGCGTCGTGTTTATGAACGCAACTGGGCCGAATATCATAGTAAATTCATTGGGCTCCCAAGTTCAATCAGCTCCTTCCAATTTCAAGTTGCACAAAGTTTAAACTTCCTAAGTTTGAAACCCAGCCCATCAACTATGAGCCCTACCTTAGCCCTCTCTACATATAATACTATACTTTTTGAGGATATGTATTACTATATTCTTTTCTTTTTACGGACAACGTAAAAACCATTAAAGGCTATATATTTAAATTCAACAAGATGGGAATTGAATTTAGGATCTTATGTCGCAAATTAATTTCTTTGGCTTAATTATTCTGTTAAAATTCACCAATAATTCTGTGAAGTTAAATACATGAGTAAATTTTAGATAGATGCCATCCTGTCCATCTAATTAAGGTAATTGACTTTAATTAGCATTATAGTAGAAAAACCTGATTTTCTTTGTCTTAAAATATTTGACTTTATGTTTATGGAAAATACTTGTCTACACCCGATTTATAGAAAGTTTTATATACTAAATTAATAAAAAATTTTAAAAAATATTATTTTTTTTTTCATGCATGCTTAGAAATATATCTTTTGAATTAAAATACTATACAAGGATATGTATTAAGAAGAATCATTTCATTGCCCAAATATATTAACCAGTTTGCGGTTTCTCAAGTAGCCTCTAAAAAGTACATTTTAACCTTGTATAGATATGCACTAAATAGCTTTTACTAATATGGAAAATACTATAGTAGAAAATTGTACTAGTAATTAATTAATTTGTTTTTATTAATCATTTCTATTGCGATGAGCTGTCAAGAAACTAATTGATAATGGTGATGGATCCGCGGTGGCAGTGGCCGTGTTTTCGTGGCGTTGGAGGAGGAAGCCCCGAAGCGGCAGTAACATATACCGACAGAAGACTTCTAGCTTTTTGGACATTTATTGGCACCGCAAATAACTCTCTGATGTGCGTAAAATGACCTGCATTCTTCAGGAGATCGCTGGAAGGGCCTAGATGGAATACAATTTCTCTGATCATCAATCGCCGGCAGCCGGAGGCACACAGGAGACTCGCCGGAGAAATAATTAAACGAGTAAGTAAAATTCTTCAAGTTAGGCAAAGAACAAATACTCTGCGGAACCTGACCATAAAATTTATTATGTGCAACATTTAGCTGCTCCAAATTCCTCATTTCTCCTATAGACGCCGGCAGATAACCTGATAACTTGTTAAAGCTTAAATCAAGAACTTTCAATCCTTTTAGTACCCCTATATCTTGCCGCAAACAACCTGTTAATCCCAAATTTGAAAGAACAATCTCTTCAAGTGTCGCCGCCATTCTTGCCAAACTTGGAGGAATACAGCCTCTAACATTACTGTTAGCCAATACAAAAACTGACACCGGAGAATTACCTAAATTCTCCGGCAAGGATGATTCAAATTTGTTATCGTTAAGAAAAAGAGCATCGAGTGGTAAGTCGAAAACCTCTTCGGGAATCTCGCCGTCGAATTGATTGAATCTAATGTCAAGATATTTTAATGAAGGTAAATAAAGAACAACATAGGGAAATGGACCGCTAAATTGGTTATTACTAACGTCAAGCTCATACAGAAGATGAAGATGGATAAAGCTTGCAGGAATCGTACCGCAAAAGCGGTTAGAGTTTAAGTGGAAAAGAGCAAGATCTTTAAGAAGGCCAAGCTCTTCCGGCAAATATCCGGCGATGTTTGCGTGATTCAGGTCGATTCCGGCGACGGTTAAAATGTGAGGATCGTCTAGGGCTGGTGCACAGTAAACACCAGTGTAATTGCAGACATTGTGACCATACCAGTTGGCAGTGAAGTTGTTGGGGTCAGAAGTGATTGCCAGTTTCCAAGCCTGAAGAGCTATGTAAGCTTTCATTAATCTAGGATTTAGGATGGGGAAAGAAGGAAATGGAAATATGTCATCTTGGTAAGACGGTTTGGAGAGGAACAAGACGATACTGAGAACAAGCCATATTAGGGCTAGACTAAGATGCCATGATTTCTCCATCTTGGAGAAAGAGTTGATGATGTTTGGTTATGTGAATTTCATGTTGTTGAACGGTTTATATATAATCTGGGAAAATGCAAGAATTAGTAATAATGTTCGGCACGATTGGGCTTAAAATCTTTGATAATTTCTAATAATTTTATTTTGTTCTTGTTTTTCAAATGAAAATTTGGATTAGTGGAGAACACATGGGGGATTGAACATTAGTTGACTTCCATGGATTAAGGGTGACCAGAATCATAAGTCTTCTTTTAATTATATTTTAGTGTTAATTCGATATTTATACTATTTTTGGGTTTGATGTTCGTTCCAAGTCATGTCATTGGTATATATATAACATTTGATTCAATCATTGCTACTGTATTAACAAATTTTAAGAATGTATTACACCACAAAAAATAGCAAGTAAATTTAATTAACTCTGTATTTTTGTCAATTATCCTTTTAACTCTCTAATCTTTGTAGACCTTACATATTTGTATTTCCGTAATAACTGTGTCTCCAGTAAAAATGAAATGTGAAAATGCAGTAATAATTGAATTCTGTACAATTATTTCATTTTGGCGAGAAGCATAATTATTAGTGAGATGTAAAACTGCAGGATCACGATGAGTCACCAAAGTACATGATCAAATTTATGCATTAGACCAAAATATCAAAATCGATGTTGGTTTGAATTAAATTGCTAAATGATGTCCCTATCAAATTGGAATCCAAGCAATTCAAAAATCAAAAGAGCATTCATGTGAGTGGGGAAGGGTTTTAAATTAGGGCTGGTTATGTCCACATGGATTATCATCCCAGATTATGAACATCAATAACTCTTGGTGGTTGGGAATTAAAATGAAAATAGATGCACGATAGTGCATTATTATTCGTTAAAGGCCTGCACAAATTATTGATTAGAAACAAGAATTGATTATTGTTGAAGTTTAACTAATTGGTCTTGATATATATATATATATATATGTATCAACAATGAAGAGCTGTACTAGATAGCAAGCCTATCTACCTGGCTAGGTGAAATACCCCGAATTTTTATTTTCTAAACTTTGGAATTTTTATTAAATCAAAAATCTGAATTTTTGATAATATGGGTTGTTACGATCGAGCAATTCTAACTAGTGCATTATAATTCGGTAAAGGGCCTTGCAGCAAATTATTGAATTAGAAACAAGAATTGATTATTGTTGAAGTTTAACTAATTGGGTCCTTGATATAAGGTATATAGCTAATATATGTATCAACAATGAAGAGCCTGTACTAGATAGCAAGCCCTATCTACCTGGCTAGGTGAAGATACCAGCCGAATTTTATTTCTAAACTTTGGAATTTTTATAAAATCAAAAAATCTGAATTTTTTGATAATATGGTGTTTAGCGATGCGAGCAATTCTAAACTTTGAAGGCAAATTTGAATAATTGGGCCCAAGCCCAAAACGGATTATTCGGGATTTTCGATTGGACAATGCTTAAAATGTTGATGAAGTAAAATAGGATACAAATTATTAATTGATTTTAAATAAATGATTATGTATGTAATTGGTATATAAACTGAAATCAAATATTATTACTATTACTATTTTTTTATTATTATTGAGTAAATGAAGGGAATGTTTTCTAACCTAACTAAATAATTAAATTAAATCAAACCAAACTCGGGAATCAAAGCGATTTCTCGAAAACCACACGGATAATCTGAAAACCAAGTGAAAAACCTACGAATCAAATAAGAATCGAGCTAAATCATTGAGTTGGACCAAACCAGTTCGAATCGAACCGGAATGGTCTTGAAACCTCTAGAATCACTCCTTTTCTTTTTATTTTTTTTCTCTCTTCTTCTTCGTCTCTTCGCACATGCAAGAGCAGCGCCGCTCCTCCTCCTCCTCCGCCTCCTCTCCTCTTCTTCTTCTTCTTCTTCTTCTTCTTCTTCTTCTTCTTTCTCTTCTTTCTTTCCTTTTCCTTTCTTCTTCCTTGGATCTGCGTCGGCGTGGTGTTCCAGCCGCTCCAGCAGAGGCGATCGACCACCGAGCGCCACCGCACGCAGCTCCAGCGCCACGTCCAGCCGCTCCACTTCGCAGCGCCTCAGCCAGCTTACTGGGTCAGATCGCGCGGCACGAGCAGACCAACCTCCCTCTGCCTTCGGTCGAGCAAGCGTCGCGCCAACGCCACCGCCTAGCCGCCGCTCCAGCGCGCCTCCGACCACCAACAGCCACTGCTCTCCGATCCGGCACGCGTGGAAATTTTTGATCTAGCAGAAATTCGACAAAAAAATTATATTTGGGGTATAAATTAATTTAAATGCATTTTCGTTAATTAATTTAATTTTATTCATGGTAGTTAATTAGTAATTAAATTTAAGTCATGTTAGTTAGTTTAATTTTAATAATTTAGTGATTTTTGAATTAGTAATTTAGTGAATTAAATCGATTTTAAGTAATCTTGATAATTAATTTGAATTTAGCAATTTTGATAAGTTAAATTGAATTAATTTGGTTAGGATCTACCTAAATTAATTTTAATTTAGTGTTGATCCCATTGATAATAAAAATTACTTGAATAAGTTTAAAAAATTAAATTCGTGTAAATAAGATAAATTGTTAGGAATAGAATGAAATATATAGATGAGACTAAGAAACATTTATAAATTTATGTTGATATGGAAAATATGGAGGATGGGAGAAATTGACTTGATTGATTGCCCGATGGATAGGCTGTGTGGTTTGAAATATTTGATGAACTGTTGATATCTTAACAGGTGGATAGTCCAATTTTTAGGGGAGATGCTGCGGAAATTTCAGTAGAAAAATAAAATAAATTTCGGTAGAAAGTAAAATAGAGTTCGATAGAAAAATAAAAATTGAAATTAATATCGAGAGTAGATTACGTAGAAAAATTTAGAATGAGAAGACCCAGATATATATGCATATATAACAAGTGAATTAATATATAAATATGCATATATAACAGTGAATTAAATGAACCGGTAAACCGAAATAAATAAAAATGAATGTGAAATATAAGTTTTTGAAATTAAAATTCTTAATTTAGAAATTTTTCTTGTTTATTTAAAGTTACTGGAATAACCAAAATGCGAGAAAACAAAAGCTGGAAGCATGTGGCAATAAAGACAGTCCTTTTAAAAGGACAATAAAGAATCTGTGAAGTAAGTCGTTAGATACTAGTATCATCCACCTGCATCAATGCATTCACGGCTAATTTATCATGCATATTTTGTTGAATTTGCCATAATCGTGCTGCATGCTATTGTTAATTGCGTGATTCGCTGTGAATGTGATATTGCTAGTGCTCTGTTTTATTGGGAATTTTGTGTGGAATTGGGATGAAGTGGGTCACCATGGGTTTGTGAGAATGGTATATGTGATATGGATCCTGAATATGATATGAAATTTGGCCGGGTAAATGGAAGATCGGCGCCCCGTGTGCACCTACTGCTATGATCTGTGTGATATGGAAAACCACAGGTTGGTTTCTTTATTGGGCGCACCTGATTTGATCGCAGCCCGCAGGGTGGCCTCCTGTTGTGAGCGCTTGATGATCTAGATTTGATGGAGACGACCGGGTTACCTCCTGTTGGGAATAGAGAGAATGGAAAAATAATGAGAGGAAAAGAGAGAAATGGAAAAACAATGAGAAGGGCTGGTCCAAGTGAGGATTAGGACCCAGGTCGGCCAGTTATGGGGATCGGCTCCCTGGTCGCACACGTGAGAAGGAATGGGCCATGTTGGGAAGGACGGCTCATGCGGGGGTTTCGGTGACTCCACTGACTAATTTCCACGTGATGTGATTATATGAAAAGTGATAATAATTGTGGTT